CTGATCTTGTTAACTGAGCTTCGAAGCCACGCGCTCTCATCCCACGGGTTCGCGCCTCTGGTCGTGTCTCTTGGCTTTCAGCTCCTCCATTCTGACCCTGTCCCTGCCGGGGAGTGTTTCTTTGTCTCCGGCCTCTTCCTTCTCTATTTCCTCCTCTCCGAGAGCTGGATGGACCATCCTGTTGATTGGGCTGGGGTATAGTATTCGGCTGTGGTTGGGACGGTGTAGGCTGTGGTTGCGCCGCAGCTTGATTTTGGGGTTCACTTGCAGGCGCTTGTTGTTGACCATCACGCTTCGCAGCACCCCGCCCTCTGCGTTTAGATGGCCTGGAAGAACGTGGGGGTCGTGGCCCGGCTGGGATTGAAGTCTCTGGCTGGGGTGTTGCCATGGCTGTAAATGTGGTGGAGGTCTGACTGGAGACTCCTGGCGTACTCATATGCCTCCGGTGTATTTTCTCAGTTGCGCTTCGCTTGAAGAGAGTAATTGGTGGCTGACTGGGGGTGGTGCTCTAATGTAGGCTGAAATAGTACGGCAAACTGAGATGAGCGGCAGCTAGACACTAAATAGTGCAACAAGGAGTAAAATCAAAGGCAAAAGCCCGCTTATAGAATGGAGAGAGAAAATTGTGGCACAATGAATTATCTAGAAGGCGATAAAAGCTCGCAGGGCAGAATTTGGCGGTGGGGTAGGCGGTGAGGTAGTGGCGAGCGGCTCAAGTGTGAGTCAGGAATTACATAACATGACTCATTGCGGGCGCCTACTGGTGGGTCGGCGATCTATGAATTCGAGTCATGCTCCGTATCACTGAGAGACAGCACGAACTGATGCAATTCATTGGCCTTGGTTGACGCATGCAATGACAAAGTGATGGGGAGGATCCGCGGGTTTTTGACTCCACTTTATGCCAAGACATTAAACAAAGACCCAGTGCAGGAGGCTTATATCTAAAAGACCATCTTGCAGCATATCAAAACACAATCGGACCTCGGGAATATGCTCAACCTTGGGTTCCATGCCCGTTACAAAGGGAGGACATCAGAAAAGACAGCCAAAACATATTATCAATGCAATTTAGTCCCAATCCTGAATTAATATAGACAAAAATGCAAATATCGAAGCCGGCGCATCAAAAGAAACATGGCGCTATGCGAAAAAACCAGCCCGTTCAACTCGTAACAAAGAACCAAACCACTCATTCATTCCCATCGTTTGATTGAAATCATACACACCGAGTCCAGGCTCTAGATGAACACAACAATCTCACCACGATCATTCCGTCTCAGCCTCAAAGCGCGGAAAAGGTCCTTCTCATCATCAACCCTGCGTTCCCGGTCCGCCCGGCTGCGCCCATTATCACGACCACGATCAGCATCATACTCATCGGACAGATCGCGGTGGAAGCGCTTGAGCGCCTTGTTAACGGAGCAGCCGCGCTCGCTATGGCTGGCGACCAGCGAGAGGAAGTGATGACCCAGCTCGCGCTGAAGATCCTCGTCCGTGCGGGCCGGCGGCCGCGACTGCTTGTAGACAGTGACCTGGTGGCCGTGGGAGGAGTCGACGGAGCCGCGGCGCTCGTCGATTTGCTTAAGACGGCGGGAGGGTCTGTCACCGTCTGTGGGGTTTGAGCTCTTGCGCTTGGACTTGCGGGCGTCATCGTGGTCGTCTGCGCGCGAACGGTGCGACTTCTTGCTCTTGCGGACATCGAGCTGGCCCTCGGCGCTGGAGGAGCTGCCGCGGCGGGCGTGGACAACAGCCTTGGAACCGGGCTCGGAGCCGTTGGTGCTGGAGACCGCGGAGCCGCCGAACATGGAGGAGACGAGGCGGCCGGCGCGGTTCTTCATGGAGATGCCGAGACCTGGGTCGCCGTTGCCGTTGGCTTCTTTGCCATTGCGCCGGCTGCGCTTGATCGGGGACGAGGTGTCTTGGTAGGCGCGGCGGCTGGTTTCTGGGCTGTCGTCGCCGTCGGGGGATGCGGAGCGCATCATCCGGTTCAGGCCGCCGGTCAGGCCGGAGTGGTTCAGCATGGGTGTGCCGGCGTTGTTGATGATGCTGGAGGGGGCATCCATCATTGGGGTGTCAACTGCTTCGCCCGGGGTGCTGAGCACCTCTGCTTGGCCGCGCTTGCGCTTCTTCTCGCTGACGGTGCCGGGGGCCTTCTCCTCGCGACGGCGGTCCTTCTTATTCTTAGGTGCGGGTGTGACGAACTCTGTTGTTGACGCGTTCGGGGGCGAGGCGGAGTGCGGGATGTGGCCGGCGCCGTATGAAAAGCCATTCTCCTCGTATGCGATATCGTAATTCTTACCCTCGTCATCTGTGTTGGGGTTGGTTTCGACGCGAGTGAGGGACTGGCTGGGCTCGAAGACCGATTTGGCATTGGGGTTCATCATCATCTGTTCCTTGGGTGCGGCAACAGAGACCTTGGATGCGTTCGGGGTCTCATCGGCGACGAGGTAGTCGAACACATTGACAGGCTTGTCATTGTTGGCCGGGACAGGAGCAGGGGTCCTCACCTCACCGGCAGGCGGGGGCGTGGGAGCAGGGGGAGGAGGAGCGCTCTTGAGGGCTTCGCCGTCTGAACCGTCGTCCACACGGGGTTGCTGGTGGCGGCCGTTAGGGGTTTGGTTCTGATTCTGTTTCTGGTTGTTTTGTCCTTTCTTTCCTTTCTGAGGCTTCTCTTTATACAGAGCACCCTGGTACTTTTGCGCCTCGCTCATGCATGACTGTAGTGGCCGGTCTCGTTAGCGGATGTCTCCCTTGTTGATTCAATTAGGACTTAGTAGAGTAGCTCCACGACCATTATGCGACAATGCGACGTGGATCCGACGTACCGTATGAGCTCTATATTCCATTCCGTAGAAATGCACCATGCAATCGATACAGGTGAAGGAGGCACCGCGACATTGGCCGCGATGAGGATCGAGCTTTTTCTTGGTGAGAACATCACCACATGCCTATGCTGATTGTTAGCAGCGATTCAAGCGCAAGGCATAGATCTCAGACAGCAGATAGGACTTACCTCGCAAGAGAAGGAGACCATTGTTGACACTTAAAGATCACCCTATCAGGTGCACAGCAAGTGGTTAAAGAGGGTTTTCAAGAGGGGAAGTGTATCCCTTGGAAGAATGCCAGTAGAAAGTGTCCAAGCGGGGAATTCGCTTTGATCCGAAATTCAATATCTCGCCTTTTCCTCTCTTTTTTTTTTCTTTTTCTTTTCGCGTCGAAATTTGGCGCGCAGGTCCACGCTAGTCTTGATCGGGCTCCACACTAGGCTATTTTGGGTAATATGGATGGGCTGGGCGCGTTGAGCTGAAAGTGTATGTACTCTTTCCATGCGCTTTGGGAACATTTAATGTATAAAATAATCGAAAGGAAGCGAGAACCCCCCTGATTTATTATTCCTCGACTCGGTACATGTTTCAGGGAAACTGAAAACGCGCAGATCCCACGCGGACATGGACGCCAGGCCTGTCAGGAGACCCCATGCTTTCATTTGTCGCTTCTTCCCAGTTGGACGGCAGACGCGGGGAGGATCCGAGAAAGCAGTCAGGCTGGCCGACCGGCCCCTCGAAACATCCCATCTTGACGGCTCTACTGCTATTTTTGGCCCAAACTCAAACACTCTTCCCCGACTATCCCTTGATCTATACTACGATCCGTGATATATCGCCCTTTGAGTGTCCCGTCATTCTACATGAAACTAGTCGATCTGTTGGAGGTTGGTATCACGAGGGTGCGACCTGACGACATCACCGCTGTCGCTCATAGTGAAGAACAAAAGTTTAATCGGTGCTTTCTGATAAGACAAGCTTGGTACGACTGAATGCGCCTTTTAGTCTGCTTTGCCGTTCAGGGATATACTGGCTAGGCCTCTTGGTCATGCGCGCCATCTTCCACACTTGATCACCAGGTAGGATGATCTTTACGCATAGAATACTCAGGTCATGTACTTTGTGGAAATCGGCAATGTAGAGGATGTGAGACATGTATACTACTTACTAATTAGTGGTTGACCAACTGTATCTTGCCATCAGGTTCCAGCTCGGGTAGACTTGTGAGCATCAATCTGAGAAACTCAACAGGATAGAGCAAGGATTAATCAAGTCATAGAAGTTGGGATACGCTCGATTAAATGAAGTCAAGGTACTGATGAAAGAAGAACAAGATTAATTCTACCGGCTGCGAGCCGAAATCCTAATGACGGAATATTCCACCCAACTGTCGAGGAGAATGTGTTGTTTATTACAATTCTTCTTTCAATCACATCGCCCCTAGGCCATGGAAGCAGCCCTACGCCGGCTTTACCCCCACCTGTACGGGCACCCCAGCGGCGCTAAGGCTGACGGTTGTATTCATCTACAATCTATATAGTACAGCTCGAGGTCTCTGTTACTGCACATAATGGATATTGCCGAACAATATTCGCTAGATTTACTGTATACATATGTAGCTATACATACGTACATGTATAGTGTACCACTTCCTGACAACAACTTCCGTGTGTTTCTAGGGTCTTTTGTCCTCCAAAATCAAAGCAAATCCATACCAATATCTTTCAAATTTGCGACTGGCGACGAACACTCCATTTCAAGTTTGGTCAAAGTTTCACTCGAGAAAATCTCCCGTAGTTGGTCGATACTTTTTTAGTTAACTTTGGTATGTGTTCGATCACTGCGTTTGCATGGGTTGGAAACAAGAATTTCAGCACTTGATGACATTCTTTGATATTTGCGTCAAGACAGTCTCGAGATGGAATTTAACGAATAGAGCTGTCGCTAAAGGTGCTGAGGCATGATGCAGAGGCGGCCTGCAGAAGCCTGCAGACTGTATGGTTGAAACTAGGTAATCATGGAGAAAAAGTGAACTTTTCTGATTAAAAACTGCAGTTTTTACTATGTAAACATAAATTCAAAAGTGCAAAATTAGTCCGGCAGAACACATAAAAGGCAGAAATCAGGCAGGGGGTGTGTCTGTATCAACAATATAAAGATATTCCATGCTCCTTATCTTGTATACTGCTCCAACCATTTAAGCACAGTGCGATACCATAATAGCAAATTCTCGGGGCTCCGGATCCGAAAGCCCTCATCTGGAAATATGAGCAGAGCAGTCTCGACTGATTGCAAATTTAGAGTGTTAAATGCAGCCAGGGTGTCAGAGACAGGACGCTGACGATTCAGTTCCCCGTGAATGAGTAACTGTGGCGTCTTCCAGTTGCCGGCGTGCTGTGCAGGGTCCCATTTTCTCCACGCCTCTGGATTCAGCCAAGGTGGTCCACCTAGCCCATGCAAAATCGAATGCTGGGTGCTGCTAGATAGATGAGAGAGTAGGTTGAAGGTGCTGTTATCGGCGATCAATGCTTTGAACCTGCGCCCTAAGCCGTGGCCTTGTATCCAGTTGACCATATAGCCTCCGTATCCGAGACCGAGTGCCACGGCATGCTCGGTGTCGACGTAATCAAGGGACTCGCAGATATAATTAAAGCCTCTTTCGAGGTCCGAGTACGGCCTTCCAGCCCATGAGCCTTGTATCTCATCAGTGAACTGATGCCCGTAACCCGTGCTTCCTGTGGGATTCGGCGCCACGACAATGTACCCGTGTTCGGCGAAAAGCGCAAGATGGCAGCGTATGTCCCAGCCTTGTCTCCAGCTATCTTGCGGACCACCATGGATAACATAGAGCAGGGGGTATTTCTGCTTTGGGTTGAAGTACGATGGCTTCACCACCCACGCATGGATCTGGCGCTGTTCGTGACCCGGAAACCATATTTGATCAATTTGTCTTTTTGAAAGGCCAAAGTTCTCTCCTCTGAGGGCTGATGGTTGCGAAATGCCAGAAACTTGAGCCGGTAAATCTTGGATGATGACTTGCCTGCTGCGATCAAAGCTGTCGCAAGACACTAGAACCTTGTTTGATTTCCCAGGTAGGAGTGTCACATCCTTGACTGAACCAAACGGTATCAGACCGTCAAATAACTTCAAGTCGGCTGGAGTCGGCGGGTTCGGCCAAGACGACAAGTCGAGCTGGTAGAGAACTTGACGTCCCTCTTGGTCGACCTGAATCAATAGGGATCCGTCAGAGACATATGAAATTGCCGACGGGCTGAGATTCCATTCTCCCGTGCCATCAGAGGACGCAAATATCTCTTTGGTTTCACCTGTCTGGAAATTCATCACCAGTACAATTCGATTCTTGTCAGCGGCGTATCCATCCTCCTTCTTGCACAAAAGTGCTACAGTCCCGCCCGAATTTACCGTGGGAGAGGAGATGGTACCTCCCAGCCCACGGTATCGCCAAGCATGGTAGTATTTATCTGTTGGAGGAGATCCAGTCCAACTAATCATGAGACACAGGTAGCATGATGAGGCTGTATGTGTGGATTGGTCAGATTCAGGGTCTTTGGCGACAAATGAAATATGGTAAGTATCTTTTAAAAAGTCCAGAGAATCGTCGTCAAACGATCCATCTAACTCGAGCTCCCTGAGCTTGAAGTATTCCATTAATTTTGTCATAGGTGTCATCGTATATTGACCCTCCGTAGCCTGTGATGGGCGCACCAGTTCTCCGAACCAAATGACATTCTTGGGGCGATGAGCACTCTGCCCAGGGAGTGTAGTTTGTGGTTGGCGGGGAATAGATGCACTAATCTTATCATCAGGATTGAAAAGTGTTCCATCTGTATTGGCTTGTCCAACAACTGCAAAAGACAGATCATCGTCACAGTCCTCCCTAAATGCAACAGATCCCACTTTGAGGTTCTGGACTGGGCCAGGAACAGTTCCCACAATGTAGTGGGTACTTCGAAGACGAGCATCCCGAACAACAAAGCGAGTGTACCCATTATGCATGGTTTCCAGCCAGATGAGCTGTTCGCTGTGGCCGAGCCATCTGGGATAATTGGCATGACGGTTATCGGTGATAGCCCAGCTTCGCGTTGAGTTTATCTCGCATACGCGGATCTGCCTGGTCACGCTGTGCGAGCGAAACGAATAATTTCGCTGTGTGTAAACCGCTAGATTCCCAGATGCATTTGGGATAGGGTGGCTGCATATTGGCGCTTCCAGTAGGGCCCTTTATAAAAATTTGCTCAGTCAGAGGTACAGGACAGCAGAGAGGAAACTTACTCGGGGGTCAAACTACAAGTATGTATGGCCATAGTGATGTCGAGTATTGCTTTGTGTGGTAGAAAGGCCTTGTTCCCATCCAAGAACGATGAGGGGACTCCTTCCCAAAAGTGATGCGTACTTTCAGGTATCAGTAAAACGAAAACAACTAAATTGAACAAGGAAGTAACGGCTGTCGATCCAGTGTATCAGAAAAGAACAAAAGAGAGATAACAAAGATAAGTTTGCTGCCCTGCCCAGGTGGTGTTGACCCCCAAATATGAATCAGGTTCATGACTAGATCAAAGACATGTTTCGATATACGCTGACCAATCAGTCTCCGCCGTGCAGGGTTATGGCTATCATCTACATTTTATAGGATTGGTGTAAGCTCTCGCGCTATCTATGTTATCTGAAATGTGGACATGCCGAGCAAAACCCTCAAAAGATATACTCGGGAAAAAGAGAGCTAGAAACCAACTTGCGCTCAAGGAAGGGTATCTACTACATCGGTACAAGGATATAATACTTCAGGTAGGGACCTCGGGATAGACTTTATACTAACAGCCACATGTAGAACACAACAAGGGTATATTGATTGATACTGACATAGTCAACTGACGATTTATTATTGTACAAGGGAGACCAGCTCCATAAGCGTGAGCAACAAGCCATCTAAAAAGCATCCAAGCACTGGGTATAACCCAGACAGAATGAGCCCTATAGAGTCGAAACAATAGTTGAAGATTCACCCTGTCAACCGCGGGTCGTCCTAAATCGCATGTGAGCAACCAAGCAGCCATAATCAATGCGCGCCAACGGGAAGTCACTCACTCTTCCTTCGAGATCTCCACAGCAGGGCCATCATGCTGCCCCGTGCCCTCCTTCCCAGCATCAGACCGAGAAGCAGCCGACCCCTCCTTGCCCTCACCCCCCTCCTCGTCCCCACTGCAACCGCAATCATAGAATTCCCCTAGATTGGTGCAGTCAAACTCAGGCTTATCAAGCATGGCATTGACCTCATTATGAACGAAGCAAGCCCAGCCAGAAGCCGCATTGCGCGATGAAACCTGAGGCGGATACTTGCTTAAATGCTGCATGAAATGCTCAGCACATTCTCCGCTGATGTCATCGACCGTTAGCTCCCAATATGGCACAGAACATCGCACCGGAACGGCAGAGAGAACGTAGGGAAGGAATCTCATTACCAAGGATATAACCGAGCAAAGAGGTAGATATAAGAGCGCAGCGCCTCCTTCTGGTCTTCCGTGGGTGTCTCGGGGAACCGCGCCATAACAGTGTGGAAGTACTTCCAAGTCGCACGACCTAATTCAGCCCTGGAAACGCCAGCAATTCCGTAATCAGCAATTTGTCCCACCACGCTCGTGTATTGCCCAATGGGTCTCTCTCAGAGCGCCTTACTTGACTGTCTCGTTGCCTAGTTTCGGCATTACCACGTCGCCCTTCAGCGTGCTATCTTGGATGGTTATCCCCGGCGCGGATGCCAATGCGGAGTGGTCGATGTGGCCTGGGGCGCGGACGGCGGGGCTCGGTGGCCCCTGCGGTCGGATGAATAGGAAGAATATGAGGCATAGTGCGATCGATGCGCTGGTGATAATGCGCCGTGTGATTTGTCGGCTCGCCATGTTCGGGGGTGGTGATGATTCGGGAAAAGCAATGTCGCCAAGCGTCCGGTCGCGGGAGCACCTGGGACGTGTGAGCAGGGAATATTCCCGGGAGGAATACGAGGCAAGAGTTTTCAGCTGAGGATTTGAGAAATGATTGCTAAAGGGAGCTTTCTAACAAGGGGAATTCACGTGTTGCCTATGTAGGTACTTGGGCCGGGCACGCCACGGCTTAGTCATGGGTTCGCCGGGCCTCCCACAGTGCGGGGCCGCGGATATAACTAGTAGCCCTAGAAGAGTTCTAAAGTGTCAATCATACGATCGATCGGTATGAGACAACACGATTTAGAGAATCAATATCCCTGCCAGGTGAGCATTGCCTTTTGCTGACCATACTATGGCTCTTCAAATCATAGACACAGCTTATCTAGACCCACATCGGATGTGTTCCGGGGTTTCACTCATGAAATGGCAGGGTTTAGCCTGGATGCAGAGAAGGCTTGACAGACCGCCAAAAAGCATTCTCAGTTATTGGGATTGAAGTCCCTAATTGGTACATTATTGTGTTTAAGTCCAAGCTTATCTACATCCCATCGTGATCTCCAACTGCAGCAACCGAATCGCTCAAGCTTGGAGGTAAGTCCTCCTTGCGTGTACCCCAGTTGCTCTCCTTGTCCCCGAGTGTCAGTTCCAGCGTCATACCCCGAGTAAAGAACTCGTGTCCAATCCAGCTCTTGGTGTAGGGCTTCCCATTGAGCTTGGCACTCTGGATATAGATCTTCTTGTAGCTTTTGTCGAAGTTGACATTCCGAATGGTAGCAGTTTGATTAGTTTCAGGGTGAGTGATTGCGACTGCCTGAAAGAATGGAGGAATAATCAGGTACACATTCTGACCGGGGTTCGGGAAGAGGCCCATCAAGCTCCATGCCAGGAATGAGCCCATGGCTCCCGAGTCGTCGTTGCCAGGTAGCCCGTTGTGCGTAGCGTTGAAAGAAGATGGGATGTAAGCGTGGGCTCGGCTGGCGGACAGACCAGGGCGTCCGGCATAATGATAATCGTACACGGTCAAGAAGACAGGTTCATTGCCCATGTCTGCTAAGCCAGAGGTGTGGAAATAGTCCAACCGAGACACGAAGGACTTCGGGCCGCCGACCATCTTGATCAACTTTGCCATGTCATGAGGGACAAAACTATATAGGATTAGCGTTGGAGGGTCAATTGGGAGAAAAGGTATACGCACAATAGGTACTCCCAGATGCTGGACTCGAATGTCTCTGAAGGGTTCGAGGTGAGAGAGCACCATGACGCCAGAGCACTGCAGGCAATAGGATCCTGATAGCCCCAAGTCCCGTTGATGTACCTTGGTTGAAAGAACCCAGTGAAGCCAGTATCTGTCCCATTTCCCAGCAGCGATTTCTGGTCTTCTTTGTACAAGTTTTGCCAGTTGCCAGACCGAGACATATAAGTGGTGTAGTCCTTTTTGCCGAGACCCTTGGCTACAACTGATAGACCGTAGTCATTGTATGCATACTCCAGCGTTCGCGAGATACTCCGTGAATTGGTTCCAAAGCCAATATAGTCGAAGTCCAGATATGGGATGTAGTTGAGGTGTTTCCAGCTCTGCAAACCCCCTCGCCCTTCATATGACCATTCGAGTGGCTCGTTCTCTGCATCGTTGACCATAGCTTTGTAGGCAAGTTCCCAGTCAATGCCCGTGAGGTTCTTCACGTAGGCATCTGCGAGAACGATATCGGCATTTGAACCTCCCTGCGTCCAGCCCTTGCAGAGACTCATGCGGCAATCTGGCAGCCATCCTTCGTGCTTGAAGGTGTCCAGTAGACTACGGACCATCCTTGACTGTGCTTTTGGGTCAAGGATTGTGAGGAACGGATGCTGCGCACGGAAAGCGTCCCACAGGCAGTAGAAAGAGTCAAAGTATGGCTCATCACTTTTCCATAGAGGATTTTCCCCAGTCAGATCTTGGGGTGAAAACATGGTTCGGTAGATACCACTCCAGAAACTGCTGATCATATCTTTGCTGGCACCACCTGGTGTGACCTTGATAGGACTGAGTTTCTCCTTCCATGCAGCCTCTGCACTTTTGCGCAGACCATCAAATGCATCTTCCGGCTCAGGCACTTCCGCTTCGGCATTTTTGCAGGCTTGATCTGAGCTGATAAAGCTGACGCCCACCCTCACAGTCACAATTCCATTCTTTGGACGGTCAAAGGCCATATAGCCTCCGGCTTGAAGGTAGAAGTTGTTGAAGCCGCGAGTGACAAACAACTCCTGTACTGATCCAGCTCGGTCATTGACCCAGATTCCGCTGTCATTGACCTCAGCATCGCCGAAATCGGCACAGAAATAGGACTTGTAAGAGCCAGCTCCGAAGCTCGGCAAGAAGGTACCATTTCCTTTGATTCGACCTTTATCAGCATCAAGGCTAATGGAAGCATTCTGTCGACTATCCCACAGATCAGTTAGATCCACCGAGATCAACGGATTAAGATCATCTCCATCCGCAGTCCGTCCCTTTGGGAAAATGAATCGGTACAATGCCGTGCGCCGCGCCGCAGTCATCTCAGCCTTAATGCCGTTCTCGAGGGTCAGGGCAAAGTAGCCAGGCTGCGCAACCACAGAGTCATTCTTGTAGTGGACTGCGCGAGCAGCTTTAGGAAACTTGCAATTATCCACGATATTGTCCTTGCAGTACTGCGGGAACAGAGGAAAATTTCCCATAGACGGGTTCCCACCTGTACCACTGTCATGCATATGCGAGAAGCCGGTGACATTGCTCCCATCAGTCGAGAAACCTCCAGTATTCTGGCCGTCGACATCAGCGACGGGTTTCGCCATCCCATAGGGGATGCTTGCGCCTGCGAAGACATTGCCGCCATTGGTTGACCCGATCAGGGGATTGACATAGCGGAGGTCATCTTGGGTTGCTCCTGTGCTCAGGGCACATTGGAGGAGTAAGAGGCTGTAGAAGGTGCTTTTTTGCAAAATCGCCATGGCGCTCCAGAATGTGAGGGTCGAACCACGCGTAATGACGCGTTGGGGTTGTGGATCTGGGCTGTGAGAAACACGATAGATGCAGAAGGCGGGAAAAAGGAGCGAGCGCCTCTCCTGCAAGGAGGGTGTTTTTCATATCACCGTGTTGTAACGTCGCATTGTTCGTGCGATCGACGGCCTAAATGGTGTTAGTGCTGGATACCAGGGAGACCTTTACGTGCGGGGTTGGTGTATTTTGAAGTTCCGCATTGTCATATGAAAAGGCAAGAAGGGAGATCCTCTCAAGGTATTGACTGGAGTTACGTTGTAGGCTGTTCGTAATTGAAATCAAGATTCGCTATAATCACAGACTCTTGCGGCTGTACCAGATTAAATTATTGGTCAAGCAACAAATGCAAAGGTAAAGTACATAACTAACTAACTACATAATACTACATGTGCCTAATTTGGCATGGATCATGTGATCCACTCTATCAAATCTTAACGGTAGCATTTACTTGTCATTATCATCACTACATCACAATATTATCTTCTCACTACTTTTTGTGAATATCCTCGACATTCCATCCCTGAAAGCATAGCCTACAATTCACCTTCTTCTCATTTCTGCCATAAACCCGGGAATCTACTGCATCCTAGTGATCGCCAGACTACACAACATACATATGGGTCTGGTTTGAGTCGAGTGGAGTACCGCCCCACCAAGCTTTCACGGATGGACACTTCAAGATGGACAAACAAAAGCCAATAACCCTGCCCGATCTCGCTCTGGAGCTGTTGCTCATGATATCCGACCACTTGTCGCCTGTCGACATTGCTTGTCTCGCCTTATGCAACCGCCGATTATTGTTTTCCTTGGGATCTGCATGCCATGACCTTCCAAAGAACCGCACTGGGGGGCCTGGCGATGGGCTGCGGATCGACTTTTTGACACGTTTTTCTCGTGACTTGCCACAATACTATCTCTGTCACGCGTGCTTACGGCTCCATCTTTGGCAAAAGGTGGCTCTACCAGGTCCCAAATTCAAAGTTCCAGCCTGTGTAGAGTCCCTAGATCAAAGCGTACATCGCCTCAAACAGCCTCTTGACGTGTTTCATTACCCAAGCTACACATATTACAAGTTCCATTTTGTTCATCTTCAACTTGCCATGCGAAGGTTTTACTACGGAGCTGAATTTGGAATCCCCGTTCAGTCGTTGCTCTATACAGAGGTGGGAACCAATCCTCTCACAAGTAAGGCGTTGAAACCCAAGAAACCGCACGACGAAGAGGAATTTCAATGTAGTCATATGACAACTCTCATATCTGTTGACGCTCGAATCTGCTTGAACCCTCCGAGCCTTTACTTACGAACGCAAGAACTTGCGGTAGTAAGGAGACAGAACCTATCATTGTTATTCCCATATCTTGAGAACGATGCTATGCACATCTGTATGCATATTAACCGTATCTCAAACTTGAATTCTGTCGTTTACGGTCTTATTAACAGATATCGCTCTAATACGACAATAAAACCCCGAGACAAAGGGCGTTGTGATAAATGCAATACCTCATGGCAAATTGAAATACGGAATATGGGACAGAAAGATGTGTGCCATGTGTTCACCCGTTGGCTTGACTTGGGACCAGGACTAAGCCCGGACGATAATCGGTGGAGGTGTCACAATGACCACGAATTCGAAGGCAACTTGGCAGAGGACGAAAAGACTGACTCCCGACAGCGGTTTGAAAACGATTCCATACAGGCCAATTGCTCAGATGTGCTCTCGGAGGAGGAAATGTATTTTGCAACATCCGATTTCTCCAAGACCAGGCATATCGAACCTTGATGACTCGGTTTGGGATAGCCGACTGGTGCTTACACGGAGAAAAAAAGCTAGATCGCTCTTCTCGCTGTGTTGTTAGTTGAGAGAACCCAATGGATACAAAGTTGGTCGTGCCTGCCGTTTGTGACCTGACTGCCTCATCGGGATGGCTCCCCCTCCCCCTCATAACAATAGGTCCCCTCTTCTGCATCTCCCTTTTCTTTCTTTCTTTCTTTCTTTCTTTCTTTCTTTCTTTCTTCTCCACTGCCATCGCTTCGTTTGTTGAGACTTCCTGTGCAATTAAACAAGCTAACGTGCTGTAAGAAGAGAAGTTATATCCCCTAATAGGAGACCGTCCGGCTCTTATTAGGGGAATCCACTCTGCTATTATAGGAGTATCCTAGGTCCCGATCATAGTCAATAACTCAACCAGGCCTATACTAAACAATTCGGATTGCACATTGGCTTGTTTAATTGAACAGGGAGTCTCAACAACGTATAGGAAAGAAAGAGCAAGTCCATACGCTCTCCCACAGACGGTCATTGGATCCAAAGCAGTTAATTTTATGGATGCCAGTGGTTGACCTGAAGAGCTTCTAGCATTTACTCATGCAGGTGATACATGGAACATCCTAGAGAGGGCCTCGGCATTCTTTAGGCATTGTTCATAATCCTGTCTCGGCAGGGTTACATCCAGCGCCCCAGCGATGAGTTTGCATTTCTACGAAAGGATTGGGCCCGCTAGACTCAAAGCCTATCGCACAAAGCGCCGGGTCCTTGGGATGTTTGGGCAATAAGATCATTCCTGGAAGCTCGACCTACAAACCATACATATGAGCGCTGCGGCATCTCCAGGGCCAATGACGTACTAATACTAGCTTAGCATAGTACACCGCTGTGTAGCTAATTGACTGGGCAGTATCGATGGCCTACAATATAAGTCATAAGGTACATCATTTAGGGCTCGGCGCTAATGCATCCTGCTTACAAGCCCCACCTGGCCGATTTGTCGATGCGAGTGCTAACAGCGCATTGAATCCTGTCTTTAGCCTAAATCATAGAATTTGCAAGTGGCATCTACCCAATTAACCATTTTTAATTCCCACACCTACATATCTACGAGTGGTACTGCACTCAACAAGTACTCTTATTGAGCATGACGTCATTGTCATTGTGCTTACGCCCCACCTATAAAATGTTCGGAGTTAAGCATTGGAATATCCGTTACTGTTGACGGTTACCAGGGAAGAATCGTACCTCAGTCCTACCCATCTTATTTACATTTCACATATGACAGAGTAGAAGATGTGTGGCCTTTAGACCTTTATTCGAGCCTGCGGAGTTAAGGCTTACAAGGAAAACAGACCCACTTGGTGATCCAGAAGGCTTAATTCCGGACATCAAATTTATGATATAAATCCAAACTCACTGCCACATCTTGTCATTTGTAAAGCAACAGAAGCTAAAAATCCCCCATTAAATTACTGAGCTCAGTCAACATGGTCAAGACACTTCCCTTCGGCGATATTCAGATCCCAACACCGGGCTTCGGTGCCATGGGTTTGAGCTTTGGTTTGGGTAGCAATTTGAGCCTCGAAGAAGCTGAACCAGTCTTGTTGAAGGCAATTGAATTGGGCTGCACATTCTGGGATACTGCTGTTGTCTACCAAGCAGGTGTGAATGAAAAGCTTTTGGGTGACTTCATCAGGAAGCACAACGTCCGCGACAAGATTTTCAGTAGGACCTCTTGCCACCACGAGACATTTATTCCAAACTAACTGTCGTCTTTGATAGTTGCCTCCAAGTGTGGTTTCAACGTCATTGGAGGGGATGGCTCCATCACCAACTCCGCCTCGCATATCAAGGAGTACATCGAAGGAACCATTGAGAGACTCGGGTTTACGCCCGATTTGTACTATCTGCACCGGATTGACCCTAGTGAGTAGAATCTTTATCTTCTCACTCACAATTTCTGATTTCAATAGATACTCCCCTCACCGAGTCCATTCCGGCTCTTGATGAAATCCGCAAGGCAGGGAAGACAAAGTATATTGGACTTTCGGAATGTTCAGCTGCCACACTACGCAAGGCAAACTCAAGTGCGTTTCTTTCCAGCCAGCTTGCGAATATTTCACTGACTGTCAGTAGTTGCCAAGATTGATGCTGTCCAAGCCGAATATTCGGCCTTTGAGACACTCCATGAGACAGACGGCTTGATCGAGACAGCAAAGGAGCTCGGCGTGGCCTACGTCGCATACAGTCCACTAGGCCATGGCTGGCTCGTCGATAACTTCGATTACAACTCCCCGGATGACTTTGCCCCTGATGATTTCCGCCGAAATTGTAGCTACCCACTCACAAGCATCCTAATCCCAGACTAGACAGAGTCGCTAACACAATCCCTTCAACAGCTCCCAAATTCCAAGGCGAGAACTTCTACAAGAACCGCGCCATTGTCGAGGAAATAAAGAAGCTCGCTGCCCGTAAGGGATGCAAGATTAGCCAAATCGCGCTTGCTTGGGTGGCCTCCCAAGGACTGATCCCCATCCCGGGAACAACTAAGGCGGCACGCTTGGAGGAGAACTGGGCATCTCGGGATATTGAATTGTCTGAGGAGGAAACGCAAGAAATGCGCAGGATTATCGATGCTGCTAAGCCACACGGCAACAGATATGGTCCCGCGCACCAGGCTATGGTTGGACATTAAGCCGAGGGAGATTTAGTTGTGCAACAAAGCCTAGCAATTTAAGTTCTCCGCTGGTCGTTGGCTCTGCTTGCCTGCCAACCAACTCATATATTCCAGTGAATGTAGAGAGAGAGAGCCCACAATTAAATTTGTTCCACATGCCATTCGCCGTATCTCGACTAACGACAGACTCTATGTAGAATATTGTACAAACTAACAGACTGGTTGTTACAGGTTTCTTACAAGGAATATCAAACGGGAATTCCAACAGGATTGTGGGAGCAGTAGACTCCACATGGTGGAAAGGGATGTCAACATCATTCGCAATGGAGGGCATCATCGATGGGTATATTTCGGGAAATTAGTGGATAAACCAGATTCAAGATCAGATTAGATGAAATCGGGTGATGGATTTGATTGATTAATCTGAATTCCGGTAGCCCAGAATGATTGTTGGATCGGCCAAGAGTTTTGTCCATTATAGCTGATATAAAGTTTTCGTTCTGAGTCGCGAGTGTGGTCGCACGCGATCGTTGGAGGGAGTCAACGGCTGAGTGAGTGCGCCGTTGGAATCTCACAGAAAGGAAATACTAGTACGGAGTAGTACTCCATACGTACTACGAAGCGCCTGGAGCGCTTGGAGAAAACACGATCCAGCCCCACCGGGTGTTGGACCACCCGGTTGCTAGTCCGAGCATCCCGCAGGCAGACCCTGCCTAGAGAGGCTTGGCTTTGGAAAACCTAGAGGGACACTATGAAGCTCGGGCTAACAGCGTCATAGATTCTGGTTTGGCATATCTGATCGAAATCAGATAAATCAAATCAGATAAGAGGGTGTTAAAGTTAAAATGCGCCATGGACCGCGGAGCTGAAGGCGATTTTTGTTCCACAACACTCAACAATTGAGTTGATATGGTGACCTCGGAGGCTTTGAGGTCAATAATTACTTGTACATTTGGGTAGTATTTGGGAACTGGAAAAGATCTTGATCTTTTCTTCTGTATTTCTAAGTTTTTCACCTGCGAAACTTGCACTGTTCATCGCGTGGACACGCAAGGGATGGGCGGATAGCTTTTCCCGCTAGAGGGTAGTAAAGGGAGTAAGAAAACAATAAGACAGATGATGGCATGACTCGAATACAACAAACTTCGTGATTTCCGCCCAGCCCCTTAAGTTGTAGAGGTGGTTGCCGCAAACGGGTTGCCGCATCAAGCAGGTACCTAGGTACATAGGTGAGAGCTGTGACCCTGGAAACTTTGGTGGGAAGAGGCACGCTAGTCCAAAATAGGAGGGAAATGTCCATTTCGACCAATCAGAGGCGAGCCCCCACACTGTCCAGAGGCGAATGGGCGATGATCGCCCGCCACGGCAACCCCTGATTGGGTCAATTATCAGATTGACCCGGCCACCCCGAGATTTATCTGATTCTCGTCACATCGGAGCCTCCGTTCGAGAGCGAGGAAAAGAAAAAAAATTGGAGACCGGACCGACTCGGAATTCCTGATCTGGAAGCTCCCGGGTCTTTGTCCTTCCAGATTATAGTAAAAAGAACCCCCCCCCCCAGCGTTGTAGATCTCTTCTCTACTTTCCATTCTCCCATTGTGCCCAACACTCAATTCTTGTCTATCCTCACACAGCCTCCCCGGAAACAACTGAGGATCTGGCATCCGGTTTGAGCTTCCTGTGATCGGACAAAGGGGACATACAGGAATGGGTCTCCCTGCGACCTTCCAAGGTCGCGATGACGGCAAAATCATCGACCGGACGATAGTCGGGGAGGAATCACATAGCTCGCAAAATGAGAAATCGGAGGCACGCGAGGCCAACGCCGACAGACCATCATATGATCCCGAATCACCCCCCAGTTCGGACGGCTCTCATGGCGACATGTTCGACGACGAGAAAGAATTGGCACAGCACCCTGACAGTATCACAGAAGGTGCTCAGTTGGGCCAGCAGAAGGCGGAAGCAGCAGCGCTCGCGTGGAGCTGGCCAGCTTTGGTTGGAATATATGCTTGGTAAGTAGATCGCGGCTTATTCGTTCACGCGCTCTTGCGTTGACACCCATTTTCTGACAATGATTGAACTTGCAGGATCTGGATCTGCACATTTATGTTAGCATTTCACTCGAATATAAGCGGCTTCCTGATCAACTACATCCAGGGAGGGTTCAAGACCGCACCGCAGGTCTCAACTTCCTATATTCTGGCGAATATTGTGGGCGGCGTTCTTAAACTGCCGCTTGGTAAGACCTTGAACTTGTGGGGTCGTGCTGAGGCCCTGGTGGTCTCGACTAGCATTTACCTTCTTGGTATGATCATTCTCACCGCATGTGATGGTCCCAATGGATATGCGGCGGGTTATGTGCTGTACTGGATTGGGTACTACTGCCTATACCTGATCTTGAATGTTTTCGTCGCCGATACCTCGGGTCTAAGAAACCGAGCGTTCGCGTTTGGCTTTATGCAGACCCCGTTCATCTGTACTGCATTCACAGGGAGTCTTGCAGCAAACTCGATATATCATAAGTTTGGGTGGCGCTGGGGTTATGGCATCTTTTGCATTGTGATGCCGTTTGTGTTCTTGCCCCTCGCCATGGCTTTCAAATACTTCGAGAAGAAGGCAGAGAAAAAAGGCATCTTCCGACGACAGCCCAGTGGTCGCACCGTTGGGCAGTCTATCATCCACTATATTCATGAATTTGATGGTAAGAATACCCAAAACAACGCCCAGGATATTGACACTAACGTTTTATTACTAGTTATTGGCGCTTTCTTGCTCATGATTGGTTGGGTGTTGTTCCTCCTCCCATTCAGTTTGGCACAATATGGCCGCTCTACGTATGCAAGCGCAAGATTTATTGCTCTCCTCGTCCTCGGAGTCATCATGTTGTGCATCTTTGCAGCATGGGAGAGATGGGGTGCACGAACCCACTTCATCCGCTACGAGTTGATCAAGCGGCCGACCATTCTAGGCGCATGCATACTGGCCGCCGTGCTATTTTTCAGCTTCGAACTCTGGGATCAGTACTTCTACAACTACATCCTGATCTCCTACGATATTTCCCCAGTCCATGCAAATTACATGATCCAGATTTACAACGTCGGCTCTTGTTTCTTTTCTCCCATCATCGGAGCCGTCATCTGGGCCACTGCGCGCTTCAAATACATCTGCCTCTTCTTCGGAGCCCCGCTCATGATCCTCGGGTCCGGACTGATGATCTACTTCCGTGGTGCTGACCACGGCATTGGCTACGTTGTCATGTGTCAGATCTTCATTGCCTTCGCCGGCGGCACCCTCGTCATTGGTGAAGATATGGCCGTTATGGCGGCAGGTGGCCGCGAGGGGACTCCGATGATGCTGGCCCTCATCGGATTGTTCTCGAACATCGGCGGTGCGATTGGCCTCGCTGTTGGCGCCGCTATCTACAACAATGTCTTTGTCAATACCCTCACGACACAATTGCCGGATGACTTGAAGGCCAATGCCACTCAGATCTATTTGGGTGGTATCGCTGTGCAGTCAACCTACCCATGGGGAACCCCTCTTCGCGAAGCTGTCGCGTATACGTGGGGCTATGCTCAGCGCCTGAACTGCATTGCTTCTACTGCCATCTTGGCTTTGACAATTCCTTGCATTCTGGTCTGGAAGAACTACGATGTCAACCTGAAGCAAAATAAGGGTAAAATGATCTTCTAGAAAGGCTTTCCGTTGCACAGTATACTCGGTTATGACACACGGGTTGGAAAGTTATGATCAGGCTTCGCGTCTTTTTGCGTGTGTTGCATTCTCTGCCGTTCAGAGAAAGGGCCACTACTTTCAATGTACATTCATTGTAATTATTTCGTTCAGCGTGGATGATATAAATATCTATATTGCATTGTGCTCCCACGAAGGTGGCTGTTCATTCTTGCAATTATTAGAATCAAATGACTTATATTCCTTTATTTTGCCTGTCTCCATGGCACAGCTAGAGATATTTCAGCCACCTAAATTCCAAAGTCAACTTTCCTTATATTTCTGGAATTAATTACGAAAACGAGGCGACGGCAAGAAGACCGTGGTGGGGCTGGCCTTGACCTGCGATTGGTGCAAGACTCATACATCCAAATGTCGACTTCGATTCCACCTTCTTTTCATTTTAACCATTGACCTCACCCTTGGCGTGAGATATCAAATTCCCTTTACCATGCCCCCATCTGCAGCGATGAATCTGCGCAATTCCCTTGGCGATCGGAAGATCCCCGATATTTCGCGTAAGATCACGGCATGTGTCTTGTGTCGCAAACTCAAGGCGAGGAGAGGAGCACACGAGTTCCAAAGGGAGAATCACGCACTAATACCATAGCAGATAAAATGCCCGGCTCGGCTCGCTTCGGCCTAATACAGTTGAGTCAATTTATGCATTAGCCCTGGGGCGGATAAACAGAATCGGTGTTTACTCTGTATTTCTTGGCTTATGAACATTTCAATAATTTCTCCGAGCATTTGAAATGTTCATAACGCCAAGCAATTCTCGTGAATGCGACGTACTTCATTTACCAATACTTTGTAGGCCGACTACAGAAAGGCTCTGAAGTGTTTGTGAGTAATTTTAGCTATTACTTTTTCTATATGTTCCATACCGGGTTCTTTTAAAATGATGTGTATGGACAATAGATAGATACATAGTAAGACACTGCTGACAGAACGAAGCGAGCCGAGCAGGGCATCTGATTCTTAGCTGAATATGTTTATTAGAATTGAAAAGGAAAAAGCCGATTCAGTATCCCCCGTGTCGAATCCGAGAAACAAGACCAATCACGACGCGTAACCGGACTAACATAAGATTTTAGGTTCATTACATACTTTGTAGTTGCAGGGCCAAGAAATCGAGTCATGAAGCTTTTCTTTCCGGTGCACAACTTTTATGCTCGCCATTACAGCCTTAGAAGTGGAATCCGGTGGAGCAATTTTTATTTTGCGGGGAATAAAGCTTGGAAGAGCTCCCTACCTCTCTCTCCACGTTGCTAAATGCCAGTCCATATTCGAAATGGGGTTCTGATTCAGAATTCCCCAAATACTTGGTTATGAATTCGCTGCTATGAGATTGTGTGTCGAATCTCGGTTTATGAGATTAATTTATAAGCAATGCACAATGCACAGTTTGAGCTCAGGCTTTCTTTTCGGTCCAATTAACTATCCGACCATTAGCGACTAGATATCTTCGGCCAAGTTAATGAGTTTACCCGGGCATTAGGGGCCAGTTGCAAGATGTACCCCACTGTAATGCAAGATGTGGAATTTATGCCCGCGGGTGTCCAAAGGCCATTCCGAAGCTGATGCTTGTTTATAACAGGTAGGTTCCCGTTAGAGTTTATTGCGCTGCTTTCTTCTCCTTCGTTTTTAATTCTGCTTACTGGAAGAATCGTCCACATTACTGCCCCTCGTGTGGCCTCGATTTCAACCTATATTGATCCTCAAAGGAGACCAAATAGAACCGCCAAGAATTTGAGACCGGAAAGTGCTGTTTGATATTTTTTTATCTTGGCGACAGCGACACATCTCCCAAAATGAAGGACGGCGAGGGTAAGGGTAAGGGTTGCTCTATTTCTCTAGTTATCTATCTGAAAATGATCTCCACCACATAACATCAGCAAAGAGAGCAATATCTAACAGACTCATGCAGAAACCCCTTCCTTCGACGGATCGACACTAAGCGCGAGCAACCGAGAAAAACTAGGAACAGATCTCGAAAACGGCCCCGTCGAGCTGAGCGACACAGCCAAGGAGGAGAAAGTGAAAGACCCGAACATCGTCGATTGGGATGGACCAGACGATCCCGAAAATCCTCTCAACTGGACCTCGAAAAAGAAGATCACAGCGACATGTTCTATTGCGCTGATCACATTTCTGACGTACGAACGGTCCTCTCCTATATCATTCGGTTGATCAAAGCTAACTACTAAAAACCAACAGCCCTCTGGGATCATCTATGTTCGCCCCCGGTGTAGGTCAACTAGTCAAAGACTTCAATGTCACCAGCATTGAACTGTCATCATTTGTGGTATCTGTATACCTGCTGGGATACTGTTTCGGTCCCCTGCTCATCGCACCGCTATCGGAGTTGTACGGTCGACAGTACGTCTACCATGTATGCAATATCCTCTATGTGATTTGGACCATTGCCTGCGCCTTTGCACCCGAGATAGGCAGTCTTGTTGTCTTCCGATTCTTCGCTGGCTTTGCCGGTAGCTGTCCGCTGACTATTGGGGCCGGGTCGATTGCGGATATGTTTGTACAAGAGCAGAGAGGCGGTGCGATGGCAGCTTGGGCTCTTGGTCCGTTGATTGGGCCTGTTGTTGGTCCGGTTGGTATGCTTATTTACCCCATGTTTTCTTTAGTTGATGGCTCGATTGCTAACTTTATATAGCTGGTGCGTTTCTGGCACAGGCAAAGGGTTGGCGATGGAGCTTCTATGTGCTGGCCATGGCTGTAAGTAGGGACTGTGACACCCAGTGCAGAACACATACTAATAGATCCGGATAGGCGGGTGTTATTGCCATCAGCTCGATTTTCACCATTCGTGAATCCTACGCCCCGACTATCCTAGCTCGGAAGACCAAGAAGCTCCAGAAAGAAACCGGGAATATGAACTTGCGCTCTGCACTCGACACAGGCCGTACACCAAAGGAACTGTTCCTATACTCCATTGTGCGACCTACGAAGATGCTCTTCCGCTCCCCGATCGTATTCCTCCTTTCGCTTTACGTCGGCGTGATCTACGGATACCTATACTTGTTGTTTACAACCATCACCTCCGTATTTCGAGAGCAGTACAATTTCTCCCAAGGAACAGTCGGACTCGCCTATCTTGGTTTAGGCGTTGGATCTTTAGTCGGTCTGTTCATTCTAGGAGCAACATCCGACAGACTACTCAATTACCTAGCTGCCAAGCATGGCGAGAAAAAGCCCGAGTATCGTCTCCCGCCTATGATCCCCGGAGCCATTTTCGTTCCCATCTCGCTGTTCATGTATGGGTGGACTGCCTATTACCAAACTCACTGGATTGTGCCTATTATCGGCACTTCTTTCCTTGGTGTTGGCATGATGATGACCTTCGTAAGTTACCTTCCTCCTATTCGTGGACTTTGCTTCGCTGTGAATTGACTGACTGACACTTGAACTTCCTGTTTAGATGTGTGTGAGCACATACTTGGTAGATGCATTCACGGAATACGCCGCTTCCGTCATGGCGGCCAACACGGTGTTCCGTTCACTGGCCGGTGCCATGCTTCCACTTGCCGGCCCGAAGATGTATGAGGTTCTTGGGCTTGGATGGGGTAACTCCCTACTTGGGTTCATTGCTCTCGCCTTTTGCGCATTGCCAGTCGTCTTTTGGATTTATGGCGAACGCATACGGACGAGTCCAAAATTCCAGGTGTCTTTCTGATCGGGTGGCTGTACTCGCTTCGACCACTGTTTGGTTATTGCGTCTGTTTTTGCTTGTGTGCATTATAATTCGGACTTACAGACGCGGCAGATATATATATGGTTCGAGGGCATGGGTTGGTGCCATGGGGTTTAAAAACAATAGAAAAACTGTGAACTGGATGGTAGCTGCTGTTATCAACAAGAACGTTAATTTTAGCTCCCGAGATACTGCAAGGCGATTGTGCATACAACGCATGGATGTTGGTGTAACGCGCAGTCAGAAGAGGTTGATTCGCCGCATGCTGCACAAAGACTTAATCCCGCCTGATACGGGAGCAATTATAGCTTATCACGACAACCAGGGTTTGAGGTTGCCTAGTTGAAACATTGAAAGTAGTAACCCATCCATTAGCCCCTGGGGCCTCCTAGAGGGACGAAAAACATCAAACTCACATACATCTCAAATGCAATGTCTCTAATACCAACTTGTACAGTAGAACTTAAGGGTTTATATATCGCCAGGCAAACACTGAAGTTCACCTGGCATTACGCTTTGTTGAATGTATTCGCGCTTCTAGCAAATACAACCCAATCCGATCTACATAGGTACCGTCCACCACAACCTTATACGCCGAGACTCTGTATCCGCCCCGGCCCGGCCCTGGGTGGCACAATGCTACCGACTCTGTCGCTAATTTATACCGCTACATTCCTTAAGGAATGAGGTTTTTGAGCTCGTGGGCGACTGACACAAACAGGGCTTTTTATCTGAACCACATCGTTTCAACTCACTCCCTTTCCTCGAGACTTGCTGTGGCACGGTTGCTTTGAGGTTTCGAGATTTGGCTACTAAGTGATCGATTTAAATTTGAGTCTCTTATTCGCCTTGTTATAATGGGATCGCTTGTTAGGTCAACTCCAGGCACAGAGCTCTGGTCGACTATGCCCACCCCGAATGCGCTATCGGGATGGATTCTTGAACTCTAGTCCAGTGAGTGAGAGCATTTGACTGAGACTCGAGCAGGAAGATTGCGGCCTCCTCAAGGCATCCTATCTGTTCTTGAGTAAGAACAACGTTTCAACAGTATCTTTGGCCTAGTAAGTGAGGCTCTGGGTCCGTGATTGCTTCTTGAATCTGACGAGTAAGACCAACATGAGCGAGTGCTTCTTGGTGGCCCATGTTATCGTATTGTCGTAGGTTAAGAGAAGCCAGATGCCTGGAGACATACGCCTTTAGGTCGTCGGGATTTTGGGTTGGACTTGGGCGGTTGCAATATCGGTCATAGACTAACCTAACCTGGCAACATCTGGTTTAAACCTAATATACTCAAGCACCTCGATACTTTCTTCTGCCATTATGATGTCGAAGGTTTGGATAACATGGGGCTGGAAACCACGGGTGGTAATGGACGCAGAAGACGGCGACGAGGTAGATGAATTTGAGACAGACCTGGGTGCACTAAATGCAGCTGAAACCTTTCTCTTCCCACCGGTATTTGTCGAATGAGACGGGACGAGATGGGATGGGATGGGATGGGATGGGATGGGATGGGATGGATGAGATGGGATGGATAAGATGGATGGAATGGATGGAATGGATGGAATGGATGGAATGGATGAGATGGATGGAGGTGGATGGAGTGGATGGAGTGGATGGAGTGGATGGAGTGGATGGAATGGATGAGATAGGTCACTTCTAAAAAGTCCACCCAATCGGATAATTCGCCCCTTAGCCACTAGACCGACCGCAGGGGGGATGCGGGCCTGGTGGAAATACTGCCCAGGTACTCTGCTGAGGCGGTGATAGGCCTCGCGGCCTTTGTAGCCCTAATAAGCGCCCTTTTGGACCAATGGTAGAATTAGCAAACGATGAAGTGGACGCGTATTGGTTCACGGTAAGGTTACGGTGCCACATCCATTAGATTACGGTTGGTTGTAGTAATGTAGGCTAATAAAGGTAGCAAGAAAAGTACTGTAGTGATTTTGAAGGCCCTCGAGCATTTGGATAAATAGCCCATTTCCTCAGCATAAGAATAAGTTCTAACACAGGCATTTTGACTATCCTCCAATATCTCAATTTTATTCCTATCCACTTTTGCCTTGCTATAGTATTCCACGATGGCATGGCCTCCGCGCAACAACCACATGGGCTACTTGAGCCTACCCCAGCAATATGAGTCCAGCAACAAAGATCATACGTTTGACGAGGGCACATCTGCTACTGAAACACCTATTGCTACGGCCACAGCGCCATTATCCACGGAGGACATCTTGTGCGATCCTCTTGTGCAGCATGCTTCAACGTTGTTTGACCCTAACTTCACCTTACCTCCCACCATTGGTCCTCTCATTCCGGAATATATGGACCATGGCACTATGCAGGGCCTCTTAGCCAAGTGGAATAGTACCAACAAAGACCAGGCTGCAGACTACCACTGTCTAGTCGAGAACACTGTTAGGGTCCCGTCTTCGGGCTCTACATCCTCTATGCATCAGCCCACTACATCCAACGCCAACGACATTCGGGCTACACGGGGAAAGCTAACTCATGGTCGTCAAGCTAACAAACAAGAGTAAGACATGTACCCTCACATTCAAAACTAGCATTAACAAGATATTTGTCAGGGATCGCCAGGGCTCTTTTGAATGTCACTGGATAGACTGCAACCACCGCGGGGCATTCAGTGGCGAAAGTGTGCTGATGCGTCATATTAGAACCCAGCATGTCAATCCGCGCTCCATCGACTGCCCTAGTTGTGGCAAGTCCTTCAACCGGAAGGACAACATGATGGAGCATCTCGGAAGGGTTCACCGGGAATATATCTGAGATTCGAGCTGGAGGCGTTGAGATTCCGATGCTTGGTCTAGGACATATGTTTCATATGTGACCATTCAATGTTCTTTTGGGTTTGGAGGGATCGGAAGGATTTGGGCGTTACGCAGGATAGTTATCTCGATGGACTAAATGTTAGCAAATTGTTGTCTCTGGCGGGGTCTATCAGTACCAAGCTCATACATATATAGTTTGAGAAAGAATACTTGCTGTCACCTCCAAGCTTAGACAGTCGGTGCCCGACAGAAATTTATTTTCAAGGCGAGAAAGGCCAAATATAGAAGGCGAAGACAATTCGATGTCAGCACTGCGTGGCTGATATCCAACAAACATATCCCTTGATGTTGTTTCTGTCCTCCACGGCACTATCTTCCATTGATGCCGAGTTGATATCACGCGCCAGCTCTGCCTAGGGTCTTAGCACCACAACCACTAAGGCGACAACCACAATGATGGTAAAGCCCACTCCAATGCCAATAGCACACTGCATGTTTGGGGATAGCCTCTTGTGGTATACATTTGAGATATAATTCGAGATATATGTATAGAAGGGAAAAGGGAAAGAAAACAACGGATTGAGCTTGGCTGCTAAGAGAGAGAGAGAGGAAGGAAGATCAATCCATACAGGGAGTAGAGGTCCTATCCGCCTTAAGCAGAAAGGCTACCTCGCCAATATTCAATATTGACGGCTACGTACTTGATTGCGGCGATTTGCTGCATGAAGAGGAAGTTGGATATGGAGTTATGGCGGGGAGTGGCGTAAGGAGACCTCGGACCACTGTGCGAATGTTTATTTGAGCCTGCGTTGCTTAGTGAAGGCTGGGTGCGTAGAACGGGCGATTATTCCGCTGGTGGATCAAAGATTCCGTGCAAGGGTGGAGGTATTGGTCCGCTGGAGCGAGACTCGCATCTTGGCACTGTAGAGGAGTAGTTGGGGTAATATGGCGATGACGATGACGACAACAACAAGGAAGGCGACATTGAATGCGCCAGATAGCGGCAAGACCCTACATAATCCGGCGTTCCCGTCATGGACAGACGAGCAGCAGGAGTTTCAGAGTTTCTATGGACTGAACATGCAGTTGGCAGGCGTGGTTACTACCTAACTAATCTCACATCATTATGCACTGTCTCGGCATATATTCTTTATATTCTTCTGATGATGCCATGCTTTCAAAAACTGCGAAGACAAGTTAGCCAAAAGACAAGGCCCCAGTAAGCGTTACAAGAATTCGATCGTAACAGAGCTCAAGTCAACTCACATTCCCTTTTAGCTTGCTTACTCTCGGCCGTGTCGTGCCACAGCCTCAACAACCATGTAGCGACCAATGCATCCCTCAACTCCTGCGACATACTCATCGTAACGGATAATTTGTATCTGTCATCCTCTTTTTCTTCAACAGCCACCTGTCCGCCATTGGGATCGCTCCACTTGTAGCAATTGCGACCGGCTTTCCAATTTGGTTGGATATCAAACAATAGGTGCTGTTGTGTGCCCTCTTCGAATAATGGCTTATCCGAGGCGGTCTTTTTCGCGCTCAACATCGCCTTAAAGGACTTCTTTTGGAACCGGGCCTCAGAAGTCTCGAGGCGGATATTGCCCACCATCTCGGGTACTGCAGAAGTGATGTAGTACTTAGCAGGTATGTCGGTCCGGTATTGCGCATTCACAGGGTGTGCAAGGTAGAAAAGATGTTGCTTCCGCGGTGCGGTAGTACTGGCGCCCTCGGTCTCGATCTCGGGCTCAGGTACTGCGTGCTCGACTCTTTCGAATGCCACGGATGAGTCTTTGTTCGAGATTGACTTGATGTCACTGTTTAATTGATAAAGTGGGGTTGATGTTGCAGACTCAACGAGGACATATTGACCTGACAAAAAGAGGACGGCGGGTTCAAGCATGTCCTTTGGGGGCTTTCCGCCTGTCTTCTCGTGCGATTCAGAGTCAGAATCCATTGTCTTGGGCATTAACTAGAGGGGAGTAGTAGTATGGTTTGAGGCTGTAGTAGATAGAGTATACCGGTGCACAAATAGACCGCCCAAGGTCGGGACCAAGGTTACATGGGTTGCCAACCCGTGGACGTGAGCCCGGGCAATAACGTTACATAATCAGCCCTTTGGGGCCGGGGCCCGCGTCCCGCGTGGGCGTACCTCTCCCGCGCCCCACTGGTTTCAGGCTCACCTGCCTTAACAGTCCATGGGTGTGAAAGGTACGGAGTGAATGCAGTAATTATATGAGGCATTTTCTTCTCTTTCCTGTGACGATCATAGAGATGGATGTGCCAAGTTTGGGGGCGGGTGTATTGCAGGCCACGAAGAGCCAAGTTTTGGGGGCGAGAGGTGGAGTGCAAGCCACCAAAAGCCACTAAAGCCAAGTTAAGGCAAAGATAAACCTGGGAAGATAATCTAAAGTGATGAGCCCCAAGATCTGCATAAGCGCCAAGCCCGGATATATTTACATCATACATTCAGTACGAAATCTCAGCTTTGAGTGATGCTGCCCAGATGTTCAACGGGTGTGGCCATGGGGCCCGGGCCCTCGCCAAATCAAGGTTCCTCCCCGGGGCCGCCATCGTAGTATCCGATGCTTTGACAGGGGATACACGACCCCCGACCCTGAAGAATTGGATTGATATTGCGTTAAAGTAATTAAAAATGCCCAACAGCACCCGTTACCTCATACGTACTGATGACACATCTTGTAAATTTGGAAGAGCCGGAGCTGTTGCAGCCGGCTTCAACATTTTCCTTGATATGCACGTCAAAATACACACAGTCATGCGATCTGCTTTGAACGGGATACTCACCGTAGCGCAGGTCATCGCCACCTGCTTCATGGCTTGGAAGGCCCTTTCGCTTTGGGCTGGTACGCCTTACCCGGTGATGATAGTCACTACCGAGTCTATGGTTCCTGCATTCTTCCCAGGAGACATCCTATTCATCTCAAATCACCATCGAAATGCCGAGATAGGCGATCTGCCGGTCTGCTGGCTACCTGATAGCGCATTCCCAATGATTCATAGGGTGCTTCGGGTGTTGTACGAAGAACAAAACAATGCAGATTCAACGTAAGCACCATGCGAGTCGTTGTCTTTTTACAGTACGCTAATTTTGAACATACTATAGTCAGCTCATCTTGACAAAGGGGGACAATAACCTCATTGATGATACGTTAATGTATCCTGAGGGCCAGGATTACTTGCCCCGGAGCCAGATTCTCGGGTTCGTGAGAGGTTACATACCCTTTATGGGATGGTTTGTAATCGGTCTACAAGATTTCAGATGGCTTCGTGAGGTTGTTTCCATGTTATGCCGGGGCATTGGTTTGTCCCATTGATTCAAGAAAAAACCTGCCAGCGAATATATACAAGATTGCAGCCTCACCACCGGACTCATCGTACTGGGTTTAATAAAACATGGTAGACCTTAGGATATATCCACATTGGAGATACGCAGAAAAAGAACACGAAAACCCATGCCATGCCCGCAACCGTTCGCACTGTCCCCGACAGCCGTGAAAAGATCCTCCTCGGGATTTTCATCTTCGATATTGCAGTCTCCGCCGCGGCAGCAAGGAAACACATATCAAAGAACAGCACGTCTCGGAACAGTGCCGCGTCCCCCAATGACCATCCAACCAATGCGTGTGAGAAACCAGATATTGTGAATATGAGTAACGCGGTTATTGTTTTTTCCAAGCTTGAACCCGGCCGCACTCCCAAAAATTGACGAGAAACAACTCGAGAATAATACACATATGTAGGTATCGTCAATTTATGCCAGAATTGACCCCAAAAGCCTCGCACGCTGTACGCTTCCATTGGGCTCCCGAAGAGAGCGGGCCAATCTTCAGGATCATCGAATCGCAGGATGGCCACGAACACAATGGCCAGAAGAGAATGATAAAATTCCAGAAAGAAATAAGCACGCCAAATCCATTGGACTGACATAATGGCACGAACTTGGAATTGATGGGATGATAGAGGGAAGCCTACTTCCATTTCGGGCGAGAAGTCGGCTACAACTACTTGCCCAAGCGCATGGATGAAGACTTTCTGAAAGGCAAAGTGCTCGAACGCCCACAAAGCCGCTGCTTTCGTTGATTGACTGAAGGTGAAAAGTGCTCGAGACATAGAATCGCTTGGCGCCTCTTTTGCGTGGAGCAAAAGCCGGAGTGGGAGCTTTCGAGGATTGTTCCATATCCTATAACAGTCGACAAAGCTCCAGTCATGTGTGCTAAGCTCCGGACTAACAGCATGCTGATCAATAGCGAGTAACTTTGTCGAGTAAAGTAGATAGAAGACTAGCAAGCTTGCAAAAGTGCTATCAGCCCCAATCATCCAAGACAGCCTATGGCACGAGGCCAATGACAATAGAGTAAACAGCCAGACTGGGCCCAGGAGCAGAAGACGAGTTTGCCGGCATCTTTTGAGACCGGTAATGTTGAGCACGCTCGCTATCAGATAGTAGAACAAGGGTGAAAGTGACTCGAGATCCATGGCCTGCTAAGTGTTTGAAGTTTGACTGAAAAAGAAAATGTGAAAATGGCAGGTATCAAGATCGAAATGATAATAATAGATTTATTCTTAGGCTCTCTAAGACTTGTGTAAACCCCGAAAGGCCCCCCGAGATACTGTGGGTTGTGTATTCTCCACTATCATTGCAGAATTCCATTTTGCTCATTCTGAACTAGGGAAAGATTTCCCTCCATCTTCCTCAACGGCAAGGACAACGTCAAACAAAGGTATGCCCTAATCCACCTATGTGACTACTCGGACCGCACATTCTTTAGTACCGTTCTATATATTAATAGCAATGATAAATCTATTTGTCAATTTATCAATCCATCAATCTGTTAGTGGTCCCTATCCTCCTGGTCAAGCTTACGAGACAATAAATTGTCAAAGCCCCCAGCGCCTGCGCTACTATTGGGGGCCAAACCCACGGCCATCTTGATGATACTGTTCCCTATGCATGTATTACAGTATTGCTATGGATCAATTGTTCGTCTTCTAGCTTCCTAAGTCGCTCCTCCTGCATAGAGCCCCTTAAGACCCGCTTTCGTCGGCGAGAGTGTGGGTCGGTAATCTATATATGTTTGGCCCCTTCGTGATCATTATATGCACGCCCTGAAGGAGAGCTGTGTTGGATCATGCTGCAATTCTGCCTTGAGGAGTTAGTTACATCGGGCAACCTGTACACCCACGCTAGCAACGTACGAGCCCCATTTTTCCCGTCTAGATCTTCTGATAATCCCCCAATACAATATCCTCAGGGTCATTGTTGGGTCTCTAGTAAGCACTATTTCAAACCATGGCCTTGATTTTGTCAGACCATGCGTCAGATTCCATTTATTCATGGATATTAACTTTGACGCTATCTGCTTTGGAGTATAGTTGGGTTATGAGCATTCACTGATCATGGAAGGTAATGCGAATATCATTTGTCCTGGGTAGCTTTGAATAGGTATAAAACACCCATCTACCTTCTCCTCTACCTCATTCTTCTTCTCCTCCTCAGCACAACAAAGCCTCTCAACGAACTTCCAATCGAAAATCTCAAATTCTTCCATTCAAGATGATCTCTCCCATTTCCCTCAAGGCTGTCGGTGGTGCCGCTGCCGTGTACTTGCTCGGTCAGCAGGTTCAGTGCCCGTTCATTGCCATTCCTCTCATCGGCGATGCCATTGCCATGACCGTCGCCCAAGTTGGCTCGGCTGCAGCTAGCTTCGGTGGGGCCATTGTCGGCGCCCACTTCGCCAAAGCTAGAAGTCTCGAGGGTCGTGACACCAAGATTACCGCTCCCCCTGGCGTGCCTCAGTACAACTTCGACATGTGCGCTGAGAGCTTGTCCGACCCCTCTGTCACTGTTACCGTTAACGGTCCTGTTGAGAACAATGGTAAGCAGATAACTATACACTCAAATCTTAATCAAGCTAACCCCTCTCAGGTGTCCAAATTGACGGCCTGCCTTCTACCTGCATGGTTCTTTCTACCGTTTTTGACGGTGATGCTGCCGGTGGTCCCGTTCCCACTCCCTGTGGATCTGCTTGCCTTCTGTACAACAACTTGAACGAAGACCAGTATGGCCAAATGCAGGCCATCTTCGAGAAGCTGAAGAACCTTTAGAGATCGAGGTACTTTCTGTCGACGGTATGCTCGTCAAACCAGGAGGTTAGGAGGTTTGCCTTGGTGTTGTGTTGTTGATAAGTTTACTGGAGGAGGTTGAGGCCGGGAAGCCGAGTAAACTTTACACTGGTCGTACATAGAACACTTCACAGAATCATTCATGCACTTGGGACACTCCTTCAATATAGTTATTACTGTATTCATGCTTATCAGACTGAATATATTCCTTTGCATCTGACAACTTTTTTTTCCAAAACAAGCCCAGGTGATGTTCACATCTTCGATTAGTCCTAATGAAGCTTATATTCCCATTAATGTGTTATGGAAGAATACCATACAAATCCCAAATATTCCAGTGACTGTTGGATTAGTCCCCGGATTGTCTGAGCAAAACTGAATAATGGGTCACATATTCATTATGAAGGGAAAATCTCTTGGATTACAATAGATAAGTAAATAGCCCCCAACTTCTCTCAGCAATAAGCGGCTCACTTCTCCTGGCTATTGTTATACACCATAAGTTGAATTTAAGAAAGAGGGGGATTCGATACTGTCCATCGCAGTATCCACAAGGCTCAAGTAGGAGTAGAAAGAAATATAATTATGGGTAGGATGCCCATGATTGCAATATTTAGAGAGGCTGTGTTGAAGTTGAATTGTGAATGCAAAGGGGTAAATATATATATCCAAGTAACAATGATTGATCGCAAAGTGCTAACTAGGAACATGAATGAGTGTCTTTATATTTCGTTTGTGGATATCTTCCCGCTCTGTCCTTTGGTATAGCATAGCATAGCTTGACATTGTAGTATAGTATATGGTCATGGGACTGATTTAATGGCTAGCCTTAGCGATGGAAATGGCAGTTGCACCGGGGCAGATATTATCCTGTGCGTACAGTTACATAAAACATTTGCTGTTACTTTCCCGAAGTCTTCTTTCCCATGTCAACGACCAGCTTGCTCGTTTTCCCCTTTACATGCAGTGTATAGAGCCTGATTGCAGTAACGATTACCATAAGAGTCCAGCGCCTTCCCAACGCGCTCGACTGACCGTCCACCACCTCAAGCGTGAACGCGTGTGTCAGACTGGGCCAGGCCATAACCCACCCGAGAAATGCGACAGTCTCACCATCCTGCCCTGCTAATGGAGGCGAGGACGAAGACGAATTTTGGACACTGCTGCTGCCGCTTGGCTGGGATGGTTGTTGGCTAGACGAGAGCCGAACCAACTTGAACCCATTTCTCTTAGCTTGGTCCTCGCCTTTCTTGACTTTCCTCCATGCAAACTCCTCCCGACGCTCCTTCTCGCCTACCTCGATGGCAAAGTGGAAGGCAATATCGTTGTTTGTACCCGGTTCGGCGCGCAGGAGTTCTGTATCCATGCGGTCGGACTTCGGGTCCGGATCAAGCGGCGGCAAGAAGACAATGCCGTCGGGATTGAAGGCATGTAGGCCGCGCGACTCATCGCCAGCAGCAGCAAGAAGTGGATCCTTGGTGCTCATCCCATTGCGCAGGAGAAATCCCGTTCTCATCCCGAGCGGAGCTTTGCCGCTATAGCCAGTTTGCATCTCAATCAGACACAAACGGTCCTTGGCATTTGAGCCGCTGCAGAGATTCATAGATTTCCATTTTGTCCACTGGCCGTGTACGCTCATGGTTGACGGAAGCGAACCATAGCGAGATGGTGTTGTGGGGCAGCTCAGCAATGCCTCGTCGTAGTTGGGCGGGGCGTCACTTTCCTGGTATTCAGCCGCTTTTTGAATACTTCTTTCATCTTGGGTGCCCATGTTGGTATGACTTGAAAAAAATTTAGGAAAAGAAACCTAGGACGCTGGACAATATTGTTGAATCCGGCTCGTAAACATTGATTTTACGGCCTTTACATAATGTACTCTGTATAATATCCATAGTTACTCCGCCACTCCCCCACTGCAGAATATTAATGTTTTAGTGGGTCAAACGTCGAGTTGGATCATTGATTGGTTGTGATTGGTCTTGTCGAATCCAGGAAGATATGTAGATCGCTTTTCCTGGGGGCCAAAAACACTACGTTTGTCTTGGCCCAATAATTCAATTACTCGAAATTAAATCAAAAAAGTTTCAAACTCTTTTCTAAAAAGGAAACTTACGCGTTGAATACTGTCTAAAACATATCCAACTAACTAACAAGCTGTTGAGAGAGCCATGGGTTCAGGCCACCACCTGGTGTTGTTAGACTACCCAGAACAGAACATGCTAAACTCAAGCAAGTAAGGAAGGCTGTTCGAGAAGATCTCATTGCAAAGTTTCACCAACTGCAAAAGGCAAATGGGTCCACGCGTCACGATAAATATCGAAAGTTTCAGAGCCGGGTTAGAGCATTGCGAAAAAGACTTTATGATAATACCAAAAGAACTGTATACGACGAATTCTTTAGGAATATTGGGAGTCAAATAATTAAACAGAATCATCGGGGTAAGCTAGTTAGATTTGAACTAGAAACATCCCATATATAACGCCGAAAGAAGAGTACTTACTAAACTTGAGTTTAAGAATAGAGATATAGAATTAGCAAGGACCGCATCCGATTATAAGAACTACGCCTTAGACTATAAAAGCTCAATGTTCATAAGCTATTAGAAAAGCGAATATAGTTTAGTGATTCCGTATAGGAATCTAAGGAGGCCTTATCTAGCCCTAATGAGGTACTACTAGCCTTAAGTGTCTAGTATACTTAGGATACTCTGATATTCATGTAGTAGTGCGGATTCTATCGAAAGGATGCGCTACAGCGGCATTTTAGGACCTACAATGTGCCAAAACCCTTCTTAGGCGGCCGCGTATATGATTGCCTAGGATGCGACGTTGTGTTATTTTCGCTTCTAAAATACATGCTGTACCAGAAGAAGAAGCATATGATTTGTTTCTAGAACAGCCGAAATTGTATTGACGGATATTTCCCAGGAAAGAAATGAGATGACAGGTGGGGCACCAGTTGAAGCCAACATATCATCAATGGTAATATGCATCTCCTCCTTTTGGGGCAATCTCTTCGCGAGGTCGACTTGAAGCATTGCAGGTCATGGAACGACATGGGATCAACCATTAAGGCCCTTATATGGCCAACCCCGACAAGCCAACAACACAATGCAAAGGTTAAACTACTAAGAATGCTTCTCCCTCTTAGCCTTTCCTTCTGTTTTGAATATGCCGAAGAGATAAAACGATCTCATGGCGAACAAGAATAGGGGAACGGCAAGATTCCCCCAGTTCACCAAGCTCCATTCTCCAACATTCTGTAGCGTTTCCCAACCCATGCACCATGTTGTAACACCCAAGTGTCCCATATCACCCCACCATAGTGCTGTTAACAATGCGTGGGCCACCTTGATGTCTTTGGTCGAGTGAAATACGTAAAGCTCGATGATAGCGATCAAAAGAAAGAGGTTGCTCATCTGATAGGTGAGAATTGTCTCAGATGGAGTGAGGCTTAGTGGTGACGTGAGCTTAGATTGTCCGGAGACATAGTATGCAGACGAGAACGATGTTGTTGTGAACGCAAGGATGAGCGCCACGGGTTCGATGATGCAGAAGACATAGCGAGGAATGGTCGGGAGTGCGGAGGCCATTATAGACGATTTTCTGGGCTGAGTTTTTAGCCGGATCGACTAGGGGAGAACTGGACCGACAACGTGATACAAGAGATGCCTGGCGTGAATCCCCTGCTGTCTTTTTGAATTGTTTCTTCACGGCACGTTTCTACATACTAAGCAAATATTTCCGTAGTGGAGCCCGCGGGTTCCGCCTCCGCGGGCATCTAGTTATCGGTGGCGGATGAACTCCGTCAGCCCAGATGGGACGAAAATTATTTGGCCAGACTTGGGTCCGCGCCCGACGGGATCTTCGGGTCCTGCCTCCAGCAGCTAGGTGGGTTTCTATCTATACCAGCCAGCGGACGTCCGCTCTTCGAATAATTCGGTGTCCGCGGACAGCGTCCGGATACTTGTGGCTATTCCGGATCCTTAGATATAAATGTGTTTGCAAAACGTTACGACAATCCACCCCTGTGTTTGCCATCATCTTGCACTAAAGTCAATCTTCCTATAACATCACCGCCTTCCATGCCTACATTGGCGCTTCCCGGTGGCACGTCACCCAGCCTCGGCCGAGCCATCGTTGCGGCTATCATAGCCAACCGATGGACTTCATCATGGAAAATAGTTATCCTTTCGCGCTCTTCTCGGGCTCCCACTTGGCTACGTGCAATTGACCAAGAATCAACACGTACCACTATCCGCACCGTCGACTACCTGTCTGTGGAATCACTTGTGGCTGCCTTAAAGGGTGTCCACACTGTCATATCCGTCACTTCGGCCATCGACGGTACCCAAGCACAGATTCAGATTAACATACTTAATGCCGCGCTCCGGGCTGGATGTAAGCGCTTCTCTCCATCCCAATGGGGTTTCGGACCTAAGGGCTGGGAGAATATTGCTACCCTTCGATGGGGGAGCCAAGGCGTGTGGGATGAATGTATCAAGCATAAAGGCGAGATAGAGTGCGCCAACTTCAACCAAGGATCTTTCATGAACTACCTTGGTCATGGGATATATCCTTTCCCCTCTCAACCCGAGTCTGACGAGGCTACAGCTCTTCTCCAATTAAAGAAAGGAGGAGGGTATATCCCTGGCGAGGATGAAGCGTGCCAGGGACTCCAGAGACAAGGGCCTCTGACTGATCAGTCGGGGGCTTTTCTCATTGGACTCAAAAATGGCATCGCAGAGCTTCCCATCAAGGACGACGGCCACTGGCCACGGATCACCATGACCTCTATGAGAGATGTGGGCCGATTTGTCGCTGCTTCTCTTAACGTGCCAAAGTGGGAAGAAAACATGAGTATGGCAGGAGACACCCTGACGATGGGAGAACTGTTAGCGCATGCTGAAGCTGTGACTGGGAAGAAGTTCAAAGTAGTCATCCTAAAGCGAGAGGATCTCGAGAAGAGATTGGCAGGCCTGGCTCAGGATGACTTCATGGGCCATATGTGGACCGAGTTCAACCTTGCCTATGTCCGAGATTTAGAGGACGAGGTGGTCCTGCACCCCACTGTGAACAGGCTTTGTCCTGAAGTGAAGCCTATGAGTGCGCGAGAGTACATGGAAATGTTTTGGAGTGATTGATGGATAACCTAGCAATGTGATCAAATGTAAAGCAGTCCTATGCCCCTTTCATGCATCCTGATATAGAATATTATTGTATTTATTGAACAAAGATGTCCGTTCGATGTTGGGAGTCTTACGACTAAGTTTTGTGACATCGCAAACTATTCTTTGCTACAGTGGAAGAAGAGCTTGTTAAGCTGTCTATCTAGTCATTGAACGGGGGTTGCAGTGACAATGTGGTCTCCAAAGCTGGGTCTGGGTGGGCTGTGGCGAGGTCTTTCCATCGCTGTCTCGTTACGTCTTCCTGGCCGGGACCGCCTAAGCATTCCCTCTCAGATTTGAACAAGCACTTTTAATCGTCTACGTAAAGTTCCAAAAGAGGCGACGTATTACTCTTCTTGAGAGCTGTCAATATGGTGGAAGGGTTGAGTGTGAGGAATAACAACTATTGATTGCCAAGAAGGTTAGTTGTTGTAATGCATCAATGAAGATCACCAGGTGTCTACATATGTACCTAGCTCTCTCATGCTCTATTACGCGCCCTCGGAAGATTTATCTCTCATCCGCAATTCAAATAGCCCTATAATGCATTCGTCCGAAAAGTTCTTGGATAATCAAGATAGCTCAGCGAAGTTCCGAGAGGCACAAGCTATACCCCGATAAAATACATCAGTCTGCATGAATGCAGTCATAGTCCCGGGTTGGGACATGATCAAATAATCCTCATTGACTGGCAATCTCTGTATATCTTCTCAGTTAAGTATACTCTATGCTTGAATCCCTAATTCGTTCCTCAATTCCACATTGAAGGATCCCAAATTGATGTTTTCCAGCAACCAGAGAATGCCGTGTACTAGCCCATGATCATAAAATGATTTAAAGACTTGCATTTGGTTTTCTTCAGCTTTTTCAGGACCTCTACGGAGGCTATCGACGAGGTAGCAAACAAAGGTATTACATTACGTATGTTGCCGACTGGGCCGGCGTTCCAAATGAGCAACGCCAACCATCCTTTCACCCTCTTCACACTTCTGCATGAGGCGATAACCAGCATAGACCTGGCGAATAAGGGATGTGATTGATGAGAGGGCACTCTACAAATTAAATCAAAAGCTTTTCAAAAACTTGTCCAAAAAGGCAACTTACGCGTTGAAGACTGTCTTGGTACAACAGAAGCCGCCTACCCAACAACACTCGCAGGGAATTTGTCCCCCACGGCAAGGTAGTTGGAAATCCCCACGCATGAATATTCTCTGAATGTTGGAATACTACGGAGTAGTTTGAACTTACCTAGTTTCAGTATAAAGACAAGAATTGGCTCTGTCCTTGACAGCGTAGGAGTAATAATAAGATCTATTTGGGTTAAGATCATATTAGGGACGTTTTACTTGCGATAAGACTCCGATGTCTTCTTGGAAGCCCTGTTAAGATGCCTTTTCCCATTCTGTGTTTTCGTAACCAGCGCTACGAAGAGATCGCTTTACATTTTAAGTGACTTTTTCGCCTTAAATTCCCCTTGGATAGAGTAATAATTTCATCAAGGGTTATCGGTGAAGTAATCCGACGAAGGTGCAGATCGTATAGATAGAACTTGCCACCAGCCTCGAACATCACTTCGCCGCCGCCATAGTCAACCCGGCACATTATAGTGGTGCATCTCCCAAGCTCACATTCAACGGCGAGATTATGACCACAGCTATCCTCTGCGGCCCATTCACCCTCGTAGTTGAGTTCTTTAGGATCCTTAGGCTTTGTTGGGGCTGCTAACTATGGGGAGAGAGAGAGAAGAAGAATCATGATCTATTCAATCTATCTAGAGCAGGGGATTTATACCCTGCCAAACAAAGAAAGGCTCAGTCTGCAAACAAATGGAGGCATCAATGAGATGACTAGACAAAGGCATCAATGAGATGACCGACATAGTCCAACAGGCTTGTCACCGGGGAGCCTGAGGCATCATTATTTGATGCCTCGAAAGCCTCATGACTTTTATATTTACCTCGAGGGTCTGTTAGACCATAAGCAGATACCTTGGGTTTTCCTATGGCGGTAGAATGTTGGCTTACTTCCAAAATGTCTCTCTATATCTCAGGATTATTTCCCAGCCCTGGAGGTTGGTTTTCCCCCTGGCGTGCGCAGGTGGACCCCTGGTTGACGTGATGATTATATAAGCCACAATGAGGACCGCGGGGCCCCAGTGCACCTGCAGGGCAGGGCTGTCTCTGCCAATCACGCACTATCATATGCAGATCCCCCAGAAAGTACCGAGGTCGGGGGGGTGAGGATCTAATTGTCCAAGATATGAATTGTGACTGAGGCTTGCGGCTTTTGTTTCTGTGTTTTTTGCTATTACCGTTCCTGAATGGCAGCCATCAATGCCATCGCGCCGTAGTCACACGAAGTCTAGGAAGGGGTGTTTGGAGTGTAAAAGGAGACATGTCAAGGTGAGTTCCACCAATTTTACTACCCTGAACCCGTGGGGGGTGTTGGATGTGGCCCAGGAATGTGCCTGGATCGTGGCTCAGGTTGCCTTTACGGATGGCAGTAACCCACCAGCTGAGACCAATATTCTGACGCAACGCGCAGTGTGATGAGGGCCTTCCAAAATGTGCTTTGTGCAGGAAGCGAAAATTGGAGTGCAGATATCCTCCCCCAAATGAAGACGAGGACAGTCCCATGGCATCCAGCGCCCAGGATGAAACAGAGAGTGGCACCGTGACCCCATCAAGGGATTTCCCACAGGCAACACGTTTGCTTGAGACGAGATTATTCCACCAGTACATGACTTCAACGTACCAGACTCTGTCGCAGGATGGTCTGTCAGCACACCATCTCTCCATGACGATTCCTCGCATGGCGGCATCTTGCCATTACCTACTTGACAGCATCCACGCATTTTCTGCGTTACACTTGGCCTCGGTTGAACCTGATAATCGGGCTTCGTGGCTGAATCATGCTGTGCGATATCAAAGCCAGGCATGCGCTGGACTGAGCAAGGTTCTTCCAGAAATCTCACCACCAGATTACGAACCAGCATTTGTCTCGTCCATCATCATTATGCTTTTCGCCATGGGATCGCGAGTATTATCTCTTGAAACTCGACCACTGGATCCGGTTTCGGTGGTTCTCGAGGCTCGCACATTAATGTCTGGCCCCGCCATGCTTTTTTCCCGGATACTTGAAGGCGGGGTTGACACACAGCTGGATGGCTGGCTGTGCGCTCCTGACACACAAGAAAGCCTCGAAACTATGAGACATGATCAGTATGGAATTCCTTCTCTTTGACTCATTGGCGAAGGGTGGATGATAACACGAAACAGCGGCGGCAACTCGGTCGAAAACACACACGTATTATTCAGCCTGCACAAGTATGTTCTAGTGGCGTATGAAGTGACGGTGTAGGGCTTGCGAAGCTGATAATCAAAGCAGAGAAATAGTGACGTCGCTGGCTCGACTTCATTCGATCATTGACACAAGGAAAGGTTCAGATCAACCGATCTACTATGCCACATGGCAGCAGTTACACCAGGCAGTCGAACCGTGGCCAAAGATTGGACCACATGGCGGCCCCCTTGCATGGCCCTTATTCCTCTCTGACAAGTTTTCCTCACTGCTCCAACATGGCGATTGGATTGCCCGAGCTCTGTTTCTGCATTATGGCATAGCTATGCGTCTCCTGTGCCATCGATGGTACGTGCGCGACTGGGGTCGTCGGCTAGTATCGGCGACACTGGAAACACTGGACAAGATCCCTCAGGAGTGGGAGGAGACTATCTCTTGGATAAGACGAGCCGCTGCAAGGGAGGACTAGCCACAAGAATGATAACCATGTGGAGCATTGGGAGTACGGTGGAGTACTGGGTTCTTACCCCGTACTCCGTATAGATTGGGGTATTTAATTATTCATAATAAAGTATGGGCCAACTAATGACCGAATCATATCCAGATAAGAGGCTACATTTGGACATTTGGAGTATGGAAGACCTGATGACTCCGAAAAACCCCCGAGCTTTGACAATTTGGCCCCGAAAGCTACCCGTAGCTTATCAGCGGGGTCGGACCGTCGGGGTTTGACACAACACACCGCTATGGAGTTCTTTGTACGAAGTACAACAGTTGTAGGTTTAACAGTCTTGGAAGATGCGGACCTTCGAAATGTCCGATCCTTCCAAGGTTGATTCGCATCTTTCCATCCTGGATGCGGCTTGCATTTTCTGTTTGGAGGCCGCCGATCCTATACAAAAGCGTCCGGAGCGAACCTGGACCTCCAATCTTGAGATGCAACACCCCTGTCAGACTAGCCAAGATGTGGGGAAACAGGTAAACCTATCTTTCCAAGTTTCCCCTCTCGGTTACTAATTGTGCCCCGATTGAAAATATTAATCTCGAATGGTACCATAGCTTGAGTTGGCCTTGCCAGCATCTTCTTCGCCTGGATCGACTCTCGCGCAACATTCCATATTGCAGAGAAATTGGAGGCAAACACTTATCAACATGTTGCAACCGATGAGACTCGGGGTTTTGGCGATTTTATCGCTGCTATTGATCGCAATTCATCTGCCCAGTGCAAACACCTCCCCCTTGGAGTTCTCCGAGCGAAACACGAATGTCGGCGATGGGTCGTATGGTGAAATTAGCCCTGGAAAGCTGGGCGCTGTTGCTAGCGAAAGCTCAATCTGCTCCCGCCATGGAGCCGATATTTTGAAGAAGGGCGGAAACGCTGCTGATGCTGTGAGTATACCGATCCAGGTGGGATCGGTGTGAATCTCGGTGCTAACAATGACATAGTTGGTTGCGACAGAATTTTGTATTGGTGTCGTAGGTGAGGCTACATTCATTCGCTCTGTAATTCTATCTGAGCATAGCTAATGGACACAGGAATGTATCACAGCGGAATCGGCGGCGGTGGCTTCATGCTCGTGAGATCAGCAAAGGGTGATTACGAGTTTATTGATTTCCGAGAGACGGCTCCAGCCGCGGCATTCGAGGATATGTTCAAAAACAACGATGATGCTTCCGTCTATGGCGGACTAGCAAGGTAAGACAAGTACGCGGAGCGGATCGGAGCCAGGCTAACAGCTATACCAGTGGAGTACCGGGCGAAGTGCGAGGTCTCGAGTACCTCCACAAGAACTATGGCTCTCTTCCATGGTCGATTGTTGTGGAGCCCGCAATTCGCACAGCCCGGGACGGGTTCCCTGTCACAGAAGATCTTGTCAAATACATGAAATCTTCCGTTGGCAGTGGAGAGGACTTCCTGTCCAAGAACCCCACGTGGGCAATAGACTTTGCTCCAAATGGAACTAGGCTTGGGCTGGGCGATACCATTACCCGACGCCGGTTAGCTGACACCCTCGAGGCTATCGCACAGGGTGGCGCGGATGCATTCTACTCGGGCCCTATCGCGGAGACTATGATTAATGCGCTCCAGCGCGAAAACGGGACAATGACGGTCGAAGATCTTAAAAATTACACTGTGGCTATTCGGGATATCTCTCAGATTGACTACCGTGGTTACAAGATCACGAGTACGTCGGCCCCCTCCAGTGGTAGTATCGCCATGAGTATTTTGAAGATTCTCGGGACATATACAGATTTCTTCTCGACTGAACAATCTGTGAATTTGAGTACCCACCGGTTGGACGAGGCGATGCGATTTGGATATGGCGAGGTATGAATGACTAACTCGGATTTCACTTCCAGGGTTGTGGATTTTGGTCATGATCGCTTACATGAAACGCAGAGATCTAAGTTTGGTGATCCCCTGTTTGTTGATGGGATGGCCAAGTATGAGAAGGGGATTTTGGAGCAGTCTACGATTGATGAAATTCGATCCAAGATCTCGGATGTGCGAACTCAGAACGTATCTGCTTATGATCCAGCCGGACTGGAAAGCCTGGACACGTACGTCCTACTTGGTGCATTATTATCTGACATTAAGCTGACATTGTAACAGCCCTGGAACTTCCCATATCGCAGTGGCCGACCACACTGGTCTTGCAATCTCGGTAATCACCACCATCAACCTGCTCTTCGGTAGCCAAGTCATGGTCCCAGAGACCGGTATCATCATGAACAACGAGATGAACGGTATGTTGAGAAAGCCACCCCTAGGCCATGGAGGTAACTAAAACGTTCACAGACTTCTCCATTCCTGGATCATCAAACTCATTTGGATACATCCCCTCTGTGTCCAACTACGTTCGCCCTGGAAAACGCCCTCTTTCCTCCATCACGCCCGCGATAGTCGAGCGACCCAATGGCAAGCTATTTTTGATTGCGGGATCCGCAGGAGGCAGCCGTATAATCACTGCCACCGTCCAGAGCATCATCCATTCCATTGATCAGGGACTCTCCGCCGCCAAAGCGTTGGCCAAACCCCGTCTGCATGATCAGCTGGTGCCAAACCAGGTCAGCTTCGAATACACTTTCGACAACGCAACGGTTGCCTCCATGAAGGCGCTCGGTCATAATGTTACTTGGGTTGCTCCAGGGCAGAGTACTGCCCAGCTGATTCGGGTCTTGCCCAATGGAACATTCGATGCTGCTGGTGAGCCAAGACAACTCAATTCGGGTGGGTATTCTGTATAGAATATGGATATGTGGCAGGGTAGATGCCAAAGTAGATACATTGTCAAGTGCGTCAATTTACAAAGACCATCACTATAAATAGATAAAACGATCTATCAAATTCTAGTCTTTCGCAATGCAGCTCTTTGTTGTAGATTCTTAGAACCGGACACCCCTGGTAGATTGGCGTTTCTTTATCGGATGGTCTGTGCTTTGCATATATTCCCTTTTTTTGATGTAGAGAGCTCCAACTCGCTTGACCTTTAGTTCTCCTTTAAAAGTCTACACTGACATGAAAAGTTGGTCCGAACATGTCTCTTTCTTAATTTTGATTTTCTGGTTTCATTGACACGACAACGCGTCACCTTATCTAATTTACACGTGAATCTACCCCACCGCGTTAAAGGGAACCAGAAAGCTTTCCTCGCGATTTTCTTGAACACCAGGCATTTGACTCGCATAACAGACTCGCAGGTTGCTCTTTTGTTGTCGTTTGGCTTTCATTAACCAGACAATTTTCCATCCAAACAGTTCACATCCAACAAACAGCTACCGCGATATGTCTACGAACCCTTCGAACTTCCCCAACTTCCTACCCTAGACAACCTACCCTCTACTGTGACATCAGGAATACAATGGCTCGACTCAGCAACATCTCCGTTGTTGTTCCCCTTCCCTCCTTCGACATCGACCCCCTCAAAACCTTTGACGAAGACTTCTTTGACCGTGCTGTTGACAACATCTTGTCTGAAGAAGCGAGCATAGAAGAATCCCGGGACGAGATGATGGACAGCAATATTGGCATCTCAAGTCCATTTGGGTATGACGGCGCGTCTGACTCCTCGAAGTCCAAGCTTCGTCGTAGCCAGAGGACCGAAGCCAAGTCGCCGCATTTTTCTACTCCCGCATCGAACTCCTCGCCTACAACCACCACGGCAAAGAAACCGAAGTTGAGAACATCTTCTAGAATACGGAAAAGCGCGACAATGGAGGATGTCAATGGTAACAATGAAGCTCCTGTGAGCCCCGAAAACATCACACCACCTCAGAATGAGGAACTCATTGAAGCCGAATCTTATCCGATCCACGAGGCCGGTGATCACCCTTCTACACTTCCCGAAATCAACGAGTCCGCCGCAATGCCGACTGGCGACGACGAAATGACAGCGGAAGACAAGATATTCGTCTCGTTGGACCTGGAAAAGCAGATTGAGGTGTTGAAGTACGTTGCATCACACTCTTTCATGATGGAACAGGCTCGACCTGTCCAACGCTCAGCCAGGCGAGAGTTCACTGGTCAAGTGCGCGGGTTCGCTGCGAAGGCTGGAATGAACGACACAGCTATCGATGCTTTGATTGACCACATTCGAAAGACCTACCTTGAGGACCGTGGAATTGCAGCAGCCGCAGATGCCGGCTCTGCATTCGGGGATGAAGTGGACAACGAGGAAGAAAGACAAACCAGGAGCTCGCACCGAAAACGGCGTAAGAGCAGCTCCGATCACCCTGAGGACAAAGACCACAAGAAAAGCAAGAGGCGACACTCGGATAAGGCAAGAGGGCACAGCCACGATACCATGTATGATGAGCCAACCAAGGTTGTGGAAGCCCATGTCCCGGCAGGTGTTTCTACTGAAGCCCAGGACAATGGCTACGTTAAGCCCGATGGACCGGAAGATGAGGACAACACGCCGGATCTACCCCAAATGCCTACAAGCGTCGTTCGAAGTAGCCCCTATACACACATCGACCTGACCACCGACTCGCCCCCTTACGACGAAGTTGACGCAGTTCCAGATCAATTCGAACGTGTTAATGCGGTAGCGGGGCCCAAAGAACTCGAGGCAAGCAATAGAGAAGTCCTTGCACGTCAATTGTCATCCGACGTCCCGGGCGATATTATTCCTGAAAGCCCATCGCCTGAGAAAGTGGTCGAAGAAAAGCCGTTGAAACGCCGTGAGCCACTCAAATCATCAAAGGAAAAGAACAAGCGCAAGCGCGAACGCAAAAGGGAGCGCAACAAACATCGAATAAATTTAAGTGGACAGAAACAGCCTCAAGGCGACTCCATTGATGGAGCAGAGAAACAGACTCAAGGCGACTCCGTTGATGGAGCGAACCAAGACCGAATTCCACCTTCCATTCCGAAACAAACCTCGTTCGAGAGCACCAGTGGAAACAGACGGAGGTCCAGTCAGTTCCCGCTACCCACCGATCCATCTCTGTGGAACATAGAAGATTTTTGAATACCAGTGATTTGCTAGGTGTGATTCCAAGTGATGAGGTTCAATCTAAGTATTTCTTAGGAGCCGGCAACCCCAAAGTTGGCTCGAAAAGCAAGCGGGAAACGGCTTCCTCGCTGTACGATTTGTCTATCCCCCCAAAACCCGACAGCTCTTGAAAGATTTGAATCTGCCCCCGGACTTCTTGTCATCGGATTCTTCCTTGAGTGATGCGCCGAGTGATTTTGATTCCGATTCCGATTGGAATGATCTGGATGATCCCCCGTCGCAAATTCATATCAAGTTATCACCTCCGAAAAGCCCCCGTCGTGTCCCCCAATGTACAAATCCTGCCCCAGAAACTCCGGTCAAACGCACTTCTTTCGCTCAACTAGAACCCATCGAAACCCATCACGCCAAACCCCCGAAGCATTCCCCTTATTTTCCACGTGCACTAGTTGATCCTGAATCTTGCCTCCCGTTTCCCCCTATGGATGCGTCTTCTTTCGGACTCATCCAGGAACAGCTTGCACATGACCCCTTTCGTTTACTCATTGCAACAATTTTTCTCAATCGAACCCGCGGTGGTGTTGCCTTGCCGATCTTATTCAAGGTCTTTGAACGATACCCTACGATCGAGGCGATGGCAGAAGCAGACCTACCGGAACTCGTATCGATGATAAACTGCCTGGGCTTTCAAAACCAACGTGCAAGGAAATGCATCACGTTGGCACAGACATGGCTATCAGATCCCCCGAACAAAAGCAAAAGATATCGCAAGCTACACTACCCACGGAAACTGGACGGTCGAAATGTTGGTCGTGAAGAATGCATTGATGAAGAAGATTTGCGAGTCGCATGGGAGATTGCACATTTACCCGGAGTTGGAGCATATTCCCTTGATAGCTGGAGAATCTTCTGTCGTGATGAGTTGCGTGGGAAAGCCTCTGACTGGAAAGGGACGGATGCGACAGAGGTCGGGTTTGTGCCTGAATGGAAGTGTGTTCTGCCTCACGACAAGGAGCTACGTGCCTATCTTACATGGATGTGGCTGAAGGAAGGATGGATTTGGGATTACAACACGGGTGATCTGACACTTGCGAGTGACAAGATGATGAGAGCTGCGCAGAGTGGAGGGGTCGCTCGTGAAGAAGAGGGGAATTGGGTACTGGAGACATCCCCTGTCAAGGCTGTGAATGGATTGCATGAATCAGATTGATTCTAAGAGTCAATGTAAATGATACCCTGAATAACAAAGTTCAAATCTACATACTATACATGTAGTTGCCTTAGGCAGTAGAATCTGTGTTCCCTCAGAAAGTTTTCAGCTGAAATGGCGTATCTTTATATATATATATATATATAACTATCTCCGAATCTGATTTCAGGCTTCCATGCAGCAAAACCACGTCAGTTAAACGAGCGGGGCCGAGATTGTTCACCGCATAATCGCATAGTGCGTTTCTTTCCTCTTCCAACAATTTCATGCGCCGTACCTGAATGAGGTTATTCTTTTCTTTTTCCAAGAGATATCCCTTTCTTTCCCCAGACCCCAGACACATGGAATGCCAGATTGGTTCCCGCACATACGTTAAGCGACCAGTCACAACGGCCCGAACTAAGCGCCAGGAGAATTGGAGACAAAAATAGGACCACAATCCCCTCAGTGGCGGTGCGAGTCTAGACAGGTAACGGACGACTGACCCTTTCGCGCGGTCCACAACTCGATTTTACGGATTTCGCCATGTTTCCTGTTAGACTAAACCGCGACGATAGGAAGTCCAAGACCGTCAAGGCCACCAAGAGCAAGACAAACAAAACAAACAGAAAGACCTCAACCAAGGACCCAGAAGATCCTCCCACGGCTCGCTCATCAACTTCCCAACGCAGGTCCTCCATGCCTGGACTTGAGAGATCGGAGGCTGCCTCGTTCCTTGAGTCGAGATCTAGCCTGCCGTATCCTACTTTCTCGAAAGCGCACAGCAAGGAAGGCGTTCGAAGTATCCCTACACCGGACCCGACCGATTTGACACATGACGACGGGAAGAACAGTCACCGCGAGAATCACCATGCGCCTCCTAGCCCGCCCCTGACCGGTCTCGACCAAGAGTCGAGGAAGGGCAGTATCGTTAACGAGGAGGAGAAGGAGACAGACAAACCCAAGAAGAAAACAAATATAAAAATCAGAGCCTCCGAAGTCAACAGGTCCTCATCGAGCCTCCGATCGAAACGGGATGATAGCACCAAGTCCAAGTCCAGCAAGACGTCACGAGCAGAGACCCCTACAAAACCCAAAACACCCAAGGAGGAGAGTGAAGCTTCGCCTCGGTCGTCGAGCTACAAGTCCAAGACGAAGGTCCCCGATGACAGGAAACTGCCCAAACGGTCGAGTCGCTCGACGATGTCTGCCTCACAGTCCAACGTTACGCTTCGTGATATCGGCGCGGAGTCAGTCAACGGGTCCGATGCGACGTCTATTGCGCCCAACCAGCAGCATTCGGTGCCACGAAAACCCATGACCCCGCCTACGAAGCCTCCCTCTCGCACCCAGAACCGATCGGCCATGTCGCATCGCCGCACTGCTAGCGATGAATCGATCGATTTTGTGAAACCAGTGAATCCGAATTCCTTTGGCGCACCCCCGCCGCCCCCACCTCCGCCCGAAATGCCTGTTACTATCCCTCGAGTCGATTACTTGCTGAAAAATGGTGGGCTGGAAAATAAGGTCTCGAGAGCACTGCTGGCTAGCCTCGGGCAGAAGGATCCATCCTCGCAAGGACAACCTCAGTCACGGGCTATCGCTGGCAAAATCTTCGATCCATATAACCGTTTACTAGATGACTACCAAAAGGTCATGAGTAAGAATGGATCTCTCGCCGTCGCAACGGGCTACCGGTCAGTCGCGCGCCGTCTATTGGATCGTCTCGAAGCAGTGTTCGCGCGCGACATCTCATCCGAGCCATGTAGCTGCCAGATATGCGACCAAGCGGAGTCGGACGATCGACCGGATGGAGTGAGCTGGGGCGAGGTTTTGGAGCTCGTATCTGGTCGCAGAGAACTTCCCATGTGGCCTCCCTTCACGATGGCACCAACCACCGTGGATACCGGTGCGCCAGGCGATGAGCACGTTCCAATGCAGAAGCTTGACGTCGACGTTCCTGAAGAATACCGTGAACACTTCATGCGGCAATCTCGAAAGACGAAGGTCGCTGTCGACAAATGGCTTTACGAGCAAAATGATCCAGGCACCAGCGCTCCTAACGAGGTTGACGACGAGACCTTGACTTTCGCCATGCTCACGCATCTCGAACCCCACCAGCGCTCGTTGTTCTGCTCTTTGCTCGGCATCAATTCTTCTACTCCTGTCCCGCGATCCGACGACGAAAAACCCCGACCAAAACCTTTGGCCCTTGTCTCGTCGGCCTCGGCCATCCAGCGTCTTTACCGACTATCCTCTCTCCCTCGCGACCCAGAAACTGCTATGTACATGTTGAATAATCCTACTCTCCACCATGTTCTCGCCACCCTTTCCGCCATCAGCGATGACGAGTGGGAGATCCTCATCTCCGGCCGCTTCGACGGATTCCTCCGCAGCGGCGCAGAAGACACAGGTCCTACCGCGAATGTCACCGGGGCTCGCTGGAGCGGCAGTCGCTCCAATACACCCTTAGGTGGCGGTATCTCCCGAGGACCAACACCCAATTACATGGACAGCAGCTTCCGACCCTCCAGCCAAGTCAACGGCGTATCCTCAAACCCAGCCTCATTCGGCGGCCCGATCGCTCTAGACGAGGAAACAGAGATCGCCGCGTTAGCAGAAGTCGAGCGCGACATTTTCCTCGGAATGGAAGCCCTTGAAGACGCATTCGAAGCCCTCCACTGCAAAGCCGAAGTCGTGCGGCGCGCACTACGCGAACGCGGCGCCGGCCTCTCTGTAGCAAACCAAAGCCGCCGGGGCTCGTTCGTCGAAGCACGCATGGGCACGCCCTTCTCTGGCGTCGGCACGTGGGAAAGCGGCGGCGAAGACGACTTCCTCGACGACGAGCGCTCTCTTGCGCCCGATGACTCGGCGAGTAACATTAGCTCGAACCGGCGCCGTCGGCCCAAGAGACGCACTGAGCGACGCACTCCTGCTCCTGTTGAAGAAGAGGACGAGGAAGACGACGGTCTTGGTCGTCGGGATACGCGCAACTCGAGGCGGAGATAGATCGACGTCGGGATGGAATGGGCATAATTTCTTTTCGACCTACGTGCCGCGTTGGATTCATTCGAGGGCTGTTTTCTGGATAGCATGGGATATGGATATAACTGTTGCTGTTGCAATGGGCTTGACGTACTCATGATACCCCCCTTGCTTTCTTGTCCTGGTTTTTTTTCGCGTTTCTCGCTTGTGCTTTTGCATCGTTTTTCCGCGCTTGGGCTACTGCCTCTCCCCCCTTTTATATCTTGCTCTGATGATTTATGAATGCCATGAGCTTCCCTCCCCCGACCCGATGCCTGGCCGTGTGCTTTGGCTATGATACAAGTTTGATTTAGCATATCTCAGCGTTGCATTGTTAGTACTGTGCAATATAAGCGAACTGGATCTAGGTATTGCAATGATCCCTGGCAGGCTACAGACAATTCCAGACTAGGATAAAACAAAACAAGGACATAGAGCAGCCGATTGCGGACCAAGTACTCCAAAGTACATCCACAGCTCTGGGTCTAGCTGGACTTCTCCGGGTTCGTCAACTGGCGCGATGGTTGAGTACAGCTATGTACGGAGTACCAAAAGATCGTATATACCCATACCTGTTATTAAGTCTTTACCCACCAGCCATTTCCCCACCAAAATCGACCAACTTTGAACCCTGTTCTCTCAATGAATTTATATAGTAATAGTTTTTAAGAAACTTTTTAATAAAATTTTAATCTCAAATTAATAAAATTATTCTTTCTGAATCATTAAATATGTGTGGCTGTTAAATAGTCACTAATTGAAATATTCATGTTCGTTGGAATGCAGATTATATATATGGGCGCCCATACTGAACTCGCGATCTATATCCTTTGTCAAGGTTTGAAAATATACAACTCTCTATCTAAAATACTTACCAAAATAATTTATATATAGTTTACTCTGGCTGTGCAATGCTAACTTATTTAAAAATAATCTAAAAATATGTTATAATATAAATTTATGAAAAAAAGATGGTTCAAAGTTGGTCAGTTTTGGTGGGAAAATGGCGAGTGGGTAAAGACTTAGTGGCAGGGTCTGTAATCAATACAACTTCGCCGTCCTATGCCATTTTTTATATGATCCCCTACTCAGCTATATTCAAGATGTTAGCCCTTGAGTTTTGAAGACCACTAGTAATAGCGGTGGCTCGACTAACACAAAGATATCAGCTTACGTGTGAGCACTATGGTTGATGGACGCGCGCATGATAGGATGATGCCTGCAGAGGGCGAGCCGAGTCACTATGAGCTTTGTGCTCGTGAACAGTAGTTTCTACTAGATGCTATTCGAGAGGATCAAGACGTCACACATCATATGACGGACGCTGTGGGACCACTTACGATTGTCCCTGCGGTGGATTGATCTATGCGTGAGAAACGGGCAATTGGCATCTGGTGATGGCTCTTCATATGCCTAAAATGGATAGTAAGATATTGATGCACCGCTGTTCAATGGCCTTGATACTATGTAAGGGCATTTTCCAGAACTTGCAATTGCATATTAAATCACAACCAATTTCAATCCTACCAGTTGAAAATGGGGTAAGAACAAGGGACCAGTCGAAATTTGCGACCGAAAAGTAACAGAAGGGAGGATGAGCGTCGAAGACCAGATCTTCTAAAACGTGAAGCAGTAAAACTAACTGCAAAAGGCAATTGACATGGGCCTGCTTATGTACAGAGTACTCCGTACAGTGAGTAAATAATCCCTGATCTGGAGCCTTTTTTGGGTCTGGCTCGCTGTGGACGCTCCATCGCGGACCTCGGCATCTTTTTATATCTGCCTGCCGTCGACGGGGCAAGTTGCATAAGTGAGTTCCACTACTACCCACTGCGGTTTACGCTACTCCTCACCGGTATGTACTTACGAAATTGATGCACTGGGATCAACCTGCTTAGGACTAGTATTCATATGTCTCTACCGCTACCTCGGTGGAGAGCAGGCATTGCTGATAAGGGCCGCTACGAATCAGGGCGAAGGAAGATGGGTCGCGGTGCGTCTGGAGGTATCCAGGGGATTTTCCTCTTGCGGGACCATCTCTGCAGTTCGGCCTTTTGTGTAAGTAGATCTGTCGATGTATCTCAGACTATTGATCATATGCTATGCATAATAGTCATAATAACTTCGAAGGAACACTATCAAGCGATCACATGCACGCGAGCCTCGTATCGCTAGAGGGGATCTACCCAATAGTCTATTCGTTGCCTACCGCCATGATGGAAAACCTCCGTAGATATGGGGTACAAAGTATGTTAATGTAGATCACCAGCTTCGCGGGGCGCAGGATTTGGATATCCCAGAAATGATCATACGCTATTGATTATCGAACTTTCAGGGTGTGATTTGAATGATCTTAGGCAAAAGGAACTACGCTAAGGATCGATAGGCTCAGGTCATAATGTTATTTTGTTTGTATCTTTACCAAGATAGGAAACTCGGCCCGTCAATCGAAGCTTCAATTATGCTGTGTGTCTGTGTATCCATGGCTCAGAACAAAACGCTAGGAGCGAGAATAAACTTTCCAAAGGAGTGAAATGGGACTATTGATACTCGGTAGTTTGGTTGGAGATGTTTTAGGCACGTTTAGATTGATATTGCAGGATGTGGTTAATCTTGATGTGGATATCTTCAATGAAAAGGAGCCTCGAGTTGAGATCTATGTTTTAGAGGGCATTCTTATCTTGCAAGCTGCTGAAATACGAGGAGTGGGGTTGCCGCTCCCGCACTAAGCAATCAGATAGTGGAACTGGCTATGTGAAGTCCGGCTAGTTGGGTTCCGAGGAGAAAAGGCTAAGAGGCAAAAGAAGGTTGAGCGGCATAAGTTTGAAGTCGGAATTTACCCCAAATTCCGGGAGAAGCTAATAGAACCACGAAAATCTGCGAATAGAGTTTTTAGAGAGTCACATAAGCTTCCATCTCATTCTAGTGTATGCAAAACTTTCAAACCCCATAGCCTGGGCTTATACACAATGTGGCCAGTGCTGCGCTGGAATTTGGATCGGCAATGAGCGGGGCGAGAAGGAGAAGGCGAGGAAAGAAATCCGCTTGGAATGAAACATGGCGTTAAGGGCGCTTTAAAACCGGGAGGCCGAGGAAATATGTCCAGCATACACCGTCCAGGATATCAACATTGGGATTGTTTTTACATTCGGGTACCTGACAGGCTGACAGCTTGAGCTGTCAACCAAAATTTGGTGCAATATAAATTCGGATGCTCCCGATTACCCCTGACGCATATCTGAGACAGTTCTAAATCGTGCGGCATTACGTTGGCATCCCTGACTCCCGGCCCTGACTCCCGGCCAAGGTTCCTTTAGCGGGCTATTACTCCGTACTAACTCCACGATCGCTGCGGCTCTAAACCAGACCGTCGTGCGTAATCATCCTTTTGACGATTTTTTGTTGATCACATCCACTTAGGGGGCAACTCTCCACTAGCCCGGGCTCGCAAGCCGGAGGCATACCGGAAACAAGCAGTCTCCTTTATCCTGTTTATCCAGTTCCTCGGCATCTATATCCCTGTTAAATTGAACCGGCAATAGGGGGGCCAAACAAAGACCTGCTACCCGGGTGACCCCCACAATCGGTATTCTTTTATGCCGCTGAGAGAAAAAAAACTTGTGTTTGGTTCCGTCTACCCCATTAAAAACGGACGGTGGTCACTTGTGGTTGGAGAGTTGGAGGCGGATCGAAGCTTAATCTGGCCCAATCGCATGGCCAAGAGGCCCAGTGTCCACAAATGTCCACTATTGTTAAATAATCCTTTTGTTCTGACAACACTTTCTATTCCTGGTACATATCCGGAACCGGATCCGGGCTATTGCGGGGTGGATTTCACATGAAATCCTGTTACCAGGGTCCCCTGGTCCACCCCCTGGTCGCCCACATTGTGCTTTGTATTATTTTTTTTTGTTAACTTGATCATATTGATATGATAAAGCTCCGCCGATCGACCATATATCGTGAACGTCTCTGAGCGGTTTGGGAAAGAGTCTGCTGGCTTTGATAGAAAAATATGATATTTTCAACATCGTGGAGTTCTCCGTACAAAAGAATACACTTGTCCTAATGCACTCCCGCTAGTGTTCCAGAAGCCTCGCCCCTGCAGCGAACATAAGGTACTAGCGATCCGAGCCCCCTGTCAATGGGCCAATGTGCGCTTTGGCCTTGACACGGAGATGACGGACCTCGTGGGATCTGTATTGATTTTGCGCCTTCTTAGCAATTCTTAAAATTGGGCTTGCATTTTCTATGCAACCCCGTTTCTAAACGGCGAATGCCCTTTTTTAATATGTCTGTAGTATGTACTTTTGTATGCAACTAGATACTAGTTCGCCTTGTTCATCGAGTGGGCTAGTACAAAATAGACCAACTAAGCTAAACTTTATGGCCGTTTCATTCGCCATCTCGTGGCAAATTTGTGTCTTCTTACCCACTTGAGGGGCACATATGCCCTAAAAGTGAGCTAAATAGGGTAAGTGGAATAAAATGTACGTTGTATACAGGGATTTACGGCTCTGGACCGTGGAGCTATTATGGAGATCGCACTCCCTCTCTCTCAAGTGTCCATGTTTCTCGCAGATAAATCCACATTTCACTCAAACTTGTCGTGGATCACCCACTTATTGACGGGAAAAAAAAGGCCGAATGGGTTTAAGTCTCATTCTTCTGTTCTTGCCTATCACATTTTGAGTTTAATCAGTCCCAGTAGTTTGGGTGTTGTTTCTTTCTCTCTTATTGCATCTAGCTTTCAATTTTCATGCCCGTGGCCTCTTCCCCTCCCGAGCTATTCTTTATCTACCATTGCGGGCAGCTTATGGGGTAAGTCTAGTGTTTACCACATTCAACATCTCATTCATTGGCATTCGCGTCAGCCTTATATATCGCTTTTTGTTGCCCGCCCTCGATCCAATTCTGCAAAGTGACCCCAGGAACGTCATTTTGCAGCCTTCAATTCCACCTTTTGATCAGGCAATGATAGCAGACCCTTGAAAGTGAAACCAACCCCCAAGACATTCCACCATGTCAGCACTCATTCTCATGGGCTTGATGCCCAAAAACAACGAGCACTCATTGGCGCCTCGATTGACTGGCTTCGTCGAACTTGATATCGACCCTCTTCCTGAATCGCATCGACGAGGTCTGATAGCAATTGCAGTCATGGCCCTCCTTTCTCTTGTCGCAACATCCATACTCCTCGGTTTCATCACCTATCGACTTATTTTCTGGCGCGGCAGCTATACACGATACATCGGTTACAACCAGTACATCATTCTTATTTACAATCTTGTTCTGGCGGATTTCCAACAGTCACTTGCATTTATTATTTGTTTACGATGGATCTTGACAGACAAAATCAAGTCCGGCGGAGCCGCATGCTTTCTCCAAGGGCTGTGGCTACAAATTGGAGACCCCGGCAGTGGTCTTTTCGTGCTTGCCATCGCCTTCCACACATTCCTTTTAGTCGTCTGGGGCCGTAAAATGTCCTACCGGTTCTTTGTCTGCTTCGTCGTCGGCGTCTGGGGCTTTGTCGCTTTAATGGTAGTCATCCCATTAGCAATGTACGGTGCGAACGTCTTCGTGCCTTCCGGAGCCTGGTGCTGGATCAGCGAGGAATACGAGACCACCCGTTTATGGACTCACTACATCTGGATTTTCCTCGCCGAGTTCGGTACAGTCATTCTCTACGCCGTGATGTACTTCCAGCTGCGCCGGCAGATCGCCGCCTCCGCCATCCTCGGCAACAGCCAGCTGGAGAGCCTCAAGCGCCTACGCCGCGTCGTAGGCTACATGACCATCTACCCAATCGTCTACATCATCCTATCGCTACCCCTCGCCGCAGGCCGCATGGCCACAGCTGACGGCGATGCACCCAACATCATATTCTTCTGCTGTTCTGGCGCTATCATCACCAGCTCCGGGCTGGTCGATGTCGTCCTGTACACTCTCACCCGCCGCAACCTGATCATCGACTCGGAACCCAGCCAAGACCACTCCTACAACAAATTCAGTAGTGTCAAGGGCAAGCGAGGCGAGAACAATTTAACAACCATCACGGCCGATCCCACGCGCAAAATGGGCGGCACTTTCACTGATGAGAATGAACGTGACGGCTCAACGGATAACATCGTTTCGCCCAGCGGACACGGCCACCACGGCCATGAGCATGAAATGACCCCGATCGGAAAGGTGTACCAAGAAACCACCATTGAGATCACGCACGAGCCTGCTTACCCCGACGAGGGATCCAGTCAGCGTTCTAGCAAGGAGTTCCCCGACGCTAGGCCACCTCATGCAGGATGGCGGAGATGAACTTTTCTCATGACCCTTTCTTTATACTTCTATCTTTATGCTCCCGAGTCATCTGAATCGTTACCATTTATTTTTGTCCGTGGTATGATGCCCTCGATACCCCTTTTCTGTCACTATAACATGTATTCCTTCCCTCACGATCTCGTCACTACCGCTTCATGTCTTTTTTTTCTTTCTCTTCTTCTTCCTCCCTTTTCTTCCTTTTTTCATGTCTCTCAATACTCTCGCCCTTAATCGTCTTCTATGACGGACTTCTTATGTATATATTTTGATAAAGGACCGACACGTTCCTCATGTGAACCATAGCGATTCACATGTGATAATTAATGTTTTCGAATTTGAAGACCCATGACTTGGTTCTATTTGAATGAATTTCCACGTAATTTAACGTATCAGACACAGGTTGGATGACGTTCCATCGTGGGCACCACTAGTCGGAATCTTCGATCTGAGTCTAGGATCCCCAATGATCTTCCGCAGTCGATGGCTATCCTCATTAACAAAGCTTCTTATAGAAATAAACACGTTCAAACCCATCCTCCACCCTTCGATCCGTTTCCATAAACCCCAGCTTTGCATAGAACCCAACATTCTCGAACATTTTCACATTAGTGAATAATGTTACACTGGACAGTCCCTGTTTTTGAGCTTCCACTTCCGCGTACTTGATCATTTTATATCCGTAGCCTCGACCCTGTGTTGTCGGATCGACAACCACGTTGTCGATTTTGAGCGAGTTTGTCGGCTCGTCCTTGTGGAAGGTGATTGAGCCCACGATCCGCTCATTGTCTCTCAAGACGAGAACTTCATGCGTGCGGATCACCTGGTCCCAATCTTCTGTCATAGGTGCTGGTGGTTTGCCAATGCGCTCTATGTACTTTGAATAGGCGGCATCGACCATGGCTCTAATGGCGGGTATATCTTCGACTGTAGCTTTGTGAAGTGCAAGATTGCTGTCTGTTGGGGACGTTGAGCCGAGAATTGCCGCCATGATGAGAGGAGGATAAAGGACACAGTTTATTGGATACTGTCAAGCACACCATTGGGTAATGTGACACGGGGAAGTTTTTCGAGAAGAATACTGTCGCTCGCCTACGTTGTGAGTCAGATACCCCGCCTCCAAGCGACAAGTATATAAACCTTTATTTCCTCAAGAAAATACAATTTAAAATAAATCCAATTTGAGGGAGATAAGCTCAAACAAACTGCAATTTGACACGTACATTTCGAAGGAACAAAATACCAATGTGCCAAAATTAACAATCATGCAGGAGGGAGCGAAAGCTTCCCAGAAGACCAACGTCCCTGAGTCCATACATACTCCGTAATCGCGGAGACTTCATGACCAGCCTGGAAGTACACGCGAACATCCGGATGCGAGCCATTTATCCAGCTGATGCAAGCAATCTGCGTTCCAGGAATACAGTTCGCGTGGAAATGTCCTTCGGCCCAAGACTTGCCATCGTAAACCATCTCGCGCATCATATTCGAAGTATTGTAGAAGACCCGGATCCAACAATGTCCGAGCCAGTAACTAGTACAAACTAGGGACGTCCGGGGTTGGACCTTTGGGAACTTGGCCACTCCGTCATACCAGCCGCGTTTGCTGTCGTAGCACTTCTCGATGATGCCATGTTCCATGTGCTGGTAGTAGACACTATAAATACTTTTAGTACTTTGTGAAACAGATCCCTGATGGCAGTAATTACCGGATCTTCGGTTCCGACGTCTTGAATATGGTGCATGTTATGTCTGTGCCGGGCATTGCTGAACCCAGATTCCATTATCTGTATTCCCCTGTAAGCAATGATAACCTATCATGAGGTGGTGGGTGATTTGCCCTTGACTCCGTACTCCTGAATCGTGTTGTCTGCCATCGGACAATAGACCCTGATGGTCATAGCGGGTCCTTTGAGGTGACAACCGGCCAGCTTTGAATATGGCGCGGTCATAAAGCGCTTCTTGCCAAGGGTACCCTCATACCAACCTTTGGATTTGTCATAAGCCATATCCATCATAGTGTTCTCGGTGGAGAGGTAGTAGGCTCGGATCTATCCAGTTCTTGATAATCATCAATCATCCTTTTTGATAGGTTTTCCTTGAGATAACTAACATTCTCAAGCTCACTGGAGGTGCAGGCTACAGGAGAATAGAGCTTGGCCGAAGTAAAGACCGTTTTTCTCTGTTCCATTGCTCCATTTGTCCTCGTACTTTGACTCGCGGGTCTTTCCCATGACATCTTGCATATACACCCCTAGTTGGCTGCTTGAGTTGCAGGCTGCAATGGAGGTCCCTAGAAAATATAATATCAGCCTTGATGGTTCTAGAAGAGTAGTCGTGGAATATTTTCCATACGAAAGACGATATCGTGAGCTCCGTTGCTGGGCATGATCCGAGAATGATTTTCATGTAATTGATTTGTGTTTGTTGTGCCAATATCTGGTGGGATGGAAATCGGAGAATGTGGAAGGATTTATAACTGCAGAGAGAGCGCCAGTGTTTTGCACGTCACGAGGTCATATAACCAACTAGGAGTGGGCATGAATTCTGGAGCATTGGAAAAGCGCTGATTGTCGGAATATGCGATGCTTTACACACGAGTAGCCAAGGATTGTGGCACAGCACGCAAACAAGGCCCAAGACCCTAAGGAAGCTCGCGGATTGTCAACACACAAGGGAAAGCACAAGGACACAAACAGATAGCTGCGCTGTGATGACATATCTCACCCGATTGGTGAGATCAGATTAAACCGTCCATGGGCGGTTGCAAATCATAGCCGCAAGCATTCGGCGATACATGCTAAGTCCGAACTTCATACCAGTATGAGCCTAAATTACCTGAGTCGGCAATATCCCTAGTATCTCCGCATTTCCAAACACAGTGATGATTAATCACCCTTCTTCGAATGCTAGTTTGGGATACTGCCCTCGCATTGGATGTTCCTCTTTCCAGAATTTCTCTCCAGCTTTCCTTTACAGATCTCATCCTGCTCAGGATTGAATTCAATAGGGAAGTTATGTACTCTGTTAGTTTATCGGTGGAGAACGAAAGAGGATTTAGGTTCTTTGCCACTATTTGTGATCGGATAGCTCTCTGTCAGTGTGGGCTTGATCAGCCACCCGTGGGATGGTGATGACAGAATTGTTCTTATTGGCCCAGCCATGACTAGACTGATGCGGCTGATGGCATAGAATCCACGCTGCCTTTACAGTGATATTCAATGGGGATAAGTGGAGTTTTCGAGAAAATAAGGATCTGGATGAGGTTTAGGTGTCACGACGCCAGCAATACCGAACTACTTGAGGGCCTTTCACAGACGGATAGGCCATAAAGAGCCATTCAGTTTCTAGGCATGATTGTACTTCGCAAATTTCCCATGTCATTTTGGCCAGACCCAAATTTAGCGCGTTATCAATTTGTGGACCCTGCATAGGGACGCTAATGTAGCTTGATGACAGTAGCCCCACAGCAAGCTTTCCAAGCTCATGAGAGAATGGTAGAAAGTCTTGAGTTTGCGCGGAATTGGGTCTCAATGATTCTTTAACTGCTGGGAACTCGGAAACCAACAGTAACAACGCGAGTTTGGTAGTGACGTCAAGAGTCGGAAAATATTTATAATCGACATCCCCAAACGCAAATTTTGAGCTGATTTAAACCTGGACTTTCATTTCTATCTGTACTGTATCTTCTGTCTAGGAACACCCCAATACCTACACTCATCATGGCGGATATTTGGGCTCCGGCTCCTGAGCCGACTACCGAGTTGGGACGTTACCGCGTTCTTTCTTCTACGGCTGGAATTCGCGTCTCACCTCTCCAGCTCGGAGCCATGTCCATTGGCAATGCGTGGGCAGAGACAATGGGCTCGATGAGCAAGGATGAGTCCTTCAAACTTCTCGATGCATTTGTTGCAGCTGGCGGAAATTTCATTGATACGGCCAACAATTACCAGGACGAGCAATCCGAGGCCTGGATTGGGGAATGGATGGCCAAACGCAAGAACCGTGATCAATTGGTGATTTCTACCAAATTCACCACGGACTTCCGGTCGCATAAGCTAGGCAAGGGAAATGCCCCCAACCATTGCGGCAACCACAAGCGCAGCCTCCATATGAGTGTTCGGGATTCACTGAAGAAGCTGCAAACCGACTGGATTGACATCCTGTATCTCCACTGGTGGGATCAAACCACTTCAATCGAAGAGGTTATGGATAGTCTTCAGATCCTGGTGGAACAGGGCAAGGTACTCTACTTGGGTATCTCGGATACGCCGGCGTGGGTTGTGTCAGCGGCAAACTCATATGCTCGAGCCCACGGAAAGACGCCCTTTAGCATCTACCAGGGTAGATGGAATGTTATGCTTCGTGATTTCGAACGGGAAATCATCCCCATGGCGCGCCATTTTGGAATGGCACTTGCCCCTTGGGATGTCATGGGCGGGGGTAAATTCAAAACAAAGGAGGAAATTGAACGACGCAAAGCTCAGGGGCAGGGTCTCCGTAGCATGTTGAATGCGGAACAAAGCGCAGAAGAAGCCGCAATGAGCGCAGCACTTGAAAAGGTTGCCAACGAGCATGGAATCAAATCCCTCACCGCAGTTGCCCTGGCATATGTGATGGCTAAAGCACCAAATGTGTTCCCTCTTGTTGGCGGCCGCAGAGTCGAGCATCTCAAGGAAAACATCCAGGCTCTCAATATCCGGTTGACAGCGAAGCAAATCGAATACCTTGAGAGCCAAAAGCCGTTTGACGTTGGCTTCCCAAGCAACTTTATCGGCCCGGATCCCAAAGTGACTGGGAAAGCGTCCTTCCTTTTGGCTGCTAACGCCTCGTATTCTTTTGTGCGGGCGCCCAAATCTATCACCGGCCCAGAATAGAACTAGCAATGTTGGCTAACAGATCAGTCATGTGTACATCGGGCACTTGTCAGCGATAAAAAAACAAAAGAAAAATAACATTGAAATTATGCCTGGTTGATTGTCCGCGGTAATCAAAACTGTTCTATCTACTGGCAAGGAGGAGAAAAAGAGAAAGAAGAATCATGATCTATTCAAACTAGCAATGCAGGGTATTTATACTCTGAAAAAGCCATATCAACAGTGCTCAGTCTGCCAGCAAACAGCCATGGTCTGAAGCCTGGACAATCACGTACTTCCCAGGAACAATTGCCATTGTCGCTTCGCTCTGGTTTGTGAGCCAGCCATTTCTTGACATGTTCCTGTGGAGACACCCCCTTTGGTGGAGTATTTGTCCTGTTTTGGAATGAAGTTGAAGAAGGGGTAGAGGAAGGGTTTTAATTGCCTTGTTGCCGTCTTGACTGGGCGTTCTTGTTGCTTTCTGTATTGTTAACAGCTGAAGAAATCAACCTTGGTGAATCAGCATTTATGGACTTGATGTAGTCCAAGATGGCTGTACTATATCGATGGAAATCGACAATAGTAATGGTTTCAGCTGGGTATTTAATAGCATTAAGCTCATTATCTTTGACGACAATGAAGATTTGTAGTTCTGGCACCGTCCCTAGTTCTAAAAGCATGATTTGCAGAGTATGATATGCAACTGTGGCGCCTCTTAAATCATAGAGTGTTTTATATCTCGTCTTTAGTGCAACGATGAACTCTTCTCTAGTTGAAAATTGAGTTCTGAAATCAATACATATCATTTCTCCATACAGATCATCACTGTGTAACGATCCCTAGAGAGGATCTATGTGGTATAGGTGCTGTCTTAATGGGTGACTCAAGCCACCAAGCAGCCTCAAAAAAAGAAAAAGGAACAGAAAAGGGAAATATTCCCAAGGCAATGGCAGAAATCTATCAAAACTTGCTCAGATCACAAGGTAGAAAGTTATACAATTATTCTTGTTGACTCAAAAGTCTCAGCTCAGATAACCGTATTTTTTCCGCAAAAGTATAGGCCATTTTGACCCTAAACACAGGCAAATTCACATCCATAATTCACGATATCCTCTCTACTCCCTCTTGCCACCAGGTACGGAAGAATCAGACCGGCGAGACCCGAGAGATAACCCATCACCACCGCGAGGCTGAGTTGTACTCTGACTCTCCTCAGCAGGCACAATACCCGAAGCTGTGATTGCACGCGTATAAGCATCGTCTCTGTCCAAAGAAGCCGTATCGATAACTGTGACAACATATAAATCGTCAGAATTGATATCCTTCACGCCTCCTAAGTCCAACACTTTACCTTCATCGAAAACCTGAGAGTTGTTGACACTGGACGCTTGTTCTACGTCTTGGTCGTGACTTTTGTCTTCACGACGATCCAGCCCCTGTAGGACTCGCACTCCGTATGACGCCGTTTCGCTCATATACCATACAGCTAACGCTCGCGTCAGTATCAAGATATTGGATACCGAATATTGCAGTCCACAAAGACTGAGAGAAGCCTGCAAGTTGATTGACTTACTCTTAAACGGAAGTATGGCAATCTTCCCACAAGCAACCGCAGACCCAAAGCCCACATTCCTCGCTACTTTCATAGCCGTCTCCGTTCGGGTTTTGCATTGCTGGACCTTCTGCACCGTCGGTACGGGTACATCATTGTGAGCCTGGACAATCTGGTTAGTTCTGGGTGTGTATTTAGATAAATGCCACTTGCGTTAAGCCGTGTTGGGCTTATTACCTCGCGTTTCCTGTGCGCATCTGCGATGTGAGAGACAGTAGGTTTGATGATTGCTTTAATCAAACTTTTGGATACGCCCTTTGCGTCGACGAAGAAGGTGGTGTTGAGTTTTTCTTCGGTGGACTCGGGTGTTTTATCCAATCTTGTGTGCACTGGGTACTCATCACTGCTCATAGTGGTTAGTTCAATCGTTGAGGTCGAACGGGACTAGCTGAGACAAAGAAAAGACCTACGGTTCCATGAGGGACCCGCCTCCTGTTGTCGAAATGACCACCCCATCAGTCCCGACTTTGCTGCTAATCGATGGTTTTAATTGCATATGATAGACCATAGGCCCCGTGCTAGTATCGTTGCATCGAACCTTCTCCCATTGCAAATGACGATAGAACGATTGGACAGCGTTTGTAGTGCCGTTCTCCCCCTGGATCGTCTGGCCTAGCCTGGAAGCAACTTGCTTCACATCTGGTCGTAGACAATACTGGAATGCTTCCACAAAGGTTTCGCTGCGCAACGTTTTCTCGCGGAGTGGAGGTGGGCCGAGACCTGCGTTGTAGATGGTTGTTGCCCAAAAGGGTTGGCTGGAAGTATCAGCGCTAATTCCTGGACTTTGGGGTCACGCGTAGATAGGTCAGGACAATTCGAAAATGGAAGGCTTACTCGCAAAGAAGTGGTAATGAGATCATTGGTTTCCCGTTCCTAACACCCTGCTTTACCGTTGGGATGTCCCCACTGGTCAACAAGATGGATATTCTGCGGATGAGCCATTCCTTAACTTTGTAGAGATCTTCAGTTAGTTTGATTATTGTGATAGATATATATCTTATTTAGTAATGTACTCACCATTTGGGTCATTCTCTAGCAGGAAAATCTTCGGCGTTTCAGAAATATCAATTAATTCTCGGAACCCACTTGGTATAAGAATATAAGCTCCGTGGCTTTGTGAAGCTTCCACAAGGCATTGAATGAACAAATCCGGGTGGTTCAATTGGGTTATATCCAGTGCAACGAAGACAGGTTCGATTGCGGACTCGAGAAAATCGTCTAGCGCTTTTGAAGGGGTGTAAGGAGATGAAGTTTCGATCGTGGGGTAGCCGGAAATATCTAATAGTTCGTTTTAGAAACCATCTCAGTCAAGTTGGAGGTCGAACTTGCGGATACCAATGGTGTCATCCCAGTCCTCCGGTTTTGGGAGCAATTCCGAGGACCACAGATAGGTATGAGGAATTTTGTGGTCTCTCAAAATCCCGGCTCCGTCAGATACAGATAACTGTTGTAGACCTAGAACTGCTTGTCGGAAATGATTGACAACGTGGTAAACTCTAGAACCCTGTCAATGACCATCTATATACGGCTGGATGATTCGTGGGTCAAGACAATACTTACTCATGCCACACCGACTCTCCAACCAGTAAATGGGACAGATAATTCTGCAACTGATAATCAATCTCACTTTCCGTCTCGATCTGTGCTAACGGATGTTCGAATCGTCTTGTCGGTGTCCAGGGGCTGTTGGACATGATATGAAGCGGGATGGACAACCGCTCCGCACAATGGATATGAGCGTGTGCAAGAGGCGTTGCGATGATGGCGTCCGCGATGAAGGGTTTAATTTCGCGAGAGCTGGGCTGGGTGCAGCCATTCCAACATTCTTTGAGTGTGTTTAGCAAGACCTTTTTGTTTTTCAGGACCTGTACCCTGTTAAGACCGCTTGAATCAGGCATGAGGCCAGAATCGTTTGTCTATTACGTATGAGCTTGTTTTTTATTCAAAAATTAATAAGCGTATGCATGGGACTCACCGCGATAGGATGCTCTGGGTCGCTGCTGATGGAGAAAAATTCTAATCCAGCCCTGTGGACGAGTGATTGGAAGATTGAATGTGCAGCGACTCGAACACGGTGGCCATGTTTGTGGAGTTCCTGGCCAACCAGTATAACGGATTTGCTCTCTTCTATGTAGTGACCCTGTATTAGCAGTGCAAGAGTGGGAGTGCGCTTCACAATGTTCTGTTCTTACCTCTGCTTCCCACAAGCATCAGAAGAATATCCAGTGGGATTTCATGGGTTCCATCTGCGGGGTTGACATCATCGGTGCTTTTGGTAAGTGAACTTGAGCTCGAATTGTTTGCTCGAATTTCTATAACCTGTGGTCGTTGTGTAGGTAATGAAAATTCTTGGATTAGCGTAGACGTGCGAGTTCCGGCACTTAAATCTATGCTAAAACGGCCGATATCTATGTGAATTAGGTTATTTTAGCAAAATCACTTTCAAATATAGACTCTTTTCCATATTGAATACCTTCGATTAGGACTGATTCCCGCCTTTCGTCCCTGGTGGTTGGTGGAGAAAGTAGTAGGTCCTCGGAGAAGAGAGAGCTATATGTAGGCGGCACCTCGTCAGCGATTAAATCTTCAGTCATTTCGTTGTTTTCGAAAATCTCCTCTTCCAGTTGTCTCAACTCTTGTTTGGAGGACATTTTGCTGATTCCTGGGCGGAGAAGTTCAGCAGCGGAAACACGTTCGCATTATAAGATGCACCAGGGGCGTAGGTCCTTTAGGCAGCTTCTTTTCTTTTCTTCTCCAGAATACCGCTATTAAGGTTTTTGATTGTTAGCAAACCTTCAAAAAGGGATCCACTGTCATATTCTTTTTAGGGGGGTTATATAGGCGTTTCAGAATATAGTATTGGTTCGGGTCGAATACGACCCCGAATCCGAGAACCACATCTGGCTAGGGTGGGGTCTCGATCTCGGGTTCGTATTCGGTTTCGGATATTGATCGCACTATTTTAAGCATGATTTCCACTAGATGTTCGAGATAAGCATAGATAACTTTAGATTTTAAATATTGGGTTTTCGGTACGGAGTAGATACTGGAGAGCTTTTTCTTCATCGCCACAGTTCATCAAACCCTGGAACCTTGGAATCTATGCTGCCTAAAAATATACCGAAACTTTTAGTGTCTAAAAATAATCTAGATATGTTCGAATGCCAGTATAGTTACGAAACATACATTTGGCCTTGTTAGTACCATTTTGTTTGCAAAAATGGCGAGCTCTACCTACGTCCTTTACAACTACACGCAGAGTCTGGTGGGCGCGATAACCTTTGCCGCGCTTTTCTTTTTATCGATTGCTTTCCTCCTCTACCAATGGATATAAATCCAATGGATAAGAAGTCATGCGAAATATTTCAATCCGTTTATTGTTGGAGGGTTATGTAAGTCTATGCCATCTTCATCAAGGTTCGCTTCACTAACTAATATATGTATCCATTGCAGTCCAAATCATAGGCTATATCGCCCGTGCCGCCGCTCATTTCAACCAAACACCAACCGCCCTCTACGCAATCCAGAAACTATGGTTTTTCTGGCACTGATCCTTTACCGCGGCATCTATTTACATGGTTATCGGAAGAATTATCAGCTTCCTCCACGATGAACATCTGAGCCATGTGCCTGTCTGTATTATGGCAAACGTCTTTATTATCAGAAGCCAAAGTACAACATTTGCAGCAGCCAAGTACACAACCGGAATCCAAACCGCTTGAAGCTGACAGACATATTTGATTTTTAATAGGCAAAAAAAGTATCAAATGAAGACATCGCAACCCCAACAGAGGCGTGATCAAGCACAGAAATTATTGCGACCCAGATATTCCTTGGTAGCTCATAAAGATTGTATGTAATGCTTCGTGAATGTGCATTTGACGGCAATGAATTACTGCCAGTGTTTACAGATAGAATGTTAAAAACGAGCTTTGGAATTTACGCTCGAACACTACTCACGGGATTTGAGAGATAGGGGTTACTTGACAGTAGCAACCTACTGTAAGCGCGGAAGTGGCGTTCCAATGTTGTGGCTCTTGATGATCTAAGCATTTACAACAGCCCAAATGAGATTACTCGAAGTATATATAGAGTGAGTAATTGTGAGTGATCATTGATAGATCTCGGAATATGCAGATGGACATAGTGTTTGATACACAAGTAGCCAATGAAGGAGGCTTGTGGGAACTATAATTGTGGCGGGTCGATGCTGCAGACCAATGATGCGCCTTGGGCCATCATGAGTCATGTTGATTCACTGGCGCTAACCTCAAAGCGGGTTGGCGCGCCGGACGGGGGTGGAGTATCTATGGATGCATCAATGATAGTCCACCTGGACACTTAGTATATAATGTTATGGTCTCCATTTGTTCATCTCTGCTAATTGAGCCACCTCACCATCTCAACTCCCTCCCACAGCAAATGGCCGAGAAACATTCCATCGAGGATCTACAACCCCCCGAGGCAAACAGCCTGTCGGTTGGCGATAGCGACTCTCGAGCAGACGATGCGAGCGACTATGAGCTGACTGGAATTTCCTTAGTCCTGGTCATTACTGGACTTGGCCTTTCTATATTTCTCATGTCACTAGACTCGTCTATCATTGCCACGGCTATTCCCCGGATCACATCAGAATTCAATAGCACCGGTGATATTGGCTGGTATGGAAGTGCATACTCGTTTGCGATGTGCGCTTTACAGCCGACTGCAGGTAAACTGTTTGCAAGCTTTGCGATGAAGGTACGGTTATCCAACACTTGCAGTTGGAGACGAGAAACTCACTAACAGTATTAGACCATGTTCCTCGGATGTCTTGCCGTCTTCGAGTTTGGTTCATTGCTCTGCGCCCTTGCTGTGAACAGTCCCATGCTCATCGTGGGGCGTGCTATAGCTGGAATTGGGGCAGCAGGATGCTTTACAGGAGCCTTCTGTATTGTCGCAGTTTCCATCCCGATGGTCAAGCGACCCTTCTATATTGGAATCCTTCAATCAACCTTTGGCATTGCTACCATCATCGGACCTGTATTAGGTGGTGCATTCACTGAGCATGTGAACTGGCGGTGGTGTTTCTGGATCAATCTCCCTATCGGCGCTGTCACCATCCTCTCACTGGTCTTCTTCTTCAAACCACCTACGCGCGACTCAACCAAAGCTCCGTCGGTTCTTCGCCGACTGCAGAACTTGGACTTGCTGGGCGCTTCTCTTTTCGCTCCGGCAATCATCATGATCTTTTTGGCTCTCCAATGGGGAGGGACCGAACACGCTTGGAAGAGCGCGACCATCATTGGTCTGTTCATTGGAGGAGCAGGTCTCGGTGTTGTCTTTGCCCTCTGGCAAATACGAAAGGGTGACGATGCCATGATTCCACCACGTCTGATCACCGACCGCACGATGTTCTTCTCCTGTTTCAGCGAGTTCTTCGCCATGGGCGCCGTTTACATTTCGATCTACTACCTTCCAGAATGGTTCCAGGTCATCAAAATCGCCTCGCCAACGAAATCTGGACTCATGTACCTCCCCTTAGCACTGTCAGATGTCCTCTCTGCAACCCTGACAGGCGCCTCGCTTAAGTATCTTGGATACCCAAATCCCTATATGCTCCTTGGAACGGGGTTGATGAGCATAGCAACAGGACTCTTCTCTACCTTCTCCCAAAGCACTCCCCACCAGCAGTGGATCCCATTCCAAGTCCTCCAGGGTCTCGGTGTGGGAATGACCCTCTCAATGCCCTATGTTGCGACACAAATTGTCCTCAAGCCTGAAGATATTCCTGTCGGTACCTCATTACTGCAATGCTTCCAATTCTTCGGGGCTTCCGTGAACCTCGCCATCGCGGAGGCAATCTTTGAGAACAAACTTGTCTCGCGACTGGAAAATTGGGGATTTGAGGGCCACGAGATAGAGACCATTCTCAGTGCAGGCTCCGCCGAAGCAAGGACCGTGGTTTCTGCAGCGCACCTTCCAGGCGTGCTAGATTCATACAATTACGCGATCACCAGGACGTTCTACGTCGCAACCAGTGTTGCCGCTGTTGCATTCCTCCTTTCACTTGCGATCCCCTGGAGGAGTGTCAAGCCAAAACATCAGGCTGCTATCGCTGATGAGGGGGCTAGGTCGTCAAGTCAGTAGGATTCAGTGGACCGGTCAGTCCAAGCAAAACACGCATCGAAGACGAAGGATTCTGGAATGTGAGCCCGGAATGTGAGCCCGGAGGGCATCGCAGATAATAATACGTCTTGCAACTTGAATTCTATTTAGAGGATTTGGAATAATGATGCATAGCTAGAGATATTTTAATACAAAATATGATGTTTATCCGGTTAAAACGGCATCGATCCTAAGTGCGAATTAAAGGGAACCGAAAGTAAGCCAATCAGAGGCTAGATAACCCACCTACCCAAAATACCATGCCATGCCCGCGCGGGCTAAGCACTAGGTCTGAGAGCTGGCGTTCAAACGGGGAATATCCCGTGGCTCAACCCTTCTTTGTCATATATCCTTTATGAGTGTCTCGTTATTAAATTATGACGGTTTGTCATTTCGACAACTGCCAGCCGCCTTAGTCGATAAGATAGATTTCCTGATGTTGCATTGCATTCAAGACATGCATATTAGCTCTAACAACCTTAGGTTTCATTTCAAAACTATTCTCATCGTTTATGTTTGAGCGGTCGCGGACTTCCATGTACAATTTAAGTCGAGAGCCATGTGGTCGTATCACCCTTGGACTGTACCTGCCCTACGAAACGGTGAAGGGGATGAATGCATTTTCTTCGGGGGCAATTGGAGGTCTTCAAAGCCGGTCAGCGGGAAGCATGGTCGCCGGGAGTTCTCTCCACAACTCCTGTGTGTCTGAAGACCGGGGTGAGATAGGTGAGCATGAGGTGGAATTGGAATTCTACCATCCGGGTCCCTCCTTCTAAACCCGTGCATCACGGGTATGTCCCTGGGCCTCTATCCACTTTTATTTCTTCCTTACCATCAACTCGGTCCGGGGAACGGTTGGAGATCGAATAACCTCGGGGTAAAGCTCCACAAACGTTGGACAATTCTCCAGGATTCAGAGCCAAGACAGCTACCCGAAATAACCGAAATAACCGGAGCTAGGACTGCTTTCCCCTCGGCTCGTTTGGGAGTCAGCATTAGCTATGTAATCTAAATAGCGACTTTATAACCCAACATAAGGCTGAGAAGTCGACTTGCCGTTCGACAACTAACTATTCAAATCCAATTTGTGTTCAGATTCAACACGCCGACAAGGCACAACCACGATAATGGCACCAAAAACCGCCCAATACCCCATTGTTGACGTGTGGGCGAATCTCCCTGGAGTAAGTATAATATACCTTGGCGTTATATAGTTCCGTCACTGACACAGGATATAGCTGGGAGCCGCCATCCCTGAAGTTGCTCGTCTGTTCGCTTACAGCCACTCCGACCCGGAGGTCGCCGACAAAAAGCGATCACCCGAGGAGGTCATCGCGTTGATGGACGAAGCAGGAGTTTCCCATATTTGTTTATCCGCATGGAGTCGCCCGGGGAAGATGATATTTTCCAATGAAGAGGTTGCCCAGTACACTCGCGCCTACCCGAAGCGAATCTTTGGTCTAGCTGCTGTGGATCTTCACAATCCCGTGAAGGCTGTCAAAGAGCTGGAACACTACGTTCGAACTGAAGGCTTTGTCGGTTTAAGGGTGGTGCCTTGGCTATGGAACCTACCGCCGACTGACCCACACTATTGGCCTCTTTTTGTCAAGTGCATCGAGCTTGATGTTCCGTTTTTGACCCAAGTCGGTCACACCGCACCTGCGTGTCCAAGTGAGGTTGGGCGTCCGATCCCGTACATCGATACTATCGCACTGAAATTCCCAGACTTGAAGATCATCATGGGCCATATCGGATATCCTTGGGCCGCGGAGACCACGGCTGTTGCCTGGAAGCACAAAAATGTCTATATAGACACAAGCGCATGGTCTCCAAAGTATTATGCTCCGGAGTTTATCACGTTTGCCAACACCACAGGCAAGGACAAAGTGATGTTTGGAACAAACTTTCCGCAGTTGGGATGGAAGGACTGCGTTGATAAAGTCAACACCCACCTGGTTGGGACCAAGGGTGGGTTTCGAGATAGTGTGGTGAAGGGCTTTATGGGTGGGAATGCTCTGCGAGTTTTAAAACTGCCGGAGACAGATCTACAAGGACCACGGTCAAATCTTTGATCAATATGGCGCGACTACCTTGAAATAAACATATCTGCCCACATAATACACTGGCTTAACTCTCTTGCTTGATGTTTGCCAGACCATCCAACGTCTTCTTTATGTACATAAATCTTACTCCTCCTCCGTTCCTCTTTCCAGAAGGTAATCTAAACGGAGATCCTTTCGCCAATTTCCCCCAAGATAAAGAATACTGCTTCATCCTTAAACACGATGATCTAGACACTGGTAAAGATGTATGCTTGCTGAAGTTGTCTGCCACTTGGGACTCATTAGGGCTTTTCTTGGAAATTATTTTTACAACCCTAAAAGCCTTGTGGGAGGCTATTCCTGGTGGGAAGTCAGGGCCGACACCCAGCCAATAGCCACGAACGAATGTGTTAGCTTTTTTGGCACCTAATTAAAATGAGTTGAGGGCAATCTTGTCGAAGACTTTGGCGGGCTATCCTCGGCATATCAGGCGCCCCGAAAGCGGACCGATCGGCGTTGATCGGAGTGTTGTGGATACGCTTCAGAGAATCGTCCATCTGGAATCTAGTTGGCTTGCTATATACTAGTTTCCTCCCTTATAATACATTAATCTGTGCCTCTTTCAACAATATCATCAAACTTCATCTCGCTATACATTACGATACAGTTTTGATATTCGTGCAATTGTGCGCATATCTTCTTTGAGTAAATGCAATCAAGCACCCTTCGCATCGCGGTCTAGGCTGACACGAAATACTTTCACACCGCCCCAATGGATTTAGGGGAGTATTTGTTTCAAAGACTTGCTCAATTGGGCGTTGGCTCTATTCATGGTGTTCCTGGCGACTACAACCTTACTGTCCTGGATTACCTCAAGCCTGCAGGCCTCCACTGGGTTGGTAATGCCAACGAGTTGTGCGCTGGCTACGCTGCAGATGGGTACGCCCGAATCAAAGGCATCGGTGCCTTGATCACTTCCTTTGGTGTTGGAGAGCTTTCGGCCATCAACGCTATTGGCGCAGCCTATTCCGAAAAGGCCCCGGTGGTGCATATCGTTGGCACGCCGCCACGAGCTGCCCAGGAATCAGGCGCCTGTTTGCATCATAGTCTGGGCGATGGCAATTTCAGGGTCTTTGCGGATATGTATAAAAGTGTCACGTGTGCGCAAGCCAATCTTGTGGATGTCTCGACCGCTCCTCAGTTGATCGACGCCACGCTGAAGGAATGTCTCCAACAAAGCCGCCCGGTATACATCGAAATACCTACCGACATGGTCCGGGCTAAGGTGCCGGTGCCGCAATTGCCAATCGACCTTTCAACTCCTGATTACGACGAGGCGTTCGAAGACAAAATCGTCAACTCTCTTGTTGCGCGCATCCAAAGCTGCAAGCGGCCTTTGATCCTTGTCGATGGTTTTACCGCCCGGTTTGGCGTCAGAGATGATATCAACGCGCTGGTCAAGCTTACGGGCTTCCCAACCCTCACCACGCCATTCGGCAAGAGCATCGTTGACGAAAATGTACCAAACTTCCATGGAGTTTATCTTGGATCAGCAGGTGGAGCGATCTATCAGTCATGGGTTGAAGGGTGTGATCTGGTTCTCCGCTTTGGAGTGCTTGGATCTGAAATCAACACATTTGGCTTCACTGCTCAGCCACAGCCCGCAGCCACGGTGACATTCGAAAAATACTCCGTATCACTAGGCACCACAGGTACGGTGCCTGTTAATGTGCGCCTTGTGTTCATCAATACCATACTGTCGAAATTATTGCATTTCCTGAGCGGCGTGAAGATTCCTACTCCAGAGCCGTATCCCGAAGACCCTTTCCTGCCGCGTGAGATTTTGAAGAACTTCCCTGAGGCTGTCGATACTGCCTCAATAGACCAGTATTCGCTTTGGCTTCGCATGTCTGCGTTCCTCCAACCAGGAGACATAGTGATGACCGAGACTGGCACTGCATCCTATGGCGGTCAAAGCTTCGCTCTTCCGGAGGGAACAACATTGATCAACTCTTCAATTTGGTTATCTATTGGATATATGCTTGGTGCCTGCCAAGGAGCTACTCTGGCGCAAAGAGAAATGGTTAAGGGTGGCACACGGCCCCCGGGCCGAACTATCTTATTTGAAGGCGACGGAAGTCTTCAGATGACCGCTCAGGCAATCAGCGACATAATCAGGAACAAGCTTGATGTGACAATATTTGTGTTGAACAACAACGGCTATACAATCGAACGAATCATCCATGGCTTCTCAGAAAGCTACAATGATGTTCAACAGTGGAGGAATCTCCAAGCACCAAGCTATTTTGGGGCTCTCAATGGTGATGCCTCATACCCTGTGCGAACAGAATCTGCTCAGAACTGGGGTGAGTTGCAGACTATCCTACAGCGACCCGATATTCAGGAGGGCAAGGGGCTGAATATTGTCGAAATTTCGTTGAGCATGGATGATGCACCGAAATCCCTGAGCAAGTTCGTTGAGTACCTGAAGAAAAGAAACAGTGGACAGCTGTAGTCTGCTTCTTTGCTCTGCACATCCTCGTCACAAAACGGGCTTGCGACATTATTCGCCTAGGCATACCTTACAAAGAATTTGATCCTGAATTGAATGCGGGAGGGGACCGTTATTAGTATACTATTGATGTAAATATCGTTCATACATTTTGGCATTTGACACGTTCCACTCCAACGGATAGGCAATGACTCCGTCATAAGACGTAGAAGTAGAATGAAAAGAAAACGAATCTACTGATTATACGTTACACTCAAAGCATGATCATTATTCAACTAAAACAAAAAAAGAATATATATATATATCCAATGCATTGGTCGTTGACGCTGCAGTACTCCGAGAAAGCAAAGAAGAGAAAGAGGTGTTAACGAGGTAGTTAATTCACCTATATATAAGAGCCGTGCATGTCTACTTTACCCTCCTTTTGATAGTAGGGGCTCAATGGATTCGTAGTTGCCAGTATCAAGAGGCCCATACTCCGTTTATCTGGCTTTCTCTCGATCTACATCCCGTGATACTCACCGAGGCTTGGATTATAGAGGTTGGAGCAAAGGAATCAGCCTGAAAGCCCTTGAGTGGCCATTATCATCAAAAGAGGACAATCTAGGTCGCTAAAACTATGTAGGTTGTCTTCCGACTTTGCACCAACTAGGCCTAACTTCTCTGAGCCCGGTCAAAGCAGCCTCCACAACAGAAACCCCGACCCTTTTACTGACGCGCCAAACTAGTCCTGAGACCGAAAGAATAAAATACGTGTTTTGCACGCCATCTCCAGCCTCCTCTAACCGGGATGAACAACGTGCCGAGTAGATCAGCCTCGGAGCCTTGTGGGTCATCCATGTTTATCGACTCCACTCCAGTCCGGTTGGTTTGATCAGCCCCACCTGATGCCGATGTCCATACATGTCCACTGGTAGCCTGATACTTCGGTTTATTTTCTGTGAGACAGATGGCTTAGGTAGGACTGGGATTTCATAATATAAGCTAGCCATTGAAAACCTTGCAAGTCATATTTCAGACATCTAATCAGCTTCTTTCTGAACACTCCACCCGCTTTTGGTCTTCTGGGAGCTAGCTTTCAAAATGTCCAGCCAACAAACATCTACCAAAGTTGACCAACCCCCGAATCTTCAACCCGAGCGCCAAGCGGTTGATCCCTCTCAATGGGCTGTAGCAGCACCTTGCAGTAGCGAACAATTCAAAACGAGAACGCACCAGAACAAGCCCTTTGCTCGACAATGGAACCGTAAGTGACCCCCTCCTATCCCCCCTAGTGCTGTTGATGGTTCACCAAGGATCAAATTCGCCTATCGCTATGGCAGTTGCTGAGAGTTCCATCCAGATTATTTGAGCTCGGAGTCTGCGAGTCGGACGGGATCGACCCTTAAGAACGCCTTCAAACACCTGAAAAACCCCAACATGATCTCCTTGGGTGGCGGCCTCCCTCTTAGTGATTACTTTCCGTTCGAGAGCCTATCTTTGACCATATCTTTGCCCGAGAAACCGAAGTCCGAGAAATCGCAGCCCGAGAACGGTGACTTGAATGGTGCAAATGCCCCCCTGCACGCTTCCAAATGTGATATCAATCAAGGCCGTAGTATTTACGACTTGTCTGTGGCCTTGAATTACAGCCAGGGAAGCGGTTCAGCCCAATTTCTGCGTTGGATCACTGAGCACACGGAGATAGTACACGATCCCCTCTACGCAGATTGGCAGTGTACTATGACGGTCGGGAACACATCGGCCTTGGATATGGCTTTGCGAATGTTTACTCAGCCTGGAGACTACGTTTTGTCGGACGAGTATACCTTCGCGACCGCGATGGAAACAGCAAAACCGATGGGGGTCAAGTTCACAGGCGTGAAAATGGACAAGGAAGGCATGCGACCGGACAGCCTCCGGGAGACACTCGAGAAATGGGATCCGACGGCGCATGCAAACAGCCGGAAACCTTTCTTACTATACTTAATCCCCACCGGCCAAAACCCGACGGGTTCGACTCAGAGCCTGGAACGTCGCCGAGAGATTTACCGCATAGCCCAAGAACATGATCTCATCATTCTGGAAGACGATCCGTATTACTTTCTGCAAATGGATTCTTTCTCACCGCAAGAAAGAGGAGATCCGACGACATGCGGTCCCCAGAAACCATCAAACCTGCTCAAGTCAATCGTACCGTCGTATCTTTCAATGGATACCGATGGGCGAGTGGTTCGCATGGACTCCTTTAGCAAGGTAGTCAGCCCCGGGGTCCGGTTAGGATGGCTCACTGCGCCCCAACAGGTGATCGAGCAATACAAGAACCACGCCGACGTTTCAACTCAAGGCCCTGGTGGTCTGAGTCAGCTGGCGCTGTTTAAACTACTAGACGAGCACTGGGGACACACTGGCTATTTGGAATGGCTCACACACATTCGCAAGGAATATACAGATCGACGGGACTTCATGATACAGGCTTGTGAGCGCTATCTACCAAGAACCATTACTAGTTGGGAGCCTGCTCAGGCTGGCATGTTTGTGAGCTCACCATATCTCTTTGCTGATCCACCCAAGACACTAATATTTTCTTATAGCAATGGCTCGCGGTAGATTGGCGAAAACACCCCGACGCCAAGATCAAGTCTGCTCTACAGATCGAGGAGGAGATCTGGCTTAAAGGCATCTCAAATGGAGCTCTCGTGGCCTGTGGAAGCTGGTTCCGTGCGACAGAAGACTCCTCTTGCAATGAAGTCTTTTATAGGGCAACCTTCGCAGCGGCTTCATTGGAACAAATTGAGGAGGCTGTGATGCGCTTCGGGGAAGCTCTGAAAACATGTTTCCATCTGTCCGATACAGTCGAATGAGCAGCTTTGCGCCGGATTTGTGGACTACGGGGCAGGCGTATCAATGCGCAAGTGGTAGTGTTAAGAGATGGCGGATAGAGGAATTTACATACCTAAGTAGATATATACATGTTTCCGCAATTCCTCACCAAAGCCTTATCTTTACTCAAGTTTTTTATTTATCCAAAATCGAGTTGTACTGGCATATTGTATCCACCCCTAGGCCTGGCTCTGGATATTTATAGGGTATGGTGCATAGAGAATTAGACGGGGTATATTCACATCCAAAGGCATATCCATGCCCTTGGAACCGGCCCGGGGGTGCCCAGGTCCAAGGTGCCCCCAAAAACATGACTCATCCGACGATGTCGGGCGGGCGGGCGCCCACGCGCCGATGGGCCTCCGCCCGATCGAGGAATGGGGTAAAAAGGTTCCTTCCTTTATTATTGCCCCGTTTTTCGCTTATCGAGGGCGAAAACGGCCGTCTAGCGGAGACATCCCTTCGAAAAGACGGTGGTATGGTTGTTAGATGCGTCGCGTGCGATCCTTGTCGGCGGGCAAAATTGGCCTGTGGCCATCAACGGCCCACATGCTCCCGATGCCGTCACCGGGGGCAAAGTGACCTATGTGCCTACAGAGCCCGTCCATTCAGGAGAAGGAATCATAGCAACAGCATTAATGGATCAGTGTGAGTCCTGCCAGCTTGACCCTCGTGGTGGTACCCAATGCCTTCGCGCTAAATTTCATTTGTTTAGAGAGGCAGCACCGTCACGAAGTATGGCTAGGTCACCGCCAGTCAATTCACCAGACGAAGAAGATTCAACCACTTCATCACTACCGCGTCATTATCCGAACCCTGGTTATCTTGGAATGTCAAGTCATTCCACTATATTCAATCAAGTCTTTTCATCTACGACGCCGCATGTCGCGGCACCTCAGCATGATGTGCAGCCACCTGCTCAACCTATTTCGCCCGCTCTAAATGATTCCATCCAGGATTTGGCCATTTCAGAAAAGGGTTTGTTCGCGTTAAGTCGCTTGGATCAACTGGACATACCTAAACTTGCATCTTTGGTGCGATCTTGGCTCGAGAGGGGCGTCAGTCTCCCATTGGCTGGGCCATTTGTCCCCCAATGCTTAAAGGCAGTCACAACTTGGAGTAACCATCCAAAGCCTTCCTGTAATAGTTCAGATTACAAAATTGATACCCGTCACCGGGTCAGAGTTCTCTTGGAGAGCACCCAGAAGCCCATTGTCGTACGGCAGGACTCAAGCTTTGAGTTATTTCTGAGTCAAATGCTCGGAGAAAATTTACGATTGGAGGCCCTCGGCATTTTCCTTGCAGCTGCAGCCCGAGCCACGTTGGACACTTGCTCTTTTCCGTCGCTGTTCGTAACAGATCGGCAGCGTCGTGAGCTCATCAAAACCATATCTCTTATTGGAGACTTCTGTTTGGAAACCTGTCTTGCACTCGATTGCTTGAATGATCTGCAACTTGTTTTGCAGTACGAAAATTTTATAGTGCACTCCCAAGTCGACGGAGATCAGAGTCAGTCGCTCCACGGTTTATATGTTACAGTTCACATTCGGGATGAGCTAACATTTAAACTAAGGCTACCACTCTTGGCGAAGGATGGGAGATGTTGCGAGCTCTCTTTTTGCCTTGGGTTACCATGAGAAAATTGGTGAGGGGATTCATAACATTCCCATTTTCCTCGCCGAGTTGCGGAGGGCGTGCTTTGCCCGTATATATGCTGCTGATAAAAGTTTGGCAATATTTCTTGGACGACCGCCACGAATTGTCAAGGAATACTGTTTCTTCCAGCTCCCGACTCACCCAGGGGTACGAAATGACGAATACACCGCGAGGTTTGATAATGATACTCAATCAAACCTTTTGGAAGTCAACTGGTGGATCAGCGGCGGAAATCAAGACAACCCCGAACCTATCAATTACACTGCAGACACCCGTTGCTCGGCCTTGTTTGCGTCACTGAAGGAGGAAGTATTGTTAATGTTTCGTAAACGCCACCTCAATGAAACAGAAAGGATAAGGTCAGCAAAGCAATACCCTTCCTATAAACGTCACTCTACCAATTGTGCTGATTTAAAAGTGGACTTCGATTACGTGTTGTCCAACAATGGCAGGAGTTGCCAGCTCACTTTCGTCTCGCCACTAGTCTAAAAGATTGCAATTTGAGCCCGTTCGAGCGGGACTTTCTTGCTGGGACTAGGCTCGATTATCTGCACATTCTCCTTTTACTCGGGCTGGTCTCACAAAAGAGAGCATCAGAACTAGACCCGTCTCTTTTAGAGGTTGCAAGCGAGATGCTTTCTATAACAGTGGAAGTAATCATTCTCCGTGATCGTTTGGTGAATTCTGGAACATCCCTGATCTGGAAGGTAAGTCTATCTCACACAACTCTGTTGGCTTCACCTTCTTATCAGATACATACTAGGTTGCACAGTACGGGCTTCCTGCGGCAGGAATCGTTTCACTGGCCCTTTTGCATCCTATAAGCGCGGATTGTAGGCCATTTCCACGGTCAAAGATGTTACAAGACTTAAGCACGCTTGTTGCCGAGATCTCAATAGGGGCATGGATCCAAGCTGGGGAGCCAAATTTTGCGCTTTTTACTCGCGCTACTCAAACGATTCGGAGTTTGCTGGATTCTCTGACTGCATGGAAACCACATACCGAGCTCTGCAGTTCACATCAGACCGAGAACACTGATCTCACGGAAGACTGGAATGCGTTCATTGACTCACAGCCTTGGGAATTCGAGATGGATTTCTGGGCTAATTTGGCAGAACATCCAACTTTAATTGGTTGATTGTTAACCAAGTAGAAATTGTATTCGGGTGACGATTAATCCCCATGCAGTCGTGCCCTTGAAGGCTACTGCGTCACTGTTTAGCAACTGAGTCTCGTTTTGAGGTTTGTAAACATGTCTTATCAGCCCCATTATAGTCATTGCTTATGGTTAAATAGAACCACTTAAGCTGGTATCGCTACAATACACTACCTTTCTCCCTGATGCGTTAGATTCGAGGGGATGGGTACTAACTAAAGCTTCTGACAAACTCGGGCTTGACACCAAAGAAACCGTTGGAATGCTATAACTAAACCCATTCTGCGATAATTGAGTATATTTGTCAGAAGAAAATTGTAGTTACTTACACTTACCTAACTTTCTAGGGCTGCCCGATCTCCAGACCCACATTGTTTGCCGAGATGAAAATAGACTTCGCTGGTTTGAGGTACCTAGCTTTCGCCTACCCCGCATTTCCCCAACCTTGTTATACTTTGTTCTCTTGTCATTCATTCACATCCTACTTGTAAACCGACATTTGAATATCAGGGATATGAGCTGTGATTGAGTTAACAAAGTCTACTGGAAAGTACGCTACATCCGTTCTATCGACATGAACCCCCTCGAGATACGAAATCCTGGGCTGGTAGATTCCAATTTCATGCCGTCCCCAACCAGGGTCCGCAAGAGAGCACGCAAGGCATGTCAGTCATGTCGCACCCGCAAAGTACGCTGCGATGTTTCAATACGGGGCTGTCCGTGTATGAATTGCTCTCTCGATGGTGAGACTTGTGTTGTCAGCGGCCGCTCATCAAAACTGTAAGCTGGAGACGTAATCGGATGATATCAACCTGTGCTCATATGACAGTGTCCGAGTTCAAGCCGATATAGGAGATGCTACTGTGCCTTCTCCTACTGCTGGCGTACCAGGCTTACCAGGCATGCCGCATGTGCCTGTCACAGAGGCAGCTGAACGCGGCGGGGAATGGGCGTGAGACCGGCCGGATTCCCTGCAAGAAATGTCTTCTTCGTCATTGAAGGAGAATAATTGGGCCAGTAGCGAAAATACTGAGGTCTTCGGATGGATAAAAGATGTTCTTGGTGGCCATATCAGCGGTACTTTCCGTATCCATATCTGGGATATTCTGCCTGCCTTGTTGATATTATATGGGAATATCTTGCGTCAGGTGATGGCATAAAGTCGGCTAATTGGCTCACCGTATAGCCTCAAATGACGCCCTTTGTTTGGAAAGCCTCACCGCGCCCGGCCGTCCCTCCAGTGGTGTTGATAATGACCGGATACATGCCAAAAATCCCAAATGTTCCCCCGATGTTCTCTACTGCCACTACCCATTCCTCAATATTAACAACATTCACAATATTCCCTCTCATTACCTCAACTTTCTCGAGCTTCAAGGTTGTCTGCGGGTTCCTACGCGAGATCTGTTGTACGAGTTGGTCCAACATTACTTTCTTCATGTACACCCGATTTTGCCACTGGTGAATGAAGGTGACTTTTGGGGCCTTTATTTCCATTCCGCTGATGATCCACCGAGGAAGCCAATTTCTTTATTGGTTTTCCAGGATATCTTATTTGCATCGTGTAACTTCATATCTCCCTCTACGGTTCATGCGCTTGGCTTTTCCAGCATACGGGTTATGAGAGCTTCATACTACCGTCATGCTAAGCTTTTATATGACTTTGGATCCGAATCTTCCTCTCTTCCAATTGCCCAAGCAAGCCTTCTCCTTAGCTTTGCATCCCTCTCCGCATCTAGAAAGCCCAACATCTCATGGCTCAGCATCGCCATTGAGAACGCAAGAATTGCCGAGGCACACCTCTACGCCTCGATCCCCACAACTTCCATTCTGCCCCAAGAGCGAAACATCTTGAAAAGAGTATGGTGGTGTTGTATTATTCGAGACCGTTCTACCGGACTTCTAATGAGGCGTCCAATCCAAATCACAAAACTTCACTTTGGTTTCGCGGCCCAACCTCTATGCGCTTCGGACTTCGCTGACGAATTTGAGCGATCGATAGTTTACGACTCTGCAACCAAGAGAAGACTGGCTGATGTTTTGGCTCAGTGGATTGAACTGAATATTACGATGACAGATATTCTTATGCTTGTTTTCCCGTTCGACGAAAGGCGAGACATGAGCTCTGAGAAGAGGCTCTCTGATACCAGTCAGCTTTGCGAGTCCAAATTGGCATTAGAACGATGGTATAAATCTGTGGTCCCACGGCTTCCCTTTGCTTTTGCCACAGAGAACAATCCATCGTCAATCGATCCGGAACCCGATACGGACATATATCATTCATCCGTCATCCTCTACACCAACCTTATGCTCATGTATTACCACACATCGCGCGTTGTATTGAGCCATTACGAATTGCTTCAGCTGGACATGTTGCAAAGACATATTAATGTGAACACTGCGCTTCGCCAAAACCTCTCGACGATCGTGAAGACTCGACAGGAGTTGGAAGATGCCGCCCTCTGTATTACTCAGTGCCACAAAGAGCTGGTTAGCCGGGGGCTTGACAGGTGGCTACCTGTTTCGGCTATTGGTTGCACAGCCCTCCCCCTTATCCTTCATATTCTGGACACCTAACTATCTCCTCGGGCTGACTGTGTGACACGGAACGACCATATACCGTCCGGTCAAAAGCATAATCAGCTCAATGTCCTCATTCAAGTAATGAAGACATACCAGTTGCAGTAAGATGGCGTGGATTGGGTGACAGACATCGTCCGTCATATCATGAAGCTTGCTCAGCTTGATGAGCCAGGTCCCAAAATCCAGGCAAACGGCATCAATTGGACTGATGTCCTTGTCTTCCAGCCAAGCTCATATCTCCGTTTGACGTTGGTATTGGACCTCAGTCTGCGAAAGGGGAGACTAGCCGAGGATGGAGACTTTCCCGTGAGCCTTAGAGGCTTGTTTGCTGCCGAGCTTAGTCCGCTCCAAAGTCTGGTCCAAACCAACGGGACAAACCGCATTGAAAAACCTCATCACGACTATATCTTGTCTCCAAGAACGCTTGACCCCTCTGCTCTTTTGTTCGATGATGAAGGATCTCGACCGCAAGAACAGTCTCCTATATCAGGTATTCAAGAGAATACTCTTGAAGGTTTAGAAGACGAGATTTATTTGCATTTGGCTGGCGGGATGACAGGCAAAGACATGTCTTTTTCACACGATTCTAGCGTTTTCGATGTCTGATCTGATGGACTTCCTGGCCAGTGGATGGGTCTTGGAGTAGATAGTTTGTCTAGGATATCCATGATGACGATCGGAGAATTCTCAGTGAGCGGCTCAGTGTGCCTATGTAATACTAAGTGAGCGGATGAGACCGCTCATGTGCTTAACGACCAAAAGGCGGCAAGGTCTAAGCATTAAAACGGAAAGGGGAAGCCAAGAAGTGGCAATGAAAATCCGGCATGTAGGTTTAGAATTATAAAGTAGCAAATACATAAAATCGAAGCACTTCTCTGCTTGTGTCCGCGATGAACGAAAGGAAAATGTGTATGAACATGCTGTCTAAACAGATCCAGAGCGAGGCCAGTATATGCTACCCTAGAGAATCGTGCGCCACGAGGCTAACATCTCTTCGCTGTTACCCAAGTACTTTCCGCGCTGGTTAAAATCCTATCATCACTATTAACAATCTCAGCCCTTGTAAACCACTTTCGCCCCTCTCGCCCTGCCAGCTTTGATCGAACGAGGAATACACCCGGAGTAGTTACAGGAGCCGCATATGATATGTTCATATTGACGGTGAAGTGGGTGTCTCTTGGCCCGGGTTCGCAGATATTATTGTTGTGTAGAAGAATCAAGTTCCTCATTATTTCATCAAATATTACCCCTTGGAAGCCTCCATGAACAATCGAAGGATGAGAATCTAGGCCCCGGCCAAGAGACACCAAGCAAATGAGTTCGGGTGGGGTAGTCGGATCCGGGGCAAAATTGAACGGCTGACGTCCGGGATGTAAAATCACTTCAGGAGTCTCGAGGTCTTTCAGTTGAAGTGCGAGAAGGTGAGGTATGGTTGTGTTGCTGTTGGCGGTTTGAGCGAACAAACGGTTTTCTCCCGTGTGCTCGTTCAAATGACGTGAGAAGAATGGGATGACTTTGTAGGCATGGTTTTCCAAGAATTTGCGAGTCCATAGCAATGAAGAGAAATAATCAACCGTGCTCTGAGGAGGTCTTTGCCTTTTCATGAAACTCTCCAGGAAATCGGATCGTTCCACCACATTCCTGAGCGTGGTGGTGGTAGCAAGGCGACAACGACCAATCGAGGCTCTATGTGCAAACAGAGGATGGGTCGAAATACGCCAAGCCATTATGTGTTCATGAAGAGAGTAGCTGTTAAATTCTTTGAGAGAAAGAATTGCCCTTGTGGTCTCTCACCTGACTGAAGGTCCTCCCCACCATTCACTATTCTCCAGCCAAGAGAGTGCTGACTACCCCCTCTTCTGGCTTGGTGTCGAGTTAGCCTTCGCTCGAGCCTTTTCTAACCTCGGACCGATCGGATTATTCGGGAGTGGCGGCTACCCCGGGATTTGCAGCTTCTCCGCAGAAGAAGTATTCCAAGGTTGGCTTTGATCCATGGATATCTGTTTTGGGTAAAGGTGGACATGATATAATCTCACACGTATCCAGGGCCCAGGTGGATATCGACACTAACACATATTGCTCGGCCTATATTCGGAATTCATGGGGCAAACCAAGGTAACAGAAATGTGCATCTACATAGCTATGCTAAAAAAGAAATTGGCACACAAGTAGATGCAAATTGTTTCAATTACAGACAGACAGACGCCTTCAGGCTAGGGTGGGAAACCAAACGAAAAAAGGCCCAACACGGGTCCTAGGTAAGTACAAGTGCGACGCGTTAACCAGTGCGCTACTAGGCCAGTTTGATCCAATGAAAACCGAAATTGAAAAATGTAGGCCGTGGTGTGCAGATGGCTGAGTAAGCTACCTCAATACAAAGGCGCTAGGCCCATTGACCTGTGATATTTTGCTTTCGAGCGCCCCTTAGACGAGGTGTGACTGTACGGAGTAAGTTGCGGCCCCTTGACTAAGTGTGATGTTGCAGGGTTTTTGAAAGCAGTCAGAGGCCACCGAGCAAACGGCTAGTAAATAGCTACCGATCAAACACTCTTGAGGCTTCCAGGCCACCCATCCTGTAGTTAGCAGTCGTTACACTGGCTCCAAAATTCGTTTGATATTAAAAAGTGTCAGCACTTTATGTGTAATTTATTGTCGTTTTTAGGAATCAAATCACACTTCCATAATACAATTTGGCCTCATCTATGGCCCCATCACATTTTTTACGCTGTGGGTCTTAAGGCTTAAATTTCGGGACTGCCCCTGAAAATTTTGGGGCCATTTCGGGGCCATCTATGTAATAGCGGCTCCATATCGGGACTAAAAGCTCGCTTATAGCTATTCCCCCGAAAACTTGACAGTGAACTCTCGAACGTTTGAGGGTAAATAATCCTAGGTATTTATAGACCGCGACCTACCCTTATTTTCGTCCGGAGTTTATTTTTCTTTCACCAAAGACAGACTCACTCCTCAGCTTTCGTCTCTCATTCCTTACTACTAGGAATAATTTATTTCAACTGCTCCTCTTGCCCTTCTCAAATTCTCAGGAAGATGGCCTCCGCCACCACGATCTTTCGCCTCTTCGCGTTGTCCGCTGCTTGGGGCCAGGCGACTGCTACCTTCAGTCTCAATACCTCTGGTCCTAGTTGGGACTATACAACCAAGGACTTGGCAGACACGACGTCACAGGCTTGCAAGGACGCCTACAGCGCCAGTATCAACTGCGATGAAACCCTCCTCAAGATCGTGGCGTCTATGGATCCTGACTTCGACCCGCAATCTTCGGACTTGCAGGCTATGTGCACCACGACATGCAGTGATTCATTGTCCCAGTACATCAAGAATGTCAAGGCTGCATGTGGCAAGGATGGCGATCTAGCTGGAATTTCCAGCGGGAACAAGAATGTTTATGAGGCTCCGGTGGCCACCGTGGGCGAGGTTTTCCAGTACAAATACGGCCAATCTTGTGCCAAGAGCGGGTGAGTTCGGTATATAGTGGTTTGCTCAGGGTGCATGTGCTTATATTTTCGCAGGTCTGATTACTGCTACTTGACCTATCCCGAAAGCGACGATTGGGCCAAAACCGACTTCCCATGCAGCGACGAGTGTGCAGTCAAGTTTTACCAAAACGCACACGAGCAACCTGGCTCAGCATATTTCTTTACCTACTTTTCTCTTGGTACCCAATCACCATACTGGGAGGATACCTTTGCCGGTGGTTGGGAAACCGTGGTTCAATGCGGCGATGGTGAAAGCGATGTAAGCTCCGTTAGCACGAGCGCAAGTTCAACAAAGACCGATATCGTTGACATTTCATCTTTGACCAGCTCAATTAACACCAAACTGGCTGCTACTACGACCTCAACACCATCTGCAGCCATGACAACCGCCACACCGGTTCGGTCTGCCTCTGAGGCTACTTCAACTACGGCCACCAGTGGCGCTTCGAGGCTCAGAGCCTCCTTTTTCTTTTAGAAAATTTCTGGGCAAAGATAACGATGAAAGCTTAAATGCTTCATGTTCATTCTCTTCAACGATTCAAGTAAATTCTACCCTTGTCCGTACTATAACAAGTCTGCTGGCCGACCGGCAAAAAGGGGTAGCAAGATATTTGTTATGGTGGCTGTATGCAACAAGGGTGTATTTAAATCTTGAAGTGGACGCAGGGAACTGATTCATTTCGGTGTGAATTCTTTGGCTGGTTTAGATAGTACCACAATGAAAGACTTGACTTGATCATTAATAGCAAGGTATCGTCATTCTCCTGGTTATAAAACAGACGTGTAGCATGGTGTTTGTCTTTGAGTCCTCGCCATAAATATCTAATTATTGGCAGTCCGACTTCATATTTCGGGTAGGCGTGCACCCTGTTCGAGAGCGGGTACGTGCATTGAAGTTCCCTGTATAGTCGGATAGACTTAGTCCCAAAAGAACCGTTGGTTTACCGACAACTTTTAGGCCCGGGGTCTCCTCGGCCCTCGGGTGATTTTAAGTGTTTCAGTATGCGACATGATCTACTGATTGGACTTGCGGTCGCAGATCTTTCTGCGATATATATTCTTTAAGCTATTAAGGGTAGATTGGACTTCTCGATTTCTACCAAACATACCTTTACCCGATACTCTTTCCATATCACTTGGATAACATCATGCCCATCGAATCGCAATACGAACCGGTTCAGATCCCTAAAGTGGACCTCTGGGACTTCATTTTCGAGAGTAGAACAAGAGAATTTCCAGTGGAAAAGCGTAAGTTCTCCACGCCCTCGAGAAAAATTCGCGTAACAAACATTCTTCTAGCTATATACGTGAACGCTCAAACCAAACGGCAATATACGTGGTCAGACACGAAAGCTGCAGCTTTGGAATTTGGGACAAGTCTTCAAAGGCTATGGGACTGGAAGAAGGGAGATGTGCTGGGGTTGTTTTCTCCGAATTGCATCGACTCTCCTGCCATTGTGCTTGGTACCCTATGGGCAGGCGGAACAGTATCTCCCGCTAACCCGGCTTACACTGTCGATGAACTTGCCTTCCAGCTCAAAGACCTCCGCGCAAAGGCCTTGGTGACGCAGTTGGCCTATCTCAACGTGGCTACAAAGGCAGCTCAGATTACCGGAATCCCCGAAGATCGGATCCTTTTGATCGGGGATGCTTTAGACACGTCAGGCAAATTCAAGCACTTTACTCTGTACCGCGACATGCGTTTCAAAGGTCCCCAGTGCCAGAGGCCGACTATCGATCCGAAAAGGGATCTTGCCCTGCTCACTTATTCATCTGGGACTACTGGTCGCCCAAAAGCTGTCATGTTATCACACGAAAACCTGGTTGCAAATCTGCTGCAAATACAGACAACCGACGAAGAAAATCTGAAACCTACCGGTGGTGATGATGATCAAGGAGATAAAGTTCTCGCAACAGTTCCATACTTTCATGTTTACGGTATATATCCTCGTCCCTTGTTGTCGAGAGCCGTTGCTGATGACCAAAAGGCTTCTCTATCCTTATTTTAACGCCTGCATACAGAGGGCTCACTACTATTGTCATAAGCAAGTATGACCAGAAAGGATTTCTTGATGCAGTGCAGTCCTTCCGCCCTACATATGCTGTACTAGTACCTCCAATTATCTTGCAACTTGCAAAATCCCCCCTTGTCGACGCATATGATATCAGTTCCTTGAAAATGGTCATGTGTGGTGCCGCACCTCTGACTCGGGAGTTGATAGAGGAGCTTTATCAAAAGCGCAACCTGCCTGTGCGACAGGTATATGGTCTCAGTGAAACAAGCCCCGTGGCTCTAGTTCAGGTCAGTGACTACCCTCCCATCCATATCGTTGAAATTTAGCTAAACGTATACAGCGCTGGCATAACTGTCGTGAGAAGCCTGGTTCTGTTGGCACTCTTCTTCCAAACATGACTGCGAAATTCTATGACGAGGAAGGTATCGAAATCGCGCCAGGCCAAACAGGAGAGCTGTATCTCAAAGGGCCTAATGTATTCCTAGGCTATCTGAACAACCACACAGGAACATCAGCATGTCTGGATGAGGACGACTGGTTCAGCACAGGCGATATAGGTCATGTAGACCAAGGCGGAAACTTCTATATTACTGATCGCGCCAAAGAACTCATCAAGTACAACGGTTTCCAGGTGGCTCCCGCGGAGCTCGAGGGTGTCCTTCTCGACCACCCGAATATCATGGATGCCGCAGTCGTTGGTGTTTATTCAAAAGACCACGTCAGTGAATTGCCTCGTGCGTACGTCGTTCTAGCTCTAGGCATTGGCAAACCCTAAAATGAAGCATAAAAGATTGTTTTGTGGCTCGAAAAGCGAGTGGCTCCACACAAAAGGCTCAGGGGTGGTGTTCGTTTTGTTGACGAAATCCCGAGAAATCCTTCTGGAAAGATTTTACGGCGAATGATTCGAGCGCGACTCAGTGAAGGTGCAAGTTTAAGGAATGAAATCACAGGGGCAAAATTATAGATTGAACTGCTTTTCCTTCGGTCCTTTTGAATCTTATTGTATGTTTTTTCATGCCTACGATCCCCTGATATCCGGACTTTTTAGAGCAAGAAATCACATACTGGCGAGCAATGTAGATGTAGACAAAAGCAAACGGATAGCTATCGTTCCTAAACACAGAAGACGCTGATCCTCGCTGCTCTGTCCAGTTAAAAAGGATGGGCTCTTTCTGAACGTACTCGACTGTGGTTGAGATACGCTGCTGCATAGCCGTCTCCAGGCGGTGATGTGCTTTTTCGAATCCTTGTCTTCAGATCGTGTGTATCTTGCTGGGTACTTCCCTCTACCATACCCTAGTGCCATCATTGACAGTTGTAGGTATTGTTCCTCGCGAAGATCACTTGGGATCTACTAACCATCTTGTTGAAGTCTCCCCGCACTGATCGAACCTCGCATTCCTCCCCCCTCCCGCATACTACCCCCGTTCACGCAAATTAGTCGAGTCGCGGTTTACTCTTCGTACAACGGCGGTACTGAGCTCCACTCCTGACGTCCATTTCTCACTTCATTTCTTTGGTAACCCGCGAACCACCGCCCAAATGCTTGTCGGCTGTACAGGTGCTCAGGTGCTCCTTCTCCTCCCGTAAGTGATCATCGAAATTCACAGTTGGACAGTTGAACTAACAGCTACCCGGCAGAAACTGGCAGCCAATCAATGTAACCTGGTTGTCCTTGAACTTCAAAACACCCCAGAAACGTGCGATTGCATATGCGGTATACAGTAAGAAGCAGTTATCCTTGATCTTGGGGATAGTATAATTGCTGACAGATGATACCGTAGTCGGATGCTCTAACCTAGGGGGCACATACGTCAACCAAGTATTTAGAGCGGTACGTAAACCTTCTTTCAACGGTACTTGAATTTCGTTCAGCGGAGGACGTCCAACTGACACTGAATGTAGAGTGACGCTCCTCTCTATCACGCCGCATGGATTGCCTGTATATCCCTGAGATCAATCTGACTCGCCAGAATAATCACACAGACATTCGGCTTTCAGTGGGCCAACCGGGGTTTCGCAAAGAAATTGGCAGATGACCTGGGGCTAGAATCGGACTTCACACACATCGATAGCAATGGACGACAGTATCATTATCATTGGTGAAAGGAGGATATGGTTACTGTCCATAAGAGATATTACAGAAATGGAGGGTTCCTACGGCTAGTGAGTGTTATAATCACCGGCATAGCATAGCTGACTCTGAGGCCTACCGGCCGAACCAGCTAATTGCTCCATAGAAGATCGATATTGGAGTAAACACAGAGAGGAAGAGGAAGGAAGACTCTTGTTGAGATAAGTGTATGGTTGTCTGGGATTTCAGGACAACGGCTTAGCTCAGGATATTTAGTCGATCATTGGCTCCGAGAGGCCTTGTCTCTTCACACAATCTACTCTGTTTGCTCACTCTTCCTAGTTTCTGCCATCTCATCAGATCTGCTTAAATATCTAGGATCCTGACATCACAGGGGCGTGAGGCCACCAAACAGAAACTTATCATTATTTCCCAGCGGTTCTCCATCCCGAGGTCGGGCTATGAGAACTCTGCTGTTTGATTATCAAGATTCCCCTCCAATCATAGCTATAATATTATGCGGGAACCAACAGCAGAAACTACGTCGGTATCGCTCACTTGAAATTCAAGCTTCCCAGATGTCTCGCAGTTCCTCGACCCTTCAGCTGACTAGGTCATACTAGCCTTTGCACCATCTCACTCATCCTCATCACAGAACCGCAGATTCCTACAGCATTTCCACCAGGCTAAACTCAAATCCTACCTATGCACTGATGCGCATGCTCCCCGTGAACCGCTTTTCGACCTTTTCTGACGATCTTTCCATAACCTTCACCTCCGGCAGGAACGAATATACGGTCGTCGACGCCGATCTTGAAAAATATCGCCCAAGGCACAATAAAGACAATTTTTTCCCTTTCGCTCTGTGGCCTTTCACGTGGATTCCATTCGCGATGAATAATTGGCGCATCACCCAGTGAGACATCTGTCGACCAAGTCTCCCAAAGAAGCGAAGAAGGGATACCGGGTTCCTTAGTTTACTTAGCGACCTACCCTGTTCTACAACGCATGGCTCTCTATGTTCTCATTATGCATTGGAGATGCAGTTAGCAAATCCCGGGTGATGTGACTACGACCGAGCGAACATTACATATTACAATGTACCTTGTTGTCGACTCGTGGTACGTGTGTCTCAACAAATTAGCGACGTGCCACCCCGACCTCGAGATATTGGGGAAGAGTACTTCGCTCCCTTCAAATTCTCTCCTACAACCAGCTGTCTCGAAAAGGTGGAACTGATTGTGAGAAGTATCAATTCTCCCTTTCGTCAACAGTTGGCTGCAGACACATGGAAAATATGCCAAGTCATTTGTCTCCCACGGGGATGACAGCTTTGGAATGGAGCTGCTGCGACGTCAGTGCAGCAATAGTCCGATTTAAATGTTATGCAACTCAGACAATGCGTGTCTCATATAGCTACCTACTCTCCAGGCAGATTACGCCTAAGCGCACGAAAACTAATCTGCTGAACATATTGCAGCCTCAGATGCACATTGCATTGCAGACAGGTCCAAGTAAGCTCGGTCGGGTTGACTAATTAAAGCTCAATTAATTCGGGATGATCAATGATCACTTCAATTGACCAATCGAATCCAACGAATACATATCTCTTAATCCCAAGACTATCAACGGCCCTTAGGTGGGCTCCTTCCAGCGATAGGGCTCCCGACCCTGGTGCAGGAATGAACTGATAGCGGGCCCGAGAGAGCGATGAGTTGTTCACAATGACACAACAAATATCTTCATTTTTCTTGTTTAACCAACTCTAATTGAACGAAAAAAGAGCGGGGATCACATTGCAAGGGATGGGCGCTAATGACAACGCGTGCACCGCGCCAGTCTAATGAATAGACCACCCACCCCCTTGATGGAGTGGAATAGGAGGGAGCATTGACAAATTGCCTGAGATCGGACCAGTCTTGCTGCAAGGCTGGTTCCTTAGATTGCCGTCCTCCTGCATACATATTTGCGATTTTGGGCGGGTTTCTGTCTCACAACAAGGCGATCATTGCAGATCAGGGGCCTGGCGATCCGCTATGGTGGGCCACATTGATTTTGATCGCCAATCAAGTCATCACAACCGCAAAGAATGTACAACGAATATTTGGTTAGGATATGCCGCAATGTCTCTAGGAGCCAGGTTTGAATATCGTAGCTGTCATATTTAAAGCGAATATGTGCTGCGAGTTCGCATCTCCGCTTGAATATGTCCGTCCCTTTTCCTTCAACATCCACCAACCATGTTGTTCTCTCGCCACGGTCTTGTGGCCCCTTCGCTTGTTGCGCTGCTTTTGACAGGAAATGCAGTCGCTGATGACGCAAGAACAAGAGCCCGAGATGCGCTTCAGACCCTTCAGGGCTGGTATAACCCCCAAAGTGGCATTTGGGATACATGTGGTTGGTGGGATGGTGCGAGCTGCATGAATACAATTGCCGATTTAGCTGCCCTTGACCCATCAGTAATGGATACAGCGACATATGTTTTCAATAACACATTCAACGTGGGCCCAGTGTCCAATCCGAATCCCGGACCTGAGCATAAGACTGTTTATACTCGAGATAACCAACCATCAACTTCCGTGAACGCCAGCCAGTGGCTCGATCAAGCTTACGACGATGATGGATGGTGGGCCCTTGCATGGATTGCCGCGTACGATGTCACTAAGGAGGGGAGGTATCTGGAACTGGCTGAGGGAATTTTTGAGAGCTTGGTATGTGTAGCCCGGGACTCTATATCTTTGGACGTTTGCTTATTCTTTCTAGGCGAACGCATGGGGCACCAACTGTGGCGGTGGCGGTCTTCCTTGGAACCCGACCAGCACATACGTCAATGCGATTACGAACGAGCTATTTCTCTCCGTCGCGGCACACCTTGCAAATCGAGTCCCCGAGAGAAAACAATACTATGTCAGCTGGGCTCAGAAGGAATGGGACTGGTTCACGAGCCAGTCCTTCATTGGTGAAAACGGGACCATCAATGATGGCCTTTTAGACAACTGCCAGAACAACGGAGCTACCGTGTAAGCATTTTGTTTCCCGATGATTTTGATTTTTGGCTAACCTTCAGCAGATGGTCGTACAATCAAGGAGTTGTTCTCGGCGGATTGGTTGAATTGAATAGAGCGGCACCCAATAGTGCATACCTGCCCTCGGCCAACAAGATTGCAAAGGCAGCCATTGCGACATTGGCTGACTCGAACAATGTTATCCATGAATTCTGTGAGCCGCAATGCCTCCCAGATGGGACACAATTCAAGGGAATTTTTATTCGCAACCTACGGATGTTGCAGGAAGCATCTCCGCAAGATATTTATCGGAATGTGATAGATAGCTGTGCGAACAGCATCTGGAATAATGATCGAAATGAAAAGGGACAGTTCGGCGTCAACTGGGCTGGTCCCATCGTTGCAGTTGTGGATGCATCGACGCATAGCTCGGCCCTCGATGCATTGGTCGCGGCTGTTGCTGCACTGGGTACCTAGCGATGGAATCTAGAGCCATTTCATATTTTATTTCGGCTTTTCAAGTCCACGGGGCTTCAACGGATTTCATGTATATAGATTCTTCGTTCTGCATATATACCAACTTTCAGTTCAACATTCACGGTTCAATGGTTTCCTCTCGCTTTCTAGTATGACTGTGTTCGCTTCGTCCAGACAGGCTGTGGAGCGGCCTGAGGTTTGGTGTAGCCTGACCGAATGAGGGATGTGGGAACTAATTGCAACCCTCCCAGTGTTGCGCCCTGCTTGTCCTGTGCCCACACTGTCAAGGCTATATGATTTTCCCCCTCGTGGTTGAGAATACCCTCTGGAACAGGGAAAGCTGTTTGTGGGCCGAGGTTGTTGACTAAATTAGATTAGAGTTAGTGGATTCGACGTTTGAACCATGGAATCGTGTCCAATGAACCAAAGGGATAGATACTGTATTTTCCGAATTGATATCCGTTGATGAATAGCTGGCACCTGTAATTGTTGCCTCGAGTATTTTCCTTGGTACTATTGAGGATTGAGTTGTTGAACACCACGCTCATTGGGACATCCCATCCACTGGGGATGTTCAGCCGGAACGATGCAGCATATAATCCAACACCTGCGTGCGATAAGCCATCTATGACTGGGTCTGACAATTTCCATTTTGAGCTTGGCGGGCTGGGATAATGGTATCCTTGCCTCTCAGCATACATGCCACCTTCATTGAGAGGGCCACGGGTGAGATCCTGATACTGCTCTCCTCCAAGGTTGCCTGTCAACTTCCACAAGACGTCGGATTGGGGGTGACCCGAAATCCCGTAGTTCAAAATGCCTCGAGGGAATTTAATTGCATCAGTGCCAGGAGCCTCCTCATCTTGGCCCATGTGATCAATAAGAATTGAGATCACATAGGGGCTTCCCTGCGACAAGACGGATGACAACGACATGTTGTGGATAACCGTCGAGTTGGCACCCGACCCGACCCATGACCCGAGGAATGTGTTATTCAACCAAACGGAATGTCCAAATCCCACGCCACCAGATACATTCAACCAAACATTGGATTCTTGGCCATTGGCGTTAAAATGACCACGGTATAACAGAGACCCTGTGTGATATCCGTAGTCCATCGAGTAAAGACTACGCGGAGTTTCCAGCTGCCGTGGATTGTGTGTTGAGGTTCGTGTGCAGGTTAGCCAAGCTGAGTCGTCGTACGAGGCCTGAATCTCAGGGAGAGAATCAATGAACTTCCATTCCAGGTTGGACAAATCGGGAATGTCCAACTTGGGAGGGTTGTATCTGACAGTTCCCTGGATGTTCCCATTGGAGGCCTTTGAAGTCTGTAACACTTCCCCATTAAAGGTGATGCCTTTCAGCGTTGTAGCTGGACTGGAGATGACCTCGATTTCTGTTGTGGCATTCACATCACCTGTCAGTCGCAGCTGCTTGTTTATCAAATCAGCGGTACGGATAAGATATCCGGCCTTGACAACTACCAGGCTCTTCGATGGTGATGAGTAGTTTCCAATCGGACCTGATGCTGGCAACTCCATGACCCAGTAGTTGTATGCCTCGTTCCGCCAGAGCAGGTATACATGAAGATCTGCTACCCGAACGATGCGTCGGGCTGGTGTAACACGCCACTTCACAACCCAAGCAGACTCGCGTTGTTTCATTTCGATACCCTCTTCCTCGAGGACGGTTGGCTTTCCAAGATGACTAGGCAGAGCGAACTCATGTGTTTCTCCGGCCCCTCCGTAGAGAATTAATACGCGTGTCGATCCTGACCCGCGCGCCCATGTGAATATCTCTGCGGAGGAGTAGATCAGATTGATACCGCCGACATCGTAATCTGTGACATGGAATTTGGAATCACGTCCGTTCAGCGTCAGATGGCCACCCAGCTGAGGGATCTTGATGTCGCCAATACTTGTCGACAATGCGAGGGTGTACTGGGTGTTGTCGGTTGAGGTGAAGTCGGCATGTCTGACAACATAGAAATTTGTCCGCGTCCCGTTTCCAAGGAGAGCAGTCACAGCTATCGAGGACGGTACTCCGTAAGTACCATTTACTCCAAGATGGGGAGTTGCCGTCAGATAAGCGGGGGAGACTTTCAGGAAGTTGGCCTCCAGTTTCTGTTCACTATATTTCTCCCGCCAGATCGCCCTTTCTTCAGTGATCGCTGCACCATAGTCGTATGATGTGTGCCCGCCCATATAGCCAAGGTTACCCCAGTTAGTGCCCCCGAAAGTCTGATAAGAATTCCATAATAAGTATTGCAAAATGAAATCAAGAAGTTGTATGGACTGACCATGTAAATGTTGAAGATCTTTACGCCAAAACCGTAGTTGTTCTTATACACAACTCTGACAGCCTCTTCGTTTACTAACCGGCCGCACATGTCCTGAAGCACGCCTCCCCTATAATCATTTTAATTCACTTGATTTGGTAAAAATGGAGAATTGGAATTGGCCTACCATCCCTCTCCAGAACCTCCTTGGAACTCAGCAATGGCGAAGGGTGTCATTGGACTCTGCCGTTTGTGCGTGACTTGCCAGTCATACGGAAACCTATAAGTAGGCCAAAAAGTAGGATTTGCGCCTAAGGTGAAAGACACATTAGTCTTTGAGGATGCATCGCACCAAGGGACGTTGGAAACCAGCTCACAATCATAGCGCATTGGGTATGCATCGATAGCGTAGATATCGACTGCGCCTTGCCCAGACCCCGGCGCGAAGTATCCCATAACCAAGTTATCATTCACGATTGAAGGAACCGTAATACCTTCATCAAGCAGCTGCTCTTCGACGTGTGCCATATAGTTCCGATGCATGTCAGTGGGGAAATCCGTCACTCCAGGCCAAGTGGAGTACTCGTTCTCTGGCTGAACCATGATGACAGGGCCACCATGTGTGATTTGCGCCCTTTCAATAATCCGACCCAGCGTCGACACGTACTTTTCTGTCGAATTCAAGTATTCAGGGTCGTCAGAGCGGATAATTGCTTTCTCTCGCAGAACCCACCCAGGTATGCCACCAGCAGTGGTTTCTGCGTTGATATACGGTCCCGGCCGTGCGATCAGGTATAACCCAGCTTGGCTGGCCGCGTCGAAGAATTCATCTAAGCTCCATATCCCGTCACTGATAACGTGTCCCGGGTTCCCTTCAATGAGGCTCCAGTCCACGTAGAATGAGACGCCAGTGAAGCCCATGCTCTTTATTTTTTGGAACACGTCGAGCCAAAGACCTGGGACTGGGAGACGGAATGGGTGGAATTCTCCAGAAAAGATCATGAGGCGCTCCCCGCGTACTATGATGGAATGCTGGTCCCATGTCACCTGTCCGTGGTGTGTTAGTATCATGGGGCTACCAGGGTGCTAGTAGGCTCACTAAATCCTGTAGCCCATTGTTTTGGGGTTGAGTATGAGTATGAGTATTGCTCGAGGATAGCACCAAGGTTGCAACTGCGGAAAGCAGGGTGGATAATCTTAACTTCTTAAACAACATCTTTTGGTGGTGATACTATGTAGGAACCAGCATATAAACTATGAGCTAGAGTATTACCGATGGGCACCCTCGCAACGTAATCGAGCGAGACAACAACGCAAACAGAAATTCCGAAAAATGGCATTTTCTCTAATTTTGTAGTTTGGAATTCGCGTTCATTTCCCCCGCATTAACAAAACCGACTCCGCATCTCCCAAGCAGCAAGCCGACTGCTAGCTTTGATCCCATTGAAGGAAGATCTCGCCAATTAACCGGCGCACCGGCAAAACTACGACCTGTCGATCCTTTCAGCAATGATAAACAAGACAATATTAAGTACAAGACCTCTTCCCCTCGATATTCCTGACGCTAACTGAGAATCAGGCTAAATCTCCTCGGTCAAATTCCCCAGGGTTTGCTGCAAATTACATCATGGCCATCTCATTTCGCCATCCCATCCTATGTCATATTTCGAGCCACTTCAGTTGAAATTTGTCTTCGACAACTTCCAGTAAGCTCCAAATACCAAACCGCCGATAGAACAATGGCGACACATATCAAGCCACTCATCCTGCACGCCCACGCCACCGGCCCGAACCCAGTCAAGATTGCCATGGCGCTCGAGGCGCTCCACATCCCATACGAAGCAAAGCAGTGGGAGTTCGGCGACGATCCCAAGAAGGGCGTGAAGGGCGCAGAGTACCTCAAAATCAACGAGAACGGGCGCGCTCCTGCCATCCAAGATCCCAACACCGGTGTCGTCGCGTGGGAATCCGGAGCATGCATGAACTACATCCGCCGTGTGTATGATAAAGGTAACACAATCGGTCCATCGGGCGACTCGGCGCAAGATCTGGTGGATTTTGAAAAGTGGGAGTATTTCTTGTTGTCGACGCTTGGTCCTATGACCGGACAGACAAATTGGTTTAGGTTGGTGACTGGTGTAGATTGGGAAGAAATCTCCGGATGATGCTGACTGTTGGTTTCTTCAGGCACTTTCACCCACAGAAGAATGACGATGCGTTGCAGCGATACACAGCGCAGAGCTATCGCTGCTACGATGTTCTCGAGGGACAGTTGAAGAAGACTCGTGGTGAGAGCATTTTACCCAGTCGTGTCACTGCGGTTGATTATCATTTTGAGGCTTGGGTGCGTTTGTACTCTTTTGCTGGCCTTTCGCTTGACAACTATCCTTTGATCAAGAAGTGGCTTGGACTCATGGCGGCTCGGGAAGAAGTCCAGGAAGCGTACATCAAGATTCAAGGTAAAAAGTGAACAGTCAGAATTGAGATCACTAGGGAAGTACTTCAATGAGGACTGGAATGAGTTAGCCGTCTAGTAATATATGGCAAATCATCCAAAATCAAAATAGAAACATCAGGTATGCAAGTGAATATCATATTTTCTGTCATTTCTATCCCTCGTTATATATTCGGACACCAATCCAAAATATCAAATTGCGATTCTCCTATAGCTACCTATCTTCACCTTCCAGTCACCAGAACCTTCGGGACATCAATGAGATATATCAAATATGCTTTTCCCTCGTGCGACTTGCTTGGCATCTTTCCTCCACGCACATTGACCTGCATAGCCTGGTGCACAAGCCTAAGCTCAGGCATTCCCCTGTCCTGGTCATTCCTCCACTTCACAAACTCGTCCTCTGTCGAGTCATTCTTGAGGTGCTTGTTTTTCTTCTCCTGCTCGCCGACCGTAACATACGGCAATGGGTCCCGTGCCGTGTACTCATTGGAAGGAGGGTAATCATGACCTGTATATAATCTAGTTTCGGGCGAAAAAGAAAGGAGGCGTTTCATGGAGCGGAAGAGTTCCCGAGCATCGCCACCTGGGAAGTCACATCGGCCACTGCCAATATCTGGATGGAACATACTATCTCCAGTGAAGATATTGCTCCCCAGTTTGTAGCCCACATGGTCCGGTGTATGTCCTGGGAGGTGGAGGGCGATGCCGGTCACCTCGCCAATGTTGAATACTTCGTCGGGCTGGAACCGGTGGTCGAAGGCGTTCTCAGTATCTTGTCTCGGGATTTGATATTTTTTTCCGAAGTGGCTTTGGACGACAATGACGTTGTCGCCGATGCAGATCGGTGCGTGAGGTTGTCCGCGGGACCAGAGAGTCTGTTGGATGTAGTAGGAGGCTGAGAGGTGGTCTCCGTGGGCGTGTGTCTCCAGCAACATGGTGACTGTGTATCCTTTTTTCAGAACACATTCAATGAGTTCATCCGCAGATTCGGAGGTGATGATGAAGTTCCCGTGATCGTAATTCAGGACTGGGTCGATGATGGCCGCCTCCTTTGTTTTGGGACAGGCTACCACATATTGCCAAGAACAAGTCTTGGACTCAAAGAAGGGGTGGACTTTCGGTTCCATTTCGTTGGTCATGTTGAAGATTAGTTGAAGGGATTACTTTCAAGTTGAAAAGAAATTTAAGTTGTAAAAGAAATTTAAGTTGTGTTTCCTAGACTGTGTTGAGTTTGCCTGGTTGACATTACGTATTTATAGATCATCAGTGCCACCCAGCATAGCTCATATGCATGGACATCTTGCTACTCTAGTCCAGATATGTAACTCAAACCTACACGTCTCCATAATATATTCGGTGACTACCTAGGTGACTAGCTATGCAATGAAACAAGATGTGATTAAACACCCACCATGTATTCCGTGGAACTCGTCAAGTGACTATAGAACCCCAAAAGCTCAGTCACTTGTCAAAGAATTCGCACGAGAAAGCCCGGTTTGATTTCGGCGCGGACCTGCTCCTTAACATGGACCTCAACAACTTGGTAATGTTGATTCCTCATGTGGGTAGGCCAGGCACCATGTGCTACGGGACCCTCCGCCTACGCTGTCTCATGGGGGCTACGGTGAGATGGTGGTCGAGACGGCTGGGAGAGGAAGAAGAGAAGAAGAAGAGAAGAGGAAGAGAGGTGGGGGGAGTCCTTTTATACCCTCAATCCACGTACCTTCCCAAGGTGGGTACTTGCCTCGCACCTTCCTTCCCTGAGCAACAGACATCACAAGCATGATCCACCTTGATATGTGCAATATCTATTGGAATGGTCACGCAGAGGAATTAGAAAATGGTCAAATTCAGTAGATTCATGGTAAGGACAGTGAGAACAAGAATCTGGTGTTTTCTAAGCTATCTACCACATGGAATTACCGGTTAGAAAAATAGACCAGCAAATAGTTGCGATTACCAAGGAATTGAAACTTCGCGTGGGAAATGACTGTCTTCAACTTTCTTTCTAGCCCATTGAAATGTCTTTCTTAAATCTGTCTGTTTAGTGCTAGCCATCGACCCATTGTTTTGTCAAGCGACTGTCCTTGCAGTCGCAGACTTTTCACACATACAAAGACATACCAGGTAAGAGGGACTGTCCGTAGGTATGGAATTGCAAATTTTTTCTTCGCGGGGATTGTGATCGATCAGAATTCGTACGCAGACGGCGATCGTTTCCCGATAGAAGCGTCGCTGACAGACCATTGATCGATTTCGCTCTGGTCACTCGGCACGTCCCATCGAGCGGTTTTAAGATCAAGGGTGTGAGCAGTTTGGTTGAATCGGCACTGCCAGCTCTTCACGGCCTTGCATCCGGGCTTTTGGCATAGGTGGCCCATGTAGCATTTGATTGATCGACAAGCACCGGCCCGAGTGCAGGGGTGTTGAAGGAGCATGTATCGAAGAACCTCAACGATCACGTTGGAGACATCGCTGTGGTCATAGGTACAGCTCATGTCACCGCATTCTCCTGACAGATGGTAGCTATTGCAAACTTTGTGTTCCTTGGCTCGAGCGTGGTATTCATCGAAGGCTTCAGGTGACGGGTGAGGATAGTATGGGTCGAGACGGTCCCCGTCTCTATTGACTGGGATGAATTCTTCCGTTTTGATGCTCGGCACGGGGAGCATGGATCTAAGGAAATCCTCAGAGCGACCGACAACTGTAGGGGAAGACCAAAATTGTTTAGGTGAATCACCTGCACCTGAGTGTTTAGGCGACGGCTGGTGATTCAATGACTGGTTCGGCATAACGTGTTGTTTATTACAGCCGTTGCCGAACTTGCAGATACCCTAGGTCGCTGTCAGTCAACGACCTACTCACGATTGCATCGTGTGATTGATCGGAAATAAATACCTTTTGGAAATGCTTGCAGATTGGTTTGGTGGTATTTCCACCATTTGCACCATTTGAGCCATTAGAAACGTGGTTCGCACCGTTTCCACCGTTGAATTTGGCCATAATCGGAGACGCGGCCGGGCCTGTGGGCGGCTTGCTGTTAAGTAGAGGAGTAGACATGAAAACCGAAGGCAATTCTCTGATAGGAAGATCCAAGGCCTCGAATTCACGATGGAAACCAGCAGCTTTGATGAGGGTGATACGGTCACTTCTGCCTCTATAGGGCGTTAGGAGGGAGCCGTATCCAGTGTCGTGGCAGCCGGCAAAATAGATATGGCGGCATTGGTTGAGGTCCACAAAGAGACGGAACATTTCTTGATTTCGCAGCACATATCAGTACAATAACAAGACTATTCATGCCAAATTGTTCATTACCTCTGATCTTGAAATCACTGCCCTCCTTCTTCTCTGCAGCATCGACATAGTCAAATAGCTCTTGCGCACGGGTAAATGACGAAGTAAATGGCGACATGGATCGAGCCTCGTGGCCCATAAGCCCAGCTCGTGCTAGCGCCTTCGACAAACCGAGAACGTTCGCATAGACACGAACCATGATCCGACACTGTTCGGCCTGCATTCCCATTGTAAAATGCATAAGCTCTTTCACAGAGTCGCTCAGCTCGCGGGCTGCATTAATGCCACCTTCGCTGCCATGCTTCAGGAAATGCTCTTTGAACTGGAGAGGTGCGTTAGTCAACCGATTGGATGCCGAGGAAAGTAAGACAGTCTCACCAGATACCCGTCTCCGTCTACAAGGACAAGGACAAAAGGGTTACGATCCTGGCCTCTGGCCTGTCTTTTGTATTTCTCTCGGCCTTCTTTAACCTCTTCATAGTCGCTTTTGAGCGAGCTGTAGTCGTCCAACAGATTCTTGAACTGGCCCAGCAAGTCCTGCAGATTGTCATGTTGCTTTTGTTGCTCTCGCGATAAGGACGCTAGATGCCCGTTCAAGGAATCTATATCAGAATCCCGCAGCATCTTGTCGGAGGTACCGGGACGGCATGTGCCAGTCCCATAAGCCAAGTTAATTCAACGCAAGCTGCCAGCATTCGATATTTGGAAGAAGAAATTTGATTTTCCAAGCTGTGAGGTGAGATGGAGAGCTATGGTGGGGAAATTTGTTTGTCTGTTTGGTTTGGGCGGTCAATGGCCGTTAGGCATCAGGTGACTGGCGGGTAATTCGACGCGCTAATGGTGTCACGTGCAGCACTTCCCCATTAAAACCACTAAAGGAGGACTAGCGTCAACGCGACCCGTTCATTCTACTGGTCTCGCTCCTATCTAAGGGGCAAACCACATCCACAGGACTCACCACTACCAGTCTCTATTTTGAGGAGTTCCTACTTTGAGACTTTGGGTGGAGTTTCGAATATTATCCGAGACACTATCCTCAAAAATAGGCGAGGCTACCCCATTTAGTTACAAATAGACTAGACGTGATGACTATCTCTCGTCATGTAGCGGTGATTTGTTGTCTATCCTAAGGGGATCCTGGTTTTTGGAGGCTGAGAGTCGCTAGGGGTGATCACCTGTCTAATCCAGCTCTTGCAAAGGGTATGAGGTTATAGCCAGTAGTATACCAAAGGATAATTTGTAGGGCAGCATGCCGAGACAGCAATAACGCTGCGTTGCTTTATGGCAATACAAATTGTCTGGAGTAGCGTAGTTTCCATACATTATGTTACATATGCTACTATACATGGAGTAGCTCCCATATGTGAAACACTTACTCCGCTTGCTGGGAACGAACCCCAATGAAACGCCACGTCCAAGTAGCAAACCAAAGCAGAACCTATTGATTTGACACAATCTGCATTTCCAGGATTCGTTAGGAATACAATTTCGCTGACCGTACGATACCATCCTCGGGCCTTGCTTCTGCTCGGGTACGTGCAGTGAACAGGTTTGCTTGAATCTTGCCGTGAAAAAACCCATTATTAAGGCCAGCTGAAAAGACCACGATAGTAAACGGCGATGAGAGATTGCTTCATTGGTTCTTGTGTGGATGAAGAATGCTCATGATAAAGATCCTTCATGGTAGTTGCAGACGGGTACTATATATACATAATGAATTAAAATATACCAAGGTATGGCCAATTGACTGACCTCTAATCGACGGCTTGGATCTTTGCTCCAGGTGTATTCCTAAGACCACTTTCTAGCGTCTCATTTGATGGTCCTGAGAACTGCCATAGGTGATGGCTTTTAGGACATATTCTCAATTCATTCCATAGTTCTCAACCTCGGCATTGCCTGTACCTCCCTTTACCTCATCCTTGGGGAAATTGGCTCGGTCGACTAACTCGCTTTTAATCAAAGAAAATTCCCGCGTAAGCATGAATATTGGGTTCTTGTGGAGCTCAGCCAGAGCATCCTTCACCCAGACTCGGCAGGAAAACGGCTCGCCGGTGTTGGGGGAGTGGGAGTAGTCGTAGGGAACTGCGTCCAGGATGCTTTTTCCTGCTTCGAAGGCGCTAGGGTTGATGGAGGCAAGCTTATAAGCCAGAACAAGGCTCATGGAGAAGGGAACGTTGTTGGACGACCGGGGCGTGACGTTCCACCCACCGCTTTGATTGGTCGCGTGCCACACATCCCCCAATGGAGTGGTGGTCGGGATAAACAAACCCAGTGGAAGTTCGGGGCAGCGCATTGACTGTTTAGCATGGCATAGATCGAATAGTTCTCGTACTGGGCAGCAATCTCAGAGCTTGATCGAATAGGCATTTTGGCGGACGAAGGCACATATGTCTAACCAATATGAAAAGCGAAGCTTTGGAGACAAAAAGATGGGAAATTTAGACGAAAATGGAGAGAGCTGGAAGGAGTTGGGAGTCAAGAAAGACCCAGGACTCACGTCAATTTTATAGAGGGAAGAGAGGGCCTGCGCGGGAGCCGCCTTGCTGCCTACGTAGCTTACACCAGCGCGGGAATAGCTATCTACATGCCATTGACAAGTCAGACTAAGCCTAGCGCCATCCATCGTGTTTCAAGCAAAACTATGGGTTACCCAGCGCCCTATAGAGAGAGAATCCAGGTTAGGTTTCGAAACCAGTCGAACAGTGCAACCCCTACCTTCGTGTCGAACCAAATAAAGCTGCACTTTGCCCATCCTGACACCTCTATTGATGCTCCAAGGCTCTGCATTAGATCTCGGAATGCAATGAGACGAACAGTTACTCCTATCACCCACATGTTTATTGAGCACATAGTACTTTGAAGCCTCAACACAGACTTTGGTATAAGACTTGAACTACTTAGTTATCACTCGGATCCAGTTTGTCTAAATCACAATTAGATGTGATGTTTTCCTTACTACGAGCGCACTATGTTGGTTTACGGGTGGCAGTCTAGTGGACAAAAGGCATAGGCCATTCATTAGAACAGAGATCAATCAAGTAGCGCTGTCGAGGGCAACCAAGAATCACCCAATTACCGTGTCGTGGAGGAGCGCCTTTCCTCTGTCCACTTCCAGGTCCTCTAGACAACTACAACGCAGGACAGGGGTCGTACGTACTTTATAAGAAGATTGACTACCAGGCCATTAGGATATTTTTTTATTTTTTTTGTTTAGAAATGTAAGTATCTATGGATTTATGACTCTCTGTCATCAGTGCGCTTTCACATGTATCATGACCTCGGGCCTCCTGCATTCTAAAATAGATTCTGTTCACTACCTTTGCTACTATCTTTTGAGTAAAACATCTCCATTTCGCGAAACAGACCAATTAAATGACCAAATTCAAGGTAGGGGCGGAAGCATCCGCAGACCCACAAATTCCTCCACAGCGCGTAGAATGGACTCTGTCGAATCAACAAACCCAAAATATCCCATCTTCTTAGCTTTGGTCGTACTGTGAGTTGACTTCTAGTCAGCCCTATTGACATTTCATATAGGTGTCCCACTTGCCTCAAAGAAATCGAATAATCTGTAGCGATGATCAAGTCAATGAAGCCAAAGACGCGGTCAATATCCCGAAACTCCTTCTCACGCAACCCACTCTTCTCCGCAATCTCCGCCCACGCCTTTTGAACCTCCGGCCTCTTCGCCCAGCTCACAAGTCTAAAAGCAAAGCGAAGCGCGCCGGGCGGGCCAAAACCACGTGGTGGATCAAATGGAACGGTCGCGATCTCATAGGACGCGTTGTCGCTCGTATCGGGACCCGTCCAAGGCATCTGGAAACGCTCAGCGAGCTTCGGCCAGAACTTACCCCATGTGAAGAGGCAGTCATCGGACGTGTTGAAACTCTCGTCTTTGGCCTGGTCGGTCAATACGATCCACTCTGCGCGGTATCCATTCGCCCGGGCGCTTGAGATAGACACAATTGCCTCCCACGCCTGGAGGTCGGCGGGGAATTCCAGAGGCCGGTTGAGATACTTTTGAACCGTGGCGTAAACTGCCAAAGGGTAGCACATGTTCATGGCGGCGTCTGGGACTGCCCCGACAATGTGACACGGTCGGGTAGTGTTCCAGCCGATCTGGTGCTGCTTCGCGAAGGCTTGTAGATAGTCTTCCTGGTCGTAGTAGAAATTAGGTCCGGTCAGGATTCGAGGATCCGATTCCTCCTGTGGCAAACTTGTAGGACCGCGATGGAGACCGTAATACTTGGCGCCTAGCTGTAGTAACACACGCTTGGGGATTGTGCTGTTCAATGCCAGGCCCTCGAGGAAGTTGACAAGCATTTTTTCTGGTTGTTTTTCAGCTGGGCATAGCTTTCAATCATGTCACCTGGATATTCCCTTACTGTTCACAACAACTAGCTCATCTGCATTCCAAACCGCTTCTCCTTCTCTGGGGGCCGGTTGGGCATACGCGAAGAAGAAGACGTAATCTGCACGAACTCCCCTCTTGGCTAACTCTGCCGCAACTGTTTCCGGGGACTGCATTAGATCAACCGATATATGCTCGACATGATCGGGCCATGAGCCATGGGGCGGCCTTCTAGAGAGAGCGTAAATCTTCTGCCACCGACGAGGGTTTTCGCAAAGGACTTTCAGCTGATGATTGCCGGAAATACCATTGGCTCCCGTGACAATGGCCGTGAGCTGTTTAATGTCTCTAGAAATGACCGGGAGGCCATGATAGATATCTTTGGACTGAATCTCTGACATGCTGTGTGGCTGCAAGTTTGTACTGAATGTGAATGTATTTTATGATGCAATTTGGTGGTTTCCCCTCAGTTGTTGTACCCTTGCTTCTTTTCTTTGTCTGATTTCAAATCAAGTTTGATTTGTAATGTTTACTTTCAATACTCTTGTTTTCCTCTGAGTTTCCTTTGAAATTTTCATATTCATGGGGACAAACTTGAATCAAGAGAAAGGACCTCTGTACATATCTGACCATGTCCATGACCCTTTGCCGCAACATCCCAGGCCTCTTGAACTTTATTTGACACGCGGTAATGCGAGGGCCTCATCCATGTTGCTGTGCCCAAAGTTGCATCGTATCTGAAATAATACTGGGTTGACGGCGAGTGGAATATGCAAACATCAAGGTCCATGGAACTTAGCCGAGGCATATGTTGAGCCGCACGTCCAGCAGCGAGATACAACTCCTCCAGATTTTTACTCACAAGCCTGAGGATTGGACTTTGTTGTTTGTTATCGGGTGGTTCGACAGAATCATCCGTTGCGTCGGGATAGGAATCCGGTGAGTCGGGAGACAAATCCTCCTCTGATCCTAGGGCTCCACGGACCGGGCTGAAACCAGAGGACAGAGTATATGTATAGCTCATGCTAAATTTGAGAAGGTTTGGCCAGAATGGGGTGACATTGTTGGCATCTGCCGGCCAGAATACTTCAGGCCCGATCATGATTTGTGATAGGTAAACATTTTCCAACCGCTGAGTCATTTGGTACAAAGCAAGGCACAGATCATTAGCGCCTGGGTTTGATAGCGAGGAGGCCTGTTCCTCAAAGGGTTGCTCCTCGTATCCTAGTTGTAAATGTCGCAGGGAGGAAGGCCAACTAGTACCAGGGAAATCTAAGCGCACTGTCAGAACCTATTAAAGTTCGCGGAAACTGCTGATATGACTTACCACCAAGGCTATCATGCATTGCGGCATCCTTTCTCTCTTTGGCACGAAGTCTGGCGTTGATGAGTTGCAGTCGTGGAAGATGGGCCACCATCTCGGATACAGCTCCCGGTGCGATATTGCGGAAACAATCACAGCCCAACACCTTCAACGAGGTAATGCACTTGACGTTAGACAGGGTTACATTGCCCATCAACTGTAGATAGGAACTTTTGTACCGCCGGTGTAGCAGCTCCTCATCTGGGAAAGCATAGCCTCGTTCTTGCCGGATACGTCGTATAGTCCAATCCGGCTCCGCTTGCCAATCACTTGGAGACCTGGCATAGATCTCCAGTGACATGTTGTGGTCGTAATCGGGCCATGAGCTCAGGATTTCAAAAAGAGATGTTATGACTTGCGAGAAAACCCTGTTATTGCCGTCACGATCGACGTGGTTTTCATAGTGGCCCCTGGCGGCAACACTATATTTTGGGAGAATGACCTTGAAGTATAGAGCTCGGAGGTGGAAACATCGACCAGCGGAGCGGGACGAATGAATAATCCGGGGCAAGTCTTCAAGGTCCATTGAATCGATATGCAGATCGGCAAAGGTAAGTGTCTCGGCGGCGACCTGCCATTGCCGGCAGACACAAGCGCATGCTGTTAGGGCGCCGTCTGGTAGGTATGAAAATATGTGTAGAAGAGTTTCAAGCGGCAATAACTCAGCCATGGCAAATTATGGAAAGAAACCATGGGTTGTATTGCGCTAGGTAGCTGAGAGAGAGAGGAAGAAGGATCAAACAAGGTGGGAGCAAGGTCCTATCCACCTGAGGCAGAAACGATGTTAAGACAAATGAAGTGAATGTTGATGAATAGTTAGAAAGTTGGAGTCAATATTTCAATGCCTGAGGCCTCAGGCGAGTGAAGAAGGTGCAGTGGGTACTGCTGTGCACAGCGACCATTAAAGACTTTGGTCCTATTGGCCTTTAGTCTTTTTTGGTGACTTCTTAGATATCTCTTTAGATAACTGCTTAGATGTCTTTCTAGATATCTTTTTTAGATGTCTTCTTAGATGGCTTTCAGATTCCTCTTTAGGATAAATGTAACCTATAAAACAGGATGAAAGCATAACCCCTATAAAACGGCTCCTTAATATATAATGTTTATCAGACTAGAAGTACTTATTAAATTAATTTTACTGATACGTTTGAAGATCCGTAGATGGCCATTATTTTGCTGGCAATAAAAGCCAATAACTACAAGTCCCTGGGTTCACTATGCACTGCGATAAAAGGGGAACGCTAAACCCATTTGGGTATGCAAGATGCTGAGCCGAGTTGACAACCCCACACCTGAACATTCCAAGGCTGAACCTCATTCGCATCTCATCTGCATGTGAATAAATTAATGGAAAAGATTGTGCAGAAAGAGGTTGCACAACCTTTAGTTCGCTACACAGGCCTCGGTCTCACACCCCATGGGGATTGGTGCAGATCATTGGACCCTATGTTTATAAGTCCGCCCCTATTTCCCCAAATTTGAATCGGTTTCGCGCTAGCTATTACACTTTCACAATGAGATACATACTCTTTTCTCTGAGCGCGTTGGTGTTCTACGCTATATTCTATTTTGCCTCTATCAATGGCCTCGATGCGCTGGCCCGGAAATCCATTGAATCCGGCAAGCTCCCGACCATTGATGCGCCTTTGCGTACAGTCTACACGGGAATCGAGGCAGTCGACCACATACTGACTCTTTTGACCACATTTTTCTACCCGACACTCGATGGCCATAACCCCGGTCTGCTGCTTCATGGTGTTGGCTTCAGTGGTACATTCGGCGCAACCTGGACTCTGATCGTCTTGGAATCTTGGAGAAAGGGCAATGCTGGGACAATAGCTGCTTAGTATGTCATACCCACTCACCAGCATCTTGATATTAGATGAAACTGACTGGTCGATCTAGCCCGACGATATTTGGCCTTATGGCTCAAGTATTCACTTTTGCCTTTGGGATCCCATTGACATGTGGTCTTCAGCTGGGCAGCTCGATCACTGCGCGCCGCCCTCATGCAGATAATATTCGCATCCCGCGAGCAGTTCTCGCGGTTCTACCGTTGGTCTTTGTCATCGGATACATGGTCCCGACCGCGGCGATGACATTGCCCGCTCCCTCTGTGATTTCCGTGGACCTAAAACAGATCGCCATTGCCATCTGGCACCCCTGGCCCGCGTACGTGTCAATTCTGACCACGGTCTCCTACTTTACTCTGTCTCCTTTCTTCTCGAACAATCACCGGGCATCCATGTCTAGCTTGCGCTGGGTCTACGCATTTGCGTTTGCCAATGCATCTCTGTCGCACATTGTGTCATGGGTCGTCTCTCTGGCAACCGTTGTAGTGCCGGTTCTGTTTGAAGACCGTTTCCTGGACTCCCTTCACCCGGCCAATGTTTTCTCGGTTCCTCTTCCTTGGTCGGGGCTGACAGTTGATAACGTCGGTGACGGTGTCCATGTCTTCCTCCGATGGGACTATATGATTGGTTCCGCGGGTGTTTTGATTTGGGCGATCTCACTGTACACTGTTGCTCACAAGCAACTCCTCAACACTGTCTCTTGGCCCAGTCTCCTAGTCAAGATCGCTCTGTTGACGGTTCTGGCTGGCCCCGCAGGTGCTGCAGTGGAGTTGATCTGGGAGAGAGATGAGCTGGTGTTTACCGAGACCGGTGGCAGTAAGCAGCAGGTTTCGAAGGCCAAGAAGTCCACCTGACTGAACATTTGTTGAACAATGATGAAATAACTGTTTTGGACTATCAACATTGAAGAAATATTTGCGAATTTGTACAGTGAAGTTGGGTATATCTGGACGGGGTCTTCGTTTAATACACGTCCGAAATTAGGTCCACTGATGTTCAATTTGTGCAAAGAAAGAGTTCATACATTCATACATCACAGGGATACAGACCGCTTATTGTCTCTCATAATTTCATAAATCGCTTCGACGTAAGCCTTGACGTTTTCGTTGCCCAATATTCCTGCTCCCATTTTGTTCATGGCATAAGCAATAGTCATGCGGCGATCGACATCCATGACCACCATAGATCCACCCCAACCTCCCCAGAAGCAAATGTTTCCTTCGGGGATAAAGGTGATAACCTCCGGCACAGGTAGGGCAACTCCAAGTCCGAATCTAAAGTTCATGAATAACACCAGATCGATACCGCTAATCCGTTCCTGGATCATCTGGTCGATAGTCTTTAGTCCAACATACTGCTTCCCATCGACAGTCCCTTTCAAGGACACCATTGAACCAATCCGAGCGAGCGCGCGCGCATTTGTAAACCCATTCACGGCACCAATCTCAGTACCTCTGAACCCGGGGGTCTGGGCATCCTCAGGCTTCAATGTAATGTTGCCATAAGCTCTACCCACAACGCTTTTCGGGTCGACCTCTGGCAGAGACGTAGGAGCAGCAGGAATGATATCCGCCGTACGCGGCCAGTCCTTTTCAGCCACACCGAGACTAAAGTCCGCGCCCAAAGGACCCGCGATCTCATCGGCAATGAACTGCTTCAATGACTTGCCGCTAATGCGTCGCACCAGCTCACCGATCAAATGGCCATGGTTTATCAGCTGGTAGCCGGTCGACTCCCCAGCCTTGAACCAGGGAGCCTGCTCAGCGAGCAACTCAGTCGAAGCTTTAGTATCGTATATGGTATCCATTGGGATCCGCTGGTCCCAGTGGGGCAGACCAGAGGAGTGGCTGAGGAGGTGCCACACCTTTGTGTCTTCCTTACCGTTGGCTGCAAACTCCGGCCAGTACTTTGACACTTTCTCTTCGACATCTAGCAGGCCGCGATCAACGAGGATCAGCGCGGCCAGGGCAGTGACTACCTTGCTAGATGAGAAGACCACGATCAGGGTGTCTTTTTCCCATGAGCGGGACTTGGCGGCATCTGCATAACCGCCCCAGATATCGAGGACATTCTTTCCATCGACATTAACGCAGATTGAAGCACCGACTTCTTCTCCTGATGCCAGTTTTTCCTGGAGAAGGTCACGCACGCGGTTGAATGCGGGGTCGCAGGAACCATGTGGGGCAGCCATTGCAGAAACTGTCGCTTTGGTTCTTGGCTTATCGTGAATGGAGATAGATATTTTGAAGCTTTGAAGCTTTCTCGTGAGTTTCGACGATTGAAAACAACCAATATAGCAGTGAGGGGTTTCCACAACTTAGGTAGAACTAGCCCCTGCGCTTTATAAGCGTTTTTTGTGATCCCCAGAGCATCTTAGTGCTTATTGTGGGGACATCCCACCTTGAGTCAGATTGACTCGCAACCCAATAAGCTACCCCCGCTCAACATGTACGCTACGGGTGGATTACCAAAATCTCTTTGCCGAGGTACAAACCGGGAGGGATAAACCCTGCGGCAAGGGGGGTTCTACGCGCACCCTCTCAAATATATATCACCACTTTCAACTTATATATCCACATCACCAATGGATTAAATATACTAATGATAATGGATACAGAATGGGACAATTAACAAATGTAAATTAATATTCTAGTATAATAGCTATTTGCGTTTCGCAGAGCAAGCAATCTTCTAGGTGCAAATAGAATTTAGCTGTCAATTATAAGTGATCAAGTACACTCTATGCAGTGCAGATACAACGATTTGAAAAGCTCACTCAGCATTATTTTTACCCATATATATCAATTGGGGATAGGAGTTTGTTATTTAACCTTTAGCATCCATCAATTGGCTAAATAGGGCTCATATCGGGTCAATCTGGAGGCCACATTTTAAGATATAGCCCATGCTCTCAAACCACTCTTGAGAAATATGCGAAAGGCAGACATTTGCGCTATCTTGCCAGAAGATAATTTCGAGTGTGTCGATATAGGAGTCCAAGGTATATCCGGCTCTTTTCACCAGACCCATCCCGCTCCATAACGACCAACTTTGAACGGTCACCAATAGGTCACTCAACGTACCGTATTTCCTCTGCCAGGCCAGGCTTTTCTATGCTGCCGCTGCGTTTATGAGGGCGCTTAGGATCAGACTCACCGGGTAAAATTCAACTCTGGCAGTAGAAGCATAAGTGCACGAGTTTCTACAAGGGCCTGACCGCATGGGAGACCTAAGGCTAACCAACAGGATTTCTTTTGGCACTTCATTTACATCAAGTAGGTAAATGATACTCCTTTGCCCGTAAATAGTGAAGTAGTAGTTGGGCGGTTTTGGCCCCCAGAGGGAGTTTCCGCTTTGGTTAGTGCATAACAATGTGGTATATCTTTAGTCCAGTCGATCACCCAAACGCTATCCTCTAAACGGATCATGGAGGAGTGATCTCGTAGCCATTTATAGATTTCTGCACCGGAATAGATTCTATTTTATCTAGTGGAGATCATACCTACCCCTGACGATGCTTGAAGCCCTTGAGTGTATTCTAAAATGGAATGGGGCCTTAATGATGCACTGTACTTCTTTGGAATCAAATGTCTCGCGTACTTGACTGGTCTAGCTAAATACAGGCAGTCGGATGATATTATTAAGCCCCTCTGGTAACATTGGGGCTGACATGATGACTAGTTGGTCGGGACCCTAGAATGGAACTATACGATGCAAAAATGAGACCTTACCATAATTTGTAACTCCAACCTTAGAAGACCACTCACTATTTTGCTTTATAACTTGGAAGAATGAGCTCTCCGAGAATTCCTCCAAAGTAATGAGGTGTAAATGTAGTGTGTCTTTTCCAATATTGATAAAAGCGCCCGTTTACTTTTTACCCGTTCTGGTTAGTGGGGTGACTACAATGATAGTACTGCAAAATTACTGCCCAGGTAGTCTACCTTTCACCCATTCTGGTCAGTGGTGTCAGGTTGAACACCCTTAGGGATATCAATGTCAAGATGAAAATTATAGTATATAAAGGACATCCTTAGCATGCCAATATAAGTTTATCATTCATCTCTTGTATCTCATCAACCTTCGTCCTTCTAATTGATCTTCACTTCAAAATGCAACTCCTAGAAATTAGCGTTTTGGCTCAATTTGCCATCTCGGCGAGCGCTCTTGCTGTCTCAGAGTCCCCGATCAGCCTAATCAAGGCTCGCGCTACCCCGGTTGCTTCTACCACGGCATATTTGCCTGAACCCTCGCCTTCCCCTATTGGATATCATTCATGCTCCGGGTACTGGACGTGGTCGCCAAGTGAATGGGCGAACTTGTGGAAGGGTGACGCCGCTCCCTTGGGCACCTGTGTTGATAACAACCCTAACAATAGTGATGGTACGGACATTGTAAGTTTTAATGTTGCTGAAAGGGCGTTCTGGCACTCCTATCCACGACTAATCCAGAAAATAGCATGTCAGCAAGGGCTGTATTGTGATTAATGATTCACCACGCTGCCAGAGCTCGGATGAACCCTACAGTAAGTCGTATCATTGTCCTTCATTGGGGTGTCAGGCTAACCGGTCTAGACGTGTCGGATGATGATACTACGCGTCACGTTAGCTCCGCTGTCATCTATGCCAAGTTTGACGGTGACAATTCTCGTCCCGAAGTGACTCCTGGTTGCAAGCTCCAGCCGACGTGGCCTGGCGCCTGGACTGATCTGGAATTCACCGATAACTGTCTCACGGATCCCACTGGAGTGTGGAGTGAGTGTTGTACGGACGACACGGTCAATACTGAGTCTGTCATCAACCCATATTTCCACGGGCTTAGCGTCGGGGCTTTCTGAGACAACGGGTTGACATGTGTATCGATCCTCCAGGATTGAGGTCTATTTACTCCGTAGGTGGAATTCATTTAATTCTGCCACTCATTTAGTGTATGTATTTATGTGCGCATTGTCCTTCCGAGGTAGTCGCGTGACCTTATTTGTTTGCGCGAATATGAGTTTCTTTGATAGTCAATGTAGTCGCATTTGATCTCTCCCTTTCTTCCTTCGTCCTCTTAATATGTTTTTGTGGGGGTGGGGGAGGGGGTTGGCCCCCTAATATATCAAGCCCTGACATGGCTGTATTTGATCAGCATTTGGTCTTTTTTGGGACTCACATCAATCCCCTAGTATGTGTGGTATTAAAACAATATGTTCATTCCATGGCATGTACAACACCTCTGAAAGACACTAGGTGTGAATAGTAAGTCAATAAATACATAGAAAGAAGTATACAAAATGAACACATCCGCTATAATGCCATGCAAATAAGAAAAATCACAACTATACCGCAACTCCCCTACTTCATCCTCCAATATTTACTCTGACTTCATTGGCGCAGCGGTAGGCGAATGACCTTTCTCAAGAGCCACCCGTTCCTCCGACGCGGAAGAAAAAGACACAACCTCACCAGAAGCAACCCGTTGCTCCGCATACTCCTCATCGGGTTTCCAGAAGTCCTTCTTTCCATGAGCAGCACGGTTAACCCAGGGTGGAAGGAAACCGCCCTTGACCTTCCAAGACCAAGGATCAGACTCATCCTTGTTAGGCGGGACAATACGACCACCAGTGATCTTCTCAAGACACCAGGCAAAGCCGTTGAGGGTGATGTAGCTAGTAATACCAGCGATCAGACCGTAGGCAATACTGTATGTGAATGGCATGATAGCGATGGTGAGGAACGCGGGGATCGCATCACCGTAGTATCGCCAGTTGATATCGGCGGCAGACTTGGCCATCATCGCACCGACGATCACGAGCGTGCAACCCGTGGCCCAGGGTGGAATGGAAGCGAAAATCGGGGCGAAGAAGACCGCGATGAAGAACGCAATACCAGTGACGCATGATGTCAGTCCTGTTTTTCCGCCTTCGGAAATTCCGGCGCCGGACTCGACGAATGCTGTGACAGGGGGACTGCCGAGGAGAGATCCGATCGAGATGGAAATCGCGTCAACCATGTAGGCCATGGCGCTGCCTTCGAAATCCTGGGTCTCCTCGTTGATTGCGCCGGCAAATCGGGCCATAGAGTACATTGTGCCTGTGGTATCCAGAATATCGACATACTGCGGAAATATTAGTTTTGAACCCTGTATAGAACCCTGGAAATCGTGTGACATACCAAAAATGTGATGAAAGCCAGTCCAAACTCGCCGCCCTTGCCAGCCAGGTTCCAATCCTGAGCGAGTAGAGTATGCTGGATAGGATGGAAAGTGACAACTTGCTTGAAGAAATCAAACTTGCTGGTTCCAAGCTCGGTGTAGGGGAAGTAAGTGACAGGCGTAGTGCGAGGCCAAGAGATGATAGAAACCAACAAGATACCGAGAATGATAGCACCCTTGATACGGTACATCATAAGCAAAGCCGTCAGAATACCGCCACAGAAGATACCAATCCACATGGTGGGGCTGCGCATCTTATCGCTGGGGTTGCACATGCCGTCCTCGTTGAACGAGGTACATCCAGCCAACTCAATGGGGGTGTCAGTGGCACCCTGAACCAATCCAATACCAGCACTGTAGGTCAAACCAATCAATGCGAGGTAAAGACCAATGCCGACACCAGTTGCGAGCTTGATAGACTTTGGCAGCGCACGCGCCAGCCACTGCCGCATACCGATCAACGTCAAGCCCAAGAATACCCATCCTTCAACGAAGACAGCTGTGAGAGCAGTTGAGTACGAGACCATGCCGCTACCACGGACTCCGACAACAGTGTAGGCAAAGTAAGCGTTCAGTCCCATTCCAGGTGCGAGCGCGATAGGCAGGTTGGCGAAGAAACCCATGCAGAAAGTTGAGAGGGCGGCGATAGCGGCGGTGGCGGTGACGATATCGCGGTTGATTTCTTGCGTGCACATAGCGTACTCAGCATTTGTTGCGCAGAAATCTTTCATGTCTTCCTCGGGGCAGACGCAGGTTCCACCGGTCAGAGAGGTAATGTTGCTGTTGACGGAGATGATGTATGCCATGGCGAAAAAGGTGGCGAGGCCGGCGCGGATTTCAGTGAAGAAGTAGCTACCCTTCCTCTCTAGAGGCTGAGACAGGGTTTAGTCTCACATTCAGTATTGACGGTGCGATCACACGTCACATAGAATGTAGAATCACTTACATGGCCGGAGCCCTCCAGACGAAACCATTTCCCCACGGGACTGCGGGCAACCCGCAAGTTGGTGTCGTGGACCCAAGTACCGAAACCCATTGCGAGAGAGTATCACGGTCGTGTGCAGTGGATACAGCGAATTCCGGAGACGCTGTCGTCGTTGAGACGCAGTATTTAAAGATGTTCCTGCAGTGGAAGTAGGTGTAGAATATTTGAAGAAATGGGCAAATCTCAACCTGGTCTCTCGGCCAACCACATCTTGCTGATAAGAAGTAAAAAAAAAAAAAATTCGCCTCCAATTACAGCTATCTCCGGGCTCTATGGGCGCTTGGCCGCTTGGTGGGGTCTCGTTTCACCCGTAAGATGCCGCGGCCACGCCCTCATTGGCTGTAAGTTTGCCGACAGGATTTTATCTATGTTCGTCCATGGATGAAGACTCGGCAAGCCGGTGATAGGAAAATGGAGGATATTATTTTGAGTCACTCCAAATGAAAAGGGTCGAAAACAACCTTGGAATGTTCAAAACAAGAGCCATATGCTCCTGAGGTTTCAAAATGTTGCACATCAACATCCCTGCAATGCCAAGACTCCGGTGCGCTCAGCCCTCGTGAGCTCTATCTTATCAATTGTGTGTGTCGTGTTGGGACCTCGGGAATGTGCAGGGGTTCTCGATAACGGAGCAACCCGATGACATAAGAATAATAACCTGTATCGCGTCAAAATATATCCAGTCTCATGGCTCTGGGGTATCTGGGGCGGCCATATCCGATCGTGGACCATCAACGAATCTCACCCGCAGATATCGGATTTGCTCGGTCTGACATGAATTAAGCCTTACTTCGTCCATGATAGTGCTTACACCACTTGGTGCGGAGTAGTACTTGGTAGCATGCGCGTGCTCTGCCCGGAGAAAGAAGGGGCTGGATCAGCCTAAAGTCACTGAGGCGCTATGCCACGTGATGTGCGACGGGAACTGCGGACATCAAGAATAACCACGAGGCACTAGAAAGTCAATTCTTCTAGTCATCTCGAGTTGGTTTCTTGGATACATGCAGAGTCTAAACGATGCACATCACAGACAGATTTACCTTGCGTTGTATTCACGCGTTGTATTCACCGCTCTTTGCTGTAGTATAGGGCACGTGTCGGAAGAGTAATCATGACTGAAGTCATTTCAACAAGGTTTAATTCGACCAGTCTCCTCTTAGCTGGACATATCGCGGCATCTTTTCCATCTATCGATTATGCGCCGCTTTGAGAGAATACACGACGTTGTCGAGCCCATTGAGGAATACCGCGTGGGAGGCTATCATCCAGTGCACTTGGGCGACATCTTCCACGAGCGGTATCAGATCATTGCAAATGGGGCTACCGCTCGTTTGCCTCGTAAGATACCTAAGGTCGGTTTACAGCCATTTCTTTGCGAAGTCAACATAATGCGGCTTTCCGATCTTACATTGTGCCCCCTAGGCTACAGAAAGACGTCACCTTGAAAATCATCAAAGCAGACGCCTCAAAGACTAGCACAGAGCTCTCTATCCTACTTCAACTATCAAAGCTGGAAACATCTCAACCGGGGAAAGATCAAATCATCAGTGCTTTGGAGTTTCTCCACGTGCAAGACTTCGTTCATACTGGTAAGATGTCGACAGCAATCACTAACTGTAAATGGTACTGATATCGTCTACATATTTGTAACCGGCCAATATACTATGCTCTGTGGAGTGTGACTCGATAGATGATATGCTTATGCCTCCGTAATACAGCCCTGTCCATTGGCTCCCTGGAGTTAAGACTGATAAAAGTGCTCCTGAGTACCTGATGGTGTCTCAACGTCCTTATGGTCTGCTGGACGAAGCCGACGTTTCAACACTGATAGTTAAGATTGGTGATTTAGGTGGAGGTATGGCATCCTTTCTCAGGTGTAAAAGCTGCAATGCTAAGACCCTCAATAGCTGTCCTCAATGGGGGCAATTCTTCTGTTCCCGTCACTCCCATGGCCTTGAGGGCGCCCGAGCTCGTTGAGAAACTTCCTTGGGATTTCAAAATTTATGTTTGGTCTCTAGGCTGCTTGTTATCTCCTTACTCTCCACTGTCTGGTTTGTTATTCCCAACTGACGTGTATCAAGTTATTCCAATTTGCCACAAATGAACCACTCTTTGCCCTTTGGGGTGCACATTCGATGAGTTGAATGGAAGTTTGAAATCTCTCATACTCAACTTCGTGGAGGGTGGAAGGGATAAGTTCACTGTTTATTTAGGTGAGAGACTGCCGCCTGACTTCGTTGCAGACAACTTGGAGAAATTGTCGAGTTTCCTTTGGTCAATGCTACAACACAACCCGCAAGATCGAATCACTATGACCAACCTTTTATTTCATCCATTTTTGATTGAATGAGCCACGGAGAGAAAGTCCAGTAATTTAAAGTTACAACTTTGAAAAGTCTATGGATTTGAGTATTAGTAACACATATATATATATGAAACGCAAAACACAAATGTCACCCCTAAACAGAGTGGTCACCTTTCTCCGTATTTGCTGCACGAGCAGGCTCGAAGGTCGGAGCAAATTTGGACTTCTTGCGTAACGCAGGCCCCCATTTGATGAATGCCAAGGGAATCGGGATCATTATGAGCGCGAGACACCCAAGAAGTGTGCCGGCCCACTGCACACCCAAGTTGACAAACATCTGCTTCGAGAACAGCGGGAATGAAGCTCCAACCGCTGATCGAATAATGGTATTGGCAGCAAACACAGATGCGGCACTGGTATCAAGGTTAGTATATCGTTCCACGGTAAAACGGAAATCAAGAGGCTTACAATGTCAAATACGAGTCAATCAAGTAATTGAAACATTGCAGGAAAATCACATAGATGCCGAATCCAGTCACGATTCCGCTGGCGGTGGGGGCTATCCAATGGATTGAATTTGTCCATCCAGTCCAGCCAAACCAGAAGAGCCCGACACAGAAGCAAACACCTCCAAGGATAGCGGGTGGAAGTCTCCATTCCGGAATCGGAATGTTATTGTTGGCGGCTAACTTTTTGGTATATGCCCTCTGATCGAAAAGGATATAGCCGCCAGCTAGGAACTCGCCAATAATTAATCCGATAAATGGAAGACCTCCAACACCAAGGTTCATTCCATGGATTCCTTGGAAAACAACAGGGTAGGCACTGAGAAGCGCGTACATCAGGCCATATACAAAACTCATCCAGAGAGATATCTGATGGAAAGTTAGCATGGATCAGCTCGAGATGTTCAGGCAGGACTTACGAGGAAAACAATTGGCTCCGTGAAAAGCATACGGAATGGCCGACTGAAATTATTTGTGATCAACTCGCCCCAATCAAGCTCGATCTCTTCTTGTCTGGCGCGGATTCCCCAATTGTGTGTCTGCCGTCGCAGGAGGGCCGCTTTTTCCACAAGGACAGCGGGTGCATAGGTCTCTTTTAAGAAAAGAAGACAAAGGCCAGTAGCCAGCCAACCCATGATGGACGAGATATACATGGTCCACCTCCATCCCAGATAAGACATGGTGATGAAGCCACCCGTGAACGGAGACGCGAAAGGCCCCACGAATACAGCCATGGCGAACATAGCGATAGCCACGCCCCGGGTCTGGTTATTCCAGATATCGGCAAAAACCGCGGGAACAATAGCGATCGGACTAGCAGAGAAAAATCCGGAAAAGAATCGTGTCAACATCAAGGTCTGGACATCCTTGCTGGTTGCTGCCGCAATGGAGAAAATAGAGAACCCGAACATGCCAATACAAATTGGCCATCTTCTGCCAATGAGCTCACTTGCCGGTGCCCATACCGTCGGCCCCGAAGCAAATCCTAGAACATACAGGGTCACACCGAGGATAGCGACTTCCGTGCTGATGTGAAAGTGAACACTGATTTGTCCGACAGCGGAGGAGAAGATGGCGCTAGCGAAAGACGAAACGAAGGTTGTATATGATAGGGTCACTGATATACCGATTTTGCGCCGGAGTGGCCAATTCTGGGGGTGCAGAGGATCGTTCGCATCGTTGAATTCGACGATATATTGTTCCGGGTCTGGGAGAGCTGGGGGATGAGGTTTGCCAGCTCCGAGGGGGAGCCACTTGTCGCGCGGTGTGATTCCTGCGACGGAGCCTACGGTTGAGCGATGTTGGAGTCGATAGGTGTTGATTCGCTCTAGCTCGACTTCGGTGATATTGGTTGGACGGCGATTGATGTTCTGTGAGCTCGTGGACCCGATTTCCGACGGACGGCGATCGGGCCTTGTTATGGCGGTACTGAGGTCATCATCATTGCTTCCACTGGTACTAGTATCGTGTGGGCTCTGAGACATGCTGATGAACGATATAATATGCAATGCACTGGATTTTTCAGATTGATTTTATCTAGGGAATAAAAACAATATATACAGCAAGTTCCAGAGCTGAGAATTCGGAATATTTGGTTCTCATGGATCGGACGGCCATTTTCATCACCTTGATGGTAACCCACGGCGTCATCGAGTGTTGCTTTCCCCGGTTGATCCGTTCAAATTGCTACGGCAGGCCATAGAGCCAGTGCCGCTGTGGACTGCCGTGACCTCCCAATAGGGTAATACGTCCCGGTTCCCGGTCGCAAACCATGGTTTCGTCCGTGGAGACAATGTGAAGTTTATTTGACAGTTATGAACTACAATCTAGATTTTATATCCCAATATTATGCATTGTAAAACTACACAACTACGCGGAATCGGCTGTGAAAGTAGTTGAACTAGCTCAACAGTCCCTGCCCGGGGAAGCGCCCGCAGCGTCCCTGCGGTTAGTACGGAGTATGCGGTATGGTGGCAACGAGAAGTCGACCATAAAACTGCCGATTACTAGATCTGGTCATTCAAATATTTTTGGGCTATTTTTCGCCATTGCTAGCCGAGCTTCAAACCTGTATCAATCAATCTGCGGATATCTTAGAAGGGATTGGAGTAAGATTGAATGAAGCCTTACATACCAACAGCATACAGCATAGAATGAAAGGGGGTATCCCAACGAATTATGCAGGTTATCAATACTCAACGCAGGCACAAAGATGGTGATGTGGTTTCTTTCTAAATTGTCATGGCGGGTATTTTCTACTGCATACTCCGTACCCCAGGTTTTATTAAAAGTGTCTCAACGCTTGATTATAATAGAGCATTGTCGGAGATTGGAAACATGCTTATCTACCGAGGAAGGAACAATATGTTCCAAATATGGGCTCAAAAAAGAAATAAGAATAATAAGAGAACGTGAGGCAACACAAGGTAAGATGAGACTGGGTTGTAGATGATCATTGCCACGAGGGTTAGAGCGGGTGCGAAGGTAGCCTCGGTCTCTTTTTCAAGTCCCTAGCTAGTTTGGCCTGGTCGAAGCCCATCTACACTTGGGACTGCACTTGAAGAAATTCTATGGATCAAGATTGATTTGAGTGCGAATATCAGTCAACATACGGAGTAAAACTTTCGTTATAAATAAAAAGTTCGGTTGAATAGACGCATAGTGTGTGACCTCCATCCAGCCTCTCGACGGACACATCAAGTTCACCCATGTCTAGTGCCCTGCAGGATACCCGAAACAGATAATTTACCCCTCGCCAAGACCCGGGTAACTGTAGTGTGACAAAGGCTGAATGAATTAATATACTGGGGCAAGGGGGGGGCCCTGGTTTTAGGGAGCTGATCAGTGGGCTCATACCCAATCAACTGCATTGTAAGCGCCGAACTAGCACTAGTAAATGGCAATGATGGGCAAATGGCATGCTTAGCCTCGCACGCGCCTTGGAGGATTCCCTGGAGCCCAATTGCGAACCATGCAATGCTTTGCGTCATGTCCACCCACGAAGGTCCAGATCTTCAGGGCCCACTTTATAAATAACGGTTATTTCTCCTGCAGGAAGATGGGCTCAGTGCCTAGTGAGTGCCGCTTAAATCAAGAAGATCCCCGCCATGTCGTTTTTACAAAAACTGTGGATGAGGAAACCCCACGAGATGAGGCAATCGAAGCTCACCCCTTACGGGGCCGTACCAGTCGAGGAAAATCACTCGGATCGAAGGCCATCATCAGAATTCCAATATTATACAACAATCGAGCTCCCTGACGTCGATGAGCGGAAGCCCCAACCACAGCCCATCAAGCTTTCTCAGTTGGATAGAATTTCCCGTCTACTATGGGATTTGGTTCTTGCTATTATAGCCTCACTCTTCACCGTGTTCGGTATATGGGTTTCTTGTATCGATGGGAAACCGGCGGGCCCAGACTCCATAGGCTCTAAACTATTTGAAGTCTCTCAATATGTTAGTTATCCCGATCCTACAACCTTCCTCATCAATATCGTCAAATCTAGCTGACAGCGAATTTCCTCTTAAAGGCGCCCACGATATTTCCAGCCCTTTTCGCCGCCATTGCTGGTAGCAGCATCAAAAGTATTGCATCATGGCGCATCCAGACCACTGGAGGAGCCACCATCGGGCTAGTAGAGCAATGTCTCGGCAGCCAGACTATCACAGGAGCCATTCTCACCCAGATTAGACTGCGCGCTATGAACTTCGTCGCCGTCTTTACCGTCCTGTTGTGGTGCCTGTCTCCGTTGGGCAGTCAGGCATCCCTCCGGGTAATTTCCATCGTCTCGAGTTACCCAGGTAACCCGGTCGAGTTGACCACTTTGAACACATTCACCCCGTACCAGTATGGCTACAACCAAGGGGTAACGGAGGCCATAACATCAGTCGCTAACCCCATGGCTGCTTCCCTATCTGCGGCCTCGCTACTTGCTACCCGCAACCAAGATCTCTGGGGCAACATCCGGTTTCCTGTGATCGAGAATCTCGAGAAAAATAGTACAGGTTGGATGGATATACCCCGAAACAACAACTTGACGTACGCATCTCTTGTCGGTGTACCGGTGATTGGCTTGCCCAGCTCCGGTAACACATCATTTACCCTCCCAGGCTCGTATTTATCAATCACCTGTCCTGTCTTCGACACAATGCATACTTTGAATTTCACCAATTTCAATGCTCTATCCCCAGCACGACAGGGTTTAACAAGATTACCCAAACCTCTCGGTTAAGGTGATGTACTCGCTGGCCCTGTCAGTGTAGCGCGCGTGCGGCCCAGAACATCTAAGGGCATCACAGACCTGTTATTGCCGCGCACTTCCATCGGCTTGAGCCGATAGTCCCCTTAAGAAGCACAGATGCTCCATCTCCCGGCAATGGCGACGATTGTAGCTGGACGAGCGCATGGGGTGGATACCAGTTCAAGATCGCCATCTCGGAGCCATGTTCGAACTCACTCAATGCATCAATGGAGAGGACTCGGAATGCGCGCAAGATGATATGGGAATCATGGGAGCGTGGTTACGCAGACGATGAAAAGCATCGATCCCCGATCACGCGAGCCATATGCGACATCACCACGACCTATGTCGATGCCAACGTGACATGCGAGAGCTTAGACGGGAGTCAGTCTACAAACACTTGCAACATGTCCTCCGCTCGCCGGTCGGTGGATGAATCACATTTCCACAAAAACTGGACTATCTTCGATGTCAATTTTCCGGGAGATGCCAAGCTACCCATACGCTATAACCAGGGACTCTTGTATATCCTCACTACCATGTTTCCCACCATCGAGCAAAACGGTGGTCTGCAGCCCTTGATTGGATATTTTATTGACCCATATCACGCCGTCGGAAACCTTTTTGGCGAGAACCTTATGTCGCCACAGACCACCACACCGGAAGTTTTTGGAACACGTCTATCGCAGCTCTTCAATTCCGTGCTCTACCTAGGAATCAGCCCCTCGGCATTCACGGGCTCTGTCAACATGACGGAAATCACACGGAAAGGAAGCTCAATCAAGGACACCCCCGTCAAATTGACTGCCAGAAATACGCATTTACAAAATATTGTCAGGTGTAACCGTCCCTGGCTCGTCATCCTCATTATTTCCTCGGTGGTTATCTTCTGCTTTGCACTAGTGGGTGCCTATCTCCACATCATAACAATCGCCCCGGATCTTCTAGGATCGATCTCCGTTGCCCTGTTGCAAAATAAGATTGAAGGGATCGTCGGATCTTCTACATGGTCTTCGGATGAATGGTCGAAGAATATGCGAGACATAAAATTATGGCTTGGAGATGTTCAGCCTGAAGCTGACGTTGGGCGTCTTGCCTTGACGACCGCGGCACAAGATGTTCCTCCTGGTTCGATAAAGGGAAGACTGTATCAGTGAGATAAATAGTGGATGTATAGGCTGTACTGATCGAGAATGACATTCCTCAGGGGCCATTAATGTGTGCCGAGCTTGGCTTGTGTATGAGACATTGTTTGAAAGATTTTATATTTTCTTTTTCTATATACCAGAGCAATAATGAATAAGATTTTCTATGACATATCACTAAACGCTACAAATGTATCTAATATAGCTAAGACTGCGGCTGCCTTTCCTTTGGTCTATCCTCCAAGCTACAACACCAATAACCCCGGGGGGGAGGGGGGTTTACCTAAAAAGGCATTGAAAAGGGCATTGAAAAAGGCTACTAAAAAGACTATCCAAAAGACTCTCAAAATACTCTCAAAAGACTACTCAAAAGACTACTTGAAAAAACTACTAAAAAGACTACTAAAAAGACTACTAAAAAGACTACTAAAAAGACTACTAAAAAGACTACTAAAAAGACTACTAAAAAGGTGTTAGATGATCCCATCTCCCATGGATGCCTGTCTCTACAGGCCTTGCTTGCTTGCAGACTGAGCGCTTGTCTGCCAGATTCAGGGTATAAATACCCTCCTCTTCATAGATTGAATACACAGAGATTCTTCTTCCTCTTTCTCCTCTTCGCTAGTAGCCACAACAAAATGGCTACAAACACAAACACAACAACAACCACAGCTTATCCCGTTTGCCCCGCAAATTGCAGGGACCCTGATGCCTGGAAAGGCTAACTTGTCGGTGGAATCTGTGGCCTGGTTGCGCTGGCCTTGATCATAGGGGCTGTGGAATGCCGATCCCACTATAGCCAGCTAGGCCGAAGGCAATGAAGGAGAGTACTCCTCGGCCGGCGAAGCCCGTGACCTCGAGCTCTAGGAGAGGCAGAAGAAGAAGAAGCCCTCCCCCCTCGCCTGACGATCCTATGCCTCCAGCAAGAATGCCGCGGAAGATGCCGCCGACGCCAGGCAGGCCGAAAGCGATCGTGGAGAGTCCTTCGGGACCGGCGAAGCCCGCGAGCTAAAGCTAAGGCATGGAGGCGAACAATCTCATATCCAACAATGACTTTTTGATGGACGTGCTTCTATATTGATCAATTGTGAGTACCTTAATAGGTGGGTAGCTTGTGATATCTTTCAGACCGGCATCGTATATGCCATGGAATAAGCAGATTGTCCATACTGGACATTTTCGTGTAGCTATTTATCTATTTGGAGATTATACACACATCAATTAATATCAGTAATTTCATACAACGCGCTGATATATAAACATCAAGCCACAAAGAAGAAAAAGACCCCCCAACTCGCTCGCTACCAAAAGAACTAGATCAAACACACAAACACACCTCAACACAGCCAACAAGTTCAGCTAACAGAAATCATCATATCCACGCATGAGACGTTAGAACCGATTAAAATTCCTCTTGGCGCTATTCCCATCCATCTCACTGATTGGGCTGCTGCCCAGCTCGGCACTCCCTTCATCACCAACCAACTCAACAACCTGAGATCCAGGGGGAGGTCTGAATGGGCGTGCAACTGAGTCTGATGCCTTCTCCGCAACCGCCGTAGTACCGCTCACTGATGATCCAGTAGCATCCGCCTCATGGGGCCCGTACCCACCATGCTCGTTAGCAACCACGGCATTCTTTTTATTCTTCTTTCTCATGAAGACAACAACGAAAGCGACAATGATGGCGACTGCAGCTATGACGCCAACCACAATGCCTGCAATAGCACCGCCGGAGAGTGATGGGCTAGAGGAGGAGCCACTGTTAGAATTGCCTGCAGAGGCTGTGGTGGACTCGGTGGGGGTTGCAGTTGCGGATGCGGACGTCGAAGATACAGATGAAGATGTAGATGTGGATGATGTCGTTACCGATGTAGAGGTCGATGTCGAAGCGACCGTAGAGGTCTGGTGTTTGGCATCAATGTCCCGTTCAAACAGGACATCGAAAGCTTCAAAGGGTTCACTGGCATTCTTCCTCCATATTGCGCACCCGTATCCCGCCCTGGAAATGCAATTGGTGTCACGGTATATCGAGACACATAGACCGGATCCCTCAGGATCCCAGGTAAAGAGCTTTTCTTTACCAATGGGAGATTTTGTGCAGTTCTGTGCCTCTTGGCCACGGGCAATTTCAGTAGCATCCGTTGCGTTTGTAAAGCGGAAGGTCCATGCGTTCACCAGGGGAAGTAGCAAAAGTGCGTATAGTGGTAGCATCATGGCGGCGTGGATCTTTTGAAAAGTAAATCCAAGCAAAAAGAATCAGAAAATCGTTCGGATTAGACTTTGAGCTCTTGAACGTGCGGGAGGGGGAACATGTCAGTAATATACAGGGCGCAGGGACGCTGATCGCTTGTTGAAATTGAAGAGAATAAACCTCGTATTGAAATGAGCCTCGTCCGTGGTGGGGTCCCTTCTAGCCTATGCTTGGAGCCAGTCAAAGCCCCCGGTTTTGGGCCCTAAGATGACTGCAACGGCCGATCTATACTGCAGATGGGTGAAGACCAAGGAGCTAATTTAGAATGCAGATTAACACGATCTCTAGCGCATCTCCAGGATGGGAGATCGTTCCGGTATGCATTCGTCCCATGGGTCGTAGTAGAATCGAACTGCTTCATCACATTTTCATACCTTGAAACAGTCACAGCTTAATCGATTTTTATCTCCAGCTATGCTAACAACCTTCATGCAGCGGCTGTATGTCGTGAGTACACCATGCAACTTAATATGTATCTGGCCCCTGGTGGCTGACCATTTCCGAGAATACGGGGTGCAGCAGTCCTGTGCTCATACTCCGTACCATCCCTGTCAGATTCATAGTCTAAATCTCAATTATTTAGCTATTTCTGTCCACATTCTGCGAAAAATCAATTTGGAGTCTCGGCTAGGAGCCATATTGTCTGTGGAGAATGGTGATTGGTGCCTTACGTGCCGAATACGAGGTGATGAGCATGGGAAAAATTCAAACCGTAAATCATTGTATTGTCTCTTGTATTGTGGAGAAAGACAAAGATAAATGGACGGCAATATCTGTAAGGCAGAATATAAAGAGTTTGTTGCTCTCTTTGGTCTTTCATGACCTGGGCAACATTGGGTACAATATAGAGAAAAAAGAACACGGGACCGCCAAGAGTTGCGGGACAAGAATGCTTGGTGGAGTTGGATTGATGACAGGGGTTTAGGTTTAATTTCCATCACCTAAGGCTCTTCTCCTCGGTAATGATGATTTATAACAAATTAAATCCGTTGTAGTGGCATGGAGTAGACGATAAATATAGGACCATTATTGGGTTCCTTCGGGAGACCATTTTGGGATGGAACATGATTATCAGCGCACCGAAGGATACGACATTTCAAGGTTCATGACAGCAGTAAATCGAAATCGAAATCGTTCACTATTATCTGTGGATGCGAGGCACGTTCTTTTTCCTCTTTGGTGAAGGCCAAGACTTGAATGCCTCAGGCTTAACCGTATATAGCCCGTTGTGTGCACGGGCGTGGATGTGCGAATCAACAGCAGCATGTGATCGTATGAAGTTTCCAGAATTTCTCTGGTGATGAACTAAAAGAGAATAGCGGCCTTCAAAGTTGTCAGTACATAAGTCGGATGGTTCTCCAGGGCTTGCTATCGGATGTGACGTCAAAACACAGTTTCACAGGTACCTAGGTATGATGCGCACAAAGTCATTGTTGGGAACGATACAGTTGATTATCATGGATCTCAAGGACTATCATTTTCAAGTATAGTGCAAGGCCAAAGATCTGCTTGCCCCTGTGTATACATATGATAGATATTGTGGCCCCCGTTTTCCAGAAAACCCCAGTCACACCGAACCGAGTTGTCACTACCTAGGTAGGCACCCGACGAGCCGAGCGTAGAACATGACTGATAGGTGACGCAGCGGTACCGGTACCGCCCCGAGGGTGTCCAGACTTGCTCGATAGGGGTTAGTATTTGTTCTGCCACCTGCAGTTCTTCAACACACTTGAGCCCAAACTTATTGCATTCGCAAGCTGTGTAAATAGCGGTTGGTCAAAGTACACCGAAATTGCAGCTCAGCATAGCCCAGGGAATATGGGGATATCTCGTGCTTCGACACCGGAGCTCTACGGAGCTTGCCTTGTGACATCTTGAGTTTGCCAAATGCAATAGCCACGGTAGTGAATCGCCGGGAATCCAATCAAATCGGGAGCCTGTCTCAGCTTCGAGGTCAACTAGGCACGATGTCAGGTACCAGGGTGGTTGGCATCATTGATTGGCAATTCTCTTTGTCCGTCGCGTGCCGGAGGGTGCTCTGATGAGCGAAAACCACCCTGATCACCTGTCTCAAGATTCCCCCGACAAGATCATCGTCATTTATTGGAGTATTCATTGAGCTTTATATTCCGCCAGTCTGAAACCCGTTGTAGTCTGAGTTCGTCCTTTTCAGCAGTCTTGCTATTGGTGTGACAATAGGTGTGTTTCCTCGCGCCACTGATATATTCCATTTTATCGTTCTTTTGCCGGAAGCTCTCCTGGTCACTGCGTTGAAATTGCTCTGATACAACGAGGTCTAAACGGTTGCTGAATGCGTTTTCTATAGTCGAGTTATCGGTTGATTTGTCCACAAAGCCGAAATATCCAGTGAGGAAACAGCCTTCGCTCGCGGGCCGTTGGTCCTTCTGCTTCGAATGAGGCAGCCGATGAGTCCGTTGTCTGACCGCAGACTGACCTGTGACACAGGAATCTATTCCTGACCTATCACCATCCCAACAGCATGGCAGCGATCAGAATAATCCATCATACCAAGTCCGCATCCCTGTCCCTCCATTCGATTGCCGAAAGATCGGGCAAAAAGGGCAACTGGGCGAACAGGAACCGCGGGGTGGTGCTTGTCTTCTGCATCGTCTTTCTCGTTGTGGTCGGAATCATGGCACTCTTTGCATACCGACGAATGTTGAAACGAAAAGCCGACAAGGAGTCCTATGAGACGACGCGTGATTAGTTGACCCTACGCTCTGTACTCTCGCCACAAAGATCACCATTAATTCGGACTGGGAGGCGGATGACCTCGTTATGACCGGGAGCTGTGTCTTGGACTTGTGTTGGCGGGTTGGCGGGTTGGCGGGTTAGCGGGTTGGCGGGTTGGGCTTCTCGGAGCCAGCGGTGTTGTGTGATTGTGTCTTCGTGTCGAGGTTGGTAATGAATGGAATGCCTATTGGCAGTTGAATTGGGAGAGCATGGCAATGTCTGATGTTCAAGTGCGAGGAACGTGATCTACCTAACGTTAAGGATCGATAGTAATCAATAACCAATAATACGAACCTTGAGTTGGGTTGCAGCAATCTCTGATATGTTTGTCTGAATTGCCTAGTTTGGCTAACCTGTTTGATAACGCGCGCTATAAAGTCATTATCCTGGACTAATATTTGCTTTGGAGTGTTCGAAGTGATCCCACAAGATTGCTTAATCTCAATAGCCCAGCTGTCTTTGGAGAAACGAAACGGTGATCCACTATGGGAAAAAGAACTCCGGGTCCTGATCCTGACACCCTCTGATTTCCCCGAAGAGATTGTCCCTTGAAGTCCTTATTCCTTCGAATCCGAGAATCTGACGTCCCATCCAATGTTGTGCCTTCCTTCTAACACGACCTGACCCTCAAGAGCTTCCAAATGAGCAGTCACCTGCAAGTCATCGAATTTCTCTAAGAACATATCAAGTTCGATCTCCTCGACTTGGCCACGTTTCATCGAGTGCGCAGAATCGGGTTACTGGCTGCTCAAGGCCTTGCGGTGTTGGTGTCGTCGAAGCTGCGACTTGAAGTCAGAAAACAAAGTATCTGTTTCCACTGGCAGAGTGACGTCTATTTCACTACTCACTGCCATGAAGCCAGCTGTCTAGCTTCATGAAGACCAAGAAAAAACATGCAATTGGCCACAAAGGAAAGAGTACCAGAGAGAGCAAGAACAAACCCCCCACAACGGCAAAAAGAGAGTTCTGGCACAGTCTGAGCAGGCAGCAGGTGCCTCAGTGCAACATCTAATTCTTGATTGTATAGAGTAGTCTAACCCCGAATATTCTGTTGGTGGCTCCAAATATTGGATTTGTTTGGTCCATACACGTTGCGTTACTCGGTGCAATGATAGGTGCAATCGCATGTCTTACCCTCAAAAGATGGAAACAGATTGAGACAACGTGGAAGATTGTGAGCTTTAGTGTCCTCCTATCAATTACTATTATGAGCTCTATTCCAGATAGAAATCATGGACAATATCACACACTCGTCATTGTTTATGAAGGGACTCTCTATTTCGCATCGAGTCATCTGTTGAGGCTGGGTAGATAGCGAAACCTCTGGTATTTTACTTCCCGTGGATACCAGAGGTTCTGCAGATCCAGACTTGCCCTGTGCAACGAGAAGAAGGAGCAACATAGGGCTAGAGTTAGCCTGCGGGTACCCCCTTCTGAGGCGAGCGCAATATATTTTATCCATGTATTGATTGACTGTATCAGACGAAAGAATTGAGAAAAGAGAAAAAAATCAAACAGTCCACTTAACTAACATCACTAAGCAAGATTATATGAGAAACTACTACGGCAATTCCTCTGAATCATTCCTCCGGTTCCTGTGTGCACCTGCACCTTGTACAGAACCAGACTTCCCCTCTCATAGTGTCGGCCAATTCTTTTTCTCACCTTTCCTGAGACATCCCCAATATATGTCAACCATCTTCCTTTTCAAGAGACCACCTGGAGACAACCACCATATACCTGTCTCATCGTTCCGGATTGTTCAAGCGGAATTATGAGTTCAGAACCTGGCCCATCTACTGTCCATCCAACCGATGACAAAGGCAAGAGAAAGCGGGCCGAGTCCCCCTTTGGAGACCTAAGGTCTAAGAAGGTTTATTTTCTGAAATCAGTTGTGTTTGGATCCATGTCACTGATTCACGATTCTATAGTCCCGGGATATGAAAATTCCTCAGAGGCAATCAGCTAGGATCAATTCACTCAAAGTAAGACGAGTTGCTGCTGTGATAATACCGCATATTCACCCCGAGAAGCAGGAAGGGAATCGTCCTCTAGATCTTGAGGACACATTACCCAGGGAAACCTCATCTCAATATCCACAGATCCCTGTGGAGTCTCCTGGTGTGGTGAGGAAAGAGAGAAACCTCCCTCATTTGACAACGGCTAATTCCTGAGAGGAAGCCACCATGGCCCATTGAAGCAAGTGCGGCGATTCATCCTGATCACACATTCGATAACCTTGGCAACTTCAGGAAGTTCCTACGTGACTCCCGTGATGAGGCAGAGCTTGCCGTGTATCTTGGACTTCAGCACAAACACGACCTCAGACATTTCGCTTTGTCCTGGCCTATTATCAAGACTTGGATCAGGGCACCGCATAAGCAGACCATGTCACTTCAAGTTGAGATAAATCATCTTATCCAGGATGGCAAAGAATTATCCTGTATCGAAAATCCTTACGAAATTTGGCCTCAATGCCCCGGGGAGTCTGAGGAAAACGCTTCTTTGAGAATAACACACATCATGGCATGGCATCTAGTGCAGATGTCCAAGGACATAGAGGAGTATACCATGTCCAGTGATGTGCATAATTTCCACCGCACAAGGAGATATCGCGGTGAACTAAGCGCGATATTGGAGCTTGATATCCCGCTGGACAACATTTCCCATCCTCGTCCCCAGCTTATATCTTGGAGGAACGAGATGAACGACAGATTTGATCGCTGCTGGACAATCTTGGGTTATATCTCATGGATCCCCTATATGGAGTCCTGGGAAAAGGCCCTTCAATTCTTCGTCTCTTCGGAAAATAAGGCTATCGTATACGACAGCGGGATGTCGACAGGGACCAGACCAAGACCCAACCATCTTAGGCTCGCTCAGCAATGCTCCTCGTTATCCCTGGACGAAAGTACCAAAGCCCTTGCCCCAATTCAGGTAAAGGTAACCTGGGACAGGAACCGAAACACACACGGAAACATGAATCTGTGCCGGGTCCTCGCAGGCATCGCACATGAAGGGAAAGTGCTCCCTCCAACGGATCTTATGATGACACAAGACCCTCGATTATGCAGGACGGGTGCATCGTTCCGGGACATCATTCGACATATGATGTCTTGTGGAGGTTATGGATTGAACTTGTGTGATATGACCTTGTCGTATCGAGCGGAGACAGATAATTGCTATTATCAGATTGACGCGTTCCGATCCCAGTGGAAAGTACTGCAGGGGATATTTTCAGACTCTGCTAACTCGAACTTTGTGATTCGGGTGCTTTTGGATGTTCATGATTACCGGAATGGGGAGATCTATGAAACGACTGAACTACCACCGGTGTATTGAATACCACCTTTCGATGCCAACCACACCTCAACGTGTTAGGAGTGGCTTTTATCGAGGAACCTTTAACAGAAGTACCCAGGCTAGTTTTAGGTTTACCTGTGACTTCCACTTTTATTGTTTGTCTGGTTTCCTTCGTTGTTTTTTCCCCCCGACTCGATGAGCCGCTTCAGATCATGCAAGCTACACACATGTAGGTACTTGTGCAGACTCCCAAGATATAATTGGAGAGCCGCATTGCTGATCATCTTGTCGTTGCTACAAATCAGATATATATTTCTTTAGCCTATAAGCTCTGGTAGTAGAAAGCTTCTAGTACGGTTAACATGACAACATCAGTTCACATCAGATATAGCGAACCCCAGATCTTATACTCGCTAGTTATAAGCTGATGTTGTGGAGAATCAACGGAAAGACAGGGATATAATTCTTCCACCAATCACCGATGCCCGGCACTTTGACAGCCCTCACGGCTCCACTAAAAGCCATCCCGTCCACGCCAACGCCAATCGCCTTTCCCCGCGAGCAAAACATCAAGCCATATACCCTGATCCAGGACAATCCCTGAATGGATGGAGAAATTGTCAGGCGATATTTCCGTCTAGCGGGACCCTCTTTCCCCCGCCATTAATTCCCCCAATTCGTTCCCCAGTCTCCACACCCGGCCCCCGGACTGTCTAGCTCGGCAGGTCTGAAGGGCTATCAGCATGGCGAGATGACAATGAAGCCACTTGATTGCTTATGAAGCTTATATCCCCGCTTGGCGTTAGACCGATTGATCTATAGGCCTGGTATAAATCCCGAGGCCACCCGCACTCAATGGCTCTTTTCCTTTTTTCTTCTATTCTTTTATGCCACAGAAGACTTCTCCGAGGGTTAATCTTGATTCTGTTGATATCTTGACTGGGCAGATCATCCAGTCTTCTTCAAGATGGGCTTCGTCAATTTCAAGAACTATCGAGTCTACATCCTGACCTCGGTGGCCTATTTGGGCTCCCTACTCTTCGGTTAGTGGATTTGGTCAACCCGGTCACAGAATATTATTGACCGATGCTCTTCGTAGGTTATGACACTGGTGTCATGGGCTCAGTCCTGGCTCTTTCGAGTTTCAAAAAGGACTTCGGCCTCCCCGTTGAGTCATCCGGATTCAGCGACGAGAAGAACGCTCACATCTCCTCCAATGTGGTGTCGCTACTCACAGCAGGATGTTTCTTCGGATCCATCTTCGCTGCCTACATGAACGACAGACTTGGCCGCAGATACTCGCTAATGATCTTTGCCGTGATCTTCTTGGTTGGAGCAGCGGTTCAAGTTGCAGCTCACCATGAGATTGGCGTGATATATGGCGGCCGTGTCATCGCCGGTTTTGGTATCGGTGGTATGTCCAGTATCACCCCCGTGTTTGTCAGTGAGAACTGCCCTCCTGCAACCCGTGGCCGCATTGCTGGTCTCTTCCAGGAGTTCCTGGTTATTGGCAGTACGTTCGCCTACTGGCTGAACTATGGTGTTGCGCTTCATATTCCCGAGGGTACAAGCCAATGGCGTATCCCAGTTGCCATCCAGCTTGTGCCGGGTGGCCTGATGCTCATCGGGTTATTCTTCCTGAAGGAGTCTCCTCGTTGGTTGATGACGAAGGGCCGCCGTGATGAGGCACTCAAGTCCCTCGCTTACATTCGTAATGAGTCTCAAACCAGCGAGGCTATTCAAGTCGAGTTTGCTGAAATCTCGGCTGCTATCCACGAAGAATTGCAGGCTACCGAAGGTCTGACGTGGAGGGAATGCCTGAAGCCAAGCAACCGATACCGCTTCTTCTTAGCATTTGTCCTGATGTTCTGGCAGCAGTTTTCCGGGACAAACAGCATTGGATACTATGCTCCTCAGATCTTTGCAAGCGTGAGTACACCGCAGTGTCTCTATACCATCACATTTTCCACCATTTTATGAGCCAGCAAGACTCTAACTTCTTCCATGATTGCAGGTCGGATTGAGCAAAACAGACTCTTCATTGTTTGCCACTGGTATCTACGGAACAGTCAAGGTGGTTGCAACAGCCATCTTCCTGATCGTCGGTATCGATCGCTGGGGCCGAAAGAAGAGTTTGATTGGTGGTGCCGCTTGGATGGCTAGCATGATGTTCATCATTGGAGCAGTCCTGGCTACCAATCCCCCAGATACGGAAGCTACATCCGTCTCATCGGCATCCACCGCCATGGTTGCGATGATTTATCTATATGTCATCGGATACTCAGCATCCTGGGGACCAGTTCCTTGGGTGTATCTTGGCGAGGTTAGTTATTCATTCTAGTACATATCCTTACCCATTGCAGTCGACTAACATTGTTTGTTCCGACAGATCTTCCCAACTCGTCTTCGCGCGTACGGTGTCGGTTTCGGTGCCGCCACGCAATGGCTGTTCAACTTTGTCATCACTGAGGTCACCCCTCGTGCTATCAATAAGATTGGCTGGAAGACTTTCCTCATGTTTGGCATCTTCTGCTTTGCCATGGGTATCTTTGTCATCGTATTCTTCAAAGAGACTAAGGGCCGGACCCTGGAGGAGATGGATCTCATTTTTGGTGCTGTCGATGAGCTGCAGAGACGTGCTGATGTGGAGCACACCTTGCAAAAGACTCAAATTATGCATGAAGAGCATGAAGAGACTACGGAGACTGCGAAGACTACAGAGCCTATAGAGCACAAGGAGTGATGGAGTCATGCACTTCCCGCATTGAGATATACATGGATCCAGGAACGTTATATTATACATACATAGATGAACATGAACATTCCATATTTGCATTTGACAGGGATTTCGATGTTGGAATACCATATAAGCTCATATACCTCTCATCGTCGAGAGCCCCACAATAAATACCGCAGGTACCGCGGGGAACTCCGAGATTTCCCCCTCACGCGTCAACTTCTCTTTCCCGCACGCGTTGACGCCAACAATCTCGATGGGATCTCTCGACGAAACATGCGCTTCTTTGCGCGCCCAGATCACCGCGACAGAAGCACAGCTTGCTGGGCTCAAATGCGAACTTGCGAACGCCGAACAAGCGGCGCAATCGGAGACCGCAACGACTGTGCAAATCCAGCATGAGGACCAGAATGGTGAAGGAAAACGATGGCCGTTGCTTCAGGAGGAATATAAGCGATATGGACGCCAGATGATTGTTTCGCAAGTTGGTCTGAAAGGTAAGACACGTCTTCGTCTTGGCGGAAGTTGGGATACCACCCTTGAGCAGTCGGACTGATCGCGATTTCAATGAATCCACAGGTCAGCTGAAACTCCGATCGGCCAAGGTTCTGCTTGTTGGAGCTGGAGGACTGGGATGTCCAGCTGCGCAGTATCTTGCTGGTGCTGGCGTTGGCACTATTGGGCTCATCGATGGGGATACTGTGGAAGCTTCGAATCTCCATCGCCAAGTGCTACACCGAACGAAGAATGTGGGGAAATACAAGGTGGACAGTGCAATCGAGTCTTTGCGAGAGTGAGTGGATCCGGGTGGTAGTATTGAGCTGGGCGCTGACAATTTCTTGTGACATTCGCCAGACTGAATCCGCATCCCACGTATATTGCCCATCGCACACATCTTACGCCCGAGGCAGCACCGGCGATCTTCCAGGGCTATGATCTCATTCTCGATTGTACCGATAACCCGGCGACCCGTTACCTTATCTCGGACACTGCAGTACTCCTTGGAAAACCATTGGTCTCTGCGTCCGCCCTGCGGACTGAGGGCCAGCTGATGGTGTTGAACAACCCACCCCGAGCGCCGGGCGACAAGGCTGGAGGGCCGTGCTATCGGTGTGTGTTCCCGAAACCACCACCGGCTGATAGCGTGGTCAGTTGTGCGGATGGAGGTATTCTGGGCCCGGTTGTTGGGACGATGGGCGTGTTGCAGGCTTTGGAGGCGATCAAGGTCATCACTGCACCTGAGATTGATGGAGGTTCCGATGTGGCCACAGCTCGTCCACGGGATCCCCCGTCTCTGCATATCTTCTCTGCCTACTCATCGCCCCTAGTCCGCACAATCCGTCTTCGTTCGCGCCGGGCCAATTGTGCTGTTTGCTCTGCCGAGGCAACTGTCACACTGGATACAATCAAATCAGGGTCAATGGACTATGTTTTCTTTTGTGGATCCACAAACTTACCCTCGCTACTTGGTCCCGAGGAACGTATCTCTGCTCGAGAATACAATCAAAGACACCCAATTGTCACGTCTGATTCGCCACAGCTCCACACGATAATTGACGTCCGAGATGAAGCTCAGTTTGGAATCTGCAGTCTGGAGAATAGCATCAACATTCCTATCTCAAACATCCTTTCCTCGGGTTACTCTGCTGGGTTACATGGTGCAGATAATGGCCAACAAGCTGCACAAGTACCTTCTTGGTTGCCGTCCGAGGTTGCCTCGTCAGAGTCTACGAACCCAATCTACGTCGTCTGCCGTCTAGGAAACGACTCGCAGATTGCCGTCAAAAAAATGAAAGAGCTAGGACTAGATCAGCATGGGAAGAGATTCATTGGTGACATTCGCGGGGGACTACGATCATGGAAAGAACAAGTCGATTCCTCGTGGCCCGAATACTAAATGAATACAGCCGCTAGATTCTCACATGGAATGACTGTCCAAAATATATCCCTTCTCCTATTTCCACCCACCTCCCAGCCCCCAGGGCCCATCTCGCAGTGAATGACATCGTGAGACAGGGTTACCAAATCATGGCTCTATCTATATCCACCACCAATCAGTGTGAACACGACCCTCATCGAGGTTACCGAGTGCCTCGAAGACACCACGGCTGACGTCTATGTCAAACTCTCCACATCCCTCACAACGATCCACCAGAGTGACATCTATGCCCCTGCCGCCCCGTTGGATGTGGATCAACCGCCCACAAAGTGGATTGTGATTGGGGTTGCCGTCTACGTTCGCGCGGTCATAGACAATACGAGACACGGCGCAAACGTGGACTCCTCCGTTGTTAAACCAGCCGCACGATCCAATCCCGGTCTCATACCAGGTTAGATCACCACCAAAGGCCTGGGTTGCGGTGGGACTGTATGTGTTGTTCCACTGGCTGTGGCTGGGAGCAGAGTTAGCATGTGCCTCGATGGATCGTGGATGTGGAAACGAGAAGAGAAAGATGAGGAATGAAAAGGACGGGCAAGTTCGGTTCTGTTAACTTACTTGCCGAAACCATGCGAAGTTATGGTTTCGTGGTGATCCATGGGAGCTCCAACAGCAAATCCCATGAAGAGAAATGCTATCATGGCAACGGCCTTGCACTTGAAGATTGCGCTCAAAAACATTGTCAGGTCTTCTCCTTGTTGCTTTCCAGCAAAGATGGTGGTTCTAGCAGTCACTTCTAGGTTGAAGTTGGGGAATGAGTTTGAAACAACGCCTCGAATTCGTTCTTTATATCATGTTTCCGTGAAGAGTCCTTTTGCTTGAACGTTGTATGTATTTACGCTTTTCAAAATGCCGCGGAGTATCTGAAGCAAGACCAAAGAAATAGATCGGAGTATCTAAGATGACCGGAGTGAATGGAGTTTTTCTATGGATGTGTTGCGCTGTCGCTATCTGTATATTGGAAAACATGGAAGCAGACCATCACTCATTTTGGACATTACTGTTTATTCAATTATATCCACGTTTTGGCGCAATCTTACATTGGAAATTCCCTGGGAAGACTAGTGCAGACCTCGGAACACTGTCAAGCTTACAATATACGAAAAATCGGAAGATCGGAGGAGGCAACATAACCCTAAAAGGAAGGCTACACTCGGCGATTCATTCGGCATAGAATACACTCTATACAAGACAACCTGAGATGCTATTTTCAACTAATCAAGGCTTATCTTTAGATTCCATATAAGTTGTTTAGGACTTCTACTAGTACTTATGTAGGTCCGTCACCTTGAAGTGAGGTTGATATATATGGACTACGCCCGGTCTCAATCCCGAACCTGCGGGGAACCTGGGGGAGGCAACGGAAGTAGACCCGGAATTTGCGGGGGAACTGGAAACTAATATCCTTTTTCCAGGTATATTTCGGGTAAATCTCCTGATGAGGAGTGAGAAAATGGTGGCTAGCTTTTAATTACGCATGATAACCTCGGCCTATGGTCAATATACGACACTTTCAATGTGGTAGTTCATTCTCACACCCAACCCCAATTGAAGTCTGTAGAATGCATTCACATCATACGTACGTATATCGGTTCTTCAAGCAAAAGTGGTTTCGGAACTGGGTCCGGTAGGACGTGCTCGTAGTCGTAGCTCTATTGGAACCAAGCAGCCGTCCAAAAGATTTTATAAATCATGTACTTTGAATCTGCCAGTTCTCGCATCCATCCTAGCCTCGTTCTATTTACGAGAGCCGCCATGAATTTATTCACAGGACTCCTGAGCCTGCTCCTGGTTTCCGCTCATGCTTTCAGTTCTCTAATTTTTCATTTCTTAGGTCTTCCGTTGGCGTTCGTGAGCTTTGCGAAACCTGCAATAGCCCTGACCCACAGGCCACTTAAGATAGACACTCATCACCATTTCTTACCTGATTTCTATGTTAAAGGCAAGTGTCGATCTCCAATCTAGCTATCCTTCTGGCCTATCTAACACAAAGCGAGTAGCTCTCGAAGAGGCTGGCGGGGATCCGTCCGGCTGGCCCACTCCGAAATGGAGCCCACAGCTATCTTTAGAGAACATGAAAGAGAATGGAATACAAAAAGCGATTCTTTCTTTGACTGCCCCCGGAGCAACAATTGCCGCAATCGACCAGGAAGCACGGCACCTGGCCCGCAAGACCAATGAATATGCTGCGAGCCTTCGTGACACACATCCTGACAAGTTTGGATTTTTCGCAACGTTGCCCTCCCTAATGGACATAGAGGGCACATTGGCTGAGATTCAGTATGCGATGGATATTTTGAACGCCGATGGTGTCACACTGTTCACGAGATATGGCGATGGCAATAACTATCTAGGCCATTCAATGTTTACGCCCATCTGGACGGAGCTTGATAAGCGCAACGCAGTGACTTTCATCCATCCTACCCATCCGGTCGACCTTACGAGGGTTAATCCACTCCTTCCACAGCCATCCATAGACTATCCGCAGGAAACGACCAGGGCAGCCGTCGATATGATCATCACGAACGTGACTCAGCGATTCCCAAATTGTGTCAAAATCCTCTCCCACGCCGGCGGAACACTTCCATTTCTGGTTTCTCGGCTTTCTGTCACATCGCGTGAAACCGAGCATACTAAAAAGACATACGGGAAGACATATGCTGATATCATGGAAGACGTCCGATCTTTCTATTACGACTTTGCCTTGTCGAGCTCTCCCGCTGTGATGAAGCTTGTGTTAGAACTCGTTCCACATAATCATATAACTTATGGTAAGTCTGGGGTTCGTCATATTACTAGAAAATACTTACGGGGTTCATCAAGGCTCGGACTTTCCATACGCTGATTCGGACAAAATAGCCGGATTTAGGGAAAACCTGGACGGCTTCCCAATGAGCAAGAGGCTGCGCGACATGATATACTTCAAGAACGCTCTGGGATTCATGTAAATAGCATACAATTTGATCACTATATTTGACTTTTGTTTTAGTATTATCTCATGCTAAGCAAGTCGTGTAATTGAAACATTTTCAGAATCTCAAAACTTTGGAAAATAGAAACCCATTGGACGGCACCATGAATAATCTGATTATAAAATTGGCCTAGATTAATTTCTGAAGGAGATAGTGTTACACTAAGTTGCTTGCTGATTGTGCATTAGTTATTTACGTCTCTCTTTTCCTTTTTGGGAGGGTTTGTTGGCTCTCTATTGAGAGCCCTCTGTCTTTCAGCTGGCTTTCTGAGTTCCCATGAAGTCAGGCAGTGCGTGCTCCCTACCTCTTGCAATCTATCGAGTATTTCTTCTTGCTTCATCTCTATATACAGATGGTTCCATATGTATTAGATACTATGCAGGGGCAATGTTTTGATGGAATGAAGTATACGGTATCTCCATTTGATTGGCTTCTCAGTTTCTTCTTTGTCCACATTATTCCTGGAGCTCGAGCTCACGGGCTTCGCCGGCCGAGGAGGACTCTCCTTCATCGCCTTGGGCCTGGCTGGCTTTGGTGGGATCTCCTTCTCCTCCTCCTTGTCCTTCTTCTTGTCCTTCGCATGTTCAAAAGATAGACTCTGGGATGACTCGGCTGGAGTTTATCGCGCCTCGGGGCGGCCTCCGCATCCCCTGGAAGGAACGAGGATATGAAAAGACACGAAGAGAGAGTTTGCCTTTGAGATCTTGCATGGTTGCGGTGATGTCGGTGTCGGCCTTATGTTTGAGGTATTAGTTGTGGGCTGCGGTGAATACGTTGTATCTCTCCAGCTTGGCCTTGGTTTCTTTAGACTCCCACACTGTTTCGTTCACCTCCATGACGACGAGAGTGTTGCCCAGGGCTGTGATGACGTTGGAAATGATGGCAGCGCCGGGGTCGTATTCTGTGATTGCATCCAGCTTGATTTGCAAAGCTGCGTCGGTTTTCTTCGTGACCGTGGATTTTGTGGCAGGTTCCTTCTTCTTGTCCTTCTCCTCCTCCTCCTCCTCCTCCTCCTCCTCCTCCTCCTCCTCCTCCTCCTCCTCCTCCTCCTCCTCCTCCTCCTCCTCCTCCTCCTCCTCCTCCTCCTCCTCCTCTGCCTTCTTCTCCTTCTTCTTTGCTTCCTTTCTCTCCTCGAGATACTCCTCGTTGATCAGGCTCTGGGGGTGCTTGAGCCGGGCTTGTCGGGCATGAAACCTACCCATGTATCTGTTAGAACGATGGATATAGTAAGAGAGAGCAAATCAGACTATACATACCGGACGATCCAAATCACAGCCCCTATGATCAAAGCCAGCGCAATCAGGCCACAGAAGCCACTGACAAGTTGGCCTTTCCAGGCATCAGGGTCCCTACAACTTGCGGGGCAGACAGGATAAGCTGTTATGGTCGTTGTGTTTGCAGACATTTTGGTACGCGTATGAGATATTTTGTGATTTATAGGCCTATGCTCTACGGGAGGTTGGTTTACTTATATACCTAGAGGAAGGTGCATCCGGTTAATCGGGTATCTCATTTGACGAACTTACCTACATAAATTCACTAACACTAAACATAGTGCTCGCCGAGCTGCTTGAACAATCCAGTTCCATTTTCATATTCCACCATGCACCTAGATCTGGCTGTCTAGACCTTCCGCTTCCCATTAACGAAGGTCCAGAGTTTAAAATGATGTCAAAGATTATCACCAGCCGTGTTTACAATGCGACCCGGCATTCCAGAGGCATTGCAATGTTTTGAGATGGAGAAAAACGTTCAGTCGGATGCCAACGCCCGCGTTATCTATATTCTAGAGGAGAGGTGCTATGGGGGCTAGTCGCTTGATAGACCACTGACTTCCGGTATAGTTGGGTTTATAAATTGCAATAGCATCGTTTTGCCTTTCCGCAACAAGGCGCACTATAACGTATATTTAATCCTTCGCTTTTCGGTCGAATCGGTCTTTAGAATTAATGCCTCGATCGGAACAAATGTTGTTTCTCCCATGAGGAAATCCATGGACCTTGATCAATCCACTGATCGAACTGATTGACAGAATTTTAGTCGATGCTTATCAGCTAGCCCCATAGTTAAAATGCTCGAAATAACAACAAATATCGCAATTTTATGAACTCTATCAGACGAAAGCCGAGGAAGAAGGGTGACTACACATCAGGAAGAAAGGGGTATTTGGCCTGACAAATCAGGCACCAATTTCCCGATTTTTATATGCGGAGTGCATCCTCCCCCACGTACAGCAGCCAATCACTCGAGGGCGGGGCGTACTGCAAACGTCCACGATCGGGACTTTAAGCCGACTTCTTTGCTCTTTCATAATATTGAATTACCTTTGGAGGTTTCTTTGAATCTGTCACATTCTTGCCCGTCTTGCAGATCCCATCAATCGAAAGTCACGTGGGTGATGTCGGTAAAACAACGTTCCTGAAGTTTCGGATCTTTTGTGGCTGAGCCGAGGCCCATCACTGTGTGACCCCAGTAAATATGGCGCACGTTCGATCTGATCAGTCGAGCTCACACTTTGGGTCGGCACCATCGCATCAGGATGCGCAAGATGACACTAGCAAGGAGAAAATGTCACTCATCGGCTTCGTCAAAAAAACATGGCAGAAAACGGGCTTGGACAGACCCACCATCCTTTTGATGATGAAGTGAGTTCAGGACCAAGCTTCCAGTGTCGCACAGTATGGTATCCCTAACAGCGACTCTAGGGGCGGTATTCCTCCTACTATAGCCGTTTCCATGTGAGTTCCTAATCTTGGAAGTTCCCCCGGTCTATCAAAATCAGCCTGACCTTTAGTCCAGCTACCAATCCATGGCTGTTGCCAACGAGTACACGACCTTGGGCTATCTCGTGCCCATTGTCTCTATCCTGGGCTTTGCGATCATGCCCCGCGCAAAATTTATCCAAATGATGATCTTTGACGTTTTGGCTGTCTGCATAGCAGCATCTTTCGCACTGTTGACAATGTTCTCCAGTGTCAAGGCGCGCCAACACACCGCTACTGACCCTACTGATGCATACAATTCCTCCGCGTCTGCTGTGAGTGGTTTGTGGCTGTTCTTCCAAATCTGGATGGTTCACACCTTCCGGGCCAAATACCCGCAGCTGCAATTCCCCGTGATTATTTACGCAATCTTCGCGAACATTTCTTCGATATACGCTCCACAGATGAAGAATATGACAGCTGCGTTTAGTATGGTGAGCCAATTGCTTAAAGCCTTCCTTACTGGTCTCGGCATTTCAACAGTAACGTCGTTATTGATCCTGCCGATGACGTCACGGCAGGTCGTCTTCAAACAAATGGCAGGCTACATTGGCGGGCTTCGCTCGGCCTTGAATGCCCATGCTCTATATTTTCAATCGTTGGAAAGAGATGACATGTTCGGTCGCACGGAGACCTATGATGACGCCCGTGAGAAGTTTGGCAAGAAGGGAAAGATCTACAGTCCCGAGGCAGAAGCCATCCGCGGGGCGATCCGTCAGATCACAGATATCCATGCAAAACTCCATGGCGATCTCACATTTGCGAAGCGTGAGGTCGCATTTGGAAAATTGGGACCTGATGATCTTCAGGCAATCTTCCGTCACCTTCGCCAGATGATGATCCCGGTTGTGGGCTTAAGCTTCGTGGTGGATATCTTTCAGCGACTGTCAGACTATAACAGATGGAACCAGCCCATTGATCTAAATGAGCCTGTAGTCCCAGAGGATATCCGACAGCGCGTTGTGCACGAGTGGAATGATATCATGAGAGCGGTACACGATCCCTTTGCGGTGATGATACAAACTATTGATGAGGGATTGCTACATACGTCCTATGTTTTTGGGCTAACAAATCCACCCAAACGCAAAGCTACAGCGAAATCTTCGGACGACAGTTCAACGGAGCAAGGCGAAGATGTGGAGGCCACAGCCGAAAACACTGCTCCTGGAGAAAAAGCATTTACCGAGCATTTTGAAAAGAAACTTGGCGAATTTCGAAGCGCAAAACGCCTTGCTTTGCAGACATGGGCTGAGGAGAAGGGTGTCACGCTCCCACCCGACTTTTTTGATCACCCTGCTTCTGCTGAAATGTTGAACACCGACTTTTTGGACACCTCGGCTACGCAAAAAGAGCGAAGCCGACGACAGCTGTATCTATTTCTCTATGTAAGCCTGTATCTACCGGCCAGACAACATGATTGAAGCTAACATAAACTCAGATGGAACAATTGTTGTACTCGACCGGTCAAACCGTGCTCGACTTTGTCCGTTATGCCAATCACGTTGAGGCTAAAGGAAAGCTACTGAAGACTCGACTCGTCATTCCTGGTGGCAAGCGAGTGTGGAAGTGGGCTAAGTCCTTTTTGAGTGCTCAGGATCATGAAGATGATAATATGGGTGACATTCACACACAGAACAACATCCTTCACCTTGGCGAAGCGTATAAGCTGCGCAAAGATCCCGAGCACCTACCACCGACTACTCTTTTTGAGAGGGTTGGAGACAAAATTCGGGTCATCCCAGGGTTTCTGCGCTCGTTTGAGTCAAGCTACGGCTTCCGTGTCGCCTGTGCCACCATGACTATTGCAGTCATTGGGTTCCTACGCGATACTCAAATCTTCTTCACTGCGCAAAGATTAGTTTGGGCCTTGATCATGGTCAATCTCAGCATGTCTCCCACCTCGGGACAGAGCATTTTCAGTTTCGTGTTACGGATTTTCGGCACATTCCTTGCAATGGTAGCAAGTCTTCTGATCTGGTATATTCCAGGTCAACAGACACCGGGTATTATCGTTTTCCTGTTTATCTTTGTCTCCATTGCCTTCTACATCCCCATCAAGATGTTCCGCTTCCGAGCTGTCGGAATCATCAGCATCATCACTACAAGCATGATCATCGGTTATGAGCTCCAAGTTCGCCGAGTCGGTGAGGCAGTCGCAACATCCAATGGACAGCCCTTCTACCCCATTTACCTCTTGGCGCCTTATCGCCTAGCTGTTGTGGCGGGCGGTATTGCTGTCGCATTCATTTGGACGTTCTTCCCATATCCAATCTCTGAGCATTCAGTCCTCCGTCAAAGTCTAGGAGCATCGTTGTATCTTCTGGCAAACTACTACTCGATCATCCATGAGACAATCTCCGGTCGCATGCGTGGTGACGAGGGCGAGTACTTACTCAAAACCTCTTCGGGTCGCAAACTTGAGAAAGCGCGACACAAAGTGTTCTCAAAGCAGATGCTTATGCTAGCCGGTTTACGGACATACTCTGGGTTCCTTCGGTGGGAGGTTCCGGTAGGCGGTCGGTTTCCCAAGAAGCAGTATGATTCAATTATCGTCTGTGTAGAAAAGTAGGTCATGTCCGCCCACATCCTTCCCAGGTACTAACATTGCTTATCTTCCTAGCATCGTGAACTACCTCAGCTTGCTAGGCTACGCATCTGATACTCTTATGTATCTCGGTGACGGCGAAGATCCCGCAGATACCGCCTGGATGACCGATTTCCGACGGCTGATCAATACTGCCAAAGTGACGACACACGAGGTCACATCTTTGCTCTGCCTTCTCTCTGCTAGTATTACCAACCGACAACCTCTGCCGCCGTATCTTAAAGCACCCCGTCCGTACAGCTTCACGAAACGCCTGATGGATCTAGACAGCGACCTTCTGAGCCTGCGGCACATTGCCGAGCCTGGATTCGCGGCTTTTGCAGTCTTGCAGATCTCGACCCGCTGCATTGCCGGTGACATGGACAGATTACTTCGGTAAGCTTCAACTGGAACCTCCGTTATGAGACTTAACCGGATTTGCTAATAGGATTATGTATTCTAGGCTCGTCAAAGGCTTGGTCGGCGAATTAGACTTCTCTTTCCACGCTGTAAGCACAGGAGAGTCAATGGCCGAGTCACGAATGACATCTCGGGTAGGGTCAAGAGTGGATTTGAGCGAGTACGCATCATCGCAACGTGGTGATCAGCACAAGAACGATTGATTTGTCGTTTCTTTTTATCAGTTCACTGTAGACAGTTTTTCCGTGTATATTTTGGGCATGGCTTGTACATAACGAAGTGACGGATCTCATTCTATCATTGGCTTCATCATCGCAGACCTGTACAAATTACCGCGGTAGATTTCGCCATCAACAATACCCCGCAATATACTTAGGTGGTTCTCCGAAATCGGTCCATCTGCATAACCAGACTTAACAACCAACCCTCAGGCTTCCACGTTCCCTCTCCATTCACATCTTCTCAGTGTAAACCACCTAGGATGACCGAAGTCAAAGTCGACAAAGCTCTCTTCTCGCAATCAGCCGGTAAAACAGTGCTCATAACCGGTGCAGCGCGTGGGATCGGAGCCGCAACAGCGATCTTATTCAACTCCCACGGCGCCAATGTCATTCTCGCCGACCTCCCGCAGCTGCGAGAGAGCGCCAATGAAGTAATTCAGAACCAGATAGAATTCCCAAGCCACGCAATATTCGTATCTACCGATATCACCAACTGGACAGAGCTAACAGCATGCTTCGAAGCGGCAATAACCACCTTCGGTAAGGTTGACATCGTCATAGCCAATGCGGGTATTATGGAGTCTGAGTCCGTCCTGGACATGGACAACGTGGATGCGAACGGACGTCTTCTCGAGAGTCTGGAGGCGGGGAGGGTTATTGATGTGAATCTAAAAGGGACATTGAACAGTGAATTTTCCAATCCTCTTCAATCTTCAATCTCGGGTTGAATTCCGGCATTCTGACAACTCGCCTATCCATCTATATAAAACAGCTCTCCGCTTAGGATTACACTATACGAAGTCCTCTACATCAACCACTCAAGGCCTGCAACCAACAAAGTCAATCTTGCTAGTTGCATCCACATCGAGTTATTTCGGCGGAACAGGTGTAGCCGCCTACATCGCGTCGAAGCACGGCGTGCTCGGTCTCCTGCGGGCGTGTCAGGATGTTGCGCGCGTGCACGGCGTCCGGGTTAATGCTGTGGCGCCGTTTTTGACACCGACTCATATCACAGCGGGCTTTGCGCACAAGTGGGATGAGGCGGGTCTTGAGAAAAATACTCCGGATCGAGTTGCGGAGGCTATTGCGCTTGTGGCTTTGGATGAAAAGCGGCAGGGGGAGTGTGTTTTGGTGAGATATATCTATTGCAAGGAGCGATTACTTGGTATGCAGCTAATACTCTTTTGACTTGGTTAGGTTGCTGGTAAGTATCTCCGAGAACTTGAGGGGTCTAGGACAAGGCTCTTGCCGTTGTGGTTTGGGGCGGATCTTACGGAATTTATGCGTGAGGCTATGCAGTTCTTTGTTAGTATTGGGGGATATGTCTTGCCTAAGAAGTACTAGAAGAAGTCACTCTTGCATTTGCTTATCCTCGGGTCTATTTAGTGTGGTAAAATCCAAGAGAGCTGCAGGAGTAAGTTGGCGGATGCTCTAATAACGAAATCCGACTTCAGGGACACGACAGTAATGCATCTCCCAGTCCAGGCGGCCGTTCATCTCCACATACCCTCTTAGCTGGATCTTATTATAGCGCACTCTCATACACCCCACGTCCCACTCAGTACAACCATCAACTGCATCGAAAACCTCCGGTTCGTAAAAGCCACCGTATCCCTCCAGCTCCTCATCATCAATCTCCTCCATTTCCGGGTTCCAACGCCCACTCACGAGAATAACGAAGGCGGAGTGGTCACGCTCGTCGTCATCCTCCTCCATATCGGCTGGACGATCAATAACTGATTGTAACGATTCCTCGTCGACCATAAGACAAAACTTGTATCGGCCCGGATCTGTGGCCAGCGCTACCTCTGCCGGGATGCCTTGTTCTTGCTGGGACGCAGTAGCCACCCACTTGTTGAAGTGATCCCGAATAGTGAAGGAGGAGGCACCGTCGAAGCGCTGGTCCTCAAAGACAGTCGGCCTAAAGCGATCGAGTATATCGAGACCATTGTTCTTTTTTAAGCTGGTCTGGACTGGTTTCAGATATTGATGCATAAACTTCTCCCAATCGGAGTCGCTCTTGTACGTGCATCGGTACAACACAAATCCCCAAATTCGGTGACCATTCATGTCCATAATTCGCTCGAGTCGATCGGCGACTTGCCTGCGGGTGTCCTCGGTAGGATCTCGTTTAGACGGATTCCTAGGCCCCCAGGCAGGAACCGTGGTAGATAGGTAGTTTTTGGCTCGAAAGGGGTAGATGGTAGGTGTGGTTTGGAAGGGTCTCTTAGCAGGGTGCAACGTTATAGCGAGGGAAAACATTGTAGGAAGGGTAAGAGAAGGTTACAGAGCAAAATCTCTACAAATACTAGTACTCGTGGCAGGCTCACCAGTACCTACCCAGTGTTGATGGGCACCGCAGGATAGTAAATTTTCACCGGATAGAAAATTGCAGGGATTAGGTATCTTTTGTATAGTAATTATATACAAAAGTACTTAAACCCAATATAATCGTAACCTCGATTTTCTTAACCCTCAGAGTAGTTAAGGGGAATATATGTAGGAACATATATCCAGTGCAAATGAAGTGTCAATTACAGGTACATAGATAAATCCTCGCTAACTAATGACAGTACAATACTTGTTACAGTTGGATGTAATTCCCTAAGTAGGGGGGTTTTAAAATACCGGTCCTTCCACGCAATACGCATATCCCCACTGAAGATTAGTACATGTGCTGTCAACTACAAGTCCCGGAAGGGTTATGTTAGTCAAGTCACTGAGTGTTAGAATCCGGAAATTGAGTACATACTGCTTGGATTCCATTGATAGAACTGGCTAGCAGTTATGCCATACTCGTTCTCTATCGAAGCGCAATTGTCAATGGACTGGACAGTATGGAACTGCTGACATCCCGAAACAATCCCGGTCTGTGTTGGTCCTATCCAGGTGGGAGTTTGCGTTGGCATTCCTGATAGAGCGTTGAACATAGTCGTAAAAGTGGGGTCGCCAACACCGACACAAACTGCGCGAGAGGCGGTTTCATTTAGACCGGCAAAGAGTGTTGTGACACAATCTCCTGTCAGCCAGGAGTTCCATGCAAGAAGTTGATACGATGTGATGGCGTATTCCTCGATGAGTTTGTCACAGTCATAGTCTATGCCAAAGGAATTAGCAAGGCAAGATAATGGAAGACATCCTAGAAAACTTGGTAATATAACTTACCACCGGCCCAATCCCCATCAACGGTTGTGAAACAGTTGCAGTTTGAGGATGTACCCACCTCAATGGCGTCAATAGGAAGACAAACGGTCCAGGTATATTTTGCAGATTCTATTATTGTCAACCTCGTTTTTCACCGAGATTTGCTCACAGTTATCACTCACCAGTACTATTCTCATACCGCAGGACACAGTAGCTGTTGGTAGACTGCAGGGTAAAACTACTGACGTTACTTTCGAGGCTCGGGTTCCAATCAAAGAGATTGTCTGTCGAAACATCGTTTTCCCAGGCCATATAACGACAAAGCGTGGTATATTTGCCCGGGTTTTGGTATTTCAAACATCCCGCAATGGTACCAGAAGCGGTTGGTAATAGGGTCTCAGGGGGTAGCACATAACCAGGTTGTGCCCATGCTAACTCAGCTAGCACGGCCAATGTAGCGGTCCCCAGCAATCGTGTGGCTCGCATTATGCCGATAAATGACCGAGGAGACTTGAGAAATTAATTGAAACTTTCAATTCCGCAAGTCAGGATTGTCGTACCATGTGACTACTCCGTATGTACTAGTATTCTAGTACCTTGGTCTCCTAGTTGATCCACTCGAAAATGAAACGAGCCGAGCCGATCTCGGGACAATCCCGGGAGATCTGGACGATTTACGGGTACCTGAGATTACATACTGGTCTGTTAAGGGGGTTCTGCGTTTCATTTGTCCCACAATTATTGGGTATCTGGTGAAAATTGGGGATCTACTAGGGCGCACCAACATAGGGGGTGTGTATTGGGCGATTGGCACGGTTACATAGAAAAGTCCATTTATTAAGCCTTTTTCTGCCTTTTTGTGCAGTCTAGCCAACAAACTGAGAAGGGGGAGAAAATATATGTATATGAAAACAGACATCTAAAAAGACTAACTGAGAAGACTAACTGAGAAGAATCTGAGAAAACCACCAAAAAGACATTTAAAAAGACATATAAAAAGACTATCTGAGAAGACTACTAAAAATCACTTGACGCGGCCGCATAAGCGGCCGACTATTCTTGTGAATACGTTAGGAAGGCGCTACTGAAATTTCAGGCAGCAGGGGTCGATCTAACCAAGGGGCTCGTGTAACTATGGAGTAGTAGTCCGCTACTGTATTCTTGAAGGCTTCTCCGTGCTTCCCCTTCTACTACCCGTGGACACGTTTATATATTATTTCTGTCATACAACTTGAGGATAGTAGCATCATAGGATAATGTAGGTTGAGTTTATGTAGCAAAGCTCCTTACATCATGCACGGAATGCTCGGTGCACCTACATCACGACAGCCAACAAGGGGTGAGGAGGCTGGAATGCCAACTGTGGTAAGGTCCTGGTACCCTTTAACCCGTCATTCCTAAGGGCTTGGCTCTAATATTCCCCCGCGATCGAAGGTTTGAATACGTTTATCAAATTTGGGACCAATGGCAATGCAGTCACCATGTATCCCTTCTTTTGCGGAATCCACCCAAACGTCTCCTTTGCAGGTTTCCCGACGACGAAGGGGCGGAGGGGGAGCTCCTATTACACAACTCTTCCATCCCACGTTGGTGTGGGTAACCTTGAAATGCTAGCTATGAAATTTCTTCCGAGAATTGCTGTTCAGTTTCGATTGATGCCGCAGTCGACTTCACATACCACAGTATCCCGATCCCCGTGACGAACGACAACCTAACGACTATATATATACCTCGAGAAGGCTTTCGACTGTCAGGATCAACTCAAATGGGACGCCATTCAATAGCCGAAGAAATTTACGATAATGAGTCTAAAATCAACTTCGGTGTACCGGACAGTGTCCGAAGCGTGGACGATATAACACAACACCCAGCACTGGGGAGCTCAATTCAACTCTTTGAAAGCGAACCCTCAACCGAGGAACAACAAAGACGACTCGAAGTGCGAGAATGGCTGGTCTTTATCTGTATCGTGATCCTGGCAATGATGGATTCGTTCAATGCGACCGTTTTGATCCCAGCCTTACCTGTATGCCACATACAATACCCCGAGTGTCATTTTATCTCTATAACAGAACTGATCAGGCCGTCATTTTAGGACCTGGCAAACGCATTCGCGAAGCCACTAGCAAGCACATTCTGGGTCAACACGGTATACCTCCTATTTGGCGCAGGCAGCCAACTCTATTTCACAATGATGAGCCAAGTTTTCAACCACGGACCCGTATGGATTATCGCCGTAGTTCTCGCAACAATCGGCACAGGTATCTGCTGTGGCTCCATGAGTCTCGCTGAACTGATAATCGGCCGCATGATTCAGGGTATCGGCGGCGGCGGCGCAATGAGTCTGTGCTTCGTGATCATGTCCGAGACGGCGCATGAATCCATGCAGTCACGGTATTCGTGCTATATCCTGCTTACGCGCATGTGTGGCGGCATCCTCGGCCCCATTATCGGAGGCTTGTTTGTCGATAATGCGGACTGGAGGTGGGCTTTTTATTTCACCTTCATTTTCTGCGCGCTGGGTTTGCTGTCTATTCCTTTTGCTGTGGATCTTCGCGCATTGAAACATATCCCGCTGCGCAAATTGTGCATTTTGGATTGGACGGGTAGTACTTTGGCCTTTTTGGGTCTTGGGATTATCCTGGTCGGTCTTTCTTGCGGTGGGAGCTTGTATCGCTGGGGAGACTGGCGGACGATTGTGCCTCTTGCATTTGGCGCCGTGATTCTTCTTGCGCTTCTCTTCTATGAGTCCAAGTGGGCTCTGCTTCCACAGTTTGGGAGGAGGGTATTCCGATCGAGGATGATTGCTATGACACATCTAGGGTGCTTTTTGCATGGCTTTGTGGTGAGTAGATATTTTCTTTGCATTTAGTTCGTGTTGTCTGACATGCCCGTCTAGGTCTTTGCTCACTTGCAATTCTTCCCATTGTATTTCATTTCCACACATTATATGTCCGCCACCTTGTCAGGCATCGCCTTGCTAGCCATGGTTGGGCTTGCGATTGCGCCGGCTACGGTGGTTGGTGTGATTCTCGCGAGAGAGTTAAGATGTACCCAGTGGATCATCTCTGGTGGTTGGGTCTTGACTGCCCTTGCGAGTGGATGCTCTATCCTCTTGGATAGCTCCACGCCGACGGTGGCGTGGGTATTTTTGTTGTTCACAGCAGGCCTTGGACATGGTCTATTGCTTTCAAGTTACAATGTTCGCATCCAGAATCTGCCCAAAGACGGGGATGGCTCCCTGTCGACTCTTCCAACAACCATGTCATACTACATGCGAGCATGGGGTATGGCAGTCGCGGTCCCTGTCGGAGGAGTTGTGTTGTTGAACTGCTTCGGCAATGGACTTGCAAGTGTTGAGCTGAATCGAGACATAATAAACTCTGCCAACGGATATCTCATTCTGATGAAGCATGTGAGCATGACACATGAAAAGAGAGAGGCGGTTACAATGGTTTCGGTCGCGGCGTTTCAAGCGGTATGGGGTCTCATCACAGGCGTGGCTATCCTTGGGGGGATTTCGTCTGGTTTCCTGTGGCGAAAAAAATGAAATATGAATATTAAACGTGTCAGAATTGAAGGATATTGGCAATTACCACATTTTTCGTAACTCGGACTCTGAAAGTAGCATGGCCAGCTAAACTGGTAGAGTATAAGGACATGATAGGCAATGCAAGGGCAAAAACCCAACTCTGGTAAGAATAGTTCGGATTTCAGGCTAAAGGCTAATTTGACATAAGAATGAAAGACGTAGTCTCGGCTAAGGTAAAGATCGTGGCAATCAGGCTGACATAGGCTGTCCGGTGATGTTCGCGAGCCTCTCCAGCTGGCTTTCACTCGATCCGCTTTTATCCTTCAGCCTCTCCGGAAGAACGAACTCTCGCTTCCCCTTTATTTTCCAACCAGACAGCCTGTCTTTGCCTAGCATCTCTAGCGTCTTCTTCTCGACGAGACTGTATTTGGAGGGGTCATTCCGGTCAAACTTGAACGGCTGTTTCAACGCCACTGGTGGGTTCGTGATAACGCGCGGGTGTCTCAAGCTGTTGACAGAAATCGAGTGACACATCAAAGGATGGAGAAGAATAACATCGCCCACCTTACCAGTTATCTGGTGAAAGTCGCTGCAATTCTTAACGATATCTGAGTAAAAGGGCGTATCCTCGGGTTTTCCAACAGGTTCTTGGCCGCAGGGATACATATATGGTGTCACGCCCTCGGGATGATTGTACTAGAAACGAGTCAGAAAGACGTAAAAGTGGAACAAGAGGCTCGGCCACCTACCAGATGCTGGGCAACATATTTTGTCGCCTCAGAGCAGATCATAGTTCCACCTGCACGATCCTGGATATCGGTAAATAGGGGTATAACGAGCAGGGCCTGTTCAGGCGAATCAAGAAAATGGGTAAAGAAGTCGCCATCCACATGCCACCCCGGCAGATCAGCAGGATGGGGCCATGTACCCTCGGACTCGGGCGAGCCAAGATTGACGATCAACGCATCGTTCCAAGTGGCTGATTCCGGGGCTACACGGTCTTCGCCCCCTAGAAGCTCGCAGATGGCCGCCCAGGCCTTGGGAGCGAACGTCTTGACGGGTTCTTCCTTGGTGTCTCCCATGTGGGTAATTTCGGTTGTCCATGTTGACTTGTCCGTTGGTGACACACCGAGTCTAGTCCACACATCGCCTGCCCATTCGGCTGCTTTCTCCTGCGTGAAACAGTCTGCTAAACGCACGTACCCATATCTCATGAAGTGATCGATTTGCTCTTGTGAGAGCTTGTAGTTGGGTTTTACTGTCATTGTGTCTGGGTCTTGCGAAGTGGAGCTACAGCATGAGCCCATATTTTAAGAATGAGAGATATGGATTGGTGCAATAGTGGCAGTTACTTACTTGGGGAAGGTGGCCTGCTCCAGGGCTGTTACCTACCTAGGTAGTATGTGACTGGGTCCTTTATTCCGCCGATAATTCGGATCGGACCAATCCGAGGCTGTTCTTTCCTTTTTTTATATCTTGAGGCGGTTGCCAGCACACGACCGGAGAAGGAAGCGGTGAATAGGGATATAAACGTTGTCCTATTATTTGATATTCGTATTCCTCTTCAAAATATGGCGTTTGCTTGGAGCTGAACAAGATTTATTGTGCCATTAACCGTGTAATAAATGGCGTTGCCAAGATATGAATTCCGGCTAAACACTCAAGCCCGGTCTAGTGCATGTCCCCCGCAAATGAAGAATGCTCCCCAACTTCCCCTGGGTTGCTTGGTTCACCACTCATACCATCTCATTTTATTTTCCTTCAGGTGGCGTCCAGGCTAATATGGTTTCTCAATCCGGCACGGTCAGTCGGAGCCTGAACCTGTTTGGCTTACAGAGAAACCTCCACCACAAATCACCCAAAACCTTGAACAGGAGCAGACCCAATGCCAACACAGCTGACCCAGCTTAGACCTGAAATGAACACGGAGTATTATCAATTATATGCCCTTTGCCTTCTCCAGGTTTATCAATTTGTGGGCCTCGGGCCGTCCAACCCGCACGATTGTGGGGAAGAACGGCATATGTCTCGTATCCAAAGAAAGAATCCTCAACACGCGGTACATATCCAAGTACCAAACAAAATAAGCGAGGGTAAGTGTGACCACGAGACTCGGCTCCAGGGCTGTTATAGCCCACCTGGCTGCACCAATCACAACATTGCATCAAAGCTTGGAAGCCGTGGAATTAGCCTGGGTCTGATACATCGTGGCCCTAAAACCCGGAGATGGGACGTTTTTGCTCTACTGGCACCCGCTATAGGGCAAGGTCGGTCTGAAATACCACCAATATGGCTAGTCCGTGCATGATTAGGCAGTTCTAGTCCCGGCGCTGCACGAAATCCGTCCTAGCGTCTTGGGAAACACTCATATTTCTTTATTTCCATTTTACCATTTTCTCCAATATGTGTTTCGATCGCAAAAACTGGGGAGAGCTGCTAGCTCAAGCTACCCAGCCAAGACATCAATTCCCATTAACCGGTTAATATCACAGCTTATTATCCCAGGATGGCAAATTTCAGTTGCTTAAAAACTCTGGGGGAGCCCCCCTACCTCCACATTCCTCTGCTTTGTTGTGTCACAAGCTCGGTGGACAGCTCACCTTTCTACCTAAATATTTCACACACTGCGTTCGTCTAAGCAGACTCTACAGACAACATGGGTATCGCTGTCGGCGCATCGACTCTGCAGTCCGATGTGGACGCGACTCAAGCTTTAAAGCCTGAGTTGCAGAAGGTTAACTGGTGGCAAGAGCCTGGTCTGCGCAAGCTCTATTGCTGGGCTGCTGTGCTTTGTGTCGCTTCTGCTACTACTGGATACGATGGGTAAGCATTCTAGCTCTTTGGTTGGATACGCATAGAGCTGACGGGGCCTTGTGCAGAATGATGCTTAACACCTCCCAGAATTTGGACGCATGGCAGGTGTACTTCGACGCTCCCAGTGGCGCCAAGCTGGGATTGATGAATGCAATTTACCAGATTGGTAGTCTTCTCAGTTTCCCTTTCGTGTAAGTTATACTGCACCAGATACAATGGAAGCGCGCTGACTCGAATAGACCCTTCATCGCTGATCGATGGGGTCGCAAGGTTCCCATCATGATTGGATGTGTCTTGATGATTTTTGGTGGCTTGCTCGGTGCATTCTGCAAGAATTATGGAAGTACGCTTGGCTATTTTATATCCCCCGGATGTCGGATCATTACCTTTACTAATGCTATTTAGTGTATGTCGCCGGTCGATTGCTCCTCGGCTTCGGTAATAGTCTGGCGCAGATGGCATCCCCAGTCCTACTCACTGAAATCTGCCACCCCCAACACCGCGGAAAGGTCACCACTATTTACAACTGCTTGTGGAATTTAGGCGCACTAGGTATGCATCCTTCTGGCCGGCCTCCGGACCCTGGTGTGCTGACTGAGTCTAGTTGTCGCATGGCTTGCATGGGGAACGATGTATATCCCCAACGATTGGTCATGGCGCAGTTTGACCATTCTCCAAATCTGCCCCGCTGTCATTCAGATCGTCTTCATCTGGTGTAAGTTCCCATTTTCCCTGTATTGGGTTGAATCTAGGTGGTTAACCATTATTAGGGGTCCCGGAATCTCCTCGTTGGCTCGTCTCTAAGGAGCGGTACGAGGAAGCATTGGACATACTTGCCTACTACCATGCAAATGGAGATAAGAACAACGCCACCGTTCAATTCGAATACCGCGAGATTAAGGAGACTATTGGCTTGGAGATGCGGTTCCAGAAGAACAGCAGCTACTTGGACTTCATGAAGACCAAGGGTAACCGTTACCGTTTGGCACTTCTGATTTCCCTGGGAATCATTTCACAATACAGTGGCAATGCCTTGTTCAGCAACTACACCAATCTGATCTACAACAGCATGGGTATCACCGAACAAACCAAGAAGATTCCTGTTCGTGTCCCCATGCCCTCTTTTAAATGGACCCCCTTACTAAAGTTTCATAGCTCAATGGTGGACAAACCCTACTCAGTCTGGTTGTCAGTGTCTCAAGTGCATTCTTTGTTGACCGAGTTGGACGCCGACCTCTTTTCCTGGTTTCCACAGTTGGTACGTGTCATCATTCCGCGATAAATTTACCGAGTTACTGACTTTATTCTCCCAGGCATGGTTCTCATGTTCCTCGCATGGACTGTCGTTTCCTCCGTCTTCGAGAGAACCCAGGATGTCAAGACTACCGGCTACCCACAAGTCGTCTTCGTCTGGCTCTTCTCTGTGTTCTACGCCATTGCCTGGTCGGGTCTGCTTGTTGCCTACGCGCTCGAGATCTTGCCCTATCGCCTGCGCGCCAAGGGTATCATGATTATGAACCTGACGGTGCAGGCATCTCTGGTTCTCGGAAAGTAAGTTGCCCTGAATATAGATCTGCTTTTTGGACAAAACTGACCATCCTAGTTACACCAACCCAATTGCGTGGGAGAACCTTCCTCACCACTGGAACTTGTCGCTGATCTACACCGTTTGGATCTTCGTCGAGCTCTGCTTTGTCTACTTCTTCTATGTTGAGACACGGGGTCCCACTCTCGAGGAACTGGCTAAGATCTTCGATGGTGATGATGCCCAGGTGGCGCATGTTGATCTCCAGCAGGTCGAGAAGGAGATCGAAATTACCGAGAAGGAGTCGCCTGATCATAGGGAACGTGCTTGATTGCGTCGTTGTGAAAAGATATCCAAAGGGCAAATTTTGGTGCCGATTGTCGTCAGACAATAATATATTGCTGGTTACTCACGAATTAATTTGATAACACTTTTCTTGATTGCTCCTTGATATCTGCAGGCGAGAAGGGTACACATGGTATGGATATTCACCGTCTAGCTCTCCTCCTATTCTGTGTTACAATATGATCTATTTGAGAGGGAACGATGTTAAAATCTTCATATTCAGAACTCCTAATACTCTTTGTGGATGTCCTTTTTGTGTGTTTTTGTAATTGAATACACGGGGTCCGTCAGTCCAGAATTAGCCAGTCAAGCATCGTTCCAATTTTGATCCACTCGTGATATGCTCCATTGATGCACCACTTCTCCCCGGAGCAACCCGGTTACAGCCCCGAGTCTATTGAGAATTAATGAGGCCGAATCCACAAGGCCGAAATCTCCCGCAAGGCTCATCCAACCGGTCAGTGATTCACTTGCCAATTGATTGGTTGGTTTCGAGGTTCGCGTTTCCAAACCAGTCCTCTTACATTGGACAATCAGAAATTTTTTGGCGTGCTGTTATCTGGGCGGATACTAGTATGTGCATAAATCGAGAAAACCTTTCCGGCTAATATGTCAGTCTTTAGGGCGTGTTACATAGCCCTCTTCCACGGGAAATTGCCAAGCAAGGATAGTGTTCCACACCCAGACAGGACACTATCGGGTCTAGGCCGAAGGACGCGACTGATCTCTTGCACGATGACGGGAATATCGACAGAATCAAGATTACCCCCAATTGCCCGCCATCGTCCAACGTTTGTCTGTTCGTCCATGTATGTTGGTCGTCGTCGAAAATTTCGGGGGCGAGCGTTAGATCCTGGAATGCGTTCTCCGTAATTGAGGCCAACTCGGACCGAATATGCTTTCCGCCCCTAGTCCAGTTAGCGAATATGATACTCTTATTCAAACGTTGTGACTTGCTTTAGTTGGTATACATATCAGTACGCGTCGATGATGGCTATGACGATTTCCACACCTAGGATGCATGGATCGCACTTGTCCCGCAGCGCAATATGTGGGAAGGGGTCTTCCTCATGCTGATCAATCGGTATTGACTTGAACGACCAAAGACGTGGACTATACGGAGCTATACCTTCTAGTCAGCCTCGGTCCTCATATGTAGAGGGTAATCTCTCTCGTACCTCTCCCTAAAATCTCGCTTGCTAGGCGGAGAATAGAGATTGAGATTCATGTTGGACAGGTTGATTCCGGTGTTGTGAATAGGAACAGACAAACCAGTGCTCATAGGCACCAGTAGCGGCGGTAATGCCTCGAGCAGAATTATTTGTAGACGCACATGGAAAGTGAGAATTGAAGAGGAGGATCCACTCCATCACGGTGTGTAGAATGGCAGGTTTAAGTAGGAATAGCAAGTATTCTACGTAGAGAAATCAATGAGTGTGCCTTCCCTGTCCAGGTGGCCGCTCCTTCCCCTTTATAGTTGCCACTCGCCTCAACTTCCCTCGATTTCCCCCAACTTCGCAACTTTGTAACTTCATCTTCCACTCTTTCATACATAATCAACTCTGTTATCATAACCCATTGATATCAGCGTCTCTGATTCCAAATACTTTTCTTACCATCAACATGCGCTTCCACATTGCGGCCCTTCTGGGCGTGGCCCACTTGGCTTTTGCTGCTCCGTTTCTGAATGGGTCGACTCGCCGTCTTCCGGATGGAATGCCTAATCCAAGCCCCAGTGAGCTGGAGACGATTGAGTTGAATGCACACGGAACTCTGCCAAACGGACCTCCTCCCGTTGGTATCAGCGAAGGCGGAATCACCAACCTCAAGCTTATCGCATTCAACGAACTGTTTGAAGTTGCCTTCTTCGATCAACTGATCACAAACATCACCGACAAGGCCATGGGGTATCGCTTCACTGATGACGAGGATTATGACTTTGTTTTGAACGGCTTGAAGGTGATTCTGGCTGTATGAGATGATATACCCGTGTCGCTCGGTGATATTTGCTAATTTGACGCAGCAAGAGGAGCTCCATGCCCTGGACGCCAACAACGCCTTGGCCCATGTTGGCATTGACCCAATCGAGCCTTGCCAATATACTTTCCCGGTTCATGACTATGATGCAGCCCTTTTGCTCGCCACCACATTCACAGATGTAGTTTTGGTAACCCTCCAGGACGTCGTGGAGAGATTTGCTCTCGGCGGTGACTTCGCGCTGACACGCGGGATTTCTTCCGTTATTGGCCAGGAGGGAGAACAGCAGGGTTGGTTCCGCGTCATGCAGGGCAAGGTCCCTAGTGAATTGCCTTTCTTGACGACCAGTGATCTCAATTTTGCCTTCACTGCTATTCAAAACTTTGTCGTGCCCGGGACTTGCCCCAACATTGACTCCATTCCGCTTAAAACTTTTGCACCTCTCAACGTCATCACGCCCCCGGCCGGCGAGACCAAAAACATCAAGGTTTCCTTCGATGATCCCGATGGGATCGATGAAGACACGCTGTGGCTCACTTATATCAATCAGCGGAATCTGCCGATCGTGGAACCTCTCCGAATTATCTCGAAGGAAAACGGCACGATTACTGCAAAAGCTTTGTTCCCCTATGAGGCACATGAGATGAACGGCTTGACCATCGCCGTGGTGACCAAAACCGAGGGACCATTCCCAAATGCATACAGTGTGGCGAACGAAACTCTCGCCGGACCTGGCCTTTTCATCATCAACTAACTGGTCGAACAATATCTTTAATTGCCGCTGGCAGATTACTACATACGCACCTCACTATCATTAGCCCTGTGACTTGAGCACAAGTTGTACATGTCGTCAACTCGAACTAGTTCTAGTCTTATTCTTCTTGTCAATAAATCAAGCTCACGACTTCCTAAACATAAGTGCTAGTATTCACGTATGAAGCTTATTATTTAAATGACAGACAATTCTCAAGTACAACTCCCATCCCCATCCCCAGGAGTATATTACACCCAACCCGATCTCACATCTTCCCCTGTACAGGGGTGGAGTATATCACACAAAACCCCACTTCAAAGCTTACCCTGACCAGCATTAGCATTGACACTGGCAACTACAGAAGTGTAAGCCGCGGCAGACGCAATGTTCTTTCCAGCGAAGTTGACCAAGAACGCGGTATCAGCCTTTCCACTAAAGGTTCCGGAAGACCCGAATCCATTGACCTGGCAGACCCGACCAAGAGAAGTCTGGCAAAGAGCATTGGTGTTGGTATCCGGCGAGGAAAACAACTGTCCAGAAATCGGTGTCTCAACAGCAGCAACAATGTTCTGGAACACATTGCCCTCAGCGAGAACGTATCCGCCAGAGCCGATCTCGAACGCGTGGCCGGAGTTCTGGTACCAGTAGTTGTTGACCTGAGCATATGTGTTAGTTTGTATTCTTATTTCCAAAATAGAAGTAATCCCAAGAGAGACAGAGCTTGTCTTCCCAAAGAGAATCAATCCCAAAAGAAAAGGGTATAGCCAATCCACTTACAGCATGCAAAAGAGTATTTCCCTGAACCTTGGGCGCGCGTCCACTGGTATGGTAGATGTAGTTACCCTTCATGGTAACGAGATCGCTGGATCCATCGAGGTAGACGCCCCAGTAGTGGTATCCGTTGCAGGTGGCGGAGTAGTCGCTGGCGCCGTTGATGAAGCTGTTAGAGATAGTGACGCGCTTGGAAGCCTCGGTGCCGAGCACGATGTGCTGGCGGGAGATGCGGGCGGTTGTGACGTGGTCGATCCAGACCATGTCGGCGTTGTTGATGGTGATGGCATCACCACCCCAGACGTACTTGGGGTTGATGTCGGTGATGGCGATGTTCCTGGCGGGTGGTTAGTTGGGATTTGGGGTTTGGTTTGGGGCGTTTTGTGGGCTGCAGATGGTAGTATCTGCAGGCTGTCTCTTACTGGATGATGACGTTGTTCGCACCGCTGACGATTCGGAGACCCTTGCCCTTGATGACACCGGCGGTGCCGCTGCCGATGATGGACTTGTTGGACTTGACGGTGATGCCGAGGGTGCCGGCGTTGTCACTGGGAGCGGTCAGTCAGTATGGACTCCGGGAAGGGAATTGATTTGAATCAGGGGTTGGGGTTTGGAGGGTGTACGTACTAACTGACAGAGACGGAGGGCGCGTCCGGCTCGTAGTTGTTGCACCAGTTGTTCTGGTTGATGGCAACCTGGCAAGCAGAGGCAGTACCCCAGGGGGCGCAGCCGGTTCCGGTGGAAGTTCCCTCAGTGCCGGTGAAGTCGAAGGTCTTAGACAGGACGATCACACGGGGAGAAGAGTCACCCAGGTACGAGACCAGCTCGGCTGTGGTGCTGGGGTAGACAGGTGTGGCAGAGCCACCGCCAGTGACGCCCTTGGCGAAACCCTCTGCTGCGCCAGAGACACCGACGGCAGCGGCTCGCACTGCGAGTGCTGCAAGGATGGCTGTGATCTTCATGATGGGACCTGGATGTTCTACCTAAGATTTTGAGGATTGGAGTGGTTGGGATGAAGAGCTGAAGAAAACCATGTTGGGCGCGGTCGACGTGATCTTATATAGGAATAAGCAATCCAATGCAGATAGCTCTCCGAAGCTAAGACAAGCATGTTTGGAATTTGGCTCCGCACCCGGGTAATCTCCGTCTTGAAGAAGCCGACGTTGACCCGGCCAATACCGACCGAAGCCCTAGGCAATGGATTTAGCATGGAAACGTGGGTCCCATGTCTGACCGGTAGCGTTGGTGTCCACAATTTTGCGGAGAAAACCAGCGAGTTGTACTATGTAGGGGTAGATTTGGATAAGATTCCGGCGGAATAATTCTAGACGCGTGATATGGGGGATGATAGATACACCAATGGGATGTGCTTTGGGATAATTCGTCTTTAAGGCCCTCCGTGGCGGAACGGTATCTTGTGGGATAATTCATGTACAATCTCCTCCGTGACCGAATGACATCTTGCAAAGCAAATTCACGAATTAAAGTTGAGGAGCCACGGAGTCGTAAATCAGACCAGCGTTAGAGGATCGGCACCGGTGCTTGAAGATGTTTCACATCTAGTATGTTCTCCACATCTGTAGCTGCTTGGAGCAGGTTTGTCAGGCGTTGTCTTCGGACTCTTTACTCAGATGAGCGTGGTCTCCGAGGTCCAATCTGAGTCTCTCCTTTTTACACTCTGGAACGTGGTCTGTGTTCGCTTTGCTGATTTCTGTGTAGAGCCCAAGGGGGTCAAGTGTGAGGTTTGGGGAACAATAATTTCTCCGTCTTGGCGAACGGAGTGATTTTCCTCTGTCGATCTTTATCGGAGAGTTCGTTTTACATCAATGAGGATCATGTAAATCACAGTCTAAATTGTAAGATGTGAAGATCAGGTCGGTTCCTGCAGGTGGGCCCCAGGTTGATCCCAGTATTACATCCCAGTATTACCCACCAGAGCTATCAGATGGTATCTACGGAGTAGAATCGACGTAATTTCGGGGATTTGCTGGAAAAACATCAAGTACATAAATATACTAAGCGTGTTTCATCTAAAGGCCAATAATGCTGGACAAAGAAAAGGGATGAAAATCTCTAAATGAATTATATTCATTAAAAATGTGTAGTCTATGTAATGATGTGTGGTATACAACAAGAAGCAAAAATGTTCACACCGCTATAGCCATTTCAAAAGATGACCCAAATCTCTCCTAGAAAGCGACGGGCAGGGGACGCTCGAGGTAGCCACGCCACTGAGGGAGTGCACGGTCGCCCTTGGCGCCTTGACTCTTCTTCAGATCCTCGATAGCACTGGCGTACTTGATCAAGGTGGCCTCGGAGAAAGCAGTGTTCACAAGGGCAAGGCCAAAGGGCATGCCCGAGACATCGCTGACGCCAGCAGGGAGAGTGATGACAGGGTATCCAGCCTGGGCGGCGATCTCAACACTCTGAGCGACATCGGGAGGCACAAGGAGACCGTCAAGAGTAACGTTGCCCTGCTTCAGAGCAGCATCGATACCCTCCTCACGGGTAGTTCGCTGGCAGAACTCCAAAGCCTGGAAGTAGGTCTCATCCATCACACCCTTGGACTCGAGGGAAGCGAGGAGACCGTCCTGGCCGGAGCCGAAGGCAGGGTGAATACCAGGCAGACCACCCTCGGAGCCGTAGTTATCGATGTTGTACTGGACGAGGTCCTCGACGGAGCGGACGTTAGTGTTTTCGACCTCGGAGAGGTAGTCGCGCAGGTTGTTGTAGAAGTCAACCTTGATGTAGGAGTACGAGGACTCGTTGGAGTAACCGCGGGTGGTGCCATAATCCCAGTTCCAGCCGTCAGGCGAGACAATCTCCTTATAGTGGGGCAGCTCGGTGCCGTTGATGACGGTGGCACCGGCGGACTCGATCAGCTCGACCAGATCCAGGAGCTGGGCGATTTGGTCGGCGTCGCCGAGGGCCCAGAAGGATTCCCAGGGAATACCGAAGACAGCGCCCTTAAGAGCGGTCTGGTTGCTCAGGAACTGGGCGTAGCCACCGACGGGGGTGAGACCCTCCTGGGCGGAGGTGTAGTTGTCACGGGCGTCAATGCCGTAGATGGCATCGAGGGCGTAGACGGCATCACGGACAGTCTTGCCGAAGGTGCCGACGGTATCCTGGTGGGTTGACTCCGGGATGACACCGGCACGGGAGGTCAGACCAACAGTGGGCTTGATGCCAACAATGGAGTTGCGCTGAGCGGGGTTGATGACACTGCCGTCGGTCTCGGTTCCAAGAGCAATAGGGACCAGGTTGGCGCCGACAGCGACACCAGAGCCAGTGCTGCTGCCACCGGGGTTAACGGTGAAGTTGTAAGCACTGCGGCACTGACCGCCACGGGCGCTGAAGCCTTCGGAGTAGTTGTTGGAGCGCATATCGGCCCACTCGCTCAGAGCAGCCTTGCCGAGAAGCAGAGCACCGGCCTTGCGCATGCCGTGAACGACATGAGAATCACGGGGCACGACGTTGCCGAGCAGAGCCCAGCTGCCGGCAGTGGTCTCCATACGGTCCTTACTGGCGATGTTGTCCTTGACAATGAAGGGGATACCGTGAAGAGGACCACGGACAGTGCCATCAGCACGCTCATCATCGAGCATCTGGGCAATGGCGAAAGCATCCGGGTTCACTTGCAGGATAGCACTAGCAGGACTGTTAGTCAACAATTCTATGACAGGATTTCAACATGACATACTTCAAGTAAGGCTGGGTCTGGTAGACACGGTCCATGTAGCACTTCAGCAACTGGACGCCGGTGAAAGTGCCAATCTCCAGCTCGGCCTGGATCTGATCGATAGTAGCCTCCTCCAGCTTGAAGCCGTGACAAGGGCGCATGGCGAACTGTGCAGCACCATCGGCGCCCAGACGAGGGAAGTCATAGAGGTAGGGATCGGTGAGGATCTGGGAGTCGACCAAGCAGTCGGACTCCTGAGCAACAACGGAGCTCACCAAGGCGAGACCGCTCACCAATGTCTGGAATAAAGGTGCCATGATAGGAATTAGACTGAAAAACCCCGCCAAAAAACCATGTGGCAGAAAAGCCAATATTTTGGGGGAGTTCGTGTTGTTATACTCCCGACGATATACCGTGGAACCTTGCGGCCCCTTCGCGTGACTAATCACCACCAATAAGCCCGCATTCCCAAGACATTTTCATATTTTCGCTTTCAATATTTCACACTTGCTTTAGGCTCCTGTTTTTCAATTCTATCTGCTTTGAACGGTTTTCTCTTCGGTCTAAACCCATTCCATCCACTATATCCGCCAAACCATTGGGGTTAGTGGCGTTGTTCAGCAGAAATATTCATGAAAAATGTTCAAATTGACCAAAATAGCCTTTCATCTACCTTTTTAATCAACCTTCGGTATTAATTAATCTGTATTCTAGCGCGAAATATACCTTGGTGGTCGGCTATGGAACCGAGACCACCTGCCTAAAACTGCACGTTTAAATGGATCCGAAGACTCTGCCGACCCCATCGAGTACCAACGGAACCGAGTTGCGCTCCGTCCGATCGATCCCGATCCACAGTAGAAGTCTTTTGATTGGCTGCCTTTGGCGGATTCTGCGACTAGCTCGGGTTAGCCCGGCCATTGCGCCGTAGAATTTTGATTGATAAAAAGTGTAATATAGCGACGGGGCCGATGAAATCCCAGAATATCTAGAATACTGTGGAAAAGCACGCTTAGTGTCAATTCGCGTGCTAACCGATTTTTCACCCACGTGGAAAAAGCAGATCGCATCAATTTTGCTCTTAGTTTGGTTTTAATTTAGGTACTGCTCTACCTAGGTATATTCTGACATATGACAGCTGTCTATTTGATTTATATATTATTTCGGATTATTATACCTTACATACCTATGTGGGTAACTACCAGAGTGAGTTAATTCATGGAACTTCTCCACAAATTTCGATTGTGCCCCGAGTCGTGGTTCCGAAGGTTTATATGTTTGGTACATGATTCTCGTTGGTCACTGGCATCGTATCCCCTTGGAATTATTGAAAGTAAGACCCGCTTCTACTTTCCTCAAGGGAATTAAGAAAATCATACCATTTCCAAGGATTTAGTTTCCTTGGGATAATATACCAGACCTTGTCCCACTTTGATATCATCACTTTCCTTTATACCTGATGTGCAATGTCTCCTTGATCTATATCTTTACTAAATCCTTCCTAATTCCGATCATGTCACTCGTTTGAAATATTCAATGATTATCCCCGACGATATCCTTGCTGCAGATGCAGCAGGGAGAATCCCCAGCGGGGTTTCCCTCGAATACCTAGCACAGTCCCGCGATAGCTCCGCCATCGTGGGAATCATTTTCATGATATGCTTCACGGGCCTGTTGATGATTGTACGCCTATATGCCCGCGCATTCATTGTGAAGAAGATTGGTTTGGACGATGCATTGGCCGTCCTGACATTGGTAAGATCATACTTTTCACCCCAGATCTGCAGTGCACCGCAATCGAGCCGCCATACTATGCATAATTACGAAAATATATCCAGCAACTAACCCTATCGCAGATGCTCTACATTGCCTTTGTCGCCCTCTCTATCGCCCTAATCAACTTGGGAAGCGGTCGCCACATCGAATACATCCAATATGTGCTATCACTTCCCACAGTCCGCGAGACCGAAGTCCTAGACTTCGTCGCCCACATTCTTTACACAACGGCTCTATTCCTATGTCGTCTCTCGGGTCTAGCCTTCTACTACCGCCTCACAGCCCGCTCAACAAAACTCCACCTGAGCATCATCATCGCCGCACCGCTCCTTGTCGCCGCATACCTACCCCAGCTCTTCCTCCTGATCTTCCACTGCAAACCAGTAACAGGGCTCTGGCCATATGAATGGCAGGTCGAGCCAAAGACCTACACATGTCTCTCATGGGGACTCGTGTACTCGGTGAACTCGGGGCTATCTCTCGCATGCGACCTGCTGATGTTCGCGATCCCGGCCGCACTCATCAAGGGACTGCACGTCTCCTTAGAAAAGAAGATCAAGCTATCGATTGTGATGTTCCCCGGTGTCTTGTGAGTAACCTCCCCGCCCAAATCTAGTTCCACGAAGCTAACACCACACAGCGTAATCGTAATCTCCTCAATCCGCGTCTGGCTCGTGGCAGAGGGCCAATGGAACTCCGACGGCAGCTGGGCCTACAATCCGATGATGTGTGTCGAGAATGCCGAGATCGCTGCAACTCTAGTCGCGCTCTCAGTTCCAGCGCTGAAACCCGTCTTTGGAAACCTGTTCGCACACTTGACTGAGTACACTTCCAGTCACACGCGCTCGCGCTCAACAAAACTGCACAGCCTCGGTCATTCCAAGACTATTGGCAGTGCTGCGATATCCAGTAATCGGGATAGCAAGCGTCTCATTAACTGGTCGAAGATTGGGAAGGATGATTATGAGATGATGCCTTCTGAGGTCTCGGTTTCGAGGGATATTAGGGGTGGGTCGAGGGGGAGTGATCGCAGTGGGGAGGAGGAGAAGAATAATGGTTCGCAGAGTCCCGGGATTCGGGTTACGAATGAAGTTAATATTAGTCGTGGGCAGGAGGACAGGGTTGAGAAGCCTGGGTCTAGAGAGAGTTAAGAGGTGGTTTCCTCTTTTGGTTACATATATAGATATATACTGGACTACCTAGGTAGACTAAACTACTTACGTCATGTTAAAAGTATTTCTTTGTTAGGATATCCTACGCGCCCTCCATATATGGCATTGACTGTCCCTTTTTCTTTCTTTCATGAGAACGCTTCTATATCCACGGATAGTAGCAGAAAGGTCATATGAACAACCCGATCATTTACTTTGGAGTGTTAGGCATGAAACGAATAATGGAAGCATTATATACAAACCTCGGGTTTTCCTTGGTTGAAAGAAAGACCTCGATGTCTTGATGTTTGAGAATGAAACTCGCAATTACTCCCTCGCCGCTGTCCAACAGCTAAGCGCTATTTTTGGTCGTTTCAATAACAGCAGTGTGATATATACAATACCTGGACCAGGAGTATCTGGGGAAAAACATAAATAGAGCGTTCTATCTCGATCGTTACGCATATCACCATCTTCAGTCTCGTCTATCCTCATCTGAGCCCAGTTCAAGTTATCAAACTCGCCTACTTTAGTATTTACCTTGTTGCCGACATCATGGCTCCAAGAGCTGATCCCAGTAATCAAGCTGCTGACTCTCAAATCAGCCAATCACCTCCACCCAACCCTCCACCCCCATATCTCAGAGTCCCCTCGATACATCCATAGCTGAACTTGTGTCCTGCTACGGGAAAAGTCACATCCACTTCCCAAAAAACCTCGAAGAGTATTACCAGCTCGACTCGGCGAAACTCGACAGTCTAATCGTGTTTTTCCAACAAATCCGTCCCCAAACCACAGAAACTAGACGGTATCCCACGATTGTTGATCCATGGCTCACCTACGATTACAAGGAGAGGATGTGGTATACAGACGCCATCGATATTGAAAGCAAGCGCTGCCGGTTCGGGGAGTTTATCGGATTAACCGACGAGCTCGTGGATCCCAGTCTTCCCAATCCGCGAAGATGGCATGCGGAGCGTGACGTGCCGCCGAAAAAGCCCTCTGATGAAACCCCCTCCGGTGCAGGTGTTGTGCAAAGACCAAAGATTAGACGTCATAAACGAAAAAGCTTTTTCTCGCGGCTTGGTTTCGATAAATAAATGGCGTTGGTAATTTCATTTTGGGGGCCGTTGGGGGCGTTACCTAGTGCGGCGCTTAGTTTGTTTTAATAGTGAGACATATAATGGGTTTATGTACTTTCTCGTCTGAGTGGTATGATGATTCGGCGCTTATACTCTCTTGGTCCGAGTTATTGTGGGGGTCATTATGTTGTATACTCCATATGTGGATAAATATTTGCGTTAGGAAGAATGCTGAAAGATGAAGCTTATGTATCCCGTTACTCGCTCTTCTCCTACCCTTTAAGTGGAAAATATCTCAAACAGATCCACACACTAAAAAGAGAATTCCTACTCCATAAATGATCCTACGTTTCCGGACTCCGAGGTGGAGCTTTGCCTCGTGATGTTGTCAGGTTAGCTTCACGCTTGAATACATATAAAACCGGTTGGCTTCGGCTTCGGACTGAACCAAATGCGAGGCCTCGGTCGTTCGGAATGTCATGATGAATATGATTCCTAGCCAAGCTTGGCCCCCAAGTGCAACGTTGTCATTTGCCATTCTGCACTTAACCTTTTTGGGGGTGTAGTGACTGTTGAATAATCAAGTATGGTGCTTACCAACCTATCAATTGTCGAGATGCTTCTAATCCGAAGCTGTTGACGATCGACATATTTGTCATATGATCAACATTTCCAAGGCTTGATGTATAAAAGAACAAGAACACTCGGTATCCTAGAGAATAAAACATCTACACCATATACTACATTGACCTGTCCCAGTGATCCTTGACCAAAACGTTCATAATTTCTACGATTGTTCACAATGACCCTCAAATACCTCATTACAGGAGCGACTGGAGGCCTCGGTGCCGGAGTCTTATCCTACTTTGCTGCGAATATCCCGGCATCAGAGTATGCTGTAGCGTCCTCGAAAGAGGAAAATCGCAAGCAATTCGAAGACCGAGGGATCGCATTCCGAGTAGCGAGCTACGACGACCCCCAGACATTAGAGACCGCATTCGAAGACGTGGAGAACCTCTTCTTCGTTAGCACCAACACCTTCGACATCGAGAAGCGGCGCAAGCAACATGAAAACTTTGTAATTGCAGCAAAGAAGATGAACGTGAAACATGCAAGTCACCAAACTCCCCACACAACCATCCCAGCTAACATCAACGCCGCAGGTATGGTATACATCTCTCGCATTCGGCGGATACAATTCCGACTCCAAGGCGGGTGTCCAACAAGGCCATCTGATGACAGAGGAAATGCTGAGACAGTAAGCCAAGCCCCGACCGAAACAATCCACCCAGCATCACTAACACCAGACAGGTCCGGTATCAACTTCACCTCCATCCGTGAGGGCCTGTACACAGACGCCTTCCCAATCTTCATGGGCTGGTATCCGAGCACATCAACCGTCTACCTCCCCTCCGACGGGCCGATGGCCTTTACACTGCGGTCGGAGCTAGGCGAGGCCAATGCGCGACTGATGATTCAGGGTGGACACGATCGAGAGATAGTGCTGCTCACTGCGCAGAAGACTATCACATTCTCTGAGATCGTGGATCTGATCAACGAGACGACCGGCCGAAATGTTCAGTTCGAGCTGGTTTCGCCGGAGGAGTTTGTGCGGTTGAAAGCGGCTGACGACGAAGGCGGGAAGCCGGAAGGGTTCTTCCAGGTGCTGTTGTCGTGGTACGAGAGCATTTCAAAGGGGGAGACGAGCACAATTGATCCGCTCATGGCGGAGGTGCTGGGCCGTCAACCCGTGCCGCCGCATGAGGCTATTCGGGCTCTTTTGACGGAGAATCCGGACTATGAATGGCATCAGAACTATGTTAATCGCGGTTAGTTGGTTAGTTAGTTAATGATTGACTGTAATAGTCAAAGATATTGAAATCATGATGTGACAATGTGGTAGTTTCCAATGGTTGGCATGTGAGTCGACCGGAGTAGCTGTTATCCTGTCTCGGCAACCAGACCGGGAATGGCCTTGGAGCCTGAGGCACCTAGTTTTATGGGTTTTGACTGGGGAAATCACTGATTAATGGAGGTTGGAGTAGATAAGATGGGAAGATTGATATATTTTATCAATCAAATCACATTGTTAATTCCAACTGACCAGAATTCATCACATATATGAGCATGTCGGAGTGTTATATCGGCAGTAGACAAATCCCTGATGCTCCAAGTTGACGCCGTGTCCGCCCGAGGCTTGTAAACACCTTCGATCTTATTGGCTAAGACCCGCTGATGTCAGCATCTACACACCCGACCCGTCAAACCCGAGGTTACTAGGCGAAGACACTCCTTTGGACTTCATTTTGTTGTTGAGGATCTTTGGTTTGTGAAACTCGACTTCGTCGTCGCTACCTTCACAACTTTGAAAACTCTCCTCTCTTATTTTGTCTTTCAGCTATCAATCCCGTTCTCTCCACCTCCTCCACCCTCTCTTTCCTCTTCACCTCGGTGTTTTTCACATTTCCGATCACCCGCCATGGCCTCCCTCCGTACCACTTCGCGATTGTTCGCGGCATCGCGGCCGATGTTCCGCCCTGCCTTCGCTCGCACCTATGCGACCGTCGAGCCTACTCCCTCCGAGCAGCCCAAGATGAAGACCTTCAAGGTCTACCGCTGGAACCCGGACCAGCCCAGCGAGAAGCCCCAGATGCAGTCCTACGACCTCGACCTGAACAAGACCGGACCCATGATGCTCGATGCGCTTATCCGGATAAAGAATGAACTCGACCCTACCCTGACTTTCCGGAGATCTTGCCGTGAGGGTATTTGCGGTTCTTGCGCCATGAACATCGACGGTGTTAACACTCTTGCCTGCTTGTGTATGTACCATGACCCGCACATACGCAATCTCGAAGCATCCGACAGCTCCCGACTAAACGCTAATCCTTTGTTTGTGTAGGCCGCATTCCCACTGATACCAAGTCCGAATCGCGCATCTACCCTTTGCCTCACACCTACGTCGTCAAGGATCTGGTCCCTGATATGACCCACTTCTACAAGCAATACAAGTCTATCAAGCCATATCTCCAGCGCGATACTCCCACCGAAGACGTGAGTTATCTTATATGCCAGCTTCGCCTACGAAAACTAACAATTGTCAGGGTCTCGAATTCCGTCAATCCCCCGAGGACCGCAAGAAGCTCGACGGTCTCTACGAATGCATTCTGTGTGCCTGCTGCTCAACCTCCTGCCCATCCTACTGGTGGAACAGCGAGGAGTACCTCGGACCTGCCATCCTGCTCCAGTCCTTCCGTTGGTTGGCCGATTCCCGTGACGAGAAGACCGCCGAGCGTAAGGCCGCTCTCGACAACAGCATGAGCGTCTACCGTTGCCACACCATTCTCAACTGCACACGGACTTGCCCCAAGGGCCTGAACCCGGGTCGCGCAATTGCCGAGATCAAGAAGATGTTGGCTGTCTAGATTTGTGGATATAAAACGGAGTACCGCGGAATTTTCTTTTCTGTCCAATGCCTTTCCAGTCGCCTTTCCTCTGTTTCTCTATTTCCCATTCCCTTTTACTTTTTTTCCCGACTATTTCACGGATGTTTCTATAGGTGTAAATTGTGGACCTTTGTTTCTTACAGGAATGCACTGGTAGTCCATTCGGCTGCATGATGATAGCGCAACCTATACCTTTGTATTGTATCAACCTATCAATCTAGGTGTCTGATATCTATTTCCATATGTATCCATATATATCTGACACTATTGGTCAACACCATGGTATTTCCCTCTTAACAGATGCTAAGCGAATCCCAATACACTTATCCCTGTATGGGTTAGGCTTACTCGGCTATATGTTCTTCCCACGCTAACACCACTAGCACGCTAAACAGGCCACTTGGGCACTGCCTCCACAAATCGTAATAGGGATTCGAGCGATTACTCAACTGGGCTGTTAGCACAGTTGGTAGTGCGCCCGCTTCGCATTATTGCGAGCGTGCGGGAGGTCCTGGTTTCGATTACCAGATAGTCCACTTTGTCTTGGTTTTTTTTGGCTCAATCTCCTACATTTTTCTTGGGTTCATTTGCATTTCCCTCTTGTGGGCTCTTAAAAGTGGGCTACGAATCCAACACTCTACCGGGATTCCCATTGGGCCGGTCAAATCGTGGACTCATGCGGAGGTTGGGTATATCAGCCCAGTTATCGGCCGTGCAGTTGTACCTCGTCATCCACATATCACATCACAATCCTTTCAAACCAGGGGTGACCCATCGTCACGGGGCTTATGGACAAGGAGGATTGTGCTCGACCCGACCCTAGCGTTTGATGCGCCTGCAGCTGCACGGTGGGCAAAATCGGATAGTACTCGACGAATGACAGCCCTATATAGCACCTTAGCGGCCCCCAGGGCGTCATAATATCCAATTATGGTTGCATTTCTAAATAAGCGTGTTGAATCAGGAAAGAGTCGATTTGTACACTAACAATACATTATGCACTATCTATGCACTACCGACCTCGTGGGTCCTCTCTTTTTTTATTATCTGAACCCATGTCTCGCCCCTCCTATATAATAAGACATGGCCTGGCTCCTTTTCCTCGCTATCAGTGAGCAGGTTCGCCTATAATGGATTCCTTGACACTATACGTGTCCGTGCTGGCGTTACCGTTGGGACTGCTGGCCTTGCGCACTGTGTACCATGTGTACTTCCATCCGCTGTCCAAGTTCCCCGGTCCAAAACTCGCTGCTGCAACCTTTCTCTACGAGTTCTATTACGATGTGATCAAAAGCGGCATGTACATCTGGGAGATCGAGCGCATGCACGAGAAATATGGTGAGTATATAGATACGATATCAACATCAACCATCCAAGCCAGCAAAAACCCCCAAAATGCACAACTCACTAATACCCCATCCAGGCCCAATCGTGCGCATCAATCCACGAGAAATACACATCAGAGACTCAGCATACTACGACGAAATCCACGCTGGCGGCTCGCGCAAACGCTCCAAGGACCCCAAATACGCCATAGCCTTCGGCGCGCCCAACTCCCTCGTAGGAACAATAACCCACGACCACCACCGCTTCCGCCGCAGCCTGCTGAGCAACTACTTCTCCAAGCGCTCGGTGGTAGAACTCGGCCCGTCCATCCACGATAAAGTCGACAAGCTAATCGCGCGCTTCGAGCAAGCCCACCAAGCCGGCGACGTGCTGCACCTGGAACTAGACTTCGCCGCGCTGACCGCAGATGTCATTACCGACTACTGCTACGGCTGGAGCTACGGGTACCTGGACGGCGAGAAGGGGTCGCGGAGCAACGACCTCGTCGACGCTGTTAACGGGCTGATGGTTATGTTCCACATTAACCGGTTCTTCCCGTTCCTTATTTCTATTTTTAGGAATGCGCCGCCGAACCTGCTGCGCTGGCTGCAGCCACAGATGGCGGATTTATTTGATGTGAAGGCGAGGCTGAGACAGCAGGCTGATGATACTTTGCAGAAGCAGGGTCTGAGGAAGGTTGATTCTGAGGCGAGGTTGACTATATTTGATGCGTTGACGAGTCTGGAGGTGCCTGAAAAAGAGAGGACGCTTGATCGCCTGGAGGATGAGTCTGCGCTGTTGCTTGGCGCTGGTACGGAGACTACGGCTAGGTCTATTACTGTCGCGATGTTTTATCTCATCCACAATAAGGACATCATGGCGAAGCTGCGCGCGGAGTTGAGGAATGTGCTGGTGACACCGCTGTCCAAGGCTTCGTTGGTTGATTTGGAACAATTGCCATACTTGGTGGGTTATTGTTTCCGAACCCAGTCTTACTTTCGTTGTAGATTGCTGATTTTTGTGGTTCCCTGAACAGACGGGTGTCGTCAATGAAGGTCTGCGTCTCAGTCACGGCATGACATCCCGGTTGGCCCGTGTTTCACCGACCGAACCCATGCTCTACCAGAATTGGGTTATCCCTGCAGGGGTAAGTAAATGATACTGACTTACTACCTGTAACCTTCCGGTTCGGCTGTTGAGTGTGACACATGACGGCGAACCTAAAGCCGACTTGCCTTTTCTGGGAAATTGCTAATAATTATACATTGCAGACTCCGGTCAGTCAGTCGAACTACTTCGTCCATATGGATCCCACGCTTTTCCCCGAGCCGGAGAGATTTGACCCGGAGCGTTGGATCCGCGCGGCAGAGAAGGGGGAGTATCTGAGTCGGTATATTGTCTCATTTACCAAGGGGAGCAGACAATGTCTGGGAATGAAGTGAGTTATGCTTGTACGTCACCTCGCATGGTTTTAAACACTAAGACTTTATCTAGTCTTGCCTATGCGGAGATCTACTTATCTTTGGCACATATCGCTCGTCGCTTCGAGTTTGCGCTGTATGAGACTACTATTGATAATATCTGTGTTTATCGTGATATGGGTATTGGATGTCCGGAGGTTGGTTTGTTTGGTGTTAAGGCTACGGTGGAGGGTCTTGTGGAGGAGTAAGGTTGTGTTACTGTAGGGTGAGTAATTTTCCTCTATGATGATGATCGTGATGATTATGAGGTTGGATGAGAGTTGAGCTTGTACTTTTGTCGTGATTTTTGACGTGCGTGTTGGTTATGCAGGTATCCGTGTTGTGGGGTACGTTTCACTTGATATCTACTCGAGGTACTGCACGGCTGGATGATGACGGATATTTCATTCTAGTCGTTTTGAATGTGTTCAATTACGATCTAATGAATGCACTTGCGAAGATAGTTATTGTATCGACTCAACGCCTTTTGCCTTGGTGAAAAATTATATATACGTCTGGGGGCTAAGCAATAACCTCTCTGGTACATGACGGATGCGAGCCAATATCTAATGTTTAAGACGAATATATATCCATAGTTATGGACCCATCACAGAGTGACTTATGTACCGCCATGTCCTGCCTATCATAAGGGGCCACCCCGCAAACATCTTAGAAGAAGCAAGGAAAAGAGAGATCAAATACGATTATTGTCTATCAAAAAAGGGCATATACGGACAAACAAAGAGGTCTCAACAATGATCACCATAAAGACGATCGGCATCATAAATACATGACTAGAATTGTGGGGGAAGTGAATGAGTTCCAACTAGACCTCAATCCCGGAGAATATGTCCACATTTCGACCCACTACCTCATCAGGAATATGGGTTTAAGACAACATCAGTAGTGGTCGTGTCTTTGGTACAGTTATCGGCGGTAAAGTCCAGATCAGCCCAGTCGCTAGGCCAGTTTGTGTAAAGATTGCAAGCAGGAAGCAGTGGAAGGCGGAGGAGATCCCACGGGAGAATCAACCGGGGTAGCTCGAGCCTTGACTAGATTGTTCCCGCGCTCTGCGACAGGAAGGCCGTTCACTGAGATGGCAAGATGAGCTAAAGCGACAACCTAAGTTCTAGGAATCGCATCTTGAAATGAAGATCAAATCAAAGGACGAATGTTGATGAAATAGAGGAAGTGAATGATAAACAACTGAATTGGCATGCTAAGGATACCCTTTATATATGATTTTTATCTTGATATTGATATCCCCAAGACAGTTGGACCTGACACCACTAGCTAGCACGGGCGAATGGTAACTATTGTATAATACGACAACCACTGACCATAATAGGGCTATGTTTTAGCCAGGCATGATGAGGAGCTCAATGGTCGAAATTATGCCAAGAAACACAAGCAATATATATTTATTCACTTGTCTTTGATATTAGAATTTCTAAATATTCACCCAGAATATATTAAATAATATTAGTTTATTCACTCATAATGCTTACAGACGTATACACACGGAGTACTTCATCTAACATTCGAATGTTTACTGCGGTCTTTTTCAAAATCGTCTGGATGACCTATCATTGTAAATCCCCCCCCCCCCCCCCCCCCCCCAAAACGATGATTTATTGAACTGAACAGTAAATGATCTGAATAGTAGGCACAGGATGTTCCAATCAGCCTCCGCCCGCAACTCATCTAGCTAGGGCTGATAGCGGGATTCTGCCCGATGCAACCTAACAGACCAACAGACTACAATAATGTATGCACTATCAAACCCAAAGACACAGATCAGACCTGACGCGATCCTGCAAATATGTGACTACAACGCAGAAATCAGAAAACTACTTATAACCAGTCTCAATGCAAAGCAAGCTCGTACATATTATGGACTGATCGGCTGGCGCTGCAAGGGGTGCTTAGGGTTGCTAAGGGATACCTCCTGCGTGCCGGAATATCCCTACACATTCATCACCCTTTGAATGAGGTTTCAACGGGGTCTGATCACCTTTTTTGTGTTGGGGCAGACGTCTCCCCGAAGACATCTGGTCTTTTCCTATACCTGGTATTGTACTAGTATACAACGTAGTCTGTTATTTGTGGGGACCATCAGCTTATAGAATTTAAGCAGCAATCTGGTTAGAAAAACAATCATACTTTTGCTCTAGATTGTAAAAGCTACGTATTTTTGACTCACATCCACGAGGGAACTGAAGGGAGCTTTATGTGCGCCACCATGCCACATTACCTCATATCATCCATCCGTTAAGTTTGGACGTTTTCCCTACATAATATTGATCGTTGGATTTAACAGCATCTGACAAGCTTTCCTCTTTCCTGGGCAGGTCCCCAGGTGAGCATTCCACAAGAACCGAGCATGCGCGGCACATGGAACCCTTTGCAACCCTCCGATAGGTATTGGTGCCCTGCTATGTGGTCGTCATCCCAGCGATGTTGATCCTTATCAATAAGAGCGCGTTAAGAGCGCGAGGCATGGGAGACGCAAAACAGCAATCATAACAGTTCATACAGATCCATATACGCCTACATAAACACCATTATAACCCTGTCTCCGATCGCCAGCCAGTCCTTCCTTTGCTTTTCTGACCATCTATACTCTCTTTTATTCCAAGACTTAGGCCACTTGACCATCAAAAATGCACGTCTCATACATTTCCCTGGCGTTCTTCGCCATCGGCGCCATCGCCGCTCCCGCCGCTCCCAAGCCTGACATGGGAGGCATCACTGGCGGGTTCCCTTTCAACCCAACTGGCTCCTCTAGCATCGTGGACGGCGATGATGGATTTGACGACTTCCCCTCCGCCCTCGACGCAATGGACCAGGCATTGGCTGAGAAGGAGAAGTCCGCTGAGGCCGCCGCCCAGCACACATCGACCTCCCACCACGTCGTACTCAAGCCCACCGCCCACTCAGCCACGCACTTCCCGGCTCCCGTCGTCTCCCAGACCTCGACTCTCACCCACGCCACTACTACTGCCTCCCAGACTACTGTGATTTCCAAGGCCGCCCCTACCACCTCCCAGACTACTGTGGTTTCCAAGGCCGCCCCTACCACCTCCCAGGTTCATGTGATTTCCAAGGCCGCCCCTACCACCTCCCAGGCTCCTCCTGTGACATCCAAGGCTGCCACTACCACCGCCACTACCACCGCCGCGACTACCGCCACGACCACCGCCACGACCACCGCCACCCCTACTAAATCTCACGCGGTCATTCCCACTTCCGCTAAGGGCAGCTCTGCTTCTCCTTCCTCTAGCGCAACCCCCCCCCCTAGAGCATCTGCTCCCGCTGGCCCCCTTGGCGGCATTGTCGACGGCCTTCCCATTGTTGGAGGCTTCGTTGCCGGTCCCCTGGCTAAGATTGGTCTCCGTCGTTAAGACTAGTGTCTGCCTGATGTGATATTAGTGCGGTGTGGATTGTTGTCTTATGTATCAAATGTTGATGTTGGTCACTTCCGCTCCTTTTTTTTGGTTCTTCAGTACTTCTGGCAATGGACTGGTGGCGCTTTTATTTTTATTTCTCTGGCAATCATTCATATATCCAATGACTTTAATTTATATAATCTGTTTTGGCTCCTCTTCATACATTCTTGAATCTATGACATTATCACACAGAGTTCATCTAAGCACATGAAACATAAAACACTTCAACCTCATCTCCCTAATTCAACGGGTATCTCCCCCCAGACCCCAACCGATCAATGCACCCCTCCACAGCCTTCTGCATAGCATTGGTCGCCTCCTCCAACAGCGTCGTCAAAGGCACCTTCCCAGCCATCTCCGCCTGCACCCTCACATACTCATTATTCAACACCTTATTAATATTGATCTTGCTAACCCCACAATCAATGCACTTCTTAAAGATCTCCTCGGTAAACGGATCCGCCCCATGAAGCACAAGCCTCACCTCGCCGCCAACAGCCTCATTAATGGACTTCAACCGCTCATACTCCAACTGAATACCGCGGGGCCCATACTCTCCATGAACATTCCCGAACGCAGGCGCAAGCCAATCAATCCCAGTATCCACAAACTCCCGACTCTCCTCCGGCGTCGTAAGCAAACCCTCAAGATCAGCCGTATCAGCAACACCATCCTCACCACCCTCAATGCGACCAGGCTCCGCCTCTGTGGCAATCCCCCGCGCATGGCAGTACTCCACCAGCTCGCGCGTCAGAGCAAGGTTCTCCACCTTCTCGTAGTGCGACATGTCGATCATGATACTGTCGAACCCGCCCAGGTCCGCTGCGTACCGGATTATCTCGGGCGTTTGCGCGTGGTCCATGTGCACGGTTACGGGCACGGAGGCTTTGCGCGCGGCTTCGGCGGCAGCGTGCACAAGCAGACCGTCGGCGTAGTGGATGGCCCATGGGAAGAGGAGGATCATGGCTGCAGAGCGCTTGGCTTCGGCCGCGCGAACGGTTGCGAGGATGCCTTCCACGTTGTAGCAGCACATTGCGGGGATGCCATAGTGGTTTTCGGAGGCATGATCTAGGATGCGCAGGGCGCGGTTTTCTTGGAGGGTCATTTTTGGTTTGGGGTGGGTGTGATGGTGAGGGTGAGGGTGAGGAGCTGGTTTCGTGGGAATTGAGGGGTTTGTAGATTTGAAGTTTACTGTAGACCGGAGTCCGTAGTGTTATATAGTCTCGTGTTGTTGTCCGAGTTGGTCGCCTCACGTCCGAGTGTCGGAGTTGTTCCGGGAGTTACGTCACTTTGAGCTATTCGCCAGGGCCGGGAGTATTTATTTTGATATTAGCCGGAAAAGGATGATGCTAATGCATTTCACTCCCAACAGGTTAGGTTACATTATATTTTTAAAACACATGAGTTAGTTGCTGATACTAACCTTGGAATGAGGCGATAATGGGCTCTTCCGGGCCTATACACTTGTTGACATGGAAAACATGGGAGATTAAACCGCGGAAAGTAGATAGATGAACTTAGAGGCTCTTGATAGGTTTTATTTGCATGTTAAGCATATGTGTCGATAGCTGTATCAAATCAAATGCCATTTATTTCTTAATTAGCCATTCAAATAGTATAAAAGTGATGTTGGCCAGTCGGCCAATTCCCGAACTTCTACGGAGTACCCAAGTACCACTTCCAACAAGCACAACAAGAACCACCAGACTCACATCTACTAACCGGAATTTAAGAAATCAAATTTCAAAATCGGACCCTAGCAAGCCAGCACAACTCAGCAAAAGCCAAGGTAAACCCCTCGGACTTGCGCCGAACCATCCCGCGTTTCCCCAAACATCTTCCCCTCATAAAACCCCCACGCAGGTCCAGCCAGTTTATTTTGTTTTATATATTAACCTTTCTCCGGGGGATATTCTATCAATTGTATACATTATTTCCCTATCTTAACAACCATGTCCAAACCCTCAATCGGCTTCGTCGGCCTAGGCGCCATGGGCTTCGGAATGGCCACACATCTCGTGAAAGAGGGCTACGCAGTACATGGCTTCGATGTGTTCCCCGCTTCAGTAGAGCGCTTCAAGACCGCAGGCGGAATCCCAGCATCATCACTCCAGGACTCTGCAAAGGAAAAGGATTTCTATGTTTGCATGGTAGCTTCAGCGCCGCAAGTGCAGAGCGTCCTTTTTGGCGATGATGGCATAGTCGCAGGTAAACAACTAACCCAGTCGCAAACCAGAAATACAACTGGAACTAAGAACTAACCTACTCAATAATTTAACTAGCCCTCCCTCAAAACGCAACCCTCCTCCTATGCTCCACCGTCCCAGCATCATACGCCCAATCCGTCGCCGCAGAGCTGGCCTCCATCGGCAGAAGCGACATAGCCTTCATCGACGCACCCGTGTCTGGCGGCGCGCTCCGCGCCGCTGCCGGCACGTTGTCGATTATGGCCGGTGCGCCGGATGCCGCGCTGGAGAAAGGCCGCTTCCTGCTGCAGGAGATGTCAGACGCGAATAAGCTGTACCTTGTCCCTGGCGGGATTGGCGCCGGTAGTAATATGAAGATGGTGCACCAGGTGCTGGCGGGTATTCATATCCTGGGTGCTAGTGAGGCTCAGGGATTTGCGGCGCGCCTGGGGTTAGATGCTGTGAAGACGGCAGAGGCGATTAAGTCCAGTCCGGCTTGGACTTGGATGCATGAGAATCGGTTGCAGCGGATGCTGGATGAGGATTGGCATCCTGGTGCTAGTGCTTTGACTATTATTCTTAAGGATGTGGTAAGGGATCCAATCTTTGTGATGTTTTCTTTAGAGTTTCGGTTTCGGTTTCGGTTTCGGGGGCTGAGTTGGCTAATTGAGTTTCGATCAGGGGATTATCACGACGTCAGCGCGCCAAAGTCAATTCCCAACTCCACTTTGCTCGACTGCTGAGCAGATTTATTTGTCTGCTTTGTTGCAGGGATATGGGCCTGTTGATGACTCGTCTATGGTGCGGCAGTACTTTGCTGAGCCGATTACGAAGGTCTCCTCTATTAAGTCTGATGAGGAGACGGCGGACGCGCTACAGCTGGTGCTGGATCTGATGGAGGTGACTAACCTCGTTGCGGCTGCGGAGGCTATTTCGTTTGCGCGCTATCTCAATGTCGATTTGAAGCAGTTCTTCACTCTTGTTGGTGATGCTGCTGGTGCTAGTCGGCAATTTATGACGAAGGGATTAGAGATTATTGAGGGGCTTGGACAGAGTGCGAATGGGGGCTCTGAGACTGTGGATACTGCTACTTCTCGTCTAGAGAAGGCTGTGCAGAAGGCCCGGGATCTGCACTGTCCTTTAAATCTCGGCAATGCTGCTTTGAATGTGTTGTTCATGGCTAAGAAGTCTGGGTTAGGGGCTGAGGGGAGTGCTAGCGTGGTGAAGGCTTTCGAACATTAGTGTAATTGCGGAGAATGAGCGATGAGATATGAACGTTTATAGTTTGAATATCAATTTTATGTACAGTTCAAACTCTATCTTGAAGTTTCAATTAAATGTCCTTTCGCGCTATAAACGCAGCCAGATATAGACTTGAGTACTCCGTACATACCACTACTCTAGCTTGCACCTTATTGGGTAGAATAACTACTATTTACGGCCACTTCTTCCCTAGTCTCTCCAAATGTTGATAAAAGAATGTCTTGATAATACTATCAATAAGAAATAAGAACATTGTGTGTGGGTATCCAAATATTATATCCAACCATAAGAACCAAATAGTATGTACGGCCCAGGTGAACCCCCAACAAGTGCAGGGGTACCCAAAAGCCAGAGAAAGAAAAAAACGACATCAAGTATACCAAAAGTCCCGACCCAAATCTTAAAACGACTTAAACTCATTTCGCATGCCGCACACAGTAAAAATCTAGACCTCAACCTTGAGAGTCTCGATCGACGAACCAACCGAAGTCCTGCGATCCTTAATGAACTTAGGCCAAGTATTCGTAAGCACAAGGTACTTAATACTAGCCTCCGCAGCATCAAAGATCGAAGCCTCAAAGTCCGCCGGAATATCACCCCAGTATTGCACGCGGTCCTTAATCGACCCCGCCATCTCAGCCTGCATAGTCTTCCCAGAGTCCACAGAAGCCGGCGACGGCAAATCAAAAGTGAATTTATCAAAGGGGGTGGTGGGATCACACTCGCGCTCCTCGCCGTACAGAAGACGCGTCGGTTTCTCGAAAATGTCTTCCAGCTTCTTCAGCTCCTGGCTCGAGATATTGACCGGGAACTCAGCATGGCGGACGCTGATAAACTCCGCATAGATGTGCAGCGCGCGGTTGAAGTGTTCGCGGACGATGTCGCGCTGGCTCTTTTCTTGGAGGGCGCTGCCGTCTTTGATGGATTGGGGTAGTCGGCTGCGCCATTCTGCGACGCTGGTCAGGAAGACGATGTTCTCGCCAGAGAATTCGCGCAGAGCGGAGAATTCTTGTAGTGGGGCAGGGTTGCGCTCGAGGACGTGCTCGAGTGCGCCCATTGTGAGGATACTGTCGCGGGAGTTGAATGTGCTTGTCGAGCTGTTCGATTTCCAGCCTGACATCATCGATGCTACCATTGTCACGTCGGAGTGGAGGGAATTTTGTTCGGAGCCGGTGGATTTGACCTTTAGTTCCCAGCGCGCAATCGACTCGAGGGTTTCTTGTCGGAGGGATTGGTGGCGCATTACTTCCCAGCAGGGGAGGAAGACTGTGAAGATTTCGATGAACATGATGGATAGGCAGATCCTATAGCATAGCTGTGTTAGAGAATTAGGTCTTCATGGTCAAGTTGGTTTAGAACTTACCACTGGGGAGGAACGAAGACCGCGTTAACCGGGGCCATGGCGGGGACGTAGAGACCGATGAGCCACATTGGGGTAGCGTGTAGGTTGGAAACAGCGCAGCCAATGGTCTGGACTCGCCAGCCGTGGGTATCGTGGATGTTGCGAGACTTCCAAAGGACGACGGGGGCAACGATCCAAGACCAGAAGAACTGCGAGACCACACCAGGCCACCATTCCCATCCTGCACCTTGCGCCGCGAGCACCTCTGCAGGGGTACCATGGACTCCGGTGCCGGGAATACCCCATGAGCTATGGTACTTGCGGGAGATCACCCACATGAGGACAGTGAGAAACACCTGCATGAGATGGTGAGTTAGATAAGAATTGTCACAGACATGAAAAGGTAAGGTTAATCATACCTGAGCAAACATTGCGATAGCAACGTAAATAAGAATCTTGGTGGTATATCCGAGAGCACGGAAACGGTTGATCAACCCATTCTTGTGTTCCAAGGTAGGCGGTTCAGTGAAACGGTGTCCGTCCAGAGCAAATTTTCTCTGGAGCTTTGCGACATGTTGGAAGCGAGTGTTAGAGCCATGGAAGAGCGCCATGCCACAGGGCAGCAAGGTTCCCATAAGCCAATAGGCGCAGTCACCCGGCAGGATAGTTCCGATCATAGTTGCGAACTGGGTCGGGAGCCAGTATAAATGAAGAATAGCGATAGAAGTTAACGATAGAGCGAGGCCTCGAATGCGAAGAGTCGGCATATCACGGTTGGCGATCAGATAGGCCATACCGGCCACGAGGGCAGAAGTCCAGACACATGCCCAGACAGCCCACCAGATGGTGACGGGGCCGAGATCAATCTGGGCCTTGGACTCAGCCGTGGCACCGTATTCGGACCCCATATCAAGAAATGCAAGTGCTTAAGGAATGTGAGTGAAGTTGGGTAGCGCTTGACCCGTCCAAAGTGCCGGGTCGTCATGTTTTTATGTACAACATCGTGCATCGACGGAACTGGAGCCACGGGGTAAGCACTTGCACGAGCAAGTGGGCCCCTAACCAGGTTTTTTTCGGCGTCGGGATGTCGATCATAATGGTTGGGATATTCTTTTTGATCCATAGTTCTGCTGGGAACCATTGCGTTGTGGAGTCTCCCAGCCGATTGAGGTATATAACTGCTCAGTTACGGTCTCGCTTGAGTTCCGTTGCTCCATCGTTGCGGTGGTCCGTTTGGTCCCGTTCGCGGACGGGGAATATCCACAGTTGATATTTGTCAATTGAAATGAAGCGATGATTGGTTGGATAAGATGAAATTCGCGATCAAGATCTCTTGGCAGCAAGTCTCCCCTTTTCTATTGAACCCGCCCTTGACGCTATTGATTTTTCCCAAAACTGTGTTCCCGTGAAGGAAAATCGTAGCCCTAAGAGGCAGGCCTTTTACATTTTCTCTCTAACTACTTTGTATGACGTTTTAATGTTAACTTACAATTGTCTGTATATAATAATAGGTGTAATTATTTCTGGACTTCTCTCCTGTAATTGCAATTTCGCGCAAAAGTCCTGGATGTTTCAGACGCATGCTTGTACCCTGTGTCAAATTAGAGACAGTCTCTACTATTGGAGGAAACCCCAGACTAGCATCACATGTCTGGGGTGTAATATAATAGTGTGCTTTGGATTTAAGAGCCAGTATGTAGCAGTATCCAAATTTGGCCTAGCATATCAAACCCCGAAACCCCGAAGAGACTATCGTTTTACAAAATCAAGTATGATCAAAATTGAGGCCATTCATTCAATTCTCAGGATGAGAATAGATAAAGATACCGCATAAAAGGGAAAAAGGCCCAGTCTATTCTCTGCCACAATATACAAAAGAAATATGTACATAATAATGAAAGTAAAGAAACTAAGGAAATCATGTATCGCAGATCACTTAATACGCGAAGGCTCAAAAAGTCCCTTGGCTTTGGCCTCCTCCTCAGTTCCCGCCTGCAAATTCCCAGAATACTTAATATCAAATCCAGGAACACGTAGAACATCCTTCAGGCCCCTATCCACAACCTCCTCCTCCGAGCTTGCATACATATAACCGTAATACGTGTACTGCCCCGCGTCAGAGATCGACACAGCGCTAACCTCGGGCTTCACACAACAATCCCCATCATGTTCAGGCTCCTTCAATCCCATCTGGAAAGCATCCAACTCACAGTAAGCCTCAACATAACCATAATACGTCCCACCATAGTAATCACCACATTCTCCAGGAACCGGCTCCGCATCACAGAGTCCCATATGTCCAACCTCCTCCAGGGAAATCGCACACATAAACCCGGTGTACCTATGACGCACGCGCTCCGGCATCGTAAAAAGCCCATCCTTGCAACATCCCCAAGGATGTTTGATATTAGTAAGTCCCATTGCGCGGGCATGGCGTAGATCATCCGCCCGCAATAACCCGTAGAACTTCCCGTCTTCACCGGAGATCCGACGGATATCCTCCAGCCAACGTCTTTCTGCATCTACCTCCGACGGTGCATGCATTACCCCATAGAAGAGGTGGAAGTCGGCTCGTCGCTCCGCGCAACATCCTCGGACGTGAATTGGATCCAGTAGGCCCTGGCGGTTTGCGTCGTCTTCAGAGTCCGCCATCATGAACCCTTCTGACTCACCTGAGTAATTACCGTACGGCCGAACCTCGCGCAGCCCTCGTCGGAAGGCAGATTCTTCGTCTGCGAACATGCTGCCCATGTACATGTGCTTCTGGGGCTGGGGGCTGGGGCTGGCGAAGCCTGTTGGATCTTGGGGGATGTGCAGGTGCGTGGGGAGATGGCGATGCTGGCATTATTGGGGGTCGCAGTGGTGGGATTCTTTGCTTGCCACATTTGGACAAGGGACTCTGTGTCCCAGAGGTGGGGGTCCTCTTCGATTCCCAGCTCGGCGTTCTTCTCGCGCCGGTCCCCTCGGTCCTTCTTTAGGAGTGCGGTGTCCAGGAGCTTGGAGATTGCTTCCTGTCGGGCTTGTTTTTCGTTGTTTTCTTCAATGCGCTTCAGGACGGTCGCTTCAATACGCTGCTGCACAAGGTCAATGTCAAGAGAGGGCTCGTGAGACGAGTCATGGTCAACTTCAGGGTTATCAACTGTGGCCGAAGGAGGTGTGTCCTCCAGAGCAACATGGGGGTCATCTACGTCAGCAAGGTAAATGTTCATGTCCAAACTGGAGGCGTCAGCGTCGTGCTGTTCATGGTCAGTGTTCCCCTCCCGCTGTCGCTGCTGCTTCTCAAGATATTCGTCAATTCTCAGCTCAAGTATATTATACCTTATCAAAGAAGATCCGCAAAGCGACGAGCCAGAACTGTCTGTGTCGCAGCTACTTTTTTCGCTGGGGGATGCATATACAGTGGCCTCGGCGTCCGGTGATTCAATTTCAACGCTGCCATTTACGTAGCCACTATCATGGTTGCTGTAGACGTGATGAACCGGACTAGACTTGGGAATTGTAGACACAAAAGAGTCAAGATCTCCAGCTATCTCCGGTGAAGTTGGATTAGTACGAGCAAACTTAAAGGCCGTCCCAGACGACTTATTGGAACGCGCGAGACTTCCGCGATCCGACTCCAATTCGCTGGCAACAGCACGCGGGCAGATCTGACCATTGTCGCTGTGGCCAGCACTGTCCGCGTCCCCATTGCCCGAATCACCAACGGCAGCACCCAAGAAGACCAGACCATTGTCGCTGTGGTCAGTACTGCTTGTGTCCCTGTCGTTGTGGGTAGAATCACTCACCATGCGCGCGTTAACTTCGATGATTTGGCCTGTAGCATCCAGGCCCTCGATGGCCCGGTAAGAATCGGACGTTTGGGCCTGGTCGTCTCCATGAGAGGAGAGGTTCTTGGCCCACTCACTCTCGCACTGCACGCACATGCTAGGCTGGGTGGAGAGGAGAAGGTCATGGGAGGCTTTGATTTGGGTGCAAGATACGCTTCGCTCTGGACCGGCCAGGCGGAGCTTGTTTGTGTATTCTTGGCAGCTGGTCATGCTCCAATTGGAGATGTGTCCGCAGTTGGGATAGTGGTGGTAGGTGTGTTTACACATTTTGAAGGAATAGATGAGTTGAGTAGAGGGAATATATGAGATGAGAGGAGAGGAGAGGAGTGCCCTGCTGCAATATTAGATCTGCGCGAGGGTCAGGGTTATATATTACTTGGTCTGGGTGTTCTGGGAGTCTCCGATAGGCGAGTACAAAGCCGAGTCGATGAACAAAGGCAAATGATATAACAAAGACAGGGTCAAGGGCATTGTTCTGGTGTCATGATAAAACTCTTTGTTCAAACTGCCTGTGAACAATTGTTTGTGTGTAAAACAAATTCGCAAGGATTCTTGGTCTATTAGACACGTTGCTTCAACTACCTTCAAAGACATTTGTTGTCCTCAATCCTCATTGTATCCAAGCCACCTGGGCAACAATGACGATTGTATCCAACTCAGATGACACAAACTGTAAAACATCGTTGACCTTAGGGTACTGGAATGGTTTCGTATAGGTCCAGAGTTGGCTCGCAAGTTACTCCGGTCCAATAAAGAATGGAACTGGAAATGGAATGGGACAACGCTCCAATATCTGTTATTCCTATCTACACACATATCTACAATATAGTAGTATGTCAATTTAGCGGAGATAATTGTGAAGAAGTATTACTTTTCATCGATCACCGTTATTTTCAAGCTACTAGACTATTGACCAGACCGATCACTGATGGCAAACTGATGTGCAAGGGGTTTAAAGTAACAAGCTACATCAAACCAAGTTGGCCTAGTTAGGACATAATTTAAAGATGGGGGCTTTGATAACGACGCACTCTCCTTCGAAGGTTGGCTATGAACATACCTCAACGTGCAGGATACCTGCAGATTTTGCATATCGAAAATAAAGCACACTAGGCTCTAGCTCTAGACTCAACATCGCATGAACAGCATCCTACACAATAATCACATTGCTCATAGGCACCCTGTCCTCCACAACATCCGATGATGGACCAGAGAGTAATCCACTGGAACCCTTCTTTATCGCATCCCTCGGATAGAACACAGCATCATTCTCGATCACAAACACACCCAATCTCCTGAATACCTGAGTTTTGTAGTGCGGGTCATTCGAAACCCCGAGAAGCAGGCCCTCCTTTGACGTGACTCGCATGGCCCATATATGCTGTGTAGTACTACCAGAAGAATACTGCATATCGAAACACCCCGTCGCCACAATCTGGGCGGCATCCGCCGGACTCAAAGGAGACTTGCTTCTTTTCACCAGTGGCTTGTTTTCCTTTGCCTCAAGCAAGACCGTATGTCGGTGCATACTCTCGATCGGATACATCGTGGTCACTCCCGCAATCGTACCCCAGGCCGATGCTCTCCCAAAGTCCTTAGTATCGTATTTCGAAACCCGCACTTCGCGTACATACGCTCTGATTTCGAGGGGAAATTGGGGGAATTCTTTACGCTTGACGACTAACGGACCCCAGGCGTCCGGCTCAGCACTCCATGACCCTCTCACGGGTGCACAGCGAAACATGGCCCCGTCGCTCAAAGGGAGCGTAAGATAGCCTTGGCATACTGGACCAACGAGCGACATCCACGACCAAGAGGGTGCTCTTCTGACTTCCTTTTTTTCTTGCCCCGGCTGTTCTGCTCGCATTGGTACTGTGAGTGCAGAGAGCCGCGGATCCACGAGCCGTCGACTGCGCCATAAGAGACCGTAGACCATGTCTCTTTCCCACAAGCCGGCCATGTAGCGTTCGCCGGGAATACTAGGACTTTTCTCTTTGGGACGGAATCTGTTTATACCGGTTCGTGGGATGTGAGCTTCGGCAGCAAGCGCTTGCTGAATTTGCAGCACGATTCCAGATATCGCGGCGTGATTATCAGTTGGATCAAAGAAATCGCGCTCCGAATACTCAGAAACCATAGCGTACCATCTGTACAGTATCGGACGGTTCAGGCCTTGGGCCCTGGACGCTCTCGTATACCCCTGCTGCTGGACATAAGCGAACTGTCCCGGGTCAAATCTCTGTGTCTTAGGGTCTCGGAAACCCAAAGATCTGTAGAACTTCGGAGAGTTGTATAGTTTCAGCCCCGGATCTTTAAGGGGGGGTACTGTATGAGGAACGAAAGGTTGTACCAGCCGTCCGCCTCTTGAATCAATTGGCAGCGCCCGTCTTCGTATTCGACGCGTTCGCGACAGCGGAAACTGAGCTGCTGCTCGCCATAGATGATCATACGTCGTCCCATTAAAGACTCTTGATAGCACCATGCGCGCTCGTCGGTTGGACCTATGTCGTAGTTACGTGGCAGAGAGATCCCGAATTCACTGTCCTGTTTTCCAGGTGACCTATATGGAAGCTGGGCTTCTTGAACCATGGGCTTGTACTTGGGCTCGAGGAATCCCGATTCAGCATCTTTGCCCCTGCCGGCCACGATCGTCAGATCAGCATTACCGTAAATTTGGCAAATGTTTACTGATTGTGTTGCCCAGTCGTCATTGTCATCCTGAATAATGCATAGTCCATCAATCCAGATGTACTCGTACTGAAGCTCTCGCGCAACCTGTATACCTTCCCGATGACTCCGGATTAGTTTCGAAAATATGATTTTCTTCTGGAACTCTGCATGGGTCGCTTTCTTCAACTTCAGCATTTTATGGCTCGAAGTACCCCAATTGTACGAGAGCGCTGCGTACAGACCGGTCTGGTTGGGCTGAGACTCGACGACCCTGACGTTCGCGTCAAGTCCTGGAGACTTTGCTCCTATGTACAGCAGCCTTGTGGGAAAAGGTCTCGGCTGCTTCCGACCACAGCGGTGGTGGGAGATGTTACATCTGTGAAGCCAATCGCTTGTGATCGCTACAACTTCACTGCGCCTATTAATTTGGCCGGATTCTCTTGCGTATTTACCTCCCAAGTCGGTCGCAGCAGGGGAGCCTGAGTAGTTGCAGCTTTTGTCAGCGGTGACTGAATACCTAGGGAAGAGTAGAGGCACTGTCATCTGATCACTCACCAAGGCGCCCAAAAATGTTAACACGCCCAAGAGTCTTTCTCGCCGGATTGGCGAAAAGACTGGGCTTTGGGTCATCATCTACATCAATAAAGATTTCAGGGCCTATGTTGGATTCTTTCAGAGAAGAAGACAAGACCCCAACGTTGTCTTGTACTCGTTCCGAGAGAACAACTCTAACAAACACCTTCGAGCGGCGTAATGCAGCATCGGTATTCCAATCGTTTAAATAGTGCTTAACGGTGTCGGCTGGACACTGTTGTTGAACGCTCTCCCATAATATGGGGCAGATTAAGCACCGGCCTTGACTTTTAGCGCATGATCGAAGCTCCGCGAGATTCTGGTGGTGTTCTATTCTGCTGTCTGCGGCAGCTTTCAAACTTCCAGGTGCGTTCTTTTCGACCACGAGTTTGGTACACGGTGCGCACAAACGTCCTGTCATGTTGCCAATAGATGCTTCTCCAAAAAGTGAAAAGCTGTGAGATTGAATGGAAATTCAAAGAGATAGGAGCAGTAGGGATTTGAAGTGGAGAGCGTCAGAGCTGGGCTTGGTGTGCAACTTATTCGCATTTTAAACAACCACAGATGGTCAGTCGCCTCGTTGCCTTCTCTTAGGCTTACTTTCTAGGCGCACAGTTTAGAGCCTAATAAGGACAAGTGAGCGGGGTACCATGTCGGGCTTTGGATACCTACCTAGGTAGGTAGAGGCTATGAAGAGTCAGCCTGATTCTATTGGTTTAATATGCATGTACTCTGCCACTTATTTTGCGCCCTGCGTGGTCAGTTGGATGATGGTCTGTAGTGTGACCAGTTCCCATAGGTGTGAGACTTGATTTGCACTTGTTTTAGCCGCATTGGGGGGCTTGTGGTTTGTGGTTATTATTATAGCGTGTTGGGCCAATGGTAGCTCATATTGGGGGGGGGGGGGGTTTGGTGATGATGATGGAAAGGAGTTCATAGCCTGGGGAACAGCTCAAAATTTCCTTTTCTGTTGGGCCAGGCAGATGCGGATCCGACTGATAGGTATGTAGATGGCCCGTCATCGCGTTATCTTCAAGGGGAAACCGCCCAAGTCAAGGATTACAGCGGAAATTTGGCGAACGTGCCCAGACTCTGATGTCATGGCATTGGCTCTATAAAGGTATTCCACAGCTCCAGCTCTTCTTCCTTTCCCATTTGCTTTAACAGCTCAGCCAGCTTATCATGAATATGCGAAAGGGCAACGGGTTCCTTCCCTTCCCATGTCATACCGCCACTAATCAATGCCTGCTTTAGCCATGCTACGGCTTGCCCCATATTACCTCCTAGCTCACATATCTTCGCGATATCCTCCATGGTGTGTACAGCACACTCGTCATGGTATAATGGGTCCGGGTTCGGGGAGTCTAACTGCCGTTGCCCTACGATATCAAAGCACACACTCAACGCCGCGGTCCAGTCGCATTGATCCATGTACACGTGCTCGAGCTGGCGACTCAACGATCGCTCTTGCAGTGACCCGGGGCCTAGCAGGGCCCGAATGGCACAAACGCCATCATTGGCCACCCGCAGTGCTTCGTCGTACCTTTTACTGCGGCGCAGGAGAGCACATAGGCGTTTAGTTGCGAGTTCTGTGAGCTCGTGGGTGGGGCCGAGTGTGGCGCGTAGCCGCTCCGCAATGAAGGTGAGTGCGCGAAGAGAAACGTCTTCGTCGCCTTCATCATCCCTCAACTTGTTAATGACGAGAGCTATGGGATGATCTCGAGGGAGTTTCTCTCGCGCCACCTGACTTAGGTGTTGGAGCATGCCCTCTCGGACATATGAGCAGGTGGCAGTATTCAGGGGTGACAGTGTGCTCAAAAGCTCGATCAGAATGCTCGCTGTGCCTTCGTCAATGGTATTAGACCTTTTTGTTGTCGTATTCTTGAGAAGTTGAAGTCCTCGCGTCTTGCTGTGGCTTGCACCACGTTGCTCTCCTTTCGATATCTTCATGAAATATATTGCTAGGTCGGTATCCTTCCAGAAGGCTGCCCTGATCAATTTTGACGACGCATCGAAATTGCCTGGTGTGTAGAACGTCCTGATACTGACGAGCATAAACTCTAATCTCGCAGTTGGCAGTTGGCTATTCAGCCCCATAGTTGGCTTAGTGGCAGCGCCACCCCCCAAAACCCCAGTAAGATAAGAACGCATCTGTTCTGCTCGTTCCTGGGAGAGTCTTTTTTCTTCCTGAGGCGTTTGAGATGTAATAGTTGACCCCGAGATGCTAGCTGTCTCGCTCGAATCTGACCCTGGTGCAACAGTATCAACTGTAACAGCGTGTATTCGACGTACGGAGACAGTAAAATCTTGGAAATCGCTCCGCATCAAGTTCATCTGCGCCTCTATGTTCGAGAGTCCTTGGCTTGAAGCTGCATTACCTGCCACAAGGAGCCCGTGCGTGGATGATTGCATCTCCAGCCCGATCACTCCAAGCTCTCGCACGACTTCAATATTAAGCCTATTGAGTCTCTCAAGTTTCTCGACCAGTTCCTTTTCCACCTTGAGCGATAGGAAAGTTTTCCATATACGATGGATAGGTTTTGCACGGGATTGACTGTCCTTAGTGAGCGGTATCAATTTATTGTGAATGTCTTGTAAAGCCGGGAACAGCATGCTAGCGCATCGAGACAAGTTCTCCGTCTGTGCGGGGTCGAGACTGAGGTAGAACTTCGAGCCCGTATTGCAACTGTGGCACAGGCGACTTATTGAGTCGTCGACCTCATTTAGGAGCCTCGCGAGCTTTTCGGGGACCTCTTTGAGAGACTTCACGAGTTTGATCGTGGTAAGCAAAGCTTGTGCAGCTACGCTTACCATTTGCATCCCCGCCGCCACGCCCCCGAGGATAGCGAGAGCCTCCGCCATTTTCGTATGACGCGGTATCCAGCTTTCCTAACCTTAGTGTCGCTCCAAAATGGATATGTGTTATGTCTTTTAAAGGAGGTTTACTCACGATACGGCTAGTGACTATACTGAACTTGCAGTAGACTTGTGAATTGCGATTTGAATGTAGTGTGATAACTAGGAAAAATTTTCGCTCCATCCCCGTTTTCTATTCGGGTTTATGAGATTTGGACCTTTTCATCCACGAAGTGGTGTGTGATTGTTGATAGCTCAGACTTGGGCGCTCTTCGTATTTTAGCTGCCCAACACTGCCACTCACCATGTGCTCCACATGACCTATGACCCACCCGTGGACATCTAGGCAAATCATTTCGCCAATATCTAGTTCTTCTAGGACATCAGTTCTTTCTGCGTCGAAGCTACTAGCCTCGAATGTACTGTTTTAGTCCTGATTATTATTATTGTCATGATCAGTCAGGTTATTTTCCGCAAACCCCCTTATTGCAAATGCATAGCCCCGGAGGATGCGGGGGCAATGTAAGCTATGCTAGGAGGGTCATATGTGTACCTAGCACAGCTTGTGTACGCTTAGATATGACTGACTAGGAGTCAGAAAAACTATCTGTGGTTACAGCTGAAAACTACGTAGTCATAATAAGAAAATGTACTAAGTGAGGGAACCAGGCCCCGGTATTAAATTTAAACGAAAGACGAAAGTAATCATTATCTTCAGCTTTAGAAATAAAATCTGCTAATGAGGCTAAGTATCACCTAGATGATAAAGACACGGAGCACTCAACCGTGCAGGATAATGATTTTATCCCACCACCGAGAAGGAGGAAGAAGTGACGAGGCAATGTCATGCAGCATACCGATGAAGGTGCAATCCTTATCAGATTGTCAAGTTGTCAGGTGAGACGTCCTTAATTGTAGTTCCTAGTAGGGGTCCTGGGTTTTACTACTTCGTATGTGCTACTGGTAGGAGATTAGAGGTCCAAAATAGAGGAATACCGGCTTCCAGGTTGTCAGGTGGTCAAGCTTTTTTAATTTAGTTCAATACATGTAGACCACATGTAAGCATAACTAGGTGGAATCGTGGACGAGTTAGAATGCATTCCTACCATGCAACATGATACACATTGTATGCAGATAAGGCGTAAGCGATGTCGAACCACAGCCAGAAGCAGCGCTAATCTTGCATCCACAGTAATTACTGTTCTTAAGTTCAGTTCTTAATATGAATGTCATAAATTATACCATAGAAATAACTCATTTACAGCCAATCTTAGAAAAAGCCGCACTGCTGCAATAGCAGTATTCTCAACACGAACATATCACCTCAAAACATCCAGACCCAGGTAAAACAAGACAAAATAAGAAAACAAAGAAGTCAACCCTCCAAATCCATCAAATACCTAACCCCAGAGTCCATCAACCACCAAGCAGCAGTCTCATGCATCCACCTCACAACACACCTCTCTAACGGCATCTTCCTAACCTCATCCGCTCTCTTCCACATAACAGTCTCACTACAAAACACAACATTCCCTTCTTCCTCCTGGCTTCCGTCCTCCTCTTTATAACTAATCGCCAGTCTCCCCTGCGCAAAGTCCACTGCCTCCATCTTAATCTCAAACTCAACCCGATCCTTCCTCCGCACGACAACGCGATAAACCCCACAAATCAAATCCCCGACCTCAAAATCCAGCGCGGCAAGATACCCCGACTGAAAACTCTCCTTCTGCTCCGACTTCTTACTAGCCATGGCAAGCATAAGCGCCTGCGGGAACCGCGAGAAAGCGATCATGTTTCGGCGCAAGAGTTTTTTGAAGAGCAGGTCTGTAGCCTCACTGCTGGGGAGGCAGGCCCGCGGCACAGACTGTGAGGCATGGTCGTAGAGCGTGAAGTACTCATCGCTGAAGACGGTTTCTGGGATTGATTCTATACTTGTTCGTTTTGTGGCTGTGGAGAGGGTTCCAGAATGGGACTTGTGCGCTATGCGTTTTGATAGACGATCGTGGAAGATGTACAAGTAGATAGCGGAGGAGCTAGTTATTATTGCTGTTGCTGTGAAGATAAGACGAATCATTTTGTTTTTGGTTGGAGCTGTGAGATGTCTTCAATTGTGGCATTTGAAGATTTGTGTTGAGAGAAATGGATGTCAAGTGATCGCATCATCGGATACGAGGTTGGCTTGGCGCGTCATCTACTCCTATGTCTATCACCATATCTGCCAGTTGCAATGGTTTCCATATAAATTCAGCATGTTAAATCGTAAGTCGATCAAATCTGCGACCATCAGATCGAAAAAAAATTAAGTTAAGAAGTGTACAACGCCAACCCAACCCACAATCAATGACGTCAACAACAAAGTGGTATCAAAAATTTTGAAAATACAGCAGAAAAAAAGCAAAAGCTAAGTAAAAAAAGCCCTCACTTCCTCGCCCCATTCTGCAAGACATTTACACGGCCACTATTGTGCCATGTCGCAAGCCTAGCACCACACTTACCACAAGAATGCTCAACATCCTTAAGCGAGGACATCAAGTAAGGGATACAGCCGAGACAGCAACAGAAGCAAAGAAGAGCAGCCCAGCCACTATACCAGACGGAAAAAGTCAATCACCAATCCAATATTTCGCGATCGACGGGAATCAAACTTACTGCGTAGTCCCACCGCTAACAGCCTCAACACGAGTCATCTCCCGCTGTCCACAAACAGGACAGTCAACCGGACACGGCGCAGACTGGACACAGTGCAGCGGGACGGCCGAGGCATATCCACTGGGGTGGCCGGAGGGCGTGTAAAATTGCTGCGGCTGGCCCGGCCCTTGCTGGGGTTGTGTTTGTGCTTGCGAGTATTGTGGTAGGGGCTGGCCTGCATACGCCTTCTCGGGTGAAGCAGTCATTGATGTCGATGCGTCGTAGGATGGTGTTTGGCCGATGGAGTCGGGTTGGTGGGGATATTGTTTTTCTGAAGGGCCGTTTACTGGCGTTGGCGCGTTGCTGGAGTGCAGGGCGTCTGGTAGGGACGGGGCGGTGTGTGAATGGGTGTCAGGGTTTGGGCTCACGGGGCCTTGGTTATAATGGTCTGGGGTGACAACTTCGGGAGCTTCGCTGTATGTGGGGACTGGTGCTGGAGCTTGTTAGTTATTGGGTACTGTGTGGGATGCGAGGAGTTTTAGGCTTACTAGGCGTAGGCTCCGGGTGTTCAGGGTGTCCTGTCATTGCTGCTGTTGAATTTGGAGTCTGGGGAATTGGGGAGAGGTGATTTGGTGGGGAAGCGAGATGTTTCACTTGTGTAATGGGGTGGGAAGGGTTATAAGTCAAATCTGACAGAGCTTGCAAATAGTAATAAGATAAATGGTAAAAATAGAGCGATAGGATCGTCAAGGGCTAATGTGTAAATTGTAATTCGTATTAAAGTGGATACCTGGAGATTCCATGAGTGCACTGCCTGAAACGGGTTTAGAAGACGCCAAGTCTAAGCCGCGGCTTAATACATGTCAATGAGGGTTTCAAAGTCACTGTGTACTTAACAAGAAGTCTAGGAGAAAGTCGGCAGATTGGTCTATTGTTGACCCAGCTCCTTACTCGTGGCCCGTGATAAGAATTTGGAAACATAAAAACACGGGCATTGGCTACAGAAAAGGCACATGGCGTGTTGGAAAAGGCTGTTGAGAGGAATGCGGCTTATTTTGCGACCAATCTCCGTTTAAATCAGGCCAACATTAAGGGACTGGAGATACTATCATGTACTTTGTTCAACATAAGTAGAGGCCGCGCAGAATTCTTACAAGGCAAATCTATATATTGCAATATAACCTGTTGATGTTAGTAAATCGCAGTTCATTCTACTTATTATACCATCCAAATCCCAACGAGTTCAAAATCACAAAATCCAACGCATTTGGCCCCTGGCAGTTTTAAGATTATTACACCCGACGTGGACGATGATCGCGAGCGCCAACCCAATCACACGGCCCCTTGCGGCTTCCCTGCCGATCATTACCCATCTGGGCGCCCCTCTGGGTGCCTTTGAAGGCTGAGGGGTAGGCTTAGACGCAAATGCTCCTTAATCATGCAGACGCCTCGTGGGGCTTCGCGATATTTGGCCCCCAAGTACTATTCAGAATATGAAGTAATATTATTACATTAATTCCATCATTGCATAGAGATGATAGCCTTGGAATAATAGCATGGCGTTTTGTAATATAAAGTGAGATAGCAGAGTAACCTAACAAGTCTATCTTTTTAGTCTCTGGATGGCAATGGTATACCTCGCTTTCGTGTAAAGTCACAAGCTACACTTAGAACAACCTGGGAAGATGTAGATTTATATATAATCACGACTCAACTCTCAACTCCAGAGCATTGCCTACTAAAGATCAAAAGCCAAACCGAAAAAGAAACAAAATCGCTTCACGCTAGATGCAAGATGTTATACGCATACCTCATAGACCCCAAACTATTAGAAATACTGATACCGAATCGGTCCCTCTCCCCCAATATGATATCCATATTGCGCAAAAACTGCCAAAATCTCACTTCTCTGCAATGTCCCTGCATAAGCCACAACCGTCTCCGTCCGACGAATCCCCCCCCTTAACAAACGGATTCGCCCCACGCTCCATCAAAAGCCTAACCATCTCCAGAGCATTCGACTGGACAGCCTTATACAACGGCGTCTGCCAAGGATACCGCATAAGATCAACCGCCGCGCCGCGATCAAGCAACAGCCTCGCAACCCTCATATTCCCATTCAACGCCGCCAGCGCCAACGCCGTATCCCCCGTAACATTAACAGCATTAATGTCCGCCCCGCAGTCCAGCAACATCTCCACAATTACGTTCTGTCCGTACGTGGCTGCCTGCGAGAGCCCCGTTTTGCCCGTCCCTTTTCCCGCATCGATATTCGCGCCTGACGCAATCAGCATCCGCACAATGCGGTCGAAGCCGCGTGCTGCGGCGACGTTGAGCGATGTCTCGCCTTTCACTGTCCGTGCGTTCATGTCCGCACCGTATTCTAGTAGGAGGCGGGTTGTGGCTTCGTGCCCGAAGGAGACGGCAGCCATTAGGGCTGTTGTGCCGTCGGTGTTTTGGGCGTTGGGGTCGGCGCCTTTGGAGAGGAGGGTTTGCACGGTTTGGTGCTGGTTGGATTTTATGGCGTCTATGAAGGGTGTTTTTGAACTAGTCATTTCCCATAAAATGCGGCTCATTCGGTGGGGCTTTTTTGAGTGTGTGGAAACTTTGAAGGAGTGGAGGTCTAGTGGGGGTTTCGGCGGCTTGCGCTCGGTAGGTACTGTCACTGGTATTGGGAGGTCCATGTCCTTGTCTTGTGGAGTGGTCTCTGTGAGAACTGGGATGGGGAAGTCTTCGGCTGGTAGCACTTCTTTTTGTGTATCTGTGCAATCTTGGATGTCCAATATCACTGGTATTGGGAAGTTTTCTTCTCGTACTGTCTCTTTTTCTGGATAGGGCTGCTGTTGGCTTGAATATGAGCTGCGCTTATCTGAAAATGAGAAGCCTTTCGGCGGGAGCGGGAGGAATGGAAGCCCAGTTGGTTCGTCTGCTAGCCAGTCCTTGTCATCTGGGCTGCTCTGACGTTCCAATTTCAGGATTGGTGCTGGTGCCGTAGACTCATGGACTTGCTCCACTGGAGCCGTGTTCTCCTTATTAACAGGCAGTAGGCTATCTGTCTCTGCTATCTTTTGAAGAGTCGAGAGAACGAAGTCACGGTTCAGAGTCAACAAATCAGAAGCAATACCAGTAGCGACCAACTCTCCTTGCAGCTGAGGCCAAGTTTCATCTTCCTCAAGCTTCGAAGAGTCCTTCAAAACGTCAGAAACAACCAAAGCCTCCCTCTTGCCAGCGCGAATGTCATCGACAAAACACCTCAACGCGCGCGCAATAATCTTCTGTGATGATCTGTATCAATGTTAAAACCCACAAAACCCATACACAGAACCTCGCGAACACACATCATCATATTCAAATTCACCTCAGTAAGCCCAAAAATAACCGACGAGAGACGCGCGCGAATGTCAGAAACCAGACTCTGAGCCCCGAGCGCATCTGGATGTAGCAGCAGCTTCTGCAATTCCAGCAGTACGACATGGCAGCTGTGCAATCTTTTTTTCAGGACTGCGAGATGGACGCATTCTGGGCCTAGAGAGGAAGTATACGTCTCGGTCGCGCTTAGCACGGCCAGAAGCAGACCAAGCTCGTTTTGGGCCTGGTTCGCTAGGGCCGTTGACCCGCGCGTTGACTCATACAGGGAGTCGACTAGGAGTCGGATTGCTGTGGTTTGATGACATGGTGGCTGGCTACCTGTCGCTGCTTGTAGAGACATGGTGTTGAGCTTTGGGATAAGCAATAGGACTAGACCTGGAGTGCTGAGTGCGACATCCAGGTGATTGGGGGACCCATCTGGAGGGGCCCGTGCAGCATCGGTCGATTTTTGGCCCCCTCTTGACCATAGGGGGTCCGATTTTATTTTTAGTGCTTAAGTCATAGTAGGAAATGTGATGTGTGTTATTGAAGTAAATAAAAAGTAGACAGGGTAAATTAGACTCAATTTAGGGGAATTATCACGATATAGGGAAGACTCGAAGCCGATTTGAGTACAGATTAATGTGGGCAGCCTGTAAGGGACATGAGGCTACAACCTCCCTATTTATTCTCAACATCAAGGATCCTCTAAATTAGCATATCTACTCCGTATAGTCTTCGGTTGGCAGGCATTGGAGATCGAGAATTCAAAATACTACATCTACTTAATGTAAAATAGAGGTCTACAATGGAAAATATGTCAAATCGATACACCTGGTTTATTCAATAAGAAGCAAATACAGAAAATAAAAGAATCTCACGGGCGAGAAGAGTTCTGAAGTCGAACGCAAGAACTCATATCCAGAGGCAGCGGCTCACTGGAGAGCAAGATAGTATTCGGACGAATGTCATCCAAATCCGAAGCTACATAAAAGTCAACGCTGGCCTTCGGTGCTGGCAACATCTCATCCGCTTCAAGGTCAGCAATGGCTTGCGTCAAAGGTACCATAATACGGTCGCGGCACAGGCGCTCGAACTCAGCCAAGAAGTGGTCCGCAGGCCTATTGCGGACAGTTCGACAATTCGGACATGTCCGTGCCATCTCCTCACCCAGGACAAAGATGGCCTTCAGCAGCTTCACAAGCTTGTAGAGGACTGGAAGGATCTCGGAGCGAAGACCGTCTCCGAGACTCAGGAATCGAAACTCCTCGTATAGACAGGACTTGAAGCAGGCGCATGCGGTGAGAAATCGCTTTTCATAGTTCATCTTGTCAACCTCTTCTGTGCCTGGGTATCTATTCGAGCTCATATTGACTGTCTGTGGTGGAAATAGACTGGTGGCTTGATTAGCAGGGTAAATGGGTGTAGGTCTGCTTACCTCGAGTATTCGATATTTGCAGATGATAGGAAGGATGGCTTGTATAGATGGAAGAATCCATCTATTTATGCTTTCTCGGTTATTGTTGGCAGGGATTATTGGACAAAGACTTTATTCATTGTAATCAACAAAGGAACAAAAGCCATGTCTTTTATAAATCCTTTGTCGAGTCCTTGGACAAGGAGACAAAGGCGGGTGCTTTATCTTCGCAGACAAGCATGATCGGACCGTTATGGTTAATAATGAGGTGAACAAGCAGCAAGCAGCTAGAGTGCTGAATCAGTGTTTCACAGTCACTCCGTACATCATCAAATATATTGACGTTAGCAAGGGCTTTACAATTGTATTTTGGATTTGCCTAAAATAGCAGATTATGGCCTAGAGTTTCACAACAAAACTAAGGAAAATAAGCTATTCTAGGAAGTTTTTGAAAACGTATCGTCTTCCTCAAACACTAGGACTCAGAACTTGAGTTACAGCTTCTCTCGAGTTGCTTGAGTCTTGTCTTGAGCTAGAACACGAGCGATTTCATGTATATCCCGAGAGGCTATTTCATTCACACCTTGACACACCATGACGCATCTGATCCCAGTGATAGAACTTATCGCAAAATTGAAAATTTGCTGAGTAGCCATCATTATCTTCCACTCTCGGTCGCTCTGGGCCGAGACCATAGACCCAAGCAATATATTGACTTTTCTTTTTTTTAATTATAGCTTCATGTTTGCAATCCTGAAGAATAAAGTTGTTTGTCCTTTGAAAGCATCATCCACCAGACAGTTTTGTGGAGTGTGATTATACTGTAGTAACTATAAGATCGCTCTAGCCTCAAGATACGATATATTGACGGAAAGCTCTGACAATCACTTTATTCAAAACTACGGAATCCAATCACGGACGTATATTCCACGTATAAAAATGGCAGAAAGGTTTGTTTCGTATAATTCTGGTTTTCTCATGCTTCTCGTATTCAAATTGTCTAGAACGTTGTGATTCACTATGGTCGGTTGCCGATTGCCACAATTTGCCACAGGCCTTCAGTGTGTAATGACGTAAATAGTACATTCTGTGTAATATATAGATCTTAAAAAATCTTAGTATCTTCAAGGTATAGGATCCTATTTAATCTTACATAATTCGCTTGATCTACCTTTAGCTCCCGAGATCGCCACACTTTAAATATCCACGGCCACAATGCCTACAGGATCATGTCTTTGTCAAGACCTTAAATATGATTATACCTCAGAGCCGATAACAAAGGCAAGCAGATCAGATATTTATCAAAAACTCTATAACTAAGCTAGGCTCATATTCAGGCAACATGCTACTGTCTATCCTGCCGAAAGCTCAGCGGTAGTACAAACACATTGAACCTACTTGTTCCAGAGGACCAGTTTCGTGTCACCGATGGCTCCGCCACCAAATATACTCAGATGCACGAAAGTGGTGTGAAGTTGACCGTCTACTTCTGCAGCAAATGTGGATGTACTATCTACAAGACGCATGAGAAGTTCCCAGGGATGGTTGTTATCCTAGCAGGAACACTCGATGAGCCCGATGCACTTGAAAAAGCTAAGCCAGAGGCAGAATTGTATTCTCAACACCGTACTCGATGGCTTCCGAATTTTGATTGGGCCGAACAGAAAATGGCGTTTTAGGCTACAGGAACATTATGTTTGGCCCGCCCTGCCTCTTTTATGATGAAAGTGATGGATATAAAAGTAGTAATATTGTTTGTGTCTCTAGTGGTGGTTTCCCTGCTATGACTGGCAATGTTTTCATGGTCTAGGCCTTGCTGTTGCCGTTTGATGTCTAAAAAAAGCTCGTAAAGGACCCATAGTAAGATATGAATGAGCCTTGAGATCTGTTGCTTTCAGAAATAAGTTACATTCTAGGCACAATTCCTTGGTTAGAGCCTAGGGTCATATGAACTCTTTATTCTGTCATTATGAAACCTTGTCCAGGGCCATTAATATAGCTGTACTATAAGCACTCGTGTGATCACAGTCGTATACATGTAATCAACTATTATATTTCAACGCAAGACAAATGCTACACAAAGGTGTTTGAAGTAAATATTGGGAAATATGTCCAGTAGTTCAAGAGTGAGACGTTTTTTTCCTTTTTTTATCATTGTGAGAGCTGCTTGTGGGCAATGGTGGCCCGATGAATAAGGTCATGAATTGCTATTTTGAAAAGAGAGTTAGAAACGCGGGCTTCATCAATAAAGGAAAGGGTATATACACACCTTCAGGAGGCACAACCGGCGGGCCCACTGGGACTTTGCGGTATTTCAGATAATCTGGCGATACAATGATCTTCCTGGACGTTAGATTGTGGCCAAAAGTCAAAGGAAATGCGACTTCACATTTTTGGCGTCAAGATCTGCATATACCTGATCCGCTATCTTTCCGATATTCCGCAACATGCTTGTTAAACTGGACGTTTGCGAGGAAACTCCAAGTAAGGGCAGGCGGTATTTCGAGAATATTTTCCTCCAGCTATACCATTTGACGGACGTTGATGAGACGGTATAGTTGTTATTCGCCAGCCAGCATATCAACTCCAGGTGGGCATAGGCTAGAAACAAGGCACGGTTGGCACATTGAACGTCTTGCCTTGAAGCAGTAATAAGTTGGCCATCGGACGCAGCGCGAGCAGAGTAGTCGCAAAGATATTTCCGGAAGCTCCTTCTGTCTAGCCTATTGGCTCCAAGATTGTCTGCAATCGTATAGATAGTGGCTCCTACACTTTCCAGTATTTCAACTGCGGTAGTGGTTTCTTCATGCATGGTGAATGTCAGGTTCGAGGGTATCAACTGATATTTTCAGATTTAGGTGCGATAGCGCTTTATAACAACACACCATGCCTTTTGAGTGGAACCAGCCAGAACTTCGGCACATGGATTGTTGTTATCGCCCAAGCGAGCGGCAACGAATAGTCTACTAAACCAAAATCCTGCTCTTCTTGGCTCATGTCACAGATTTGTTGCTAGTGAGCAGCAAGACTTGCGCTGGCACCCTGTCACAACACGAATCACAGTATATATTGACTTTATAAAATGTTAAAGTGATTGGACACAGATTTTGTTATACACGCATCGAGACGCTTAATGATATTTCAACAAAGGATAATGTTTCCGTTGCCACTCTTTTGTGTGACGTCTAGACCTAATGATAACATAGAATAGAAAAGGATAGTGAAACAAATCCCCTCTCTGATAGACATGGAAAAGAACTATGGTGGGGCAAGTCATATGATCTTGGTCACAAGCGGGCCCCACAATTAATAAAGTTCAGCCGCAAGTCAATCTACTAAGCCTCTTAAACTTGTTCTTTGATAGCTTGAACCACACATTCGTCCTTGACTTTTTATCAAACACAGTAAGATGTTGGGTTCTGGACAAGTCTGTAGTGTCCCACCGAGGGGACGGCGGGATAGATAATGCCTTTATCCTGGAGACTGTTTTAATTTCAGATCAACGATGAGTAGCATATCAAATATGAATCTCAACCATCTAAGCCTTAACCTCCTCCCAAGAATAACAATATGGACGACTCCCCGATTATCCTTTACCGGAAATGCGAAGATAAACTCGGCAGAGCTCTTTGCACGCATGATCCCGATCTCCGTGTCTTAGTGGGCCATTCCAATATGCTGGACAATTTACACGCCCGGGTATCCCTTGAGGCCGCTCAAAAACACTCATCTCGATCTAAAACCCGCATATCATCACTTTGCACACGGTGTTAACGAGGATCAGTTTCCTGCATCCTCTATCCTCCGCGGTTATGTGGCCACTTCGTGGAAGTCTTATCTGGTTCTGATCGACACTCTTTTTATTATGAATGATCATTTCATGATATTAGTTCTTTCGAGACGGATCCACCGATTCAAGAGCTCTGCAGATTCTTCAGCCGGCTGGCAATGGATCAATTATCGAACATTCGCAAACACGTCTAAGCACATCAATATTCTACATCTCGATATGTGGTTTTGAGGTGAAAGTGACTCAAGAATGAATATGAAACCAATGTAAGTTCTGTTATTTATACACTATATCCATATATCCTGCTTATACTGGGATATTCAGATCGAAGAAGCAGCTAACCATGAGACAATCGAGAACATCCTCCTCATGGAAGAAATTTCAAATTACTTTATGATAGCTAGCGACCCAATACCAGGCTATAGGAATCGGAGGTTTGGCTATCATGCGCTAATGGTCCATGTCGTGTTCCATAGCAGAAATCGACAGAGTCTCTTTCATCTCAGCTCTCTATTTCTCGTCTTCTGACTTGAAATACCGTCACGGAACTGCGGTCCTCGCTGCCATGAGCCTTGTGAAGTATATTGTGTGCTCCCCCTAGCGACGTGCAGCACCTTTGGGTAGTGCTGGGATCAGTATTCAGTGATCACATGCACAGAATCGAGTTAATGCTCTTTTTTCAAACCGCGCAAGAGCGATCGTAGCCGAAGACAAAGATAAATGGCTGATATCTTAGACGTAACCACTATTGATGTACCCGCGTGACTAGAATTCTTAATTTCGAAAATCACGTATCACGTAAATAACTGATGATTCATGGCTTAGCCAAGACTTCGCCAAGATCTCCCTCCGCACCAATTATAACGTCTATCCATATATTATATGTTAGGGGATCGTCCTATACTATTTATTTCCTCACCTTTTTATCCTACGGTATTGCCTTCTTTTTGTCCGTCATTTGTACTCTAACTTTATATATTGTCGGCTAATTATTAAATGTACCTAGTACCTAATATATATCGTCGTACCTTTCCACTATCGATTATTACGTCTATTTTAAGATAAGGCGTAAATAACTCATTCCTAAGAATATGACTTTCCTATTTCCAGAACAACTGCTTAACGTATAATACCGTTATCTAATATGAAATTCCCATACGATCCAACCTTCACTGCCCCTCTATTCATTATGTTCACCTTTTTCAGCACCACCATCTCGGAACTGCTAGGATTTCTGCGCATTATGGCACCGAGACTATCCTTGTTACAGCTGCATCTCATTCCCGACATGATAGAAAGCCAGTCGTTAACCCGTTCTCAAATGGCGGAGGTAGCAGAATGTAGCGAACAAACGATCAAAAACATCCGTAGGAACTTGCGACTGTTTAGACACGTTTATGCTCCCCCGACTCGTATCGGTCGGAGACGAATTATAACACTACCGATGATAGAAGCACTCTATGACCACCTGCTAGAAAAGCCAGGTCTGTATCTAGAGGAAATGGCTATCTTTCTATGGATGAGTTCAGACGCTAGTAACCACCTCTAGTATTAGGAGGGCCCTTATATCCTAAGGCTAGTCTAAAAAGACCGTAAGATAGAGTGCTAAAGACCAGAGTGCTAAATTGCGAGAAACTTATCTCTATAATATGTCGGAATTCGAATCATACCACCTTGTTTATATCGATAAGTCTGGATGTGATAAACGGGTTGGTCTCCGACGGACAGGCTGGTCACCACTTGGTGTAGCACCTCGACAAGTGTCACAGTTTCACGGTGACGAGCGTTATCAAATTCTGCCTATATATGCCTAAGATGGCATTTTGCTTACTCGTGTCTTTCGTGGTTCAACAGATGCCGCTGTGTTCGAAGATTTCATCGGTAAGCTTCTTCGCTATTATAGAAGATGGCCGGAGCCGAAATCTGTTCTGGTCATGGGCAATGCATCGTTTCACCACTACGAGCGGATTTCGCAGATGTGTGCCGATGCGGGATGGTCATATTGGTTTATTTGCCTACTCGCCGGACCTGAACCTAATTGAAGAATTTTTTGCAGAGCTCAAAGGCCATAAGACGTAATTGGAGCTACTACGCAGAAGACCCCGACCGAGACTTCGGCTCCTTTCTTGAACGGTGTATTAATCGGGTCGGAGCAAGAGAAGAAAGTGCTAGGGGCCATTTTGGCCACGCTGGCCTGACTATTGGAGATATAGATAACTAAATATCTGCTTCTGGCAGTATCATTCCATTGATTGCCGGTGTCTGTCTATAGCTGACATCTGGTTCAAGCTGAGACGGGCTTCCAGGGTATTTGACATTGTGTTTCGAGATGCCTGAAACACTAAACATGATTCGCTATGTGCCCCGGGTCCCAGATACCTTACAACCTCTTCGCCAAGGATCTATCCTTAGTACTACCTCGTCTTATGGGCCTGAAAATGGGGTTCAATTTATGTTGGTCATATATCGCCTTTCGTCATATGTGCTCAGCCTACCATGAGGTACGCATTAATTATTGTACAAGATCGGCGATGAATGTTGAATCTCAAAGTGACATTCTCAAAGCGGCCTGGGAATCCTAATGAGCAACCGGAGGGTTTATAGCCCCAATTTGCAGCATTATCCCAAAAATATCAGGCAAGCCAGTCTCCTCCACAATCTTTCCATCTTTGAATCGATAGATATTCATAGCACGTGCCTCGATTTTCTTTCCGGAAGCCGGAACACCGAAGAATTCGCCTTCGTGAGTTCCACGCAAAGTGAACTGCGCCACAACTCTATCGTCCTCGATGACTGTATCGTCAAGTGTCCACTGGATATCTGGATAAGCGGAGCGCATCATGCCAAGAATTTGCATGTATCCAGGCAATCCTTTCAGTGGGGTATCCGAAAACGGAACGTGGAACTCGGCTGATTCGGAAACCACCTCCTGCCCTATCGTTTCATCGCCTGAATTGATGAACTCAACAAATCGATGCATCCTCTGTGCAAGGGGGCGAGACATGATGTTGCTTGAAGAATACGTTAATTTTTTCCTTACAGAATAGAAGAAAGACTTCAATTTTGACTCACATCTAGTGGTTCCGTCTTGATGAAGGGGTAGGAAATGGAAGTCGCTTTTCTTTGCCGAGTTTCTGAGACCAAAAATTAGTGAAAATTACCACTAGATGAATTGATTTTGGACAGAGGGTTTGATCGGAATCCAAAGAATATGGATTGCCTAGGTTCATTGAAAGACGTCTCTCGGGGGTTTAACAAGGCAAGGAGCGATTTGAATTTACCTTTAGTTGCAAAGTGTTTGATTTTCACAAAGAGACTTTTTGCTGTATCCTGGTAAATCTGGGAATCGAGGCATACTTATACTTTGAGCTGCTCCAAAGTATGATCCTTCCATCTATGAACTAGCCGTCTTACCCCCCTGGGTAGGGTAGGGGGGTAGGCTGGTAAGACGGCTATATGAATAATCCAGATTTTTCTGTTTGGCACGTTTACATGGTTTGGCTTAAGAGGTTTCAATCAATAAGCGCGCGGTGACTCGGAATTCCCGGGCTCTGTTTGTATGTTTGCATATTTTGTATAGGTTGTGTAGGCGTATGAGTTTGCGGTTCAATCAAAAATTCACTCGACAATCCGGGATTTCCGACATTCGCGCCGCTGTTTGGTATGGTTGTATAGTTTGCAATCTTCGGGTATTGTGCCGGCCAGCCAGGTAGATAATGCATGGTTGGCAAAAAGGAAGCCAGAAACGGCTACTTTATCCTGCTCCGGGCTTGCTCAGGTTGGTACTCAGGACTTTCACCCGTCTGCAAAGGGTAGAATGTTTCTTGTCTTCTTAGGGGTAGTTGGTGCCTAGGATAGAGTTCCTCATGTGACCCGACTACAGTGTTGTCAGGTTACCCATCTGCAAGTTGGGCCCTCAAATAAGTAGCGGCTGCAGCGGTGTCCTAACACTGGCGCAATCGTAATTACTTTTCAATAGATATTGGAGGTCGGAATTTATGTTCAACAGATGAGTAAGGCCCTTTGATGGTCTTCCAAGGTTGGATTCTTGAACATCGCGCCGCTGGCCCGTATTGATGGCAGGCTTTGGGGAGAGCTTGCGAGCCGAATGGGAGTGTAAGTGGAAATCAATGCCGATAAGGTCTAGCCATATTTCAAAGCTAGAAGAAGGCAAACAAACCGATAGACAACCGAATATGTCGCTAATTTGCTCGAGCAAGCTGAAATGGAACTTGCATGGTTGGTGCCCAATCGGATACTCGAACCTCTACTTTGCAGTATGGGGCTCAAGAATTGTTGCGATGCTTATCGTCTAGTCGCCTTACTACAGAGGAGGCACTTAATTCGCTAGGTACTGCTGAAGAATAATAGATAAATTCGAGTAAATAGATCGCCCACTGTGAACTAGAGCCCGTCATCCGAAACCGCAAATGCCCTTGTCAACGAAGAAATTTGGGTTTTGATCTTTGAAGATGTGCTCAAGTTCGAAGCCATCTGAGAGCGTTATATTACACGCTTGTCGGAATCCAGCCTTGAGGGTATCATCGGATACATTTGATGCGAGCCACTCACCGTATTCTTTAACAGCTATGTCTTTGAACCCGGGGATGTTCAATGGGCTCAAACAGCTCTCAGCTCTGCTATGGCATCAGCCGAGATCGTCGGGCCAATCCAGTAGGGTGGGATAGGTGAACATTGATGTTTATCGGTTGATAAGGCCCCCCATTTCTAAGGAAGTTACCGCCTTTACGCTTTTCCTTCTCCTGCCTTTGCTGTTCCTCCATATAGAGCATATCCCGGACCTCATCTGGAACGTCTTTATGCGTCTCTAGGGCACCACCCTTTTCGACGTAGGTAACTAAACGCCGTAGAGTTTGCGTGCGGAGTCGGTAATGTCTTTTCCCCATTGGATCTAGCCAGCGGTAGGGACCCAAGTGGATGCAGCCGAACCGCATTTCATCAAGTCATATACACGTCGCCAAACTGATTGTTGGCCGCATGGATTTTCTTCGGCGTCAAGCTGAGCATCCCGATCATCAAGCATTCTTTTTGTGACAGAAGATTTACCTCTCTTCTCCCCTTTTCGTCCAGCAGATGGGGAATTGCAATCCTCTACGTAGTTGAAACAGACCCTTAGCGTGAGTCTCTTTCCACAACAGAAATTGCTCGACCACATCCGCAACTGCTTCTCGATAGGAGCCCAAGCAATTTCCGTTATATGTGAAGCCGCAATTGTGGCAAAGTTCTCGGGCACTAATAATAAAGTCGGCAATGGCTTGGGGTGGCATTTCTTTTCCTCTTCGTGACATTCTACAGCGTATGCCTGGACGCTACTACATAGGTATATTGTGCTGAGATTCTTCCAACCTATACGCGTGGACGGGGCATGGGAATTTCCATATTCACACAATTTTGTACCACTCTTGTCTCTACTCAGGCCTCTCCTGTGGCTTTCAACACGATTGGATGACGGTTTTACTTGGTGTTTATTATCATTCCTGTTCTAGGTGCGGCCGTGATATTCTTCACCTTCCCAGAGACCAAAGGGTTACCTCTTGAAGATATCCCTATGGTATTTGGGGACGCGCAAATTGGAGTGGAGGTCACCCCAGAGCCTGCAGATCGCTCTGACAAATGTTCAATTTGCGAAAAGGTACCCGTGTGATTTCTTTTCTCGATTGGGATGTTGGCACCTGGTGATCTGATATTTTGCATCCTTCTATGACGCTCCCGTCAGTGGCGGCACACTTGGAGCATCCAAGGGGACTATTTATTTCTTTCTTGGCTGTTCCGAAAGTGACCCGCTGTTCAACACTCACGGACCTTCTCGGTCTAATGGGCTCAAAAATCATTGCGTGTGGGGGTCCCTCACTTGGGCTGTCTGCCAAGTTGTGCAACAACTATTTTTCGGGTCTGATCGCAATTTCTAGCTCTGAATCTCTCAATATGGGTATTAAGGCAGGACTGGATCCCTGGGTTTTGTCTAGCGTCTTTGCGGCCGGCACGGCTCAGAACAATATCTGCGATCGCTTCAATCCTTGTCCCAGAGTTGTTCCAGAGGCTCCCTCGAGCAATGGATACCAAGGTGGGTTCAAGGTTCAGCTGATGAAGAAGGGTTTCGCACTTGCGGTGGATTTGGCTGATGGTGTGGGCGCCACACTCGCTTTGGGACAACGAGGGCTTGAGACATATGAGGCTGCGTCTAATGATCCTGAATGTTTTGATCGTGATTCGCGTGTGATTTTCTGTTATATTGGAGGAGACGAGAACTGGGCACAAAGGTTCCAGCAATAAACATTTGAAAGTGTTGTACATCAGTAGGCTGTTTCTTTGGAGAATCAGCTATTAGTTCCTTTTACTATGGTCTATTTTCCGAATACACCATTCGCCCAAAGTATCCCCTTGGGTTACACCGGTATCGAGAAGTTATCGAAGAGAAGTACTATCTCGGCGTCACATATAGTTCGCGGGGGGTTGGGTGTAAAGGCGGCGCTCTTGCTCAGGGTGTACGGGGACGTTGCAAGAAATATTAACCATAACAGTAGTCATTAAAATGACACTTTCAAATGGTATACTAGATAACCGGGCTTAAAACTGTTGAACGATGGGGACTGTGGCGAACTACCTTATCTACGGATCCCTTGCCATAAGACGAGGTGCCGAATGGCGCAAAAAATCGCAGTTCTAGCTAAGTAAAGGCCGTCCAACATGGACAGAGTACTTTTCAAGTCGGAACTGACTGCCATTAATTAGATCCGGTCCTGCACCTGAACGGGTACCTGCACGATATTGTGTAACTTTTGACATAGTTGTACTAAGTACTATCCCGGTGAGAAAATACGATCAACGGGAAAGTGTCCCCCGAGTAAATACCTAGCTTCCAAGACATTTCGATATTTGCCACTATATTAAGCTCTAGAAATAAACATAGTAAGTGGTAGATATATGCTATTAGACAAGTATGTTACATGGCTGCAAACAGCTCTGTACCTGCGGATCCGTTCCCGTCGCTCCACATCCCCACTGGAGCTTGAAGAAGTCCAAAGTCCATTGAGTCTGCATTTATCGAAACTGAAATAGCAAGAATAAAACCACACTGAACCCACTTAAAATAACAAGAAAGAAAAAAACCAGAAGGACAAAGCGTTGAGGGGTTGATGTCACATGTTGAGAGCCCCCGCTGGATTTCCTTGATCTGGACCTCCCCCCATCTTCTCTCCACCTCTCCCCCAGCTCTCCCCACCAAACATGTCTTCTACCATTGACAGCTCCAATATTCCCACCGATGGCACAGGTAAGCTTGAGATTACCAGCACTTTCAAATGTGATTCCAATTTTAACAAAAAATAGGTGTTATCCAGCTGGATCCTTGGCTGGAACCGCATCGCGATGTCTTGAAGCACAGATACCAGGTAGTCGAGGATTGGGCCAAAACCATCAATGAAACAGAGGGTGGCTTGGACAAGTTCAGCAAGGTGAATTGATCTCCATTGATTGGTTTCCTATGTGCTAATGCGCTTATCAGGGCTACGAAACCTTCGGACTGCATGCGCAACCCAACGGAGAGATCAAATACCAAGAATGGGCACCCAACGCAAAGGAGGCTTCTTTGGTCGGCGAATTTAGTACGTTGTGTACTACCCATATTTGAGGAGCTTGACTGAGACTCGCAGACAATTGGGATGTCAATGCCAACCCCATGACGAAGAACAGCTTCGGCATCTGGAATGTAACTGTACCAGCGAAGAACGGCGCTGCCGCTATTCCCCACGACAGCAAGATCAAGGTGAGCACAGCAACCCTACGCATAACAAAGCAACCCCACTAAGAACCCGACAGATCACAATGGTGCTCCCCAGCGGCGAGCGCATCTACCGAATCCCCGCTTGGATCAAGCGCGTAGTCCAAGACCTGACCGTGTCGCCTGCATACGATGCTGTTTTCTGGAACCCGCCCGCGGAAGAGGTATACAAGTTCCAGCACGCGCGGCCCAAGAAGCCCGAGAGCTTGCGCATCTACGAGGCGCACGTCGGTATCTCGTCGCCGGAGACTAAGGTCGCTACATACAAGGAGTTTACGAAGAACATGCTGCCCCGCATTAAGTACCTGGGATACAATGCAATTCAGCTAATGGCCATCATGGAGCATGCGTACTATGCTAGCTTCGGGTACCAGGTGAACAACTTCTTCGCGGCGAGCAGTCGCTACGGATCCCCAGAGGATCTGAAGGAGCTTGTTGATACAGCCCACAGCATGGGGCTGGTTGTTCTGCTTGATGTGGTTCACAGCCATGCCTCCAAGAACGTCATTGATGGAATCAATGAGTTCGATGGAACGGACCACCTCTACTTCCATGGCGGTGCGAAGGGCCGTCATGAGCTGTGGGACAGCCGTCTGTTCAATTATGGAAGCCACGAGGTGCTGCGTTTCCTTTTGAGTAATCTGCGCTTCTGGATGGAAGAGTATAAATTCGATGGATACCGCTTCGATGGTGTGACCAGCATGCTCTATTCGCACCATGGTATCGGAACGTACGTGCATTCTCCTACTATGTTTTAAGAAGAACACGCTAACCGAAAGAAACAGTGGCTTCTCTGGTGGATACCACGAGTACTTCGGACCATCCGTCGACGAGGAGGGCGTTACATACCTCACCCTCGCCAACCAGATGCTGCACGAACTCTACCCAGAGTGCATCACAGTTGCAGAGGATGTCTCCGGCATGCCTGCTCTGTGTCTACCCCACGCACTAGGCGGTGCCGGCTTCGACTACCGCCTCGCGATGGCCGTCCCAGATATGTGGATCAAGCTCCTGAAGGAAAGCACAGACGACGAGTGGGACATGGCCAACATCTCCCACACGCTCACCAACCGTCGCCATGGCGAGAAGACCATTGCCTATGCCGAGAGCCACGACCAAGCGTAAGTTGCATTTCCCATCTCCTCCAGCCTCTAGCCTCAATTCATCCAACCAACTAACACAAACCCTAACAGACTCGTCGGCGACAAGACCCTAATGATGTGGCTCTGTGACAAAGAGATGTACACACACATGTCCACCCTAACGGAGTTCACCCCGGTAATCGAGCGCGGCATGGCTCTGCACAAGATGATCCGACTGGTAACACACGCCCTGGGAGGCGAGGGCTACCTAAACTTCGAAGGCAATGAATTCGGACACCCCGAATGGCTCGATTTCCCACGCGCCGGCAACGACAACTCCTTCTGGTACGCTCGGCGACAGCTAAACCTAACCGAAGACCCGCTTCTGCGGTACCACTTCCTGAACGAGTTCGACCGCGGGATGCAGCTGGCGGAGCAGAAGTACGGATGGCTTTCTGCGTCGCAGGCGTACATCAGTCTGAAGAACGAGAGCGACAAGGTACTTGTCTTTGAGCGTGCTGGACTGCTTTGGATCTTCAATTTCAATTCCAAGCAAAGCTTTACCGATTACCGTGTTGGGGTTGATGTTCCGGGTACGTATCGGATTGTTCTTGATACGGATGAGACGGTGTTTGGTGGGCTTGGGCGGAATGTTAAGGAGACACGCTTCTTTACTACTGATATGGAGTGGAATGGGAGGGGAAATTTCGTGCAGGTTTATATTCCTACGAGGACTGCTTTGGTATGTGTTTTCTTCTTTTTTCTTCTTTCTTCTCCCCGTCTGCCTCTGTTCTGGTTTGCTGACTTTATGTGTTCCTTACAGGTCCTGGCTCTGGAAAGTACTCTGTAATGTGAACGCCAATCTATGTCTGTGTCTTACACGCAGCCGAGTCGGAAATTGAACATCTCGGGCTGGTTCGTCGTTGTATTTGGTGTTATTCTTCGCTTGTGTGCTTAAACTAGATTCTTCGTTGTGTACTGCCCTGCATTTTTGTTCTAATCAAAGCTATCTATATCTAACAATGCCTCATATCATATACACTGTTTTTTAACGCGTTTTGCATTGTAGAATGGATAGAGAGCGCTTTGAAGGAAGCTAGTATTGTACGGTACCTCTGTAGGTAGTATAGAAAGACAATCTCGAGGGAAAGAAGTTTCAATTTCAAGGGATCATATAACCTGAACGAGGATGATCAGAACGAACTCGAGCTACATACAGACAAGACCAGCCTGAATGATTTAGTTGACTAACTGTATAGAGATGAAAGTACATCTCTCCCTAACCAGGCATCAACTACACCACAACCACTGACTACATCTACACTACGCAATACACAAAACCCAGGACGCAATCACAAAGGAAAAGATGTCGAGAATCAGGTTTTGAACTCTAAATACACAAAATAATGAAACACGCCGGTCGAGGGGGGGGGTTTGTGTAAGGTATCTCCAATCCAGACCGGCTTTAAAATCCCATCGACTCGCTAAGATAGACGAACGCATCACCAACCTCCCCCAACCATAAACAAGTAACCCCAAACTTCCTCAACCTCAATCCCCAACACCACGATTCTGCCCTCGGAATCCCAGCCATTTCATATTCCCTTGCTCGGGTTCCTTTCGGATCGAGTCTAGAAAGAACGACACCAAGGGAATCCCAACGTTGACGTGACAACCATGCAGGAGAAATGGAAGTGAAATCAAGTCCCTTTCTTTGTTGCATTTTGTTTTTCTCTTAGATCGGGTAATGTACATGGTAATATACACGCCTCGACAAAAGGGAAATGATGTTGTCGCGTACAACGTTGGAACATTTCGAGTGTTCTGACAAAGGGAATTAAATGAAACTGGGAGAACCAATAGAGAATAGGTGAGGGAAGAGACGAAAAGGAGAGGAAGAGCTTGAAGATGGAAGGGGGAAGTTAAGACGGCGCTAGCTAGCAAATGACAAAATTACATTTAGGCCTTGTTCTCAAGCTCAGCCAGAATCTTCTCACCCTTGGCACGGGCAGCGTTGATGTCGCCAACCATGTAGAAGGCGGCCTCGGGGAGGTCGTCACCCTCACCAGCAATGATGGCCTTGAAGGAGGAGATGGTGTCCTTCAGGTCAACAAGGGTACCCTCGATACCAGTGAAAACCTGGGCGACGGCGAAGGGCTGGGACAGGAAACGCTGGAGCTTACGGGCACGCTCGACGGTGAGCTTATCAGCCTCGGACAACTCATCCATACCGAGAATGGCAATGATATCCTGGAGGGACTTGTACTCCTGGAGCATCTGCTGGACACGGGTGGCCGTGTTGTAGTGCTCGTCACCGATGATACGGGGGTCGAGCATACGGGACTTGGAGTCGAGGGGGTCGACAGCGGGGTAGATACCCAACTCGGAGATACCACGAGACAACACAGTGGTGGCGTCCAAGTGAGCGAAGGTGGTGGCGGGGGCAGGATCAGTCAGATCGTCAGCGGGCACGTAGACGGCCTGGACGGAGGTGATAGAACCCTTCTGGGTGGTGGTGATACGCTCCTGCATGACACCCATGTCAACAGCCAGGGTAGGCTGGTAACCGACGGCAGAGGGGATACGGCCCAGAAGGGCAGACACCTCGGAACCGGCCTGGGTGAAACGGAAAATGTTGTCAATGAAGAGCAGCACGTCCTGACCCTCCTCGTCACGGAAGTACTCGGCAATGGTCAGACCGGTCAGGGCAACACGGGCACGGGCACCGGGGGGCTCGTTCATCTGACCGAACACAAGGGCGACCTTGGAGTCACCATCAAGCTGGATGACACCGGTCTCCTGCATCTCGTGGTACAGATCGTTACCCTCACGGGTACGCTCACCGACACCACAGAACACGGAGTAACCACCGTGGGCCTTGGCAATGTTGTTCTAAAAGGTCCAAAGTATAAGCATTTTCTGCAATTTTCAAGTGAAGGGAAACAAGAGGGGGAAATCCTTACAATCAGCTCCTGAATGAACACGGTCTTACCGACACCGGCACCACCGAACAGACCAATCTTACCACCACGGGCGTAGGGGGCGAGCAGGTCGACAACCTTGATACCGGTGACGAGAATCTCGGCAGAGGTGGACTGGTCGACGAACGCAGGGGGATCGGCGTGAATGGGAGCGAACTTGGTGGCCTTGACGGGACCACGCTCGTCAATGGGATCACCAGTAACGTTGATGATACGGCCGAGAGTGGCGGGACCGACGGGGATGGTGATGGGAGCACCAGTGTCAGTGGCGACGACACCACGGGAGAGACCCTCGGTACCTTTAGGTGACGTTAGTTGAAGCTCTAATATACAGTAGGAGCGCACTCAGTGGGTCCCCCGATCGGGTAGGGAACGACACGGTGGCCCGAGAAAGGGGTGGGAAGGGGGTGAAGCTTACCGTCCATGGCAATAGTACGGACGACATTCTCACCCAAGTGTTGCTATAAGGTCATTGTTAGCTTTGGTTGCGATTTGAATCAAGGTTTAGCCAATCAGATCACGTACAGCAACCTCCAGAACGAGCTTCTGGCCGTTGTTGGTGGTGGTAATGGCGTTGTAAATGGCAGGGAGCTTCTCTCCGCTGAACTTCACTGTAATATGGCGAATAGAAAGTCAGATACGGTTTTGTTGATGATTTTGGGGTTGATTGCGATGGTTTCGGTGATGGATTGGGTCCAGGGAAAAGATTTTCGCGAGGTGCCCATTTCCGCCAGGAGTCGACAACACGTACCGTCAACGACGGCACCAATGACCTGGTGAACCTTTCCGGTCAAAGCAGCATCGGAGCTAGCGAAACGGGCAGTGAGAGCCGGGAGAGCATTGGAGCGGATGGGCTGGAAGGCGCGGGCGACGGGGGTCGTCCGGGCAAAAGCAGCCCTCCCAAAGGACCGGGCGAGACCGCTAAAGAGATTAAAAAATTAGTTTCAAAATGAAAAAGAGGAGGAGATTTAATGGATCTTCAAATCATACCTCTTGAACATAATGACGGTGTTGAAGAGCGAGATGTGATGGAAAGGAAGAGGTGAGGTTGGAACGGGAAAAGAGGGAAGAAGAGGAAGGGAAGAGGTTGGTGGATGGGGACTGGTCGCCCTTAGCCTTTCCGGGGCGGTTTTGCCGACGATCCCGTGATGAACCGAGCACCAACTTGAGCTTTCTACAAGGAAAAGAGCTTGATTTTCTGATTTAGAATGGTTTTTTATATATAAATAATGATATCTATCGTTTTTAAATATCCATTGACACTAATCTCGTGTGATGAGGTGGTGACCGAGGGAAGCTCAGCCCGTTGCCCTGGAATTCGCGCACACACACCGGGGCTTGGCGGCCGGGTGCAGGGGAGCCACAGTTTTTTTGCTGAATGACATCGTTGCCCCGGAGAAACCTTCATGATATTTAAAACATGTACTCCGTAAGCTAGCAGTGAAAGTGTTAGAATGGAATGTATCAAAGTCAATGGCCCTTTGGTCCGAATATCGGAAAAACTCTGACGTGTTGGGGGGTCAACCAGGGCCGGGTAGAAAATATAGAACTTAAAGAATTAGAGAATTTATAGAACTTGTACGGAGTAGTCTAAATTATATTCGAAGCTAATATTATGTTCATTATTCATTATAATCTTGATTCATATTTCTATTATTTTCATTTTATATCTCCATAGAAACATTGAACTAACCCTTATTATTCTGTTACCCTCGAAACCACCGTGTTCCCGCAGGGATTCTCCGCACTTACGTTGGTTCGTTCCGATTCACTCCGTAGACCACGCCATGTCGGAGCACAGGGGGAATATACACCTATTTTATATACTAAATCACAATCACCAAAACTCATGCTCTATGGCTACAAAAGAGATACATTGATTATAGCACAGTACGGGATACACGCATTTTCCAATGCTTGCCAAAAAAGATAGAATGGGGGAACAGTCGACGGCCGCGCGCACGGGCGGAGGTCCATCCTCCGATACAAAGACATGTCGAACATGGTTATGGAAAGAGTAGCTTGCAATAAAATCGACATCGAGGTCGTGCGATGGGTGCCGTCCGTCCTGCGTAGATATCAACTCATTCCCGGTCGGGCAACTGGTACATCTATGACTTCTCAGCAGGGGGGCTCTGGACGAAGCCCTTGCCTTCGTAACCCTCTTTGCTGATGCCGTGGATGGGGTTGATCTTCTCTTTCTGTAGTCGGATAGGTTAGCATCGTCCAATTTGCCTGCGGCAGAGACTTCTCTCAACGGCGGTCGGAAAGGGGGAGGAGTGATATGTACCAGGGCATATTCGTTAGAGGCCTCCTGCCACTCCTTGGACATGGTGCCGGGCTGCTTGCCGGCAAAGGCGTGGACGGCGTAGAAGAGGGCAACGGAAACGGCAGTGAGCTGGAGCACCTTGGAGAGCACGCGCAGACCCTCACCCTTGGGGGCCTGGGCGCGGGGGCCGTGGGCACCGAAGGCAATGTAGTAAGCTAGAGCAGAGAAAGAATTGATGTCAGCGAAAAATGACTACTTGCAAAGACAATTGTGGAGGTTCGAGGGGTCGGGCCATCCCGAGACAGATAACCTCGGAAGCCTCAGGGTAGTCGAGGCGAGAGGCTATCTTTCAAGCCCACCCGCTCTAGGGATAGCACGTACCGGCCTTCTTCTCCTGGAGGGTCATCTGGTGCCAGTCGACCTTCATGCGGTCACGGAGCTGCATCCAGAGCTCGGCCTGCTCCTGAGGGGCCATGACCTCCCAGCGCTTCTCGATGTTGGCGAGAGTAGGGTTGGGGATAGCATGGTCCGAAGCAGCGCGGGTCTGCAGGGCGTTCACAGAGGCAGTCGGGGCAGCACGGATGGCCGCGGTGCTGCGAGGAACAGCGCGAGAGACGGTGCGAAGAAACATTGTGCGGCAGGCGGGAGGTGGCAGCACCACGTCGAAATCGGGTTCAATTGAGGTAGTTAGAGGGAGGTCGGGGGGTTGAAAGCCAGAGAGCACGCCAGGGCACGGCTTATGAGAGAGTGGAGGGGAATCGTGGATTGGGGATGACTTGAAGACGTTTCTTGTGGTTTGAGGTGGAAAGGCGAGGATCCGGTCGGGACTAGTGCGGTTTTGGTTTGTCCGCCTCCTCATTGGCTCCTCGCCCAAACCGGCTCTCTGTGCCAGTGAGCATCATCATCATTTTCAGCCATATGGCATGATGTTGATATTCTTAGAGTGGCTTATGGACTTTTTTTTTATTTCGACCGTTATTATTCCTCTATTCGCAAACTTCCCCAGTTTCAGCTAGTCGCTCAAGTCTTTTGACCATCGTCGGAATCTTTAGCCGCCTATAACCTAGCCCCAGTCAAGCAATAACTTCGGAAAAGCCAGGAGTTGTTCAGTTGCTTAACTATTCTACATTCAACACCGTGCAGCCCGAAATCTCCTCACCCACCATGTGCAATATAACCAACAGGCAGCAAGATTCGGTGCCCGGTTAACCAAATATCCTCAATATGAGGTGGAAATCATTCAGAACGATTGGAACAAGGAAGTGAAAATCAAGACTCTTCAGGCCTCTCGCGAAATGAAAACAAACACGGGCCAAGTCGTAACAGTCTTGCATTGCAACTAAGAAGAAAATGGGAGAACGGTGTGCAGAGAAGGTTATGAATTGATCGTTCCGCGGCGCCGTCAAGGGCGCACCCCTATCAGTCGCGCAGCCCGGATCCAGCCGGCGCTATCATCTATGCCTTGCCACCGCTGGCCTCCTTCAGGACTGTCTTCCACTCGATATCGGCCTTGTCATCGGCGTGGATGGAAGTGACGACGTTGAGGGCGTTCTTGAGAACCTCGCGGGTGCTGGCGTAGATCATGGACCACTGAAAATGAGATTAGTTATTGGGTCTGGTGCCTGGGTCTGCTGGGAATCTTACGAGAGTAGGGGTCTCGCTAGGCACCCAGGAGATGAAGATAATCTTGGATCTGTGAGAAACAATCAAGTCAGCGGGGTGTCTGAGGACCATTGCGAACATGGGAATGCGCACCGCTTGCCCTCGCCGGGAATCTCGTACTCGATATCGTAGACGGCGTAACGGGGAGAGGCGCGGCCCTGGCTGTCCTTGGCATCGGCGAGCTCGTTGCGGAAGACCTCGTAGTCCTGGTCCTTGCCGACTGAGTCTACGACAACCGACTTCTTGTCGTCGGCGATCTTGTAGATGATGTACTTGGTCTTGCCGTGGCTCCGGGAGAAGTCTTGGAAGGTAGTGATGCAATCATCCTGGATCTGGACACTGTAGGGGGGGGCAGGTGTCAATAAATGGTGAAAGTGAGGGGGAACCGGTTGCGAGCGCGGGAACCGACGACGACTTACCCGGATGCGAGCTGCGCGATGTCATAGTCAGTACTGGACGTCATATGCCATGGGTTTGGGGTTTAATACTAACCGACATGATGGCTTATGTAGATGGGGGAGACAAAAAAAGGAACGGGGCTGTCTAGCGCTATGTCAGTGGCTGAGATGGACAAACTCAGGGGGTCCCTCGAGCTTCTCGGGTTGACATGAGAAGTCAAAGTAGTATGCACTCCAATGACTTACAGGGATTGAAGGAGGTGGAGATCGAGGCAACGGAGACGGATGAGACGGGGAAGATGGAGTTTGAGGGGTGAATTGTTTCCCAGGTGTTGCCATGGCCATAGTGGGGGTGGCTGCACGTGATATCAGACTTTTGATAATTCAAGTGCTCGGTACCTGTTTACCAGTTGAATGACGTTTAAATTATTGATCTAATAGGGTTTATTTTTAAGATTTCTAGGAGTTCCGAGGCTATTGGGGGTTTTGTTGAAAATTGACATATAGTGTCTGGTGTATGAGTTGATATTGAACAATATTTGTGTTCTCACGAGTTTTTTCCTTTTTCATCCTCGAAGTACCAGGTACTCCGTACATCAGATACATTAGGATTCGGAATCACATCATCTTAGCCTATATCTGCATAACATGTATGGAGTACATTAATGTTCGAAGTGAGCCTCTCTCCAATGTGGGTGTCGAGCTAAAATTGGCCGGCCTTCAACCATGGGACACGTCAGTGGCTATTTTTGTCCTGGCCCACCATGTACTATTATGCATACAATTGACCAGAGCAGGGTTTACTGCGTCTGCCTATTATCAATGGATTATTTTATTGCTTAACCACAAATATTTCATGTAAATATATAACCCGGCAAGAGTAAGGGTGCACAAAATTGCTTTATAAACTATGACCGGCAAGAGGTTACATACCTCCATACGGTGCCAACATATATATTACACCAAAAATATAAAAAATCACATAAAAGCACATCTGCCAAATTTATTTCCTACTTCTCACTTCTCAATTCTCAATGAGACAGGCCTAAAAGGGCGCCTGAATGAGCGCCTAGGGCAAACAGTCACAGCGTGCCTCTAGGCACAAGGCCACAACCTACAAATTGGTGACTTTAAGACGGCTGCACGATCTGCCTACACAAGAGTTCCGGATATCGTTATCATGGATGCGTATGCTGCCATCAAGGTCATCGGCGAAGCTAAGACGCCATGGCCTAGGGACCACTACCCCATGCTGAGGACCGGAGCCCGACAGTTCAAGGCTGGCCATGAAGACAGATTTCGCCGCATCCTAGGTATATATGACATACACTATACTCACAATTTATCAATGTACTAATAGTAACACTATGTTGTAGGTCAAACCGCTCGATACATGCGGGATCTCAATGTTAGACATGCCTTTCTCTCCACATACAACGAGACGATATTCCTTCGAAAGTCTGAGACTACACTACGTAAGGAGTCTAGACCCTGGAGTACTCCCCTGTGGTCACATACAACGACCAGTTTGACCCCCAAAGGAGTGTTATCACAACGCGCCAATCTTGTCGTGTTCTTGTCGCCCGGCTAGTTTGTCTTGATGACTTGTCGGTGATGCTGGGTGGTTGGTTTTCCGCGCCGGAGAGCCTAGACCTGACATAACGAGAATACCTTTCCTTCCGGGCCGGCGAACGGTGGTTAGGTCTAGTTGACAGTAATGAAAGACCCAATGAGAAGAAACCGAGAAAACCACCAAAAAGGACCACCAAAAACACAATTAAAAAGACATCTAAAGAGACTATCTGAGAATACTACCATAAAAGTCTACTAAAAAAAGCCTTGACAATGCCGCATAAGCGCCGGACTTCCTTGTGTAAATATGTAGATAACTATGTATCAACCCAACCCTAGGCCCTACCAAGGTACATACATCCATATACAACATAACCCAAACCTAAACCTTCGCGGCCGGCGCAAACTTAGCCCTCATCTTATCCGCGACCAACTTCTCATCATAAATGAAATTAACACTGTCATGGGCAACAGTCGCCTCCGCCCAACGCTTAAACCTGGGAGTCTGCTCCAGCAAAGTCGACAACTTAGCAGAAACAAGCCCATGCTCAGGCTTAGCGAAGCTCAAAATCCTCAACAAGAACGATCCCGCCTGCACCTCCGCCAGCGTCAATTTCTCACTACCACCAAAGAACGGGCCCTTGCCCTCCGTGTCTGCCAGGAGCGGCTCGACCTCCTTCACGACGGCAGCGACCAGCTGCTCGGCGGCAGCATCACGCTCGGTGTCATCAGCGGCGCGAATACTCGCGAAGAATGGAGGGAGGACTTTGCTGAAGAAGGCGTCGACGAAGAAGTTGAGACGGGCGCGGTAGAGGGCATTTTCGGCTGGGGAGGATGGAGGAAGGAGGTGGCTTTGGTGGGCATCTGCGAGGAATTGGACGACGATGCCCGATTCGGTTATTATGGTTCCGTTGTAGGAGATTGTGGGGACGAGGCCGCGCTGTTGAGGTGGATGTTAGTATACAGTTTATAGTATATGAGGTGTAGTATGGATGTAGGTGTTGGGAAGAGTGCTTGTCACTTACTGGGTTGATCTCCAGATACCACGGCTCGCGAGGTGTGCTTAAGTCAATTGTGACTTCTTCATAGTCAAGGCCGAGTTCCTTGAGGGCGATGTGCGCGCGGTGGGCCCAGGGGCAGATGCGGTTGGTGTAGAGGATGATCTTTGGGGAGGACATTATGAATTGGTGTATTGTATGATTGTGTAGGAATAGAGGTCAGTAATGCAGGTTATATAGAAGAAGACACGCCATTGTAAAAGACATTGCGAAATGAGGGGTTGGATTAGTAAAATGCAATTGTTAATCAATCGCGAAATCGAGCGATTGATCCGTTAACTCCGAGCAGATGTGGGGGACTTGAAGAAACCACCGGGAATACATATCTTTGGTTATAAATCTACCTATATAATTATAGAGAAACTATTGCACCTTAATTAAGGTCCATCTTTGATAAAATTGGTCTAATTATGTACATACATTAAAGCGTGCACTATATGTGTCCGATATCTTCTGACCAAACCACCTTCAGCGGCGCTCATCCATCGGGGTATATAAGTGGTCTCAAGTGGCAAACGGATGTGTAGTACGTAAAAAGACCGGAAATGTGCTCTAAGAGCAAGAACACATTGACCGAGCCCGATGCGTCCAGCGACCGGTTCCACACGAATCAAGTGGAAGAAGATAATGAGAAAAAAATGTCAAAATAAGGAAAGTGACGAGATGACCGTCATAAAATGGGGGGGTATATCGAATACGAGTATAAAATGAGCATTGAGCCGATCGATGAGATCGTTCGGGAGGAGGATGGCCAGCCGGGGCGTAAAAAGCACTGGAAGACGGAACAGAAGGGATCAACACGCTGTCGTCAAGACGTAATTTTGCATGAAAACTGAGAATTGAGAACCGTGCTCAAACTTCCTCGTCTTCCTGGCCGCCGTCGATGATCTTGTGCCAGTGCTGCGGTAGACAGATACAGACCAAGGGGAAAGCCTTGATCTCGCCTGACGGCATGGGCGACGAAGCACCATGCATACGCGAGCCACTTGAGACACCACTGTCGCGCTGTTCGCGGTAATTCATGTCTTGGTCCTCAGCGCGCTCGGGGAGTCGCACACCCGTCGCCCAGCCATCATCCCAGATGCCAATCACCCTCAACATCTCGCCTCGGTCGAGTTCGAATTCGTCGCCCGCTCGTGGCGAGTACGCCCAAAGGACGGCAACTTTGTCGCCAGCGTGAATCTCATCTTGTGAGTAGTAGTCGCGGAAATAAGACAGCTGCTCAGATCGACCACTGGTAACTGCTTCGGGAGATGAGTATTGGTTCGTCGGACCGGACCGGGGCGAGCTGTCGCTTTCTAGTCCAGCCAGAACCGAGTTGCTCGAAAGCGAGCCGTGACGTTTCCCTGTCACTGGTGGGATTCTCTTGGACATAGCTCCTGGACTGGCGCCCATGCCTTCTGAGTCTGACGTATCGCTGTATTTGGCTCCGCTGCCGTACATCGCCGCGGAGGTACGCGAATATGCGGGCGATGATGTACTGGGCATTTCGCGCAGTGCAGACATCCGTGTGACTCGGCCTCCTGGGACCATATTGTACGATGTTGGGCTTGGGGGCTGCTGCATTGATGGCGATCCACCCTTTCTTTGTGGGTTTGGTTGGTTGAGTGCAGCTTCGCTCTGGGTCTCACGACGGCGGCGGCGCATGAAAATGCAAAAGAAGGCAAGGAGAGCAGCTAGAATGGCAGCTCCTACAATGGCGCCAATTACGATCCCAGCAATCGCGCCGCCCGACAAGCCATGGCTAGAATGTCCAGTGGGGGAAGGCGAGGGCGTAAGAGGTGGTAGAGTCACAGTCGGTACTGCGACACCGTCACAGCGACTCGTGGCGTTGGATTTTGAGCAGCAGCTATCGGTGCCGTTCGCACAAAAAGTGCAGAGACCAATGGTATTTGTCGCAAAGCCACAGTTGTCAGGCTCATTGGCAGCTCCTTTGACACAATCTCCAGAAAGGGCGTCGGATGGTTTTTCGCAGATGGTCAATTCGGCATAGATTAGGTCCGTGTAGTTCTTGTCGCTTTTGACGCACAAGTCTGTATTTGCCATGGTCTCCTGTTCACTTCGGGCCCAAAGCGCGCATGTGTCGACGCAAATTGGTACCGACTCATCGGTGGAAAGTTTGCAGTCGGATATGGAGCTTTGCACGACACTGCTGCACAAAACACTGGTTGTATACTGGGCATAGTAGTTGTTGGGCGCGCTCGAATTGATGCCTTGGCATCCCAGTAAGTCATCATACCTAGGAGCGTCTGTTAGTGACTCTTCTCCCGGTCCATTGGTGCCAACACATACTTTGTCGAGATATATGATCCACGGACATAGTCCTTTAATGAATTATCGAAATCCGTCAGATTCGATACGCTTTTAAGGAAAGGGCTAGCAGCGCACTGTTAGCGATTGGTTTTTCTTTCCATGCCTAATCGGGCGCGTTTCCACTTACAAGCTCGCATATAGACTGGAACTGGTTGAAATGGACGAGCTACTCCAGGCAGGACAGGCAGTTGACCCCGAGAGGGAAATGCAGTTCGACATGTCGGGCAATATTGGCGGGCTGGCCTTATAAATGGACCCCTTTGGGTTATACCGGCGCGGAATGTGTCAATTGCGATCGAGAATGTTCTAGGCGTTATGCGAATCGGATAATCGAATTAGAGAATTCGATAAAATGGTCGACCCCAGGTCGAAACGGTCCCAAGCTCGAGAAGAAGAAGAAGAAAAACGCGTGAAAGGCAGGTAAACGAGTGACTCGGGGTTTCTGCCCGGAAGGAAAGGTCAACCGAGCCCCGTAGGCCTGAATTCGAAAAAGACGAAAGAGATGACAAGACGAAGTTCTAAGATTGGAAAGACAAGATTAGACCGAGATGGTCTGGGCTTGTGGGTAACAGGGGCTAGGGAGATGAACTGCTGGGAATAAGGGCAATTATGAAACACGGAGAACAGGCATAATCGGCTGTACAGGTTCAGACGCTAAACTCAATGCTATCTTCTGTAGAGATTTACTCCGTATAAAAGACAATATCATAAAAGGGGGTGGGGGGAGGGGGGAGGAGGTAATTCCGCGTTGTTTACCTTTTTCTCTCTTTATTCTTCGAACTCTTTTGGGTATCAAAATCCAATTGGGACTGAAATTTCTACATATGGGAGTACTTTGTATATTATTGTATAAAATACCACAATGACAACGGTTATCAAAGTCAGTTATGATTGGCAATGTCTGTCAAATTCTGACCGGTCCCTCTGTTCATCACCAACCTCGCTAGTGACCCCTTAGCGGCTCAGACAAGTCGATCGCTATCTCTTGCCGTCTGGAAAAACTCGACTCGGGAATACTATTACCAGGCTCTGGAGCTTAACATTTATTTCCCGATTTCCCTTGCATCCTGCGCAGAATTTGGCAATAGATGTAGCACATTTAAACGTTGTATGTGAGCTATCGGTTGAGAATGTGAGGGACTGATATGCACTTGGTACGGAATATGGGGGACAGGTACAGGGTACCCGGTCGCAGGCAGCAGGTACCCGCCAGCCACATGTACCAGGTACTTACAAACTTAGTACATATTAGTCAAAGCTGCCCCCCGCTTGGGCAGATATCTGACAAGTCTGATTTGTATAGATCATCAAATCAGTAAATGGACACCTTACCTAGAAATAGCTATAAATTGTGTATTGTAGAAAGTCATAGTTACAATAACTAACTAGTTAGTTATTTCTGTACGATGTACGATGTACAATGTAGGGCTCAGGCGAATTATATAGGTCATGTGACCATTGACATCATCTGATCTGGACCAGGCTGCCATCAGCGACTCGTCCAACCTGTGGAAAACCTCTGACCATTACCACAAATTCCCACTCTCTTAGATACAACTCACATTTCTTTATCAGATCTCAGAGACACGGTGAGCCATGTGCAGCTCCGACATTTTCCTAGCGGTACTCGCCGTCTTCTTCCCACCTATCGCAGGTAAGTCCAAACCCGCAAACCAACACCCCCACACTCGGTAGTGCCAATGCTAACCAAACCCTTGCATCAACAGTCTGGGTCAAGACCGGATTCTGCACTGCAGACTCGATAATCAATATAACCCTCACCCTACTCTGCTTCTTCCCGGGCCTCATCCACGCATGGTACATCATCCTCAAGTACCCGGAGCAAAACGATGATGATGTAGCCTACGAGCCCATCCCCGGTGGCGGGAGTCGGCGTCGCGATCTGGAGAACGGAACCGTTACCTACTACTACGTCTCACGCCAGCCCCAGCGCGGATATGGCACAGTCGACACTCAAGGCCAGCAGGCGCCTGCTCCGGCGAACAAACCACACAACCGGAATGAAGAAAGTGGGAATGCTGGGAGCAGCAGCGCACCCCCACCACCCACTTATGCTGAGGCTGTGAAGGGTGACAATAAGTTGCAGAGTCAGGAATGAGAATGAGGCTAGACTCGTTGGCTGTGCTTGTGGGTGGCGTCCTCGGCTTGCCATTGTCTCATCGCGTCACTTTGTTCCGGACCCGGTTGTACTATCCATACCCCTCCGCTCTGCTGTTCTTGTAAACGCTCTTCTTAAGAACTGCATCGTTATATTATGACTGATGAAGGAATGTTCTATGTAATTCTGAGTTTTTGATTTTGTTCGCTCGTTGTGTATCTTCTTGGATTGTATGTTCTTTATAAGGCTCGGATGCGTCATACTATACCAGTACTTTTTATCCTAGCCTTGGAGGCATTTAGCGCTAACTGGGTCTTTTGTTCGACAACTCCTAGATATAAAATATTCTGAAAACCCTACATAAATAATTCCAATGTTGACAAGATATCATCTGCTTTGGACTTCTTGTAGACTCTGTCCATCGGCATTTCAGTCCATGGACAGTATAGATGATCTCGACAATCGATATATCGCTAGTTTTCGAGCCGAAAAAGTAGCGTCGATACATAGCTGACTTCCTACATATGTAGTACCTCTAGCGGTAATGCCTGACCATCGCTGTTTCTAGCTCCATGGTGTCAAGTATCGATACCCAGATATGACCCAGATATGTTAGCATGGCTAAACTGATATGTGTATGTATGGACTTAGTTTTGATAAGGTGCCTTTGGACATAGCCATTATGACAATCCTTGACTCCTTGTCTTTTTCTTTCTACTTCTTTGAAATACAGTGCTCTCATTGACTTCAAATTCGTGTGCAATTTGGTGGGCTTTCTTTTACAATCGCTGGGCATTTATCCTTAGCTTGTTGGAATTTGCCTGATGTACATTATTGGAAAGGTTTGGCGAAGAACATCCATGCCGCACTAGAAGGTATGGTTCTGTAAAAAAATAAAAAGGAGTCTCAGGTCTCATGATAAGCACAAACTACCTACGTATCGGATTTCCTATGCCACGGCTTGGCCTTAGTATTTAAGAGAATCGACAGACTGATATTACGCAGAAGTGAGCCTATTTTTGACTAGAAGTGAGAAGAGTGCACGAACTATACGGCCTCCGGATGGCTGCGACTGAGCCTAAACAGTATATTTGAACATGATAGGAAACGCCAACGGCGCCATTTCATGAGGTTTTTTTGGTTCGAGATAAGAGGAAAAGGCATAATGTCTTACTATTCAATGCGTAGTCAACTCCTTAGCCTTATGCTAGGCACTGAGTACATATTATCCAACATGAGATGAGTTCTTTGGCTAGATATTATACGGTATGAGTTTTGAGTTTGCAGCATACACTGCTGTTATGGTTAGCCATGGGGTCGATATGATTATGTATTTTGACAAGTTTTTTTTTGTTATGGATACAGAGTATAAGAGGTAGGCAGTCGGTTTCGAGAGCTATGGAGGGTTGGGAAGCATGAAATTATCGAAAGTAGTTTTTCAAAGGGCATGTGGCCTCTCTTATTTGCTCTCAGCCTGTGTCTGCTCTCGATATATATTTTCTTTCTCTCTTACCCTCCAGATATTTTTCTAGAGCTTCAGTATTTTGGCTCTTATTGTCATTTTTGGCATGTGTTTTGTAGTCGGAGCTATGGGTGTTGTTGGCAGACCAAATCCGAGGAAGTGAGAAAACCTAGGAAAAACCGTTTCACTAATAAGTCAGAACATTAAATACGATTTGCCCAATATATAGTACACTACACAATAGAACATTTCAAGGTTATATTCATAGAAATTTGTTGCAATGACTTGCTGCAATCTGATAAGGCTATCCGAGGCCAAGTCCCGTCCCGAGATGATCCTCACCCGGACACTCTTTGCACCACCACCACTTCCTGCCACGAGCCTGTGGCCCTTGTTTTGGCCATGCAGTCTATGCCACAGCTGCTTAGGCAATCACTCCGGTCAAGCATCCAACTCACAAGCACGTCCTCACCAGTGCGAGCGCACTTCCGCCCTGCATTCTCCATTAGCCCGACTCCGCGGAGCTTCTCCGCCTGCGTACAATGTCAATTCCGCCGACAGCCAGGCATATATGCGGCGTTCAATGACCGAGAGAAGTTCTCCACTGATACCGAGAGGTTAATCAAGGAAAAGGAGAAGGAACTGGCCGACCTGGAGCTCGCCTCGCGCGACCCGGTCCCGATCCCGGGTGTGGAGGCGGGCAGTTCTCTCGATTCGGTGCCTCCTGCCACAGAGACCGATCAAACTACCGCACAACCACAACTACAAACAAAGGAGAATGAAAAGGAGCAGTCGGTTTCACAGGACGAAGATGCTAGCTCCGCTGACACGAGGAGCGGAGGCCTGCCCTCGTACTTGGAAAGCCGTCGGTCAAAATGGTCCAAGCAGTTCACCACAGTGATGGACAATGTGCAATCCAATGTTTTCGTCGCGGGTCAGCGTTTAAATGACCTGACTGGATACTCCAGCATCGAAGCTTTGAAGAACGATATCCAGTTCCACGGTATGTAGCATACATAGCACACAGCCCCCGCCAAACCCAAGACACTAATCCCAAGAAATCATCCAGAAACCCGACTCCGCACCGCACGAGCGAAGGTCAAGCAAGCGAAAGAAGAATACGCCGCAGCGATTAACCGCCGCTCAACCTCCCAACGCGAAGTAAACGAGCTCCTCCAACGCAAGCACGCCTGGTCCTCAACAGACCTGGAGCGATTCACCCTCCTCTACCGCAACGACCACACAAACGAGGTCGCCGAGACCGAGACCTCACACACCCTATCCGCGGCAGAGCGCGAAGCCGAAGAGTCAGCCGCGCAACTGAGCAAGAGCATCCTCTCGCGATACCACGAGGAGCAAGTCTGGTCCGACAAGATCCGCCGCATGTCGACATGGGGAACCTGGGGCCTGATGGGCGTGAACGTCCTGCTATTCCTTGTCTTCCAGATTCTCGTTGAGCCGTGGCGTCGGAAGCGACTCGTCAAGGGTTTCGAGGATAAGGTCGTTGAAGCTTTGGAGAAAGACAAGGTCCAGAACCGGGCTATTTTTGCTGAGAACGCTGTTTCGATGTCGGCACTGCCGAATACCACCACCCTCCCTGAGGTTATTGATTCTACCGACGAGAACTTAATTGAGACTCCTCCTTCTCTTTTGATTGAACCGAAGCTTGCTGCGACGGAGATGGATGCATCCACTACGGGGTCTATTGTCTCGGTGACCGATGCTAATGTCGCCCAGTCTCTCCAGACCCGTCTCTCGAACATTACTTCGCCGGTTCTGTCAGTCGAGTACTGGAGGCAGGTGGCTAGCGAGTTCTTCAGCGATCGCAGCATTGCTGTCTCCCAATACGATCTCACTACTGCGGCTCTCCAAAGTGCAGCAGCTGGTGCAGCTGTGACGGGCCTACTCTTCGCCCTGATCGGATCTCGGTAAAGAAATCATTTCATTAGAGCATGTTATATTGCATTGCCAGCGAGAACTGAACATGTTCTGGTTCATGTTTGGTCTTGTCATTTTGATAACTTGCCCTTTTGTTGGGGCGGTTATACTTGTACATACAATTGAGAAAATTAGACAAGCAGTTGGATATAACCTTGGAATCAAGTTTAGTGTATGATTACTGGAGCATTGTCTGGAAGGCGAGTATATATCAAAATAGCGAAGCATTGGCATTGTTGCGTTTACAAGACAACCAAGGAAGCGTTGATCTAGAACAAAGGAAATAACATGACTAGGTGATACACTAAATAAAGAACATATGTACTTAAGGAGACCATAGGACATCCTCTGAACTCCACAGCTCGTGTGTTTGCCATGGAGAAAGACCAAGATCCAGGAAGATACAGACAAAGGAAGAAAAAGGCTCATTTTTTTGTCCATATTAAAACACAGGTCTCTTAATCTTGACAAGACACACGGCCGCTCTGTCTAAAAAAAGGGAAAAAACACACACACACAAGCACATACACAGATAGATAGGACACACAATCCGTCCATCTTATCTCATCGACACATCTAATGAGACAATCCGCCCGTTGGCGGCGATCAAAAAAGGGTGTATTCTAAATTCGCTTAACCGATAACCAGGGTCTCATCCTCGGGGAAGCTGTAGGTGGGAACCTCCAAGTTCAGAGGGGCAGGACCCCTGCGAATACGGCCGGAGATATCGTAGTGGGAACCGTGGCAGGGGCAGAACCAGCCGCCGTAGTCACCGGCCTCACCGATGGGGACACAACCCAAGTGGGTGCAGACACCTGTAGGGAGGAAGGAGGGTTAGAATGTTGCAGCTTGTTTGCGAATCGCATGTTCACTTACCGAGCATGACGAGCCACTCGGGACGCTGGACACGGTCCTCATCGGGCTGGGGGTCACGGAGACCCTCCCACTTAGCCTCACGGGCCTCATCGATCTCGCCCTGGGTGCGGTGACGGATGAAGACGGGCTTACCACGCCACTTGATGATGACCTGTTGGAAAGGGTGTTAGATAGGGATACTGGGTACTGGAATGTATCGGATGAGGTGACGAAGGGAAACACATACGTTCTTGCCCTCGGGGATGGCACCGAGAGAGATCTCGACCTTGGCCTGGGCCAGGACATCGGCGGAGGCGGACATGTTGACCAGGAAATCTGGAGAGAAAGAGTAACATCAGTCGTGTGTTCAAAGTTGCCCGAATTTCCCCGAATTATTCAATAATCATGTCCAATCGCTGTATTCCATGCCAATGTTGTTTCCCATCTCTTTCTGATTCGAATGTTTGACAAAAACCTACCCTGGACAGTAGCCTTGGCACCGACAGCGGTCGCCAGACCGAGGGAGCCGGCCATGAAGTAGGAGAAGACCTGGTTGGAGCGGGGCGAGTTGTTGGACTTGTACTTGCTGAAGTTGGGGATCTTCAGGGTCGAGCCACGCTCGTTAGCGCTGGCGAAGGGAGATTCGAAGGACGACTTCGCATCGGCAACTCCCCTCCGCTGCTGGCAGGAGGTGACGGCGGCGCGGGAGGTGGGCAGCTGCTGCCGAGCGACGGTGCGCAGCAGAGTGCTGGAAGCGGAGGAGAGCGACATTGTGAGGGCAATTGACCACGGAGGGAATTGAGCCGCGAGTGGGTGGAGAGCGAGGTGAGGATAGAGGGTGGATGAAGTCGGAAGTTGAAGTTGGAGCCAGAGCTTTCGCTAGCGATCGGAATCACGGGGCCTGTCATTGGCTGATCAGTTCCCGTTCACTCCCTAACAAGAAACATCCAACAACTTCTATACTATTGGAATATAAGTATATTTATGTTATTTCCTTGATAGATATCGATGGTATTGATTAATTATTCATGTTTCTGCTAAAATTTGACTCGTCAATTGTATACTATCTCGTTTTCGTTTTTGACAATATCTAACCCAACCCAATGCGACCATACAAATCCCAAAACCAATGCGCAAGGAAACCCATAATTAGAAAACTCCTATGCAAACAACAAGATTAAAACAAAAAGGGACAATATAGCGCAATCAATCTTGCATTTCCACATCATGGTCATGGGTAGCCTTGGGCTCGACTGTCCGGTCCGCAATCAACGCGCTTACAGGGAGCCGAGGAACCGACGGAGATGTTGTCTTCGAATCTTCTCCTTGTGGGGTGGCATCTCCCATACCTGTGCCATTTTCTTGTGCTGGAGGTGCACTGGTACCGTTGAGAGTACGCTGGCCCTTCTCCATGGCGCCTTGATTCGCCGCATCCTTCGCCTTCTTCTCCTTGAATTGTTTGTAGGTTGTAGTTTTAGGGATCACGTCAGAAAGGAATTCGAGATTGTCGGTGTGTGATACCGCCGAAGCTATTGCACGTTAGCATGCTGTCCGACCTCTTGCCAACCGTAGGCGCAATAGGCGTAACCAACCGAGATCTTTGTACTGGACGGTCTTGCGTGGCTTTCGCTCGGATTTGACCACGTTGTGCCCTTGCTCAGCAAGATATTGGATGAACATCTCCTAGATTCAGCATTAGTCGATGTTCGAGGTATTTAGGTAGAGGGCGTGGCGTACGGTAGCCATTGCGATGACGAAGGTCGCGTTGTTCGAGCATTGTACGATATCCTCGTCCAACTGAATAATTTTCTTAATTCGAGCAACTATAGAAAGGTGTTAGTATGTCAACCCAAAGTAATAGTAGGGTCTGGAACTTACTCGGAAGTGCGCTCTGTCCGGTGATCTCATCCGGTTCTCCCACAGTCTTTGGAGCCATGGTGTTTAATTCTGGTGGGATAAAGTATTGGCAGAACAAAGTTATACAATTTGCAGCATGCGCCAGTCAAATAATCTCGTTGTAGAAGCAAGTGGGCGCAAAGCGTGGAGTCGAGAAAGAGTAAAACGCGTGGCCGCGTTATCTCAGGAGGCTCTCCGTTATCGATCCATGGATACTTGGCGACTTCGCTTTGTCACATCATCTACTTTTAAGAGCTCCATTCACCCCCGTCTTCTGAATTGTTGCTTATAGGGTGTTGAAGAAGCACCCCAGGGGGATCCGACTTCGAATTCGAGAGTTCATCTTCTCACAGCGAAGAGTGCGACGTCCATCGAGGACACAAGACAGATCATCGAGTCAACCTTAAATCGACTATGCTGACCCTACCCCCTCGATCAATGTTATGACCTCTCCACGCCCCTCTCCGACCTTTAACAGGTCCCTTTCAGTTTCACGGGAGCGGCGCAGCTCGCGAATGCCCTCCGGTCGTTCTATTCCCTCCCCCATCGACCGAGAAGCCGATCCCGACAACCAAGAAGCACCCGCTATCTCAGAAGAGATCAGTGGGATTAAGCGATATGAAGATTTTACCACAATAGACTGGGTCCAAGATGCAGTTTATGAGCAGTCACGGCGGCGCGCTAAACGGCGCAGTGGCACTGGATTCTGGGATCAGGAAGGCATCTTTGGCTGGAGACGGAAAATGTACGAGTCGTACGATGCAGGCCAGGCATGGCTTGTTGTTACGCTTGTGGGTATGGCAATTGGATTAAACTCGGCTGTGCTCAATATCATCACGGAATGGCTCTCTGATATTAAGCTGGGCCATTGTACTACCGCCTTCTACCTCAATGAGTCGTTCTGCTGCTGGGGTGCTGAGAATGGTATGTTCAGCAGGTTGTACAGCGCTTCTTGTAAACTAACCTTTTTCCTTGTTAGGCTGCCCCGAGTGGCAACATTGGACTTCATGGTGGCTGTTCAATTATGTTTTCTATTTCTTTGGCGCGGTAAGACGTGTGCCCGGCTAATACTCGAGAAACTCTGAATTTATAGGCTAATTTGGGAGATAGTTGCTACTTTCATCTATCGCCGCAGTATTGGTGAAATCATTTGCGCCGTATGCCGCAGGCTCTGGTATCTCAGAGATCAAATGCATTATTGCTGGCTTCGTCATGAAGGGCTTCCTAGGTGCCTGGACTCTTTTAATCAAGTCAATTGCCCTTCCACTAGCTATTGCGTCAGGCTTGTCTGTTGGAAAAGAGGGGCCTAGCGTGCATTTTGCTGTGTGTACCGGAAACGTGATATCACGGTTCTTTGGTAAATACAAACAAAATGCATCGAAGACGAGAGAAATCTTGACTGCCTCAGCGGCAGCTGGTGTGGCTGTCGCTTTTGGCAGTCCGATTGGAGGCGTGCTGTTTTCCCTGGAGGTGAGTTCAATGGCGCGCTAGCTCATAGGATGGAAGCTAACCGCCAACAGGAAATGGCAAACTACTTCCCCCTCAAGACCCTTTGGCGCAGCTATTTCTGTGCCTTGGTGGCAACTAGTGTTCTGGCGGTACGTTTCCCATATTGTCAATTGATTCTGGACCATATCTGATCCATTTTAGGCTGTCAATCCTTTCCGAACCGGCCAATTGGTCATGTTCCAAGTCGGGTATGATCGCACTTGGCATTTTTTCGAGTTCATATTCTTTATTGTCATTGGTGTCTTCGGTGGACTTTACGGTGCATTCGTAATGAAGTGGAACCTTCGAATGGCCGCATTCCGCAAGAAATACCTCTCACAGTGGCCTATAACCGAGTCAATCGTTCTTGCGGGGCTCACTGCGATACTGTGCTACCCCAACATGTTTCTGAAGATCAATATGACCGCAATGATGGAGATCTTATTCCGCGAATGCGAGGGTGGCCATGACTATCATGGACTATGCGAGTACGACTATACCCCTCCATATGAATGAGAGGACACTACTAACTCATTGCAGATCTAAGAACCGGTGGTCGATGGTCTTCTCACTAGCTATTGCGACTGTTCTTCGCACTGGTTTGGTGATTATTTCCTACGGGTGCAAGGTGCCAGCCGGTATCTTCGTTCCTTCGATGGCCGTCGGGGCTTCATTCGGCCGCATGATTGGAATCATGGTGGAGGCATTACATGAATCGTTTCCCCAATCGGCATTCTTCGCTTCTTGTGACCCAGATGTTCCTTGCATCACACCGGGAACATATGCTTTCCTAGGAGCTGGGGCAGCCCTCAGTGGAATCATGCATCTGACCATCTCTGTAACGGTCATCATGTTCGAGCTGACCGGCGCACTGACCTACATTCTACCGACCATGGTAAGTCTTAATTCCAAATGGCATCTTTTCATTTAACCATGCTGACTCTTGTGCAGATTGTGGTAGGCGTCACCAAAGCCGTCGGCGATCGATTCGGCAGCGGCGGTATCGCCGATCGACTGATTTGGTTCAACGGATTCCCATTCCTAGACAACAAGGAAGAGCACGTCTTCAACGTGCCTGTATCCCACGCAATGACCACAGGCCCGCTCTCGGTACCAGCATCTGATTTCCCCGTGCGCGAAGCAGAGCATCTTCTAAACGACAACAAATTCCAAGGCTTCCCCGTCGTGGAGGACCGCACTTCCAAGATCCTAGTTGGATACATCGGGCGAACCGAGCTCCGATACGCCATCGACCGCGCCCGCAACCAGGGAATGATCGCGCCAAACGCCCGGTGTGTGTTCACTAAAGATGCCGCCGACGCAGCCGTTGCACGCAGGGCCTCCGTCTCGCAAAACTCCCGGTCATCAGACACATTCGATGCAATCCAGCGGAGCGTAGGGGCTTCTTTCGTCGATTTCTCACGATATGTCGACCACACGCCGCTGACGGTTCACCCGCGCCATCCTCTTGAAACGGTCATGGAGATCTTCAAGAAGATGGGCCCGCGAGTCATTCTCGTCGAGCATCGTGGAAAACTCACCGGCTTGGTTACCGTCAAGGACTGCTTAAAGTATCAGTTCAAGGTCGAAGCCGAGGAACATACACTGACAGCAACGAGCTCGTCTGCATTTGGTGCACTTGGTGGACATCTGAACCACCCTGCTCCTGAAACATTGGAAGACCGCTTGTGGCGGCTCATTCAGAATGTGGCTGGGTTTGTGTCTGGTAAGATCTCTGGCCGGCCGGTCCGGCTGCGTGATCGCACTGTACCTAGGCAATCGGAGCCGTCGGATATCCTAGAAGGGAGGGATGATGATGCTGTGGTAGAATTGGAGGACAGAGAGGATCGACCGATGATCCCATGAAGAGCGGGATCGCTATGTTGCCATGTTTATACGTTACGTTGATAGAGATTTATTTGCTACATACCAAGCGTTGCTCGCCCATATATTTCCCATCTATTCCAACCTCCGATGTGTTTAGGTAGAAGGATGATTGGAAATGGACATAGTGGCATTAAAGCAACTTCCTCCACGGTATCCATGGATGACCGAGCAGGTGACAAACATCATGACAATCTCTGCATGGCATGTGGCAGCACGCGAGAGCATCAATGCAGACAAGACCGTAACAAACACTAAGAAATGAATAGACCTCGAAGACACTCTCCTCGCTCTGGCAATTGCCAGCGCAATGCTCGCGAATTTATCCAGGGTCCGCCCGCACGGTTCTCGAGGAGGTCGTTTCGGACGTAAACTGAGTAATCGATGTAAGATTCATGCTCTGGGTGGATTTGCATGAACTCTGGGCGAAGTTTCCAAGACCATCCAGACACCTCTTTCCCCTTCACGTATTGCGACCCGAAGTAGAGATGTAACGGGTTTGGGTTTAGAGTGAGTCTAGGGTATCGTTCGAAGAATTCGATTGGGTTGGACTGGAATTCCAGTGGAAACAAATCGATATGGGGTTGATCTGATAGATGCACGGGTTTCCCGCTTGTGGCAATCCCGATAACCACTGATCCAAATCCTTCTCAAAGCGTCTTCACTTTGATAATTTTAGGGTAGGACATGAAGGTTGGAGCAGCCAAATGAGGCTTTGAATTGTCTCTATTGCGGAGAGTAATCGCATTTCACGTCCGGATGCCGAATGGTGATTGCTTCCAGAAAGGCCAACAGGCTTGGAAAGGACCAGCTCCTCGTCTATGTGGGAGGGTTGCTTGGTTGTTCAGAGCTGCAAGAATAAGTTCTTGGTTTTGTCTTGGGATCTCCATTATTCCCAGCCCTTTAGGCGCCGATGTAGAGTCTCCGATTCTCTGTAAGGCTCACTCTCACTTCTCAAAACAAACCTAACTCCATAGCCATCCACGTTAGCGGACTAGGAAATGATAGCTAAGACTTCGCCTATAGCTTTTGTATGCTAGTGAATAGGCAGGTCAAGTTCTGCCATTTTCTCGAGGTGCAGATCGAAGTTTCGTAACAGTTCGTAGCAGGCGGACAGTTAACGGGTCGCCGGCTGGTGAGGTAGATGGGGGCGCGGTTCTGAGCTTGCAACAGCTCAGGACAGAGTCGGACAATAGTAGGGCCTGCCGAGCAACTTTAGGCAACGGATGATTGCGCACCGTGACCAGACCCATTTCAGTCAGAGAAGGGGTACGCGAACATCGATAAAAAAGCGATATATGGGATTCCCACCAGTCAAGGTTGGCGGGCACAGCTGCGCGCGCGACAGACCTCCCTTGGTGATTGTTCCTTTCGGTGATTTGCGAACACGCTCCCCCCGAATTTCTTTGGCAGCCGCCATTAACATTCAGGCCTGCCAGAATGCGCCGAAATCTCCAAGCACATCACGACCGGCGTCGAGTGTGTTATGTGCCGTACTCTTGTGGTTTCCGGCATTGCATTGTGGATGGATCGAATGCTCATGAGTGGTGGTGCGGGTTGATTATCCAGCAAACCCTACCATGTGTATTCTGTGATTAACTTTCAATGGTCCATTCCATGCTGTACACTTGACTGGCTGGATTGTCCAATATCCAGCAAAGCATTCCGCTGGCTCTTGCGCTCTTGCCACAAAACTTCATTGGAATCATTCCATTTCCAGATTCCACACTCGACTGGAAGGATTGCAAGGACCATAGGAATTCGGCTCCCTTAAGAAAGGCATCGATACGTCCTTCCATTTGCGAGTTTTCTGCAAGGTGCGTCCAGCAACGCATAAAGATGTCTGGAGCATTGCCGGGGACGGCATAGGGAAGAAGAGAAGAGACAGGAAAATATAAATACGAAAAGTAAGAAAATGATCCAATAATCACTGTGGCTTCACTCACTGGATTGCCTGTCTTCTCCTTGGCCTTGAACTAGGCGTATCTTGGATGAGCGTGAGCCTTGAAATGGCCCTTTTAGAAAGGGTGGGATCTCTGACTTGAGTGTGTGGGAGGTAAGAAGTTAAACGTTAGAAGTAAGAAGGAAAAGTACTCTCTGCATTAAATCTTCCACAGGTCACCAAATCGGGAAAGTGCATTCCCGTCCAACCTGGGAAGGTTCCTTCCAAAAGATCTACTTTAGTGACCACAGACAGTCCAGTCCTCCAACATTACCTTCCAGCATACCTTCAATGTTCTCACTAGCCCGGTCACCTCCAACTCTGGCCCAGCCCAGATGGGCGCTATATCTGGTTTCTTTATACCAGGATGAGTGGCACGAGCTAGCATCGGCTGCGAAGCTCATTCAGACAACCAACACATTACCTGTCGTGTTCTTCGGGTCATCAGAAGGCAAAACAACGAGGCTCTTGTCACACGGAAAGGTGTGTGATAGCTACAAAAGGAGCTCGGATATAAAGTTCAATGAAATTGATAACCGCTCAATGCGTCGAGACACAGCTGTCATATTCAACATTAGCCGAGTCTACAACTTATATTAGTACATAGTCCGTCCTCTTTCTACTCTTATTTTCCCCGAGCCAGTCCTGTCGATAGGTACGATACAGTCATATTAATCTCTCTCCTACTTGCCTCCAAGACTTTTGATATCATGGTCAGGTTGCATGCGCTATTGCTTTTGTAGACTCATCATCCCCCGTACCACTTCCTTCTCTCCTTGTGAAAAGTGAGAGTGGAATGCTATCCCTTCGATAGCGGCGTGGAGTACTTTCACTACGACTGCCTGACGGATAACCTCGGTGGTTGGCTGACTGCGATATGCCAGCGCTGCTGGGAAACAGCCTTGGAAATAGGTTGTTCACGATCGGCTTGGTTGCCGGAATGCTAGCAGCGATGATAGCGACAGCTATTTCGATTCCCGACCAAATCGAAATCCCAAAGGTGTCCCAGGAAGGATCTGAGCTTTGATATAATCTCACAATGTAGACCATCCGCACGATGCTGGCTATACATGCACTTTTGTCCAGTTAGCACTAATGCATATAAAATAAAAATCACGCCCTGCACATACAAGGAGCCCAATGATAGTAAACCAGCGACGATAACTTTTTTCCTAGTTCCAAGATGAAGACCTAGAACTGTTTTCAGTGGCAAGAGAAGAATCCAAATATCCGTCACCAGTGATAGCGCGGCGGTCGCATACCAAAACGGAATAGACGCAAAGCAAGTATAATGTTTATATTTCTGTTCGTTGTAGACAGCATCGATCGGTGAACATTGAAAGATGGTTGCGAGAATAATTGCGACACTCATGGCCGTAACGAATGCGATTGTTCCAAGGCAGATTACTCGGATGTTAGGGAACACTCGCAGGTATAGCAGACAGATTGATACCTTGATCAGACCGCTGATCAGGGTATAAATGATGTGAGTCACGTATCGAACCTATATTCTCACATTTGATTAGCCCTCTTCTTTTGATTTATGTTATCATTTTCTCCTATACCTTCGCTGTAGGTAGCACGTCTGCTTTGATGAGATCCCATTTGTGCTTTCCTGTTCCATACTTGACTCCTACTCATGATATAAGAGATGGGATGATCATATAAGGAGTAGAAGGCGTACCAAGCCCCGCAACCACCACGTTTAAGATTGCGAAAATCATCGCAGCCACCATTATCCAGTCGTCCAAGCCAAACATTTTCACGATGAAGACCCTCGAAATCACGCGAAGACCCACAATGATCGCCGCGACACCTGTTATCGTGCCATTGATGATCAGCAATAGGGGCCCACGGTTTTCAACCTAGATGGACAGTTAGAGAAAGCCCTGGGGGAGACTGGTTTGCCTTTGGGACCTTCACTTGCATCGGATCGCGGCTGGAAGAATGTCTCCATAATATGTCCGACTCAGAATGAGGAAAAGTCATGAATTAAACCGCTATAGAAGCCCCATATCAAATGATTTCTATGCCAGGAACTTCAGGATCTTCAGGAATTTTTTTTTCCAGGTGCCCGGGGTAAATAGTATATAGGCGGCGACTCCGGGTGCACCCAATTGGCATGACTCTGTCAATGACGAATTGAAAGTCCTCGCACCCCCTGCCCAGCTGCGCCCAGATGCCCCCAATTGGTTCTCATCATATTATATTATAGAATATTCTGCCGGTCTCAAATCCTCCGGAAACCCAAAATTAACTTCCAGATATACCACTATGGCGTGTTCCATTCTGGCTTTAACTCTTTAGGGCATCTGCGATCTGACTATACTAGCAGGGAGCACCACTATATGACATGATTAGATACAGGCATAGCTGTAGCCTCTTAATGCTAAGTTCCAATGGATCTGTATAAGGTATGTAGGGGTGAAATGCCAATCTAGGGCTTATACGGACTGAGACAATATTGCCAAGACAGAATACTTCCGGCCCCCAAACAAGCCGGGATAGTAGTCGGGATTAATTTAATTTAAATATTATTATCGCTCCTGAGGTCCGTACGGAGCAGTACCTAAACAGACCACCGGCTTAAGCCGACTGCCAGCTTGTCAGAGGTCCGAATAGTCCCATATCTTGTTTTCACCTACGGAGTACTTTGTCAGCGGATGTTGCATAGATCCGGCGTTTTACCCCGACGAAGCAGACTGTAGGGAGCGAATGCCATTGTGAAATTGAAAAAAGGCGCTAAGCTCGGCACTATCACCAGTCGATAATAGTGATAGTCCAAGGCTGCCCGGATAATACCAAGTGCCGAATGGGTAACCGTCTTCGAGCCCCCCCCCTCCCCCAAACAAATCTCTCTCGTTATATTATTGTACGAACTATATCTACAAGAACCTGCTAGTAAGAAATGTCTAATCCACATTGGTTATAGGCACTTAGAATAAGGCGGTGAAACTCCACCATCCACGCGTCTCCCAATATTGCTGGGATGTTATAATCCTTGTGGAAATTAATGCCACTGTTAAATACCCTAGTTAGTACTTTGAATTGCTTTTTTGATTTCACACACTTCTCGACTTTCTAATTATATCCTGATGCCTTTTTTTCTGCAGAAACTCCTGCTGGGAATTCCTCTGGCATGTCTAGCTAGTGGCCATGCCATCACTGATTCTCTCGGCTCGAACTATAAGATCGATGTTCATTCCCATGTCGTTCCATCAATTTGGAAGGAGGAATTGATCTCTGCAGGCTTCCCAGTCAAGAATGGTACTTTGTATACAGATGGCTTCCCTGTCCCAGATTGGACCCTGGATACACACATTAGCACCATGGACAGCCTTGGGGTTAATTATTCGACAATCAGTGTCAGCGCCCCTGGCGTCTTCTTCCTAAAAGAGGCCCGAAAGGCCAAATCCTTAGCCCGCAGAATCAACCTCCTGCTTCATGGATACACTCGAACCTATCCAACGCGACTTGGAGCCCTCTGCCTTCTCCCTCTCCCTTACGTCGACGAGGCGGTTGAGGAGCTGAAGGTACTCTTCCTCTCCTAGCAGATCAACCTGCTCAAATCTAACTTGAAATTCGTAGTTCTGCCTGGATACTCTCAAGTTTGTCGGCGTGGGGCTGTACACCAACGCCAATGGCACGTATCTGGGCGACAAAACCCTTGACCCTATCTTCTCGGCCTTGCACAAACGCAATGCTAGTGTGTTTGTCCACCCAGCCTCCCCGGACTGCACATCTGTCGCCAATGGCTGGCCCATCCCGATGACCGAGTATCCTTTCGATACTGTGCGCGCCATTGAGAACATGCTGCTGACGGGTCAACGCGCGCAATATCCGGACATCAAGATGATCTTTGCCCACGGTGGTGGCGCAATCCCATTCCTGGCCACCCGAATCGCCGGAATGGCCTCCCTTCCCTGGTTGGGTGGACTGTCAGTCGTTGAATCCCTGGCGCAACTTGCCGGCTATTATTTTGATACCGCTGCCTCGACTTCTGCTATTCAGCTGACGGCGCTGAAGAGCTTTATTGGCACGGATCAGATTGTGACTGGAAGTGACTGTAAGTGGGCAGTGCCAGTAACGCCCCCGAAACGTGCAGCTGCAGTATTCTAACGCGTGCAGATCCGTACGTCCCTGTCTCGCAGGCATCGGCAGGATTATCTGCGATCAAGGGTAATGGTAAGTTTACCACGGTGGAGATGGGCCAGATCAATAATCTGAATGCCTTGACGATCTTCCCGCGGATTATCAAAGCTTTGAAGCTCCATTGAGATGTATATTAGGCATGGTTTGTAGATAGATTATCACTAACATAGAACACAAAAAGAGCTCTTTTAGCTCTGTTAATTATCGCATTCTTGATTAGCGAACTATTTTCATATCTATAATTCATTTTTGATTCTTCGTCTCCTGGCTCCCATTTCAAGTACTCATGCAATGTACAGGAGAGTCTTGAGTATGCATTAGGTCCTCGCTTGCGGAGCAGAGGTCCCCTTATTGAAGCAGGCTTACCCACAAAGCTTTGCGCCCAGATCAAAACAGATCACTAAAAGAATACATCTCTCGCTTATCTCCGTAATACTTTTGCTAAAGTGCATCTAACCAGGGGTGTCGCAAGAGGCCCTCAGCCGAAATCCGATCAGCAGGATTAATCTTCATCATCGCATGCAAAAAGGAGGCGAACTCATCCCTGACGCTTTGGTCGAGGCCTGGCATAAATGCTTCCGACGCCAGCTCCGGCCGATCCATTGGCAACGAGTCCTTGATCCGGCCATCGTCATCAAAGATATCTTGAACAATGTCCTTATTTCCTCTCTCCAAAAGCTCCCTAGGGAACGGCCCAAACAGGTCCACAATCTCCCCCAAGTGTTCCTTGAGCTCGTAATGGCCGTCTGGCGGGACTGATCCGCTGAACATGCGAACCGCCTGGAAGAGTTCGAGCACGACGCACCCGAGGTTCCACCAGTCGGTGCTCGCGTTCCATGGCGCCTGGATCAGGACTTCGGGAGATCGGAGGGCTACGGGCTGGATCGTCTCGCTGAGATGTCGGTCTTCCCAGCTGGAGACGCCCCAGTCTCCGAGGGTGATATCAAATTCAGCGACGCGCGTACTGTCGGTATCGTTGAAGTAATAGCGGCGTAAGGGTGTTGAGGGAACGACTGAATACTGTTCCTCAGACCGATCCTTTTGAGGAATTGCAACATTGGCCAGATAGCCGGATTCTATAAGGGAAAAGTCCCTAAATTTGACGTAAATGTTATCCGGTTTGATATCTGATGGTGAATAAGAAAGATATTAGCATGTCAGAGCCATAAATAACCCAAAAAGATGAGAGAGAGCATCTCCTACCTGTATGAATAACATTATGGTCGTGAGCAAAATCAAGCGCCAGTAGGAGTTGAATGGTGAACCTCCTCATCACCGAGTTCGGAAGTCTGCTTTCGACGAACCAAACACCAAAGCTCCGTAGCGTCTCGCCCATCAGCTCAAAAACAAAGCAGACGTGAATCCCATTAGGTCCACAATGCTCAAAGTCATCCAGCAGATGGCAGACGTGCTCATAACCCAGCTGATCGCGGTCACCGTCCCGGAGATGAGTCAAGATCTCTCGCTCGAAGATGGGAGCTTGCGTGCCATCATAGCACTCTGCGCTGAGCACCTTCAGAGCTCGGAACTCATTTTCAATGCCAGGTCTGTTTGGGTGTGTTATCTCTATTTATTCCCTTTTTCTAAAAGGAATCTACTTACTGTGCTGGCTGTAGGTCTCTGACAAGCCAGACTGTTGAATAGACACCATATCCGATCTTATTGAGGACTTTGTACCGGTCTTTAAACACATCGCCGATATAAACAGGATGAAACCCTCCTGGTCGGTACACCTGCGTGCCCTCTTCGATATTACTGTTGGTGTTGTCGGGCATCTCGGAGGATCGGACCCAAGGAGAATAACTCGACGTTTTGCAAGTTCGTGATGATAGTTGAAAGGTTAAGGCTAATCGCAATAGCAGCATACAATAACGTAAACAGGCAAGTAGACTCGGTTCGTAGGACACTGATTCCCCCTTGAGAAGAGTGTCGCTTCGTCCAAAGGAGGCTAGCATTGTTCGGCACCAAAGAGATCAGCAGGTGACTCTGCTGGGTCAGGCATTTTGATTAAAATGACAAAGTTGTCCTGTGAAGAGAAGAAAGACGAAGATCAGGATTGATCCCAGGATATAAACTCCAACATCACACTATGACAAAGGAGGCGACACTACTCCCGATGAGGATATGCTAATGCTGTGCTCGTCGCGTCGGTCGTACATTTGATATTATCAGTGTTCAAGGTTCCGACTTATACGGTAGGGCGCAGATTCTACTCTAGATATTTCTTACAATGATGTGCTATAGTCAAGGGATATTGATATTGTTGGCTCGACTGTAATAATTTACAGTGAAATAAGACCAATACAGAAAATAGACACATAGGACAACCTCCATCCGACTCATCCTAGGTTAGCTCTGCAAGGGCAGCCACTTTCTGTAAAACATGTTGTAAAGTCGGACCCGAGTAGGTGAAGCTCAAATCCTCCCTACAAGCAACGCACAATTGCCACGGACGATATAGTCTCTTGTCTGGGGATTTTTCCATGAGTTGGTATTCCGGAGTCCTCCGAAAGCTCAGAAACTTATTCACTTCAAGTACACCATGCAAAGTCACACTGTCAAGTTGGTACACACCTCCACCCAACTCGCGGAGAATGGACCGCCAGCCTCCAAACTCCAGTTGCACAAAATGAAAAGTAACACGGCGCAGAGAATTCCGAATACTGTAAAGGAAGATCCCCAAAGCAGCCGAAGATGCGAATGACATCCGCGAGAAGGTCAATTCTTCAAGTTCCGGCAAGCATCCAACAAACGAAAGCTGAGAGAGAAGTGAGGTGGATTCGCATCTCCAAGTAAAAAGGATCGTCAGCTTTCGGAGCGATTTGGCACATTGGATCATTTTCGCCATCCAATCAATATTCTCAGCCTTGGTATCCGGGATCGCAAGGCTCAGTTCCTTGAGGTGGGTAAAGGCCGGGATCCCAAAAGCGGTGATATTATATTGCGTTAGGTTGTCCTCGTGGGCTCTGCTTCTGAATTTCATAATGTCGACCGAGAATGATTCCATCGGAATGTCTTCGGTAGCTATGGCTTCGAGAACAAAACCGGTGGCCTCGTCAAGTGTGATGGCATCGTCGCCGAGATAGGGTGTTGTATGGGCTGAATTGCGCAGCTGGAAAGATCGGCAGTTCACCAGGCGTTTCATCACATCCCGCCATGCCTGAATATATGTTCCTTTTGATGTGGTATCGGGGGACAATGGTCCCAGACAACCTTTTGAATCCCTGACGATGTCTAACTTGCGGACACAGGGGGCAAATATTTCATCATTGACTGCTTCCTCGACCCGGGCAAGTGACTTTGGTGAAAGATCGGTCTTTAATGTGTGCACAAAAGTTTGTGCAAAATGGCGAAGGCTGCTCTGGTACATCGCTCGGCAGGTGAGTCGAAGAGCGCATAGATCAGGAGACTCGGTAAACCTGGCGATGTCCGCCAGTAGTTCAACTGGGAGACTATGGATACCCGACGCGTGCGCTGTGTCGGTGCCCATATTTAACTGAGGAGTAGGTGACTTGATAAGAAAGGAAGAAAGGGAGTTAGAAAAAAGGCACTGGTATAGGGTTCGTAGGAAGCGAATAAGAGATAGTTGGATGAAAGATAGTTGGATGAACGATAGTTGGATGAACGATATTTGGATGAGTGATGGTTAGATGAAAGAGAATGATAGTGAGTTGGAAGAAGAATACGAAGAATCAAGAAGAATAGTTGGACAGTGGAAGATAAATAACGAAATCGAAGCTCCGGTCTCGTTTTAGGAACTAGAAGGTCTATTGATAAAGGCAATATAAGAGCGAAACATGGGTCATCAGACACACATCAAGGCCGCTCCCCGATTTGGTATATAGGGCATCATGGTCACATGAATTGAACTGTCCAGCGTATATAGCTCCATTACCAAACTAGGACATAGTGGAGCAATAACACATAGCAGCCGATGCAAAAGAGGGCAGAGTAAAAGACGAAAATCAAGTTCATATTAGGCCATAGTTAGTTAGGGCGATAACTAGTTAACTAACTAGTTAGGTTAACTATGAATGAAGGCCTGGGTTATCAGGCATGTGTTCAGGCAAGCATATAAAACAAGCGAGATGGGCATAACCCTTTCCCTGTTATGATTTGATGCCAACATGATAATACAAAGTGGTGAAAGGAAATTGAACCGTTTTTTTCCCACTGTGGAAGGTCCAGTTGGTGAGGTCAAGATTTGGTTGATCCAGCAGCTGCCAGGTTTCCTTTGCAGTGCGGGTTCGGAGACAGGATATAAGTCCATCAATGAAAATAGTCAGAGGCGCCACGGGCAGAATGAATGTGAAAAAGAGATGGATCGGCGAATCCCAGTACCAAACAAGAGTTACAAAGAAAGTCCAGAAGAAGACCAAAGGCGAGCATAGACAAGTCCAAAGATCGCGTGATGTGATTTCGAATATGCTAATGGGAATCGAATTAGCTTATAAAACAAATGATATTAACGGAATGATAACTTGCATAAACGAGTCAGCGGTCTCAATTGCACTCTTTAGAATACCCGCCGCATCTTCATCTCCAAAGTGGTGGAAACAGATGTTGAAGATCCGACACTCTTTTTTCGAACTTGCTGCATATCGAGGAACAGCTCGAGCATCCACCGGGCTCTCGATATACGTGACGTTCTGCTGCTTCTTCGAGATTCGCTCCCACTCTTCAATATGGGGGTAAAGATCGCTCAAAACAAACTGAACAGGGCCCTTCCCCTCGGACTCGAGTTCTTTATTGAGCTCTGATTCGAGGACTGGGGTAGGCCCACCGGCACCGGCACAGATATCCAAAACTGTGTACGAGGAAATATCTTTCAGGTGCTCTTTGAACACTGCACATGCCTGTTTGGCGAGACTTCCACGGCTCCACCCGGGAGCTTCAAGATTCCACAGTTGGGTGAGAACCAGTTGCTCGTGCCGGTGAAGCCATGAGGGGCACCAGGTTTGATCGCCAATCTCTAGAAGATGTGATCGAGGCCAAGATAGTAGCGGCATTATGTGTGTTTCAGACGTTTGCGAGATGAGTTGTCTAGTGAAAGAACCCGAGATGGGCAGGGAAATCGCTCAGTCACGTGCTGTCACACAGACTTTGGTATCACTTTTCAAGAAACAAAAACACAGCGACAGCAGAATATGTTCCGTTGATTGCTTGATGTCTCTGGAAAGTCGTGTTACCTTGGATATTACGCGTGGTTGCATCTAGCGCGACCTTGGGATGTTTGCCCTAAAATCCACAACTCCATTAAAATATATAACTTCCATCTTTAGATTGATAAGTCTCATGACATTGTAAAAGACTGATCTTGTCACCCATGGAATAGACCTGAAGTCCTAAATATCCATGGATATATTGTCTGCATACGAAATGCACGGTGGTCTCAATCCAAATCCCCACTAATCCTAATTAGGAACCCAACGCAGTCCGGGGAACATCACTTTGACATCAACGGAGATCATGAAGGTTGTTATTGTCGGCGGGGGTCTAGGCGGCCTGGCCTGTGCAATCGCCTGTCGTCGTGAAGGTATTGACGTGGAAATTCTCGAGCGGTCCCCGGAAGTCCACGAAGTTGGAGCAGGCATCCAAATCCCGCCAAATGGCGGTAGGATAATGTGCGACTTTGGCCTGCTTCCCCAACTACTGGAGCAAGGAAGTCAGGTGCAACAAGTGGATTTCCGGAGGTACAAGGATGGTCGTCTTCTGCGATCAATGCCATTTGGGGACGATATCACGGAGGAATTCGGGGTGCCGTGGATGTACGTGATTAGCCTAGCCCTGATTTTTACAGACTCTTAACCCCTTTGCAGAGTTATTCATCGGGTGGATTATCATCGCATCCTTCTTGATGAAGCGATCCGACTTGGTGCGTTCCTTCAACTCGGGGCAGAAGTAGAGGATATTCACACCGAGCAGCCAGCCGTTCTTCTCGCTGACGGGAGATGCATATCGGCAGATGTTGTGATTGGCGCTGATGGTACGTTAATATACCTTTTGTCAGCTATATCTTTGACTGTCTCTGACAAGAAAAGGCCAAGTGTCTACGGTCCGAAGGGCTGTTCTTGAATCACCTCATTCTCCAGTCCCCACAGGCGACATGGCCTATCGAGCAACATTTTCACGAGAGCAGCTGGAGGCTTTGCATGATGAAAAAGTAAATGAATTGTGTCAGAAAATTGCAGTGACAAGCTGGCTGGGGCCGGAGAAGCATACTATTTTCTACCCTCTTCGTGGTGGAAAGGAGTTCAATCTTGTTCTCATGCGGCCCGATAACTTATCATCGGACTCTCGCAGAGAGCAGGCAGACCTCAAAGAGATGCGAGAGAGCTATGTCGACTGGGATGAAACGTAAGGACCGCCGTGGTAGTTGACTCCAATTTCTACTAATATGTTTCTCGCTTTTCTAGATTGCAAAAACTGGTCTCTTGCGTGCCATCGGTATATAAATGGAAACTGACACATCTATCTGAGCTGGAATCGTGGACCAAGGTCGGTACATGACTATGTCCTTCCAGTCATGAACCTGCTAACTGGGAGTCACTAGGGATCTGTTGCTTTACTTGGTGATGCCTGCCACCCCACTCTACCATATCAGGCACAAGGGGCTGCAATGGCCGTTGAAGACGGAGCAGTCATCGGCAAGCTTCTTGGCCTATTGCAGGCTCATTATCTGGACCCAAGAAACTCTGGAAACGACCCCTCAATATCAACGCGATCTTCAGCTCAAGACCTCACAGCTGCTGTGCTAACTCTCTACGAAAAATGCCGGAAATCACGCACAGCCCGAAATGTTCAAGGAGCAATCATGAATCGAAAGCTTTTTCACATCGCAGATGGCTTTTTGCAGATGATTCGGGATTTCCTGTTGGGATATGCAGGAGTTACCCGGAAAAGCGATTGGACTTGGCTGTCTTCATTCCGACAGGGGCAAACCCTTGGTCTAGATGTGCTGCAAGATTGTGAAAAGGTCTTTGACGAGTGGAGATTGACACTTTAATTGCACATCATGTGGTGATAGATACCGGTGTGTACTTATCATCGTAGCTTCTACCGTTTCCTTTAGCAAGATTCAAAATTAGCGAACTATTTTTAGTCCTGTGGATTGTGTATATACGGAGACCAAATGTCAATAAACATCCAAATCTATAGATCCATATACAACCCCCCCATACTCGACTTCCATACATACTACCATGGAAGCCAAATCCAAATCTCAAAGCCCATCAATAATCCAAAATCTCTAGATAAAATATACACCAATTATAGATCCAAACAACCTATATAACATCGAACCTGAAGCCTATCCAAAAGCTAAGCCCCCTCCCGCATCCCGACCAAAATACACCCGGCACCCATCATCGCAGCCCCCAACCACCAAAGCCCACCAACAGCCTCTTGGAACACAACCATCCCAAACAGCGCCGTCGCCAAGAAATTCGACGCCGTATTCGTGATGGAGACTTTGACCGTCGAGGGGCCGGCTGTTAGCGCGCGTGTGAAGAGTGCCCACATAATTATGTTGCAGACGACGTTTAGGCCGAGGCAGGCCTGTGGAATAGATATGGGTTAGTAACAAAATCACAGTATAACACACAGTTATACGTGTATTTTGTAGATGGAGGATAATCTTTGGGCTTGGGTTTGAAGAAGATATTCCGGATAGTCCAGATATAAAGAGAAAAAGGGTGTAAACATACACCTCTAGTAAGCATCTCAATCACAGGCGATGACTCCAGACCGAAGAGGTGGGCGAGGGATTGTGCGAAGGCCGTTGTGTGGTCGTCCGTGGTTCTGTGGAACGTTAACGTGGTTCCGGGTTACACGGATCGCACCTGGGCATAGCGTATAGCTTAAGCTTATATAGCTTGCGTATATAGAGAGCATTGATCCGACCCTGAGTTATAGGGTAAACAATCCACGTACAATTTCGCGAAAACACCGTTCAACGCAGCGAAGGCACCGCTCGTTATTGCGAGGATGATCCAGGGGGATCTGGAGGATTGAGGGATTGGGTGGGGCGTTGAGATGGTCATGGCTGCGTTGATGTATAATTGTATATCCGGTGGTATATTCAGCTCTTTTTGTAGGATTGTAGGCTATATCCAAGTAGCGTAGGACTCAAAGGCTAGGTATTTCGGAGTGACGTTGGAGGTGTTCGCGCGCCAAGACTGATAGTGATAGGATTGCGATAAGCTGATATGGATGATCGACGCGAAACATCACATAGCTCGAATAGCACTTGTTCAATTGAAAGGCTAAGTAGCAATACCACCTGGGCAGTAGATATGCAACTAATCCACATCTATGTCTACGGCGACAGCCTCTGAATCCGCCACTTAGCACCCTCTTCCTCCCCCTCAACACGCACATACCGGAACCGATCATGTAAACGACTCCTTCGCCCCTGCCAGAACTCCACAGACTCAGGCACAAGCCTCACACCACCCCAAAACGGCGGCAGGGGAATATCCTCAACACCAGCAAACCTCTCCTCCATCTCCTTAACCTTCAACTCGAGCAACGCACGCCCATCCTCAACATCCGTCTGCTCAATATCAACCGGAATAACCGAGTCCCCATCCTCAACCACCCCCTGCAACCTCGCCACACTCTTCCGTCTCTGGTTAATCTCCAACTTCTCCGGCTCCGCAGACCACAAAACCTTACTCTGCCAACTCGCCCACCCCCCAATCCGACTCCCGCGCTCACGCGTCCGCCAATACATCTCGCTCTCCTCCCGACTAAGCGGCTCAAGCAGTCCCTCAATACGAACCTGCCGCTCAACAGTCGCCCAGTTGAACGTCAGCGCGCCCCATTTATTTCCCGACCCCATCTCAGCCGTGAGGGTAGGTTGCTCCTCTGAGTCCGGTTCCGGCATGGCGTCTAGTGTATCCCCGCTCTCGCTGAGCCCGAATACTTGTCCGCCTTTGCCTTCCCGACTACCCCAGTTGCTGTAGACGACCCACCCGCGCTCGTCGAGTTCTTTGAGGTATACGACGCGCGCGCTGACGCGGCCTGAGGGCATCGAGGCCGTTGATAGAGTGCATGTTTCTGGGGCGGAGGAGGCTGGGAGACGTGAGTCCCGGAACCAGGTGTTGAATTGGTGCAGTGGGTTTGTGCCGTGGATTTGGGAGATGGTTAATGGTGGATTTGTGCCGAATTGGTGCGCACGTGCTGCGCTGGAGAGGACTTCGGTTTCGGGTATTGTGGAGGTTGGCGTTGAGGTTGAGGAGCGGAGGGCTTCTGGTGCGGTTTGGTCGGTGGTTGGAGTGAGGATTGCTTGGGGTTTGGGTTCTGGGATAGGCTCGTCCGAGGTTGGTGCAATGTCGCCTGGTGCGACTTTGGGGATTGGTGTGTTAGCTTGAGGTTTGTATAGGTGGGGGAGGATTTGGTCGGATCTTTGTGTGGAGGGGATGGTTTGATGTGTAGAATTACATATTAGCTTCTTCGGACGCCGGTGGGCGTCTGTATGGTGTTCGTTTTGGTCCATTGCTGGTTTTGGATTGCTAGGTTGGTTGGTTGAGGAATGTCGAAGTTGGCGGGGTTGGCGGGGAACAGGGCGGAGGAATGAGTCAACGGCTGAACGGAGAGTGAAGGGTAAACGAGTCTGCATTAAAACGGCCAGGGGATGAATTAGTGTAATACCTCATTGCCAGGGGTTTGAAGAAGTAAAAGTCCCTGGAAGCTGTGAGTTCCGTTGGACCTATAAAATACACATGTGTGTTTTGGTTTCAGCGGAAACTTCCGAGACGTCATGCCATTTCTTCGGATAATAACATATAAAAGATTACCTACGTAGAGAACATATTTGAGTCATTCACTTTTTTTCATTTTGATTTTTGCGTCTATAACGCGGTGTGAGAGCTGAGATGTGTCTATGGACAGAAAAAAAATATCACAATGGTATACAGTGCTTCAATGCACGACGCCCTTTTTGATCGCCAAATAAACGCCGAACCTTCGCTGGATGCCAAAATATATAAACAAAAAAAACAAATAATAGATATCCCACCAGGTATAACCAACTGCCGCCCTGCAGACGCCGAACCGGAAATTTCCCAACACAGGGATCCAGCCCTGGCAGAGATTGTAGGGGTGCAACACAAACATTAAATGGGTATCACCTGGTCACAAATATAGGCAAGAGAGATTAGAGAGATGAGGAAGCTCCACCGATGAGATCAACGATCTTGCCGGCCACCGCAGAAGGGTATCCGCGCGACATCATCTCCTGGACGATGGTAGCGGCACTAGCGCGATCGTCGGCGCTCAGGAACGCACGGGTCATCGCTTCGTAGGTGCTGGGCTCTCGCTTCTGAATGCCGATGCTATCGTAGATAGCCTTGGCCTTGGAGACGTTGCCCTCGGCGGCCCAGCCGTGGATCAGCGTGTTGGCAATGTAGGCGGTCATCTCGACCTTGCGTGCGAACATGTTCTGGACGACTTCTTCGGTGTCGGTGACGCGGTGGTTGGCGACCATTGACTCGAAGAGGGCTTGGTAGAGGCATGGCTGGAGGCGCACACGGCGGTCGGAGACGACGGTGTCGAAGACTTTGCGCGCGCCAGCGAGGTCGTGCAGGACACAGCCCTTGGCGTGCACTAGCGAGGCGTAGTGAACGGCATCCGGGTGGTGGCCTGCGGCCTTCATGGATTCCAGCACAGCTTCGGCGGCGGCCATGTTCACTGGCTCCAGGGAGGCGTGAGCGTCAATGAGAAGCTTGTAGGTGTGTAGGGTGGGCTGGATGTTGCGTGCCTGCATGCGCTCGTAGTAGGCTAGGACTTTGTTGATGTCGCGCTTGGTGTTGAGGAAGTACTGGATCATGGAGTTGTAAGGCGCGGGGCGCGGCTTGTAGTTGGGCATGGACTCCATCTCTTCGAACATCTCCTCGGCGAAGCGCTCGTCGCTCACACGGCAGAGAGCATTCACAATGGTTCCGTAAGTAACACTTGTCGGACGCACGTTATTGGCACGCATCTCGGCGAAGTACGCAAGGCAGTCGTCAATGCGGCGGGCCTTGCCCAGCTTGCCGATCAGCGCGTTGTACAGGAAGGAAGTGGGCTCCACGCCTTCAGCGACGGCACGGTGGAAGACCTTGAGGGCCTCAGTAGCCTCGTCGAAGGTCTTGGTAGACTCCTTCAGGGTGGTGATGTACAAGCCGAAAGTGTTGGCCGAGGGGGCGGAACCGAGAGTGAGAAGCTCCTGGTGGTACTGAGCAGCAAGCTTGCGGTCGCCAAGGGTGAGGCAAGCAGCAACCATGGCATCAAGAATGGAAACCCAGCCGTATTTGACAACGCTGAAGTTCATATCGAGGGGAATATCGGTCCGTGCCATGCTGTGAATGTCGTGAGCCAGGGTCATGCGACCAGCCTTGGCCGCGGCGGTTATCAGCTTAGCGTAGGTGATGTAGCGCGGGTGACGACCAATGCGGCGCATGTTGTTCAGACGAGTCAGAGCCTCATTGAGGTGAGTCTCAGTGCGCCCACTAGTCTTCTCAAGCTCCTCTGCGATGATCGCGGATCCGCGGAAGTCGGTCGCGTGAGCATACGGATCAAACGATTCGGGAGCCGCAGACGGGGTGGTGATCGAGGTCTCTGCCATAGAGACAGGGCTTTGACGATCAGACGAAAGGAACATCTGAGAAGGCGAAACGGAGGTCTGGGAGCCCTCCAGATAATCTTGCCACTTCTTGACGACATCTGGGCGACTGACAAAGAGCTTGCCAACAGCCTGGTCGACGAGGCCGGTGGTGTAGACATCCAGAGGGAGGGAAGAAGACAGGGCGACGTCAAGCATGTGTGCAAAGCGAACGGGGTGAGCAACATCGAACAGCATGGAGCCGCTGTTGACCAGCATGCCAGCCTGAACTTGGAGCGCCAGGGTGAGGTCGGCAGCCTTGAGCTGGGAGATACCAATGGGGCCAAGGTTGGCGACAGCGTGTTCAGCGAGAGGAGACACTAGACCACCGTTCTCTAGCATGGACCACAACAGTGTCATAGACGATTGAGGGGAGAGAACCGCGGTCGACTGCATAAGGACGCGACCAAAGAGATGGAGTGACTCGGTAATCTGTTCTCTGACGGGGTTGGCGACGGCAGCGTGTTGATCTTGGGTGGCGCTGCGGATACGCTTGAACATGTGGCGGGCCTGGTGAAGACCTTCCTCGACATGTCCACTCTTGAGCAGAGCGACCGCGTACATAGCTGTCGGCTGGACCAGATCCGGGGTTGCCTGACCCACCGTGTTCAGCATGATCCACAAGGAACGGGCAGCCGAAACATTGCCCAGGCGGATTTGGAGGGCCAGAAGCGAAATGGCTGGGTTCTGTCGTACGTCAGGTGCCGTGGGCAGACTATCGTAAGCCGCAGAAGCGGTGGGGAGATCGCCGGCATCGGCCGCAGCGATACAGATGCGAGAAATGGCCTGATTCCGAGCTTCATCATGCAACTGATCCTTGGCCTGGTCCAATGCCTTGCTGTGGTTTCCCGTGTTGAGCGAGTGTTGCACAAGTGCATCCTCGACAATCACAGCTTCCACTGCAGACCATCGGTCCTCGCGACCTTCGGTTACCTCGTCGAACGAAGAACGAATCCGATCAAGGAACTGCGTGGCACCCTCCTCTTTACCACAGGACAGGTACGCACGGATCAAAGCAGCATAGACCTGGCCGTCCTGGCGTTGAACGATACTGAAGACGCCGCTGTCATCGGAGACTGCGAGCCCTCGGTACTCGTTGTAACATTCAACGGCACTCCTGAGATCACCAGAGGAAGCGAAGGCGGTGATCATGGACGGGAAGATAGTGGCATGCGGAGTCATTTTCTGCGATTCCATATGGGCGTAGATCCGGATCATATCCTCCACCTTACCTTCCTTGGCGCAGGCAATGATAAGGTGACGGTACATCTCGAGCGGGAATACAAGTCGGTTGTGTCGCACCGTGGCGGTATCAAAGAGCTTGACAGCGATGGACAGGGAAGTATCCTCGGCGAGAAGGTCCCGCTCTAATTCACTTGACTGAAGCATGAACTTGCCAGGCTCTTCCATACCACCGAATCGAACGCGTTCCTGCTCCAATGCCTCCTTAGCCTTGATGATGTCGTGAGCCCGGGTGACCAGAAGCTGAACGAGAGTCTCATAGGTATCTTCATCGGGAATTACCCTTCGACGAAGCATGTCAGAGTAGACATCGAGGGCCTTGGGGATGGCCTGAGCTGCATCAGGGTGAAGACGGATGGCAGCGAGCAGCAGGGCATTATATGCCCCGACAGTCGGAGTAAATCCCTCTCGGAGCAGAGTCTCGAACGCAGCGGGAATTTCTGCAAAGTTGGTGGAGTTGGCCAATCGCACAATGCGATCCGAAGCAATCTGGTTGGCTTCAGACACAGCTTCCGAAACGGCAACTTCCTCAACAGTGGGTTCAACACTCGCTTCTGCCCCCAGCGCAGCCTCCTCGGCCTGTGCCTGCTCCTCCTGAATGCGAATCTCACGAGCCACAGCCTCCTCCACTTGCGCACTAACATCCTCGTTCACGGCAGCCTTGGTAGGATGGGGGGTGTTAAGATCGGACGCAGCCCGGTCTTCGTGAACGTTGTCAGCCTCCTCCGCCGGCTTCCAGCCAATACGGCGCTTGAACTCGAACTGGGTCCAATCGCTATCATCACCGGTCTGCTGGGCGTTCTGCCATGCGGCGTAATAGGCAGCTAGACCGAGATCTCCATTTCCTGATCCTCCCTGGCTTGTCTTGGCACCAGCGCCGGATGAACTGGACGCATTGGAGAAAGCATTCTGCAATTGGGTTGTGCGGGAGAACTTGGCAGGTTGGGCGGCGAGCGGGTTAAAGGGGGTTGTCGACGCGTAGGACTGCGACGCGGCGACTACGGATTGAGCATAGCCGTGAGTAAAGGCTTTGGTGAAACTCTGGCGCGCGAGGTGGGTGAATGGTTTGAAAACCATTTATCTGATGGGTAACCTCTTTAAAACAAAGAGGCAATGCTGGACAAAAAGTCAGTGTTAATCATTCATTCTCACGTGCTTTTTTTTCGTACCTTGCACTCAAGATAATAGCGAAAGTGCAGGTTCATTTGACGACAGCCTGTCGCCAATGAACGCGCAAATGCAAGATTAAGATAATATTATTAAAAAGGACCTGTTGACAGGGCCCGAAGATTGTGTGAGAGAGAGTATGGAAGCCTGAAAAAAAAAGAACGAGGGGGAAGAGTAATAAAAGTAATAATATTACATTCAGTTTCTGGAAGGAGATGGAGTTTCACAGTGGAGCAGTTGGTTAGGGCCGATCTTCTCCGGAGAATCCTCTTGAAACTACGTAGCATTTATGACTGCTCCGCCTCATTCCTCAGATTTCCTACGTATCCAACTCTTTACGAGATGTTTGTACTGGTACATTGATGCGTTGTATCTGGCATATCAGATCCTCCCTATAACGCGGGGTTTTCCCATCGGGTCATCTCGAGGATACATCGGGGGCAAGTATCCAGTACTGCCGTACTTCCATAAGCTGAACCCAGAGTTAAAACGTCAAACTGGTCAGGTGGCTGAAAAGTCGAGGTACTAGATAGAACACCAATCAACATCAAGCCATTCCCTTGAAACCTTGGAAAAAGGGGGGTCCCGTGAAGTGAGTCACGTTTTCCTTCCGGTTCTTTTTCTTTTGTTTCCTTCGGAACTTTCTCTCCTTTCCCCGGTCCGGCGATTCGGCCCCCCGTCTGGCCGACTCGGATTTAACGGAGGGCAGAAAGTATGTAGGCGGTCAGAGATCTGGCCTTTGATTTGATTTGTCAACCCCGGAAGGGATTTTTCGGTTTGGTTTTGAACAGGGATTTTACGCATGCGCTTTCCCACACATATCGGCTTTATGATCATTGTCTTTGATTCGACATAGTCGACGTCAGATCGAGGTGCATTGGCTCATTGTTTGGGTCTGAAAATACCCAAAATCGGACTTCTTCGACTGTTGAGATCTCACATCTTGCACCCGTGGCCGAGCACCTACCATAGCCACTACAAATGAGACTCTGGTCTTTAGTGTGGCTTGGAAGGTGTCCGGTTCTCAATGGGGTATTCCCCGGAGAAACACCAGTCCTGGTAGACCGATTTTGGGTGATTTTCAGGCTCAAACGACGAGCTAATCTACCTTGTTCTGACCTTTTTGTCTTTGACATGGTGCTTATCCTCTAGGATAGAGAGTTGAGTTTGAGAGCACTTTTCGAGGGTAGTTCACTAAGAATAGTCAATCAAGCACACTGCGGTGCGGTCTGCATGAATTATATTGAAAAACATCCTTGCATATCCCCTAGGCACCAAGGTAAGATATGACAGTCCATGTCGGGCGACCGAGTGATTTGAACATCGGGCTTTGTTCTCAAAGGTGCACGAGGTCTTGTTGCGGTGCTGCACTGAGCAGGGTGGGGTGAAACTGTTGTTATGGGTTGCATTCCAGATCTAGCTCTATCAACATCAAATTAGTGATACCGGGTATTCTTTTCACCACCAGTGAAGGATTGGCTGGCGATTTCATCTCTCCAAAACTATCACAAATGTGTTGCAGGTACTACATACAGTCTTGCAGCTATATATATGAGACATTTCAATCGACCACAATGAGTGAGAGCTCTATCCAGTATGTATTCGTATCATAACTTCTCTTATTGATTTCACAATTGCATCACTAAGATAAAACAAGTGATTCAATGACCTCTGACACTGTAGCAAGCAATGAAAGATAGATACTGCATTCGATATGGACACGAGTCGTAGCCCGTAACAGTTCAGACAAAACGACAATCACGAGTGCTGCGGCGTGGACTTTCTATCTTGCACACGCCTATATTCGGCAACTTGGATTTGGCCGTAGTTCGGATTCCGTCGTGCATCGTCTCCCCTCGAATGGCCGATTGTCGCATAGCTTTGATTGCCACCCTCAGCTTGGTCTGTCCAAGCACTCCGCTGACAGAACCCCACCCAGTACCTCTCCAGAAGCCACGTTGAAGTCGTCGATCAATGCTTCCACGGGGTATAGCCCGTATCAGCTCATGTAGGGCGTAGGGCGTGGAACTCCGCCAACTTATGGGCATGATGCGACAAGCCATGGCAACCGAGCAGGACTTCATAACGCGCCTAGGCGTAGAAAGGAGCTTGGCGTACGCCGCCATGGCCATGAAAAATTACTATAAGACACACGTCAGACAATGGTTCAAGCCTGGCGATTACGTGTACCTTCGTCTGGGTCATGGATATGATATCCAAGCTAACCAAGGCTTGCCCAAGAAGCTCGCCCAACGCTTCGACCTATCGACATTGACAGCTCCGACGATCTCCAAGTTATTAAAGAAATAGCCATCTAAATCACCACGGAGCACGGTAAAGCTGCCTTCGGCGACACTCAGGCCCCCATCAAGTAGGAACAGCGCGAAGATCCACCCAACGAAAATCCAGATAAAGAGCAAAACGAAGACAGTGCTTCCGATGACGGACTCTACAACTAGGGTCACAGCTTGTCCTTCTCACCTAACGGCTCTATGCTACTGATTTACGGCTTTGACTCCCTTCAAGGACCGCCGATTGCCTTCCACAGATTCAACATTGTTAGCTTGGCTCCCCTTATTTGCTTTGTTTTTGGCGTTTCTACGCCCATTTCTTTGCTATCTTTATGGCTTTCTAAGGCCCATTTATGCACTGTACCGGCTTCTACAGCCAGACTATGACGACGAGGAATACGACTACGAAGGATCGTATTACAGGGACGCCGACGTGGACGGCGAGCCCGACTACAGTCAGAACCAAGGTGACGACGATCCTGTGGCCCAAACTTGCTTTCCTTTCATTACAGTCACTTGCCTTAATTGTGACGGCAGCTTTGACTCTAGAAATAAGCTACATAAACATCTGATATAGTGCAAGCCGCAAGCTGTCAGAAAGTGGTTTGAGCCTGGCGATTATGTGTACCTCCGCCTAGGCCATGGATACGACATCTAAGCCACTAGCTTGCTAAAAAAGCTAGCCCATCGGATCGTCGGACGGTTTAAAGTTCTCGAGCATATGGGACGTTTGGTATAAAAGCTGGACTTCCCGTCTTCCTGGCGTACCCACCCGGTAATCAGTGTCGAACACCTAGAGCCGGACCCTCTAGGAGACGACCTTTAGGAACGAAGTCCCAAACCAGCCCAGCTGTCACCAATCGGGCCCCAAGCTGTGTATAGCCTGATAGAAAAGCGGACTCGCCCTATTGGCCGACCTCGTGCAGACGGTATAGGAGCCACTCGCATGGAGTACCGCGTACGCTTCTAAGGAAGTGGAGTAGCAGACGACATATAGATCAACGCTGCTGACCCTGCGTACCGCGAGGTCTTCGCTGCCTACGAACAGGCACAAGGTCGGGATTTGAGGGATTTGAGGGTGCCTTGAATTCTGGTTGAGGTTGAGGTTGAGGTTGAGGTTGAGGTTGAGGTTGAGGTTGAGGTTGAGGTTGAGGTTGAGCAGCGGTTCCTAGGCTCGATTGAGCACCTTCCACGCCTGGTCTGGGCTTGGGTGTTACCTCGATGGAGAGGCTTAGTGATGATAGGGTAGAGAGTTCGTCTGAGGTATGGCTTGGGTCAGGCTGTTAGATGTCTGGGTTGTGGGAGCTTCGGGGCGGAGCTTGGCCGGCCTCTGTAGTGGTTAGGATGTGCAGAATAGTAGACGAAGGCGCCTCCGTAACTCCCTTGGAAGTGTTAGGTGCTGAGGTTTTGAGTGGTGATGATAGGCCGTATGGGCTCGGTTGAGGTTGACCCTGGCTGGGGTTGCTTCTTCCTGCCAAGCGGCTTGGCTGGTTCAGAATCGGATGGTTCCGCTGTAGAATGGATTAAAGCAGCAACTTTGAGGAATTGAGCTGTCGCTTTGTATAGGCTTGGCCGATTTGGCTAATCTGGTGGAAATGGGTCTTCTGCCCGTGGTAGAACTGGGCGGTCAGCGTGCTACCTTTGCAGAAGGCTGATTCTCGTTCGAGTGTTAAGAGTCGAACTAGTCGGCCTAGCGATGGCTAGCTTGGATATAATTGCTGATTTGGTGGGTAAGTCGAATGGTAGTTTGTAGCTGGCGGTCTATTCGCCTTCACTGATTGATGAGATGCCGGCGATTGCTGGCTTGGTGGATGGAATTGGCTTGGAGCTAGGTGACTGGCTCCTCCGGAAACGCCCTACAAGCTGGTGGCGATTTTCCGAGCTTGAGAATTGAAAATTTTACTCAGGAAGACCCTCTAAGATGAAAACTAGACATACTAGCATATCTGGTACAAGTTGGTAGGTCGAGTAGGTATGATGGATTATCTACCTATGCAAGCTAGCTAAAGAAAGCGGAACTGGATTGAAGCCGCAGTAGCAATACAAAGCGAATAATTGAGAGACAGGCCCACTGTGTTGGAGCAGGGGTTCAATAATGGAGCAAAGAAAGCGGAACTGGGCTGGAACAGGACCGTGTAGGAAAGAAATTCAAAGTACGCGAGAAGTCAAAGCCTTGGAAGAGAGTATAGATATGGGCTAGGCCAAGCTAGCTAGTCATAGAGATCATCTTCTGATGTGCTGTCGATATCCTTGGGTTCATCAGCTGGGGCTTCATCAAAAAACCTTTTCGTCCAGGTCGTTCAATTCGTCAAGCAAGGCGCGCGGGATATCGGTCGACTTGTTTGATTTCCACCGTTCAATCCAATCCTTGCATATTTCAAGCATTTTCTTCCGATATTCGCTGTTTCTCGGGAGGTAGTAACGATCCAAGGATTTGGCATGGGCGTGGTGCTGTGTCAGTAACCGATTATCCAGCGGGAAACTATCCACACTTCAAGGCCATCCTGGATAGTGATGTGAACGGGGATAATCGACTGCTTCACGGAGAGATCATGACCATCACCGATATCATGGCTGCTAGTCTGAGGACTAAGTCGCTGCGCCCGCATATTGTTGCCCCGGTAAGACCTCCCATGGTGGATTCTAAAAATGATCTATTAATCTTGCTCTGGTAGATGCTGGTCGTGTCTCTCATGGGTCCTCGTCATGCCCGCGTCCTGGAGGCCGATCTTGACGGAGAGATTCTTAACATACGCGCTTCTAAGATGTACGATTTCACACTGTTGGACTATGTCGGTCATCCCATTGATGCCTTTGTCTAGTCATCTCATTGATGCCTCCATTTGTTTGCAGACTGAGCCTTTCTTTGTTTGGCAGGGTATAAATCCCCTGCTTCAGATAGATTGAATAGATCATGATTCTTCTTCTTCCTCTCTCTCTCCCCATAGTTAGCAGCCTCAACACACACGAAAGAACACTGATGTTGCGCAATTGCTGACGCGGTATTGGATCGGTGACACGTGCGGCAAGACTGTGATGGAAACCTCCTAGTTCAGAGGAGAATTTTGTTTAGGCTGGACACTGCAATCTGGTCCTGTCTGGTAATAGAAATCCAGCTCTTACGATGTATGATAATGAAATTGCTATCTCATGGACGAGCGTCGTTCGGGAAACGACGTCTACAACTTAAATTGCGTGGGATACAAAACAATTTTAACTGTATTTTTTATTCTAGTAGTCCCATCCATGGCTCCTATCCCAATATGGGGGTAGTCCTGCTCCCACCATGGGAGATTGCGGTCAGTGGCTCTGACTGGTCACTCTTTGGTGCCTTACGCCGAGCCTTGGAAGGCATTGAGCCTCAGCTACATATGCTCTTTGTTACAATTAGTGATAAAGGGAATGGGAGCCAAACATATTCTCATAAAAAGCAACATATAACACAAACGCGAACTCCATTTTACTCTCGCCAGCTTTAAAAGCCCCACTGTGCCAAATATCTCTCTAGCTTGCTGGCACTCTCAGCTTTCAACTCCTCCAGCTTCTCCGGTGACTTCTTCTCCAAAAAGGTGTCCATAAACCAATAGGCCTCGCACAAATCTTGAGAGAACCACCATATATCTGCTATATCTCCCGCTTTGTCGATCGTCGAGGGCTTTTTAGCTCCTACGTCAGACAAAGCATTATCCCATGCTCGAGCAAGTTTCCACTTGTATTCGCCAGTTGCGGCGGCGGCAGCCTGGCTGGACACCGCTGCAGACGAAGATGCAGCCTCAGTCTTGTTCCTGAGCTCAAACCCTTCCGGATAGTCGACCCCTTTCTCCAGAGATGGAAATCCTTTCAAGATATAGTTGCGTGGGGAATCAATAGGATCGTCGGAGCTTCCAGGTAGTAAACCATCTAGATCCCAGAAGTAAAATAGGTACTCGGAGATTGGCGCACCAATATGAGCGAGGTCGAAGTCTAGAACCGCACTTAGGCTGTTATTTGCGCGACAGAAGAGTAGGTTCGGCAGGCCTAGTATAAAATGACTGATGAGGTACCATATCAAATGTAGACGACGCCTTAACTAGACATACATAGTTAAATCTGCATGTATCAGAGTTGGCTTTTACTTAGGAATTTTATCCAAACGCTAGTCGAGCCCCCTAGTAAACGAAATCCTCTAATCGTTCCCGTAAACCAGGTATATCCCGCCACCCATTCAGATGAGCACTTTGGTCGCTTATTTTGAATTGCCAGACACACATTCCTCTCACAAATTGTGGATAGGTTTGGAACGGTCCACCACAAGGTAGCGTTGAGATGGTATTCACGATTTCACCTTGATCATCAGACGTCAGGCCACCATACATACATACTAACGGTTTCAGGGAGTCGATAAACCTGGAAAGCTTTAACAACCCGTGCTAGCTGGTAAAGTAGTGACTGCCGAGTGTTGTAATCGAGCGCAAGGATCTTACCCGGGCTTAGTGAGTCCCCTTCCATGAATTCTTCTAGGATCCAGCTAATAAACGACTCATCTTCTCATCCGAACACGCGCGGGATCACTGAGGCATCGATACCAGATAACGCATCGCGCGCTAAAGCGAGGAATGCAACTTCATTCCGAATTCGCACGGAATCTTTCACATTCACATTGTCCTTGGAGATTCGTAGTACCAATCTTGAGGTCCCTCCTGGGATTGCCGATGTATAGGGCTGTGAAAATCCACTCTCTGTCAGCGATAGCTCTGCAAGCGGCAGATTAAGGTGAATAAGGTAGACATGATTGTTTTTCGCCTTTTCCATGTCCTCGATTGTGAAATCATTCTTCCCGAAGTGCTCCGCAACTAAGGAGGTTACAAAATCATAATGCCGGCTCTTGGGGGTGGTCATAATGGTGGTCATAATAAGAGGTGAAAAGGGAGGGCGTGTTTCCTGATAATTCGAGAGTAGCGGCTTCAAAATTCATACCGTGCCGCCGTACTCCATCCTATATAGGCGGAAAGATTATAGGAAGTCCGACGGACACCGATATACTGTGTCGCGCTCCCGCTCATCCCTGGCTCAGCTGCGCATCAGATGATACTCAGTGAGTAACCCGGGGCCTAAATCAGTTTGCTTACATATGTAACAATCACTGATCGGACCAGACCGCTCAGAGGCGTCGTCAGTTCTACATAGTGAGCAAAAAGCGGCGAAGCATGGGCACTAAAACGGAAACGCAAGAAGTGGTAACTAGAGGAAATCCGGTAGGCATGTAGGTAGGTACCTAGGTACATATATATATTCAGGATATCCCAACACATTTCATAATAATACCTAGTGCCAACTCAAGATATAATGCAGCTCTACTGTGTATTCAAAATCGTATATTGTGTATATTGTACGCCAGAGTCTAGAACCATCTCGCTACAACCTATATAAAATGCTAATGTGACGTCAGCGGGTCATACATACATATGTATACTGACACTCCACATAGCCGAGCACGAACCGCGGTGTCGATCGATATCCGTGCGATTATCGTTGGCGGAGAGAAGGTGCGGCACACGCTCTGCGATACAATTAGCCATTTTGCCATTTTCCTTATTTATCCAACGCAGAAAATATCATATCAATATCACACATCGCTACCTACAAAGTAGAGAGTTCTGATATCGACATCGAAATTAGTCTCAGCTTGGAAATTGATTTTATTGGGGAAGAACAACTATCAACAACACAGCATAATATTATCTGCTTGTTTAGCAGCCGGGATTGTAGAATTAGCCTTGAAATAGGTAGGTTGTAGTGCTTTGCAGAGTAGCCAAGCACTCTCCACGTTGAACCGTTGGACAGTCCCGCCGATCGCAAGCTATTTACGTAGGCGAAATGTAGTACCTATATTGTACTGTGCGTCGTACAATATACAGTATGTTGTATGTATTTTGGACTGCTCGAGATTTGTTTGATGAAAACCCTACTACTCCGTAGTTAGTATGGTCTACAATGTACAATGGGTGCAGCTGGGTTCCACAGTATATAACCAGCAGGTCCGTGTCCGGGGGAGGGGCTGAAGGGGTTGGATGGAGTCGACATGGAGAAGTGTTTCTATACCTTAATTAGATGAATAACAGAAAAGAGAAAGAAAAAAAAAGATATCGCGATGTTACCTAGGTGAGATGTTAGATATGACTTAATGTGTGCCGTATCAGCCCTGGTGACTACAATATCGCTGATATTTTGAGATAATATACATACATATCCATGGATGTACAAAGTAAGAACTCAAGGTTGTACGTACATCCCTACAACATATGACTCACAACGTACAAATGTACCTACCCGATACCTAAATGGGAAAGAAGCCCCTCTCCATTTCATCATCGTGGACTATCAATATCTCGTTGTATCCACAGTAAAAGTGTGATTTCTCCAAGTCTTCTTCAGAAAGCTGTAATGATATTTCGATCCACGTTGCTCAAGAACATTAATATCTAGCTTTCAACTGCTCACTTTTTTAAAGAGTTCGATTTAATTCAATTTTTTCCCCCACTTAATACTCGTATCTGTTGGTCATAGTACTTTTTTATCCACAAACCATGCGTGGCTTGAACTATGACGTGGGAATAATTGTAGGCGATATTCATTATTACTCACACCGTAGCTTGCCAAGGCGTATATTCTAACGGTCCTACCTTATGCCACCTCAGCTCTACATAGGGATTCCCTAGTATGTATATTTCGGCTGAGCCGGAGACAGAAGCAATGCCAAGAGTTCTTTATAGGAGCATAATACTCCATGCGGATTCCACGTGACCTCGGAAATACGGAAACCGCCAGGGTCTCGGAGTCGAAGTCTTGGGTTTTCGCCCGACGATCCATGTGGGTCTCCAATCTCAACTCCCTTACCTCGTTCAATCACATTCAGTCTGCTTCGGGATTATTTACTTTATTTTGTGCTTTTAGTTTGTACTTGGAAATCAAAAGGAAAAAAAAAGCTTCTCGAAGTTGAATATTTGTTCTAAGAAGTTCTGGGAAAGTGCGAAATGTTGAGTAACTCGGGAGAAAGTTCCGGGGACCATGGGTGGTGTCAACGGTTAATTAGAAGCTTACTCTTTAGAGGTTAGGGCCTAGGCGCTGTACGATGTACTTTTATATTGTATACTTTGTATCTTGTATCCCACATCCCACATTGGGTGATCAACATGTACGATGATGCTGGCTTACCCGATTTTCATGTGTCCAGATATACCCATATAGAATACAGTATTCAAACTATAGAAGTGGGTCCAGATCATCGTTCCCATGACGATGCTAATTTCCTTTAAGGGTCCCGCGTCATCCGCGCCTGGACATCTCGTAGTCGCATACAACGGGCCTCCCAGCTCCTCCGCCCCAGATGGATCTCGGAACTCGGACAGAGGACCGAAAGCCCCAGAGAGGAATGGCAAAAATTGAAGCAATTGGGAAGTAAGATTCTTGGTTATCCGAATGAAAAATTCTATTGTTCGGGTCTCTGCCGTCTTAAACGGATCTCACCATTTTATTGCCGGGATAACCGGTAAGAGCTTCCATGTCTGGTGACGAAATCCACTATGTGGCTACTGACCATACAGCTGTCTCGACAAATGAGTTTTCGTCTGGAGCATAGACGAAGGGATTGACTCGGAGCGTAGTGCTTATAAATCGCGCCAGATCCCCTTCAGGGCTGTGGCCGCTGGTTACTACACATACCCCCTTCCTCCAAAAATACCTAATATATACCTCTTTCATATAATAATTGTTTGTAAAAGCTCTTCATCATGACACAAACACTCTTGGACACACCGCGCCATCCCGGACGCAGCGAACGAGGCTCGGAGAGTGATAGCTCGCTCGACGAGATCGCGCAGGAGAAGCAGAATGCGCTGGTGACAACACTCGGCCACCATGGAAAGGACCTCGACAATTCGGCATCCCCCAAGCGGTGGAAGAGTTTCTGGACGGCATTCCGACACTTGGCGCACTTGACCCCGAAAGAAGTTGACGATTTCATGGCGTCATACATCATATATAACCTTGACTGGTCCGACGAAAAACAAATGACCGAGTCTCTGGGCCCCAACTACCAAGAAAAAGTCGGCGATTGCTTGAAATCCTATTACGGAGTCCTGAACCACCTGTGCGCACTTGGCGATGTTGAAAAAATGTATATCCCACCATGGATGAGCCCCAAATCCAATGTTCTCGAGAACCAGATCCTGTACGAGCGCTCAATCGCACAAGACATCGGCCTGGGAACGGGAAAGAAGGTGCTGGATCTGGGATGTGGCCGCGGGCGCGTCGCCGCACACATGGCGCAACACACCGGCGCCCAGGTAACGGGCCTCAACATCGACCCGAACCAGGTCGAGCAGGCGACGACCTTCAACCAGGAGCGCGGACTTCAGAATAACTTCGTCACGCGAGATTTCAATGATCTCCCCCTGCCATTCGCCGACGAGAGCTTCGATGCATTCTACCAGATCCAAGCCCTGAGCTTGTGCAAGGATCTGCCTGCCCTATTCCGCGAGATCTTCCGTGTCGTCAAGCCGGGCTCGAAGATCTCCCTGTTGGACTGGGTCAGCTTGCCGGATTACGACGCTAGTAATCCGGAGCATGCGGAGCTCATGCGCCGCGTCAAGCCGCTCATCGGTGCTGTCGGTACACCCACGCCGGAAAGTCTCGAGGCGGCGTTGAAAGAGGCTGGGTTTGAGGTTGTGCGGTCGGAGAACGCTAGTATCGATGGTCTCCAGGCCCCGCTTATCGATACCGTCGATGTATACTTCCGCACCCTGCGCCAGGCGATCCTTGCGCTCGTCAAGGTGCATGTTCTGCCGCGACACTTCAAGACTTTGATTAACCGTCTTTGTTTGGATGGTCAGGCTTTCGTTAAGATGGATCGCATGCGTCTAGCTACGACGAGTTATAGCATCATTGCGCAGAAGCCCAAGGCTTAGGCTTTGAACAAGGTTTCTCAGCGGCGCTCGAGACGTGAGGAAGTTGGATGGAATAGAATAATTTTCTGATGTCAAACTCTGCCGTGACCAAGTCGGGTCGATATTCAGAGCACACCAGCCTTCCACCTCAACGCCATTGTCGCCCCTCACGAATCGATTGGACATCTTGACGCACAATACCCTGTACATTAATATTCGACGGATTAGAAGGCTGTGGGATTTGACGCATTGGGGAGTTTGGGTTATTTATTCCATTTTTTTTATATATCTCTTAGATGACTTTCTTGAGCAATAAGGAGTTTCATGAGGGCATTGCATCTACACCGTCTGATAGTTCACAATATATACTACGTTCAAGATCAAACATATCTTGATCTGAGCAAACACTGCAACATGGAAAAAGTAGTGAAAGCCAAATGAAATAAATGAATAAAAACCATCAAGTCACAGTCTAGTTAATCTATGTGTGAAATGGGCAACTAAAAAAGGAAAAAAAATAAAAAATAAATGAGAGGTCGTGCCCGGGATCGAACCGGGATTGCTGGTATCAGAAACCAGAGTGATGACCATTACACTACACAACCAATTGATGTAGGGAGACTGTCACTTTTATCTATAAAAGACTGTTCTTCTTCTGTACATTGTTTTATATGTAACCACCATAAATCAGTGCAGCCCTGCAACATCCCCACTAGTCCCTATTAGGAGAATTCCATACACCCTTCCAAGGTTGTACCCCCCTCTAGAATATGGGAAATGTTCAAGCCTCCATTAAACTGCATCTGCATGGCAGCGTAAGCCTAGCACATCTTATCTGCACGATTCCATACTCCTTCCCTCCCCCCAACCACCCCCGTGACCGCGGGGCAGTCCTTCCATAATCTCCAAGCGCCCCGTAGATCCCGGCTTTTTTCTCCCCCACAACAACCATATCTCCAATCTACAACTACTCCATGTCTCCTTTACCGTCTTCTATCACGGCGCTATCTGCGCCGGGCAAGGTCCTTTTAACCGGTGGCTATCTCGTGCTAGACCGCGGCTACACAGGCACCGTGTTTGCGCTCGATGCCCGCATCCATGTTATTGTCCAGCAACTGAGGAGGGGTCACCGCCGCGGGGCATCAGGATCTGGGCCCGCTCCTGGCGCCGATGCCCTGTCTAATTCGGGCGTGGAGGACCAGGATGGGGAAGATACCGTTGTTGTGCGTTCCCCGCAGTTTGTCGATGCGGTGTGGGAATATGGTGTGCAGCGATGTGGGAATGGTGGGGGTGTCAAGGTCATCCAGAAGGGAGATGGGTATGCTTTGCTATGGCTCTCTCTTTGCGCAAAAAAGTCATTGACTAATATCGCCTTGTTTCTCTTTAGACCCCGAAACCCCTTTGTCGAGACCTCTCTCAGCTATGCATTGACTTATATCAGCTACGTTGCTGACTCTAAGGACTTCGGGTCCCTCTCTGTCACCATCATGGCTGATAGCGACTACTACTCGGAAACCACTGCCTCTAGGGGCCCGGCGTCGCAGGGACGTGGTGGGCGCTTTGTCAATTTCGGCGTGCCTCTCTTCGAAGCCCACAAGACTGGATTGGGCTCCTCAGCTGCTCTAGTTACTGCGCTTGTCTCCGCCTTGGTCATTCACCGCACCATGCAGCCAGAGGATCTCGGTGCTGGTCGGGATAAACTCCATAACCTCGCTCAAGCGGCCCACTGCGCAGCCCAGGGTAAGGTCGGATCTGGATTCGACGTTGCTAGCGCTGTCTACGGTTCGTGTCTCTACCGACGTTTCTCGCCGTCAATCCTGGAGTCTCTCGGCGATGTAGGCTCGGCTGGTTTCGAGGAGCGCCTGTTCCCCATCGTGGAGGACTCTGATTCCGAGCATCCATGGGATACCGAGTGTGTTGACTTTGGCATGCAGCTCCCCCGTGGGATGCAGCTGGTTCTGTGCGACGTGGACTGTGGTTCTCAGACGCCCTCGATGGTCAAGAAGGTCCTCGAATGGCGGAATAATAACCGCAAGGAAGCGGATATTCTCTGGGCTAGCCTCCAGAATAACAATGAGCGACTGCGCCAAGAGCTTAAGCGCCAGGCTCAACACCCCGATGTTAATCCCGAAGGCGACTTTTCTGATATTCGCACCCTTCTTCAACGAACACGCCAGCATATCCGCACATTGACCCGCCGGACGGGCGTCCCCATTGAACCCAGTGTACAGACCGAGCTGTTAGACAGTGTTTCAGAGGTTGAAGGTGTCATTGGCGGCGTCGTCCCGGGGGCTGGAGGATACGATGCCATCGCGATCCTGATCCAGGATGATCCCACTGTAATTGCACGCCTGAGAGATCATCTTGCGAACTGGAAGAGCACGATCGAGGATGACTTTGGAGGCAAGATCGGCAACGTACGACTGCTAGGCGTTCAGCACGGATCCGAAGGTGCCAAAAACGAAATGCTGGAGCAGTATGCCGGTTGGGTCTAGGTTGCTCGTCTCTGGTTTTTAAAACAAGGGAACCGGTGTCCCAGCCCACCATGACTTATCAACAACGTGTTTCGGCTACCAGCTTAGCCTCCCCTATTGCATCGTGGGCCGGACCCTCCAGAAAATACACAGGCCTGTAGGATAATTAATTGCACGAATCATGGCTGAAACATCGACTTTGACTCGGATGTGTTTCCTTTTACCTCCCCTACCCGCTCCATCAGTACCCACCTATCTGCGTCTCTATCTTCAGATTTATCCCCCTGCATATGCAACGAGTCCCATGCTTGGCCGAGTGTTGCCCATTCTATTTTCCCGATGTCCCCCTGTGTGCGACCGTGCTCTGTTTGCCAGGTATTTCGATATAGACTGGACTGCTCTCAAGGGGACGGACTGCGCAGGTTAATATTCTTCAGCTTCCTGATAGCTAGCATATGAGATATTGAATATAGAATCCAATTGCATTTTATGACAGCGAAACAATGAAACAGTGACAGCTGCATGTATACTCCGTAATATAGTCATGAGATCCCTAATTGTCGTACAGAGTACAGAGTATACAGAGCTACACATGTGGAAGAAGTGACCTGTCTTTTCCATGCAACTATCCCGACATGCCCAGATCTATTAACGATGTCGCATACAAACAAGACTTGTCTTGGCCTAACTAATTTCCCCGGATCTTCAATTGATCTTCTCTATTTACATTTATAATAACACTAAAGTACTAAGGTGCTAAAGTACTAAATTAACAACATATAGGGGATTTTTTTTTTCTTTGACTCAAAAATAGGGGAAAGATTTTCGGGTGCAGTTCCAAGGCCGTTCAACCAGGGTCAAGAAGCCTGTTAGGCTTGCAGATCCCATTTTGCCCTCTTTCTTCCCTCTTCAACCTATTCAAATACAATTTGAATATCATTTTGACGGGGGTACATATATGTACAGCCATTCCATCCATTCCACACTAGTTGAGGTGTTATCCTGCGCCTCCCGCTTAGCCTTGACTCCTCACATCTGCATCTCTCCCACGGGCCTCTACCTCCTCCCATTCCAGCTCTTACGGAATACCCTTCCTTCAAAATACCCCCCGTTGACAGCGCCCCTTTTCCCAACGGGGTAAAGTCAATCGTTATCTGCCATCGGGGCACCCTAAAATGTCTACAACCGATCAACCGGAGTCGGGGCCAAACACCAACAAAGATATCAACCAACCCCCAATCACAACTTCGCAGGATCAACAGACCACAGCACCAACCACAGAGCTCCAAGCCCAATCAAACCCTGTCGCTGATACATCCATCCCATCTGTCCATGATCAAACACCCGCGACCCAGACCCAGACCCAGTTCCACCCCGCAACTGGCCCCAGTGGCGAAAGCAAATCCGCCCCCGTGACAACATCACTTACCACCACCAACCCTCCTCAAACTGTCGACCACGCTCCTGCTGTCGCGCTGGCACAGTCCACCACACCGCCTTCAATGGATACAGACGAGCCAAAGACTGCGCCCGAGACATCAACGGAGCACTCCGATGAAGGCTCCGGGAAGGAAGTCGAGGAGGATGCTGGTCCATCACTGGTGATTACGTTGCTGTTGACAACGGGGTCGCGACACCCGTTTACGATCGATGGAAAGTATCTAACGAAGCGATCGGTGAATGTTGAGAATTCTGATCCGTTCTTGATGAGCGTTTACACGCTTAAGGAGTTGATCTGGCGCGAATGGAGATCTGGTAAGAGTTCACCCTGACTCAGACCTCTACATGGGCATCGGATGGACAGAACACATCCTGATGTGAGATGTCATGGAATAAGAATAATTAAGCTAACACTGTTGTTGATGCAGATTGGGAGACCCGTCCCACGTCACCAAGCTCTATCCGTCTTATTTCATTTGGGAAGTTGCTGGATGATAAGTCCCCTGTTTCTGGTATGTTTTCGTCCATCATGGTTGCATGGTTGCTATGGTTATAGACTTTGATACTAACAAACCAACTAGACTCCAAGTTCAGCAAGGAACACCCAAACGTCGTCCATATGACTGTCAAGCCGCAAGAAGTCGTCGACGAGGAAGACGCAAAGGGAGCAAAGGCACAGTACAGCCGGGAGCGCGAAGCCAGTGAGCGCAGCCCCGGATGCCGATGTGTGATTCTATAATCTCACTGCTCCAGCTACGGGTCTCAATCGTGGACGGCCTGCTCTCGGCAATGATGTTGTCTACTGCTTACATCCTTCCACCCTAATACCCAGCCTTTCCTCCCTTGTCCATCTTCCGTCAACCCTCCACCCTTCATCTACCTGCCATGGCAGCGACACGCCTAATTCTGCCTGGACGCAGGATCAACATACCTGTTTTGCTGAGCCAACATGGGCGCTCTGGAAGCGGCGTTTGGACATTTCTTTCTTCTGACTGGACCTCCATCCTACGACTGGGTTTCGACTTTCGACTTGTTTCTCTTATTTCTGTGCCATGTTCGAGCCGTCCTCCTGTTCTCTCATCGCCATATCGTCTGCATGCGGGCCTCATTCATCTATCCATGGATCTTCTCTACTGGAGTGCTTCGTGTTTTCTTTTCGACCGTGTCGTCCGAGGGCTCGATCTGAGATTCATTCTTTGCTTTTCGCATTGCTGTCACCATTATTCTTACCCCGGTTTCGATATATACCCCCTCCAATCCGACTTTCCTTTTTCTTTGTGCTCTATCATTTTACCTGTCTGGTTCCTTTCCTCATGGACTTTTGTGTACTTACGACTTTGACCCCTTTTCTTCTTTCTCTATCCCTCTCTTTCTCGAGTTTCATTCCTTTTTGCTTGCTTTTTCTAACTGCCTATGGTGGTTAGTCGTAGTGTATAGGGCGTTTTGGAGAAGGTTGACGTGTTTCTTTGTCATATATTAAATAAATTCCAAAGTGCCTATATATTTCCGGGGTCTTGCCTAGATATTCGGAATTGATACTCGAAGTCGACGAGCAATTTGGAGTAGCATGCTATTCATTCATACCGTAGAAACCCTATAATATTACGGCTAGAGGTGTTTCTGCAAGACTGCTTGGTAGAAATAGACCATGGATTGATTCAATATATCGATAGTACCATATTGCCTTGAAAAACAGACAGACAGACAAATCGGAAATGCATCAAGTCCAGTGATCTATCCTTCTATTTGACGACATAAGGTAGGAGTATGACGAGGGACGTAAGAGGATAATAGTAGAACACATCGACATAGAAAAGCAGAGAAACAAAAGAACACCATATCATCAAAGCCATTAGAAATCCATCTTGAGCCTCTTCTCCATCTCATCATGGAAAGCAGGCGGCTCACGGAGGTCATCACCTAAAGCAGAAGCAACCAAGTTAGCCAAAACACATCCAATCCCAAACCAAAAATCACCATATAAGAAACGCAAACGAAACATACCGGTGTAAATATCCTCCCACTGAACCTCACTATCCCGACCCCCAATAACAAGAATATCCTCATGAACATTCCCACCCCGCATACCGCCAAGTACAGCAGGCCGGAAAGTCCCATCCCGAACGATCTTCAGCTCCATCCCGCGACGAACAGGCTCCGCAATACCATACGCCCGACGCAGTCCCTCCATCTTCATGGCGTCCTGTGTAGCCCGCCACGCGAGCAGTCGTGCCTCGAGCGGGTGCGTAGATGACGGAACCTCGCCGCTGGAGTTCGTGGACGACGCGTGCGCGGTGGCGGCCTGCGTAAGCTTGTTGCGGAGCGTATCCGGTAGGCCGGGGGCGGAGGGAGCGCCTTTGGATGGGCGCGGGGCTTGGAGGCTTGCTTGTTGGCGGGTTGTGAGGTTGCTCGTTTGTGTTGCGTTGCCGCTTGGGGGGGCGATGCGGAGGGACTGGGGATTTTTTGTTAGTTTTGGGTGTTTAGAATTGGGATGGGGGTCGATTGAGGGGGTTAGGGATGGAGTTCGGTGATGGCGGTGTTGGGAATGGGGGTTCTAGATGCTTTGCTTATGGGCTGGACTCCAGGGTGAGGTCCCGGGTCCGTAGCTTGATAACGTACCATGATGACGGATGGATAATGCTAGTTTTCGGGTTCAAGGCTCGAATTCACAGATTGGACAAGTGCAGGTGTGTATTCAAAGCTCGGGAAGGAGATAGAAAAGTAGAAACAAGAGCAAAGGGAGGATGCAAGATGACTACCACCGATGATGCTTCAGGCAGAGAGAAGCAGCGCGGCCAGCTCCTACGACAGACGAGAGAAACCAACCACGCAACAACCCCAAATCAAATCACGTGCCCTCCACTTCCGCCGGCCAACTCAATTCTATCGCGATATTCTCGACTCAGTGAAAGGGGATACAAATCGCACGCTTCACACCACCCAAAATGTCCCAATTACTCTCCCCAATAGCCCTCCGGGCCCTACGGACTCTCACCCACCGTCCTGCGATCTCCTCGCCCCTCTGCCGCACAATCACCACATCACCCGCTATCTCCTTCGCCTCGAAACAATCCCCCATTACCTCCCGCCTCAATTTCCACCCCGTATTCCGCACAGCCGCTGCCGGCTTCGCCGCCGTGCCGAAGCGGCAATTCTCCAGCTCGCCGATCATCCGCGCTACGTACAACCAGGTCCGCCGCGGTATTCGTACCGGACAGCGGGCTCGTCGCGGTGGATCGCCTGCGCTGAAGGGTACGCCTGGTTTGAAGGGTGTTTGTCTTAAGACTGGTGTCACCAAGCCTAAGAAGCCCAACTCTGGCGAGAGGAAGGTTGCAAGAGTGCGGTTGAGTTCTGGGAAGGTTATTACTGCTTATATTCCTGGAGAAGGTAAGGTTTACTTGCAATTGAATTGGATTGGACTGGTGTTGGGAATAGGATACTGTGGATTCTGTTCCGGTGCTGGTCTTTTCCTTACGGGATTTTTGGCTAATTTTTCTTGTACAGGCCACAATATCCAGCAGCATAGTGTTGTCCAGGTCCGTGGTGGACGTGCTCAAGATTGTCCTGGTGTGAAGTATACCCTTGTTCGTGGTGCGATGGATTTGGTAAGCCCCTTTTTTGCTTCTGTTCTATATACCCACTTTCGGGGTGTATGTCTTTCTAGACCTTTTACTGATTGTATGTTACTAGGGTGGTGTTGGAAGCCGTATGACGAGTCGCTCGAAGTACGGCGCGAAGAAGCCGAAGACCAACTAAGATGGATTCGGGAATACAGGTTGATCGCGATTGACCTGCTGTGAGATTATACAATTTTTTGGCCTTCTTTGATCAGCTGCTGTATAAGAGATAGCCACATTGGGCTACTTGGATTTGGCTTTTTGTGCTCTTCGGAGAGCAAACTCTTTCTGTTCATATTTGCATGTAACACTACGGATTGCGACTGTTTATCATCATATTATCTCTTTCGATATCCAAGCTCTTTTGAGTCAACTGTATTGATATATTTGAAAATTTAAGAGGTAACTATAGAAAATGGTTCCGGGAATATCACTTTACTCCGGACCCATGCAACGAAACAAACCCCAAACAAGGACGAACGCTCGAAAACCCATAGTAACACATGTCAGACATCGAATTAAATCCTCACGGGGTAACGCAATAATGGGAATCAAAATGAAACAGTTGAAAGGTAAACATGCAGCTTTTTGCCCAAGCGTGGTAAAATCGAATAGCATATTGCTTCATCCAGGTGTGATATCCACCCCCGAGCAGAGCAGCGGGCAAAGTGGACGGATATTTTACCGAGGTTTTGTAGTTGCCGCGCAAATGGGTGACACTGTCAGCCTCCAAAATGCGCAGCGCTTCGTATCAAGACGAGACAACCGACCCGCGCGTTGTCCCTAAGAAGGAAACGACTGGGCCGTCCATGAATAGACCCAGAGGGACCGTGAATAAGATAAGTAAATCAGTCATATTTCTCATCCCATCCGTTCGGCTTCTCCATCTTGGTGATATCGAACCAACGCTTGGTGCCTGTATCACAATTAGTTTTGCACTAGAGGTATAGATTGGAGGGTTATAAACATACAAGAGTAATCCTTCCAGTCGAAGTTATCTTTCGGTTGGCAGGAACATCTCAAGTCCAGGCGTTTCTTTTCATCCGAGGGGCAATGCGTGAATGGGACATGGTAGTAGGCGATGTCATCCCAGAAGTGGATTTCCTCTTTCTTTAACATCAGAGAAGCCGCGATAGAGTGAACCGGTGCGTCGCCCCATCGCTCATAGAAGAAACCACCATCCTTGTCCAAAGATGTGAAATAGTCAATGTATGCGTCGGATCGCAGCCACTCCAAGCTGCCAATCTCAAAGTTTGACCACTGGCAGAAAGGTTAGCGAGGTTGAAGTTTAACCTAATTTGAAGCACTTACGAAGTGGCAGTTGTTGTAGGTTTCTCCACCGTCATTGCTGATGAATTCCATGGCATTTCCCTTCGAGACATACTCGGGGTGATTGCCTGTGAACTTCTTCACGCTATCCCACAGGGTAGGAATGGTCGCCCCATACTCGTACAGACTAAGGACAAAGCTGTACTTCTTGTTGTTCTCCTTCATGAAGCGGAATGGGTCGGAGTCAATATCACAGTAGAGCTCAATGCTAGGCTCGACGCGCCAGTAGTACTCGAAGTTCATCATGAGCGGGTGACGGAAGAAGAAACCAGACTCATAGCGGCACATATGGCGGTAACTCTCCGAGCCGCCGTAAATGATCTTCTTGCGGTCCATCTCCTCTCGCGCTTCTTCGGCCTTGTCCTGGTCGATCCACTCTGGGTACGACCAGTGTTCTTTGGGGATGACACCATAATGAGTTCTGCCCGAAATCAGTGCGGTGGTCAATTTCTTGAACTCGTCATCGAACTCGTCGTCGTTGAGGAACACCCAATCATAGTTGTAGTTGTGGTTGAAACGGTCTTCAACTGTTCGAATGGACTTGACCATGTCCCAAAGGTCGGAGTTGCGCGCGAGGGTGACAAAGGTGGCATTTACACGTTCGCCATGGTGTGAACCGTTAACTTGGGGTTTTTGCGACTTTACTGAGTCGTATGTGGGGGCCTTGGGTGTAGGAGTGGTTAACCCGGTGGTAGGCATCGGGATGGAGGATTTTGAAATGAAGAAGAAGACCGACAATGCCTACTCAACGTTAGCAAAGAATATTCCTGAGCATAGAAGAAAGACTCACCACGACGGCAAAGAGTAAGTAGCGCGCATATCGAATAGTGATAGACATGGTGATGTGGGGGGGGAGGAATAAGGCTGATTCCCCGTGAGGTGGCAAGGCAACAACAGAGGTCAGACCGGCGCAGTTGGAACCAATCCAGATCAAAAAGCGAGCGACATCAATGGGGAATGAAACAGATTCAAAATTGATAAACCGGCAGTGGAAATCCGAAGGTGTTTTAGGGGGGTCAGAGGGGAGATTAAGGGTGGAAAAGATGAAAGGCCGCGCAAGACAATGACAACCGCTTTCAGCCACTTGGAGTGTCACCCACTTTGAGACATTCCGTAGTGCTCAGGGGATAAGTTATTATTAGGGTACGGAGGGTGGGTTTGTAAGATCCATGTTCATTCGATCTTGCCGAAGATGTTAAATCCACTTATAAAAGAGAGATAACAGGGAAAGGATTCTCGTTGCTATACTCCGTACAAGTACTGTGTGGCAATATGCTCTATCTCTTGTTGCCTCGTTGTTATGTTACTATCCGAGTATATACATGATGTAGTTATAGAGTCAAATTGTTGCCCCTTATAATCTAAACCCTCAGATAGCTGTATAACATCTTATCTCCTCTTAATCTTTGATATCTCTTTACATATCAAAAAGCTGGAAGCTGCACATCAGCGTGAAGATCGACAGTGGCTTGGCAAAAAGCACCAGTTTCTGCCTGAGGCATTCGCACTCCAG